ACAAGTAAAATACAAGTATTATTTTAGAATGTAATGCTTATGAAATCATTTTATTAGATTACTTTTGCTATTATTAAATACATTTGTTGCGACTTTTTCGTGATGGCAGTAACGAAAACACAGCCAAGCACAAGCTTGTATGAAAGGAAGGAGGAGAAGAATATAAGTATGGTATAACCTTCATGAGAAGAAGCAGTCAACAACTTTGAATATTACCCAAATAAAAGCACCTGAGATTATTGGGACAAAGTATGATTGTTGTGCAAAGAATGACTGTTTGTTACGTGTGCTTCTGACTTAAAGGCTATTCTCTAGTCCTGCAACCGGCAGGTTCAACTGCCAGTGCTGGGCCAACAACCGGATCGACTACTGAAGGCACAACAGGTGGAAAGGGATGCGGATTCCTTCAGCAAGCTTGTCAAGGGCTCCGGCGCTCATTTCTCCGAGCGAAGAAACGCTACATCACCTCCTGCATTTGCTGGTAACTTGAAGAGGACTAGCGTCTGGATTGATGCTGTTTTCGAATATTTAATGAACTCTTATTCTACTTCCTATGTAGCGCTCTTCTTTTAATGTAGCTAGTTTCTTGACACGATTAAGATTATGTACGGGATCTTCAATGCTGGACAATAAAAAACCCCTTTGGTGTTTGTGTCAAAGCCTTGTGAGGTAACTTATCACTGGAGAGTGATTGAGAAGGGCCAAAACTCGGCATCAGTCCATGCAGCACTATACGTACAGTAATGCACCGGTTTACTCCACTATCGCAGGAGCTGACAACTCTCTCAACTTGTGTAAGTAAAAATGCTGATCTATAAAAAAACATGGGTTGAGCGGAGATTCGAACTCCGGGCCACCTGCACTTGAGCTCCTCTGTTATACAGAGATCCCGAAGCAGGTATCATACCACTAGACCACACAACCAACATTCATTGCAAAAATTGTTATCATTAGAATGGTTCTATTCTAGTATCAAGTAGCATCAGTTTTCCGTATCACTACCACCAGATCTCTTAAGAATAGAATTTACTTAAGTTAGCGATGTCTCATTCTTAGAAAATAAACAGATTGCATTCCATATGTGAACTCGAATTGTTGTCCAAATGCATTAACATTATTGTCTTCAAATTAGGACAAGTTATTGTAGCAACAAAAATATAGCCAAGCACAGGCTTATAAGAAAGGAAAGGGGAGAAGAATACAACATTATCTGCACAGTAAATGCACTGGCTTACCCTATCACAGGAGCTGGCAGCTGCTGGCAACACCCTCAACTTACTTATGTAAAAACACTACTGCAAGACATGTAAAGGGTTGAGCGGAGGATCGAACTCCGGGCCACCTGCAATTTGCTCCTCATATATGAGAACCCAAAGCAGGTATCATACCTCTAGACCACACAACCAACATAAAACCTTTAAATGGTCTCACTATGAGGATCTCAGGAGATCTCAGAATAACAGATTTCAATGTCTCATTCTCAGTCAGAAATAATACAAGTTGACGTCTATATGTGAGCTCACTCGTTCGTCTAAACACAAATAATATCATTGTCTTCAAATTAGGCAAATCATTACGGCAACAAAAAACACAGTCAGGTACAAGCGTGTAAGGAGGGGAAGGATGGGAGAAGAATATAAGCGTGGTATAGTCTTCAAGATGAGAAGAAATAATCAACGGCTTTGAATAATGCCCAAATAAGACCACCTGAGATTATCGGCAAAGTAAGATTGTCGTCTAAAGAACCAACGTCTATTATCAAAATAAATCAGCGAATATGGTCAGGTATGAAGAAGGACCTGATAGACGTACCTATGGCTTCTGCGAAGCCAGCAAGAAACCCACTAGCCAATGCAATACAGGAGAGCTTGCCTAGCGAAGCGAGTGAAGAAACAGATTGAGTGCCATCTAGAATGACCTCCGGAAGTGAAGGCGGCGATGCGCCAAAAGGCGTAAGCCAGCCATAGAAACCGAAAGCAATAAGTGTGCCAGTCGCAGACCCCGCAAGGAAGCCAGCAACCGATTTGCGCTTAGCAAAAGGAAGAGGAAGTCGAGCACTGGTAAAAGGAAGGGAAATAGACTGAGGGAGTCGACTGGTCCGCGAGCCATAGAGTCTCCCAAAGAATGATGCTGTAGTATCACACCACGACAGGCTACGATGAAATCTAATTCAGCAACATCTCACATGTCAAGAACAAGACTCTACGCACACAAGGATTGATACAACTGCTAGGTCATCGGGATAGAAAGTCAAGACAAATATGCATCCCAGAAGGTACCAAATGACGCCATTGATCTTTTCCTATAGCAGAAATAAACACGAGACAATCGTCGATGATATTACGGGATACTTACCTTCTCCGATTCACGCATGAGAAACCCAAGGACCTTCTCATACATCTTGGCGAAGGACTTGCTTCGTAAACGGACGAAGTCAACGGACACAGTGAAAGTACAAAATGCTGATAGGGCCACAGCGACGCTTGATGGTGAAACATGATTAGCGTACAGAGGGATGACGAAGAACCCTGTAGCCCGCAATATTAGCATTGCCGAAATCTTGGACGAAATACGTACTCACCTATGGATGAATGGAGGGCCTTGCGCGGAATCTCCCAGTCAATCTTCTGACTCGTGTGCCCTTTGACTGTCTCATCATCGCGTCTCACAGCGGCCTTCTCTTGGAGAGCATGACGAGCATCACCGTTGGTATAGCCATCTACATGCGACACAGACCCATTGGAATGTGGGCGGTGACGGAGAGTCATCGAATGTTTCCGGGCACCGTGTCGCGGTTGAACGGGCGGCGAGGAGAAAAACGCAATTTTCGGAGGTGGAGAACGGGTTACAGAGCGGCGGCGGTGAGATCTGGAGTTGAGGCTGAAAGCGTCGTTTGCAGGAATGTTCATGACGGTCGTGAATGAGTAGGAGTCTCTAGAGGCATGCCCAAAGGGTGTAGCTCTTGGACGCGTCTGAGTCGCTGGCTTCCCCCAAAAGCTCAAGGCGGGTGCAAAACCGAAGAGGGGAAAATGGCATGATTCAGCTGACATAATAACTACGGAATTACATAAAACTATTCTACCAACCAACAAAACTGAAGAAATTGTTGTACTCATACAGACCCAGGACAAACGATGAAAGAATACAGCTGCTAATACACGGGAAATTATTCCTGGTCATAGCACATCTGCCATCGCCACGTCAGCATCCTCAGACTGCACGATCGGATGAGACGCCACTTCGAGTTGAGCTGGCCCCGCTAAACTTATATCTCCCAAGCTATCCAACGTCGCTTGCGGAAGCGATAGAAAAGGTGTATTCCCTTGTGGTACAGTGCTACTTGAGTGGGACGACCAGAATGAGTCGTATGTTAGAGTTGGAAGCTGTCCTGGACCGGATGCGACGTCAGCAGGCGGAGTAGAATCCGCTCCGTTCGGAATTGCATTGTTCAGAGGCGTCACAGACAAGGTTTTCTCTGGGGCTATAAATATGACATCAATACTCTTTGAACAGTTTCATGTGTATCATGATACGTGCCCAAAGTGAATAAATCCTGTGAGTTCGTGACCTCGGGCGCAGGTCGCGAAGGAGAGGCCTTCCGCTCCGAACCACTATTTGCACTACGATTTAGCCCGTTTGACGCTCCTTCAAGTGTCTCCCGAAGTACGCCGGCAGTCGGCAACGGAACCAAGGTCGGACTTGAGATGGTAGGGTCGGACGTGATCAAATTGTTTCCGGTTCCAGTTCCACTAGCAAAGCTAGTATTCTGTGGCGACACAAGGGCAAGAACGGACTCGCTTGCCATATCCGAAGGAACAGTCGTACCGGAGGCTTGAAAGTCGGGAGGAGGTAGGTCGGAGGTCGAGCTATCGCGCCGCGTACCGTCGGAGTGGGCCTTGTCTACTTGCATATTGGTATCTCCAAGCTGGAGCGAGGGTCTCGGGGAGTGTGACGATTGCAGGGCAAGTAATTGGCTCGATTGCGGTCCAGAGTTGAGCACGGACGAGCTTGACGAGGGCTCTTGATCGCAAATGTTGCTATTTGACGCGTTCCCGCCGGGCCGAAGTCCTGCAGATGGAGGGAATCGTCCTGCGGATGGCGCCGTTGAAGTGTCCCGGACAATGACATGTCGTTGATGAAAGTATAGATTCTCAACCTCATTTATGTTTTGCTTTTGCTAAGTACGAGAAATAATATAACGACATGTCATATTGTGTGCTACTGAGGAACACGGACATTCGGACCACTTACCCAACCGTAATCGACTTTCAGCCGTGCATACTGCAAACGCAGTTGAAGTTGCCGTGCAAGCTTTGCAACACCACATTGTTAAGCGAGTGTACTGAAAGAACTCGGGTGGCACGACGCACATTTGAGACCGGAGAGTCTCGTGCTTTTTGCTGAGAGCTCTGAGATAGGTCCGGTTGGATTAATTGCATTTTGAATAGAGACGAGCAGGGGCACAGACGCGAATTCCTACTAAACATTCATAAAGCAACTTGACGGACGGAAATGTATTCGCGTCGATCATCACGCTCAAATTGGACTTGTAATAAATCTACACTGTACACGATTCGTTCAAAGACGACACCGACTGTCCACGCAAAAATCGCTAGGACAAAGGTTCTCATAGATTGATGTCAAGCGCACGAGCTGGGCTGAGCAACATTCGTAAATGCAAATATGATTTTGAAGGCGTAGTAAAACACAATGACTCTGCAGTAGATACACTAACGACCTGCACCCGGAACGTTCCGCCTGTCGCGTCTGCCCGTGCGCTCTGGCATGCTGGAAACGGGTTGGGTGGTAGTGACTGGGATATCGAAGTTGAGCGCGGTGAGGAGATCCTGTGTAAAATTTAGAAGAATTCGATTGCAAACGAATAAAGATCATACTTTGGTGTCCGGATCCACCTCGAGACCGCCGGTGGCAGAGGTGTCAAGTGCAGACACTTCGGGCACGTAGTTGTCCTTGCGCTCACGTTCCTCCTCCTGAAGCTTGAACGAAATGCCACGGACCGGTCCCTTCTGAATACGCTTCATCAAGTGAGTTGTGAATCCAGCAATTTTGTTGCGCAAGCGCTTCGAGGGAACAACGGCCTGAGGGAAGCCTTAATACGAGCACTCGAAGAAGTAAGTAGAGCAAACATACGACTTCATCGATGAGACGCTTGTTCGTGTGGAAGTCGAGTGTAAGCCGAGGATAGCTGAATATATCAAGTACCATGAGTAAAATGGCATATCTTTCAATAACAGAGCAGCGTACTATTTTTCAATGAGGACACGGGAAGCCCTCTTGGTGGTCTTTGTTCTGACACGTCCCATTTTGCCGTCTACAGATGTGGTCTCTGTCACTGTTGAGAACGGTGTCACCGGTGCACCTCTTGGACGTCAGGCAGACAGGAACCAAAAACGTAGAGCTGCTGTACAGTACTAAGTACGTCACGTGCCGTGCTTCAACTTTTCGAACACGAATGCAGCACCAGACGTGTTCTCGTCGTCCGTCAACTTCAAGTCCCCTTAGCCCCCGGCACTACGCTCAGGTCTGCTTCGCTTTGAATCGTGCTTTCCATAGTGCGACACTCATAGCCGAGCGTTCTTTTAATTTCTAGCCATGGTCCGCGTATCTGTATTAAACGATTGCCTCAATAACATCGTCAATGCTGAGCGTCGAGGAAAGCGCCAGGTGCTTATTCGTCCATCCTCAAAAGTCACCATCAAATTCTTGAGTGTGATGCAGCGTCATGGTGAGTTGAAATGTTTGACGTACTTCTGTGCCTTCGGAGACGTCTCGTGCACGGACGAGTTGCCTTGTGTTCATCTCTGCTACCCCCGTTTTGCACATTTCTTGAATTTGTGCGCGTCAATAACTAATTGTCCATTCTACTAGGCTACATCGGCGAATTCGAACTCATTGACGATCATCGAGCGGGTAAAATTGTCGTCCAATTGAACGGTCGACTTAACAAAACGGGCGTAATCTCGCCTCGCTTCAACGTCCAGGTCACTCAAATTGAGTCCTGGGTGAACTTGCTGCTTCCGGCTCGTCAGTTTGGCATCATAATTCTGGTGCGTTTCATCTTTTGTACTGGTTATCTTACTCACATCTAACATTCGATTAGACTACCTCTTCTGGTATCCTTGACCACGAGGAGGCGCGTAGGAAGAATGTGGGAGGGAAGCTTTTAGGTTACGTTTACTGAGTGATCGCTTGGCGTCACATACACTGCGTTGTAAAATGGGTATTATACAGTCTACTCTCATCCGTTCGGAGTGCGTTCGAAAATTTTAGCCTGGACGTTTTGCAGCATCCCAATGCAACGCCTGAAGATATCCTGCAAATTGCGCAAAATGGACTCTATTTGTTCTTGCATCGTCGAGACTGAGCTTCCCATTCCTGCAATAAAAGAATGGCTCAGCGACATTTCCTGAGTCTAGAAATATCGCCACAGATGAATATTTTATTTAGGCGATTGAATTATGGCAGCTGTTCTAATCCACCATAATAAACCTCTGCGTTGTTCTCCAGCCATGCCATCCAAGCCTTCAGGAATTTACCGCCATGTTGCACTGTCGAAGAATCACCGATCACGCACTGGGGGAAAATCAGACTGCCGAAAACGACGACGTGTATGCCGTGCCTACCAGGTGACGTCTTGCTCGTGTCATTGCGACTAAAGTACCTTCAGAACGCGCATATCCGATACTTTCGTATCATATCAAAACATGCTCACCATTTAAGCGTCGTTTGTCCTTGAGAAAGCCCACCTCACGCTATATAACAGTTGAACATGGTCAGTGCAAACGTATTACCCGAAATACGAGAAACCGCACTTTATCATTACTGCGAACAAGACTAATAATGATTGCTTCTTTTTCACGACCTTGCATCCCGTCTACCGTGCCAATCTCCAGTTCATCTTTGTATTCATCGGATAGAAGAGCAGAAATATGAGAAACTTGGGCCTGATATCTATCGACAATAGCGTTAGATTGATTAAGGATTCACCGGAATATTCAGACTCGAACTTACGGTGTGATGATGGCTATCTGGGAAGGGTAAATCCCTGCTCCAATCTAGAGTGAGATAGCTTTCAGTCATTACAATATGAAGGAGAAGAGGAAGTCGTTTCTAACCAGTTTCGCTAGCCATACCTTAACTAACATGGCCTCATTCTCGTTGTACTTGCTGCCATCGTCCACATCTTCAACAGTCCTCTCATAGTATTCACTCCCAGAAGTATCGAGGAAAACGACAGGAGCGGTTAACAATTCAGAAGAATCATCCCCGGCATTTTCTAAGTCCTGTAGAAGATGGCTCGCCACTGATTCGTCTGGGCGAAGCTGTGAGTTGTACAGCATCTTGGATGGGAATTCGCATATTTTGGAGTGCATCCTTTATCAAGTGTAAATGACAGAGATTGGATTTGATGGACTGAAGCAACGCATACCGATATTGGATCTCGAGCATTCTCTTGATTGATTTACCATACGTTTTTTCAAGTCTTTCGAACAAGGTTATAGACAGGTCTTTTGACGGGCGAAGAACACGGCCAGAAGCTGTATTTGGTTTGTCTTTCTCCGGCACCTTGGGATCATTCGGCAAAGGCGAGTTACTTTCAGAGTCGTCGGAAGAGTCAGTGAGACTGTCCACTTCGCCTGCCTTCGTAGATCGTTTGTTCCCCGATTCCTTGACTCCACTAGGTGCCGATGCGCTGCGCGTTGCTTTTTCCTGCTTGGTGGAAGACATGGGAGATTTTGTCTGCGAAAGAACAGTCGGTGGTAACTGCAAGTGATCCCCAGCAAGGATTAGCCTCTTTCCTTTGACGATAGGGATCCAGCAGGCCTATTTTTCAATTAGTGGTTCTTTCCAGCAAATCCTTGATTTCGATCTATGAGCAGAATTACGCACTGCTTCTGCAAAATATGAAACGAAGTTAGGATATATGCTCTGTTCTGACTCTTCTACGAACCTAGCGCTTGAGTCGCTTCGTCTATGATTACGACGTCGAAAAACATGTTTTCGAGGGTACGTCCACCCGCGGAATGACAAGTTGCAAGCACCACCTTCACAAGGTTATTAAGAACATTTTTGGAACCCGATTGCTTAGCGATCGTGACGTACCTGAGCTTCGGATAGAACACTACTAACAACGCCTTTCTCCCGTTTGCGACACCTTGATATCATTCAGTACTAGGATCGACACTTTAGACGATAAATGCGCAGACTCTTTTCGTAACTCTTTGATCTCGTCCCACAGTTTTCTCCTCTCTTCGCCTCTAGGCTTCTTGCCCTTCTGACCCTTACCTTTACCTGCCACACATAATAATGACTTGGATAGCTCGTCTTTTATATCGTTGATAAGTTCAGCCTACGAATCAATGAGCCGCTTTCCTAGCATCTCAACTTCGCGCTCACCTGTTCACAGCGAGTTGTCTGTGCGTCCAGAGTCGCTTCTAGCGATGAAGCCTGTCCTTTGACTCTGGCTGGATGGCCGACTCTTGTGCATTTAATCGATGTCATACCCGGTAAAGGAGGAAGAAGTAGTCGTTCGAGTATGTTGTCCACAGAAAGATTGGATGCTCCACAGACTAGTATTCTCTTTACTGGGCCCTGAGAGCTTGACGGGCCGGGAGCACAACGTGGGAATAAGAACTGTCTGATAATCTCGAGGAGAGTATGTGTTTTCCCAGTCCCTGAACATTACACCCATTAACAAATACTATTAGAAGTCACACACATTCCTACCTGGAGGGCCGTGTATGCATGCAACCTCTCTCGAGCCCAGGGCGAAGCGGACAGCTTGTTTTTGACTGTCATTCAGCGAGACGTCGTAGAAATCGACTCCGTCCACAGGGACGACTTTTGATGGCGCACTGATGCCAAGTAGAACATTGGCGACGGATATTGTATCAGGATGAAGCGCAAGTTTCGTCTGTCGGCCATCATAAGTATTTCATGCTTCGAGCGGAACTCATGCGTTAACTTGCGTTCTTTGCAGCCGCCTCCGAAGAAAAAGTCGCATAGAGAGATAGGATGACTTTCTGCATGCTGTTGATAGGATTAGGTTGGATCACTCTGCATTGTCAGACCACTATGACGCACCGATCATTTGGTACATTGTTAGCCAGTTTGATTCTAATGTCTTTCAGTTATAGTGGCTATAACGATTACACAGTAAACTTACAAGCTACATATATTCGGTAGATCAAGGTCCTCGTTGGCCTGACGATCCCCATCGACGGCAAGTACGATAAGAGAATCAGTCACCTATACGAAATAGTTGACATATCTTAATTATAAGTCCTCATTTTATATGCAAGCATACGGGAGACGTTTACCTTGTATACGACGCCTTCCAATGAATTTTCCTTTGAAGTATCAGAACGGGCGCTCGGCTCCTTCTTCGAAGACTTGGATAAAGATTTTTCTATGCGTGCAATATCACCTGGCCTTGATATGCCACGAAAGATCGCACAAGTATGTATAACGGGTTACTCCTAAGCGCAAACTAGAGAAGATCTCTCGCACCTGAAGGTATGAGGGGGAAGTGAGGCGCTCGTGCTGAGGGCCGCAGATCGGCCAAGCTCAATTAAACTGCAGTAGAGACAAATTGGTAAGATATCCAAGTTAGTTTGGGTTCTTCACAACTTACTTCCGTCCACCCATGCCAACGCGGACATTATTTAATGGTACAAGATTGAGCAAAGCCAGACCCCTTTGCTCTAACAACTTGAGACTACATTTCGTCAACAACAATGAGCTTTGGTCAATTTCTACTTGCTTCTCTTCTTGCAAGAGCTGTATCTGGCGCTCAAAAAATGCGTCTAAATCCTTAGGAGTGGTCATGGTTGCACATTAGATGCGATGCAGAATTTGGCGCTAGAATACAGATCTAGGTCATCTGGCGGATTGCACGATCACGTGATGTAGGAACAATCAGCGCCACTAGGGGCGGTATTTTAGCAACTCTCGCTGAGTTGCTGAGTTGCTCAATACTATTGTGCATTTACTCGATACTACCAGTGAATTTCCCTCTTCGCTGCCTTTTGTGGCACGGTCAGACTGTCTGCAAATAACTTGGAACTCTGCAGAAACACGTCACTTGGCTCATAGCCCGAGTCACCTGAAAGCCAAACCGAGATGTGGAGGGTGTACCTGCATCTCCCCGTCCATGGTCGCCACGGACCTTCGGCACCGTGGCGGACTGCGTCATCGAGCAAGTACACCTAGATCATTTACATATCCCCGTATGGCCTACCTGTCCGATTGGTTGATTGAAGCCACTCCTTATTCTAGTTAGCTACTTTGCCACAATATAACCCGCAAGAATCGTGCAAACTTCTTCTACGTCCCCGCTGTACTTAATTCTCGGGGTACCTTACCGCATAGTGGTCGTCATACCTTTGCACTCAACCATACAGGTCATCCTCCGCGCACGACACAATGGTGAGTAGCCTACCCCTTCGCTTCCGTTGAGGTCTGTATTTGTTCCCTGTCTAACGAAATATGCAGGCCGAGGATCGCCGCCCGTTCGACGGGTATCAAGGTTTTATTGAGCCCCGACAATTGACTTTGGACTCTCGAGATGTGGGTGATGCTGCAGCACATTCCCGAGAACCGTTCCTGCGGCACGACCCAGAGCACGAAGCGTCACTCGACCAGGATCCTCTCGCTCGACCGTATGCAGGATTAGATAGGACAGGGTATTCGTCTCCAGGCAGGTTACCAGATTCTCTGGACTTCAACGCTCGTGGCGCTGGCAAGAGCCCCTTTCTGTGGTCTGGTGATTATGGCCCAAGCGCGTTAGACGGGTACCCGGAGTTTCCTCCACTGCAACTTGACGACTGGCACAGTCGACCAGACGAGAGGTCAGGATTAGGTATGTCAAATGTAAAGAATTTAGACTGCTCGCTGATGATGGTTTAGCATATGATGCCCCACCTCTTCCTTCACTTGGCTTTCCTGGTCCGTTCCCTGGAGTAGGCGAGATGCTCGGCCACCATCCGTCTATGCATCCTGGTCCTACACTTCCTCCCTTGCACTCATTTGCACCCCTGTCTCCTTTTCCGTACGATATGGACGCCATTCACCCCCAATTCCGTCCTTTGCACCATGGCCCACCAGAATTGGACGGAGGAGAGACTCTTCCTCTTTTGCCAGTTGTGGGTAATCATATGCATGAATACGAGGAGCATCAACCCCTCCACGATCCACAGTTGATCGCAGGAACAAGTACAAAGAAGACGCGGGTGGATAAGCGTAACACAAAGCCACTAACAGTAGAAGACCTACTTCACGACAATAGTAGATTCGCGAAAGTAGTGAAGGCCTTCCTGTCCATTGAAGACGCAGAGAACAGAACCGTGCCCGAGATCGCAAAGCGGGTCAGCGAAATGTACACCGGACAGTATGCAGATTTCGAGGGTGTTAAGGTATAGTTGGCTTTATTATTTTCCGAGCATACTCTGATAGACCTGCGTGTAGCGTATGGTCAATGACGTTCTGCAGAAGCATAAGGCTTTCTGGCATCCGGGACGAGGTTCACCGTATCAGTTGAATCTAAACGAAGGTCGAGCAAGGCGGGAGTTCCCTTCGAATAGTAGACGCCTGGTTAGGAATCGGTATGATGAGAATGTATTTTATCCTCGGAGCAAGAAACAGAGGAAAGCGAGGCATCCTGTAAAGACACTTCAGGAATCTGTAATAGAGGATAATCATGATGAACATGTCTTCCAAAACAATCTGCAGGATGGTGAAGGTGAAGGTGAGGTAAATCAACCGCTCGGGCCAAGCGAAGAAGTTGAGCTACACAGAACACAAGATGAACCTGTTGCTTGTAGGTCTGCGACTCCTTTAAACGACTGACTTCGTTGACATGGGTATCACAAGGATGAACATACTGATCAGAACTATGAAGATAAACTTGCTATCAAAACTTCAAGCCCAGCAACTTCTCGGACATTCGATGCTAGGGTTCCTGGTGCAGGTTGATTGCACCATATCATTTTTGTTCTATCATTATAATACCCGCGCTCCCATTTTGCATTCATATGTTGTGGATTATCTCTCATCAACTTGATAATTTGGATTTCTTCAATCATTGCATTTGTTCCTGTATATAACTCATGCCTTTAACTGTCTGCCTACATTTGCGACGTTATCTACTTTACCTGAGACAATATTCTACTAATCGGAAAGCATGATTAAAGCTTGATTATACACTGTAAGCTTTACTATGTCTTTTGATTGAATTATGATTGCTGGAAAACTGAGTGATAAATAGGATTTGAAAATAACAAGTAAAACATCATGTACTAAAAGCAATGGTGGGAATAGTAGAACTTTTCTAGTAACACAGAATACAAGAATATACTGCTCAACATTATTAGCCTTAGTGGTAAATGAATTGGCTATATGTAGCATCTTAATAAAAATATTCTTAAGCAAATTTTGAAGAGTCTAATAAAGTTTTCATAGTCTAAAAGTAAAATAAAGGTGATACATCTTGCAGCACTCCTACAGAGGACCTACTTTGCTAATCTACCTCTTCACTTCTGCCAATACTTGTATCTACCTGGATAAAAGCGCACATACTTTTGTCTAATTTCCAAATTAACCAGCTAAGTGGTGACGGTTTGACGTGGTTACGTAATCATTCGTTGCATCACATCGCGTCGTAGAGGATACAATCGGTTCTTCTCCAGGTCCGCTTTGTCGTCTTTTCCTCGTCCTATGTGCCACTCATAGCTGTTCTCGATAACTCTCCGATGGCAGACGCCCAGCTTGCAGGTAGACAGGATGATTCGCAGCTTCACACGGCTGACAGGAGCTTGCCACCCAATCCTGCCTATTATCGACACCGAGATTTTGACATTGGACGGGCAAGGAGCCCTCAGGCTCAAATAACTTCAGAGTATCCCGCCATTTCATCTGCTGGTAACGGCTACAATGGTAACGATGGTGAGCTCACCTCTGTTGTGACTTGTGCTTAGGCGCAGAGCACTTAGTGGATATTGCTGCAGCTCCAGTCTCGCCTGCCTCGAATCACGTCCCCTCGTCCGCGCCAACTGATCAGAGGCGTTTCTCGCCTCAAGCCTCTCAATACTCTTCAGCGCCTGACAATTATCCTGAGCTGACAGACCAGTTCAACCAAATGTCAATAGGCGAACGGCATTTTTCAGATCCGGTGCAAGGATACCAGGGCGATGAAGCCTATAACTATGCTGAGAATTTGGACTCGACCCATCCCCAATACGCCAGGTCGACTGATGAAGCTTATGCGTATGGTGCCGATGGTTACACAGATGCTTCGGCAAGCCAGCATTATAATCAGAATGGTTACCACCAATGGGTACCAAATGGCTACGAACGTTCTGCATCACTCCAAGCCCAACCTCCTCGGGCACAATATGACCCTTTCATTGCAGCCGCTTCTAACGTCCTGGGCGGTGGACCCCCGGCCGAGGAGCCATTGCCGTACTTCGACGACAACCGAGCGCCTCCGCCAGACCAGGTAATGCCGCATGGAGCTTCCGTCCAGGAAGACGTCGGACCGCCGTCCGATGGTCAACAGATATCCCGGTCATCTTCGAGAAACTTGTTTGCAGACGACGACCAAGCCTTCAATCAATTATCTGCCTTTACGGAAGGATCAATCCTTTCTTCCAATAGCTCCGAGGAGAGGCTGCGTCCCGCCTTGCATCGTTCTGGCACTACAAGTTCCGTTAGTCTCGGTACGCGGAAAATGAAAGCGGTGGACTTGCGTGCTCCTCCGTATACGAAGGAGTTCATCGAAGAATATCGCCAGCGGATCAAGAATGATCCGGACCCAGAAGCGCACTTCCAATATGCGAAATATCTTATCGATGCTGCAAGGAACATTGGTGCGAATGCGTCGGATCAGAGAGCGGTCCGTAAATATCGCGAACTCTTGGTACAAGATGCCTTGAAAGTCGTAAGGAGACTGGCAACTCAAGGAGAGCCATACGCAGAAGCGCAATTTTTCTTAGCTAATTGTCATGGGACTGGAATGCTTGGTCTACAGGTAGACCATGAACGAGCGTATCACTTGTATTTGCAAGCTGCTAAGCAGAATCACTCGTCAGCAGCATATCGAGTAGCGGTGTGCAATGAGATAGGCGCAGGAACGAGGCGGGAGCCTCCTCGAGCGTTTGCGTTTTACAGGAAGTCAGCGTCACTTGGCGATACGGCAGCAATGTACAAGCTCGGAATGGTATTATTGAATGGAGGACTGGGTCAGCCTGCCAATCCCAGGGAGGCCGTTGCTTGGCTTCGTAGAGCCGCGGAACAGGCAGATGAGGATAACCCTCACGCTCTTCATGAACTTGGTTTATTGCACGAGAACCCGGAATCCAAGATTGTCCCTTACGATCCCTTATATGCAAAGAGTCTTTTTACGAAGGCGGCACAGTTAGGTTATTCTCAGTCCCAATTCAAGCTTGGGCAGTGTTACGAGTACGGAACGTTGACATGTGCTGTTGATCCACGACGATCTATCGGCTGGTATACCAAAGCGGCGGAGAAGGGGAATGCAGAAGCTGAGCTTGCATTAAGTGGTTGGTATCTGACCGGAAGCGAGGGTGTTCTCAAGCAGAGCGACTCTGAGGCATATCTCTGGGCTAGAAGAGCTGCAAACAAGGGACTTAGCACTGCTGAATATGCTGTAGGATATTTCTCTGAGATCGGTATAGGAGTGAAGCAGGATATTGAGCTTGCCAAACGGTGGTATATGCGATCTGCAGGTAAGTGTCTTTTCTTTGCTTTGGAATATCTTATCACCGTGCTGACACTACTTTTATAGCCCAAGGCAATAAGCGTGCAATGAATCGTTTGACAGAGCTGAAGCGGATGGGCAACAAACGTGGATTGGCCATCAGGCCAACTCGTCAACAGGCCAAGGATGAGTGTATAATAGCTTGAGAATGGAGATCTTCATTATCCTGTGGTGTGCTATTTCTTGACAGACGCCTTTCTGGACAACAGATGCATTACTTGTACCTTTCCTCGCTTTGTTGATAGCATGTACATAGTCTGATTATTACTTCAAGTTCAACGTTTGGAAACATTAATGTGATAGTGTACAGAGCATTTGAGTCACGTGCGTCCAATCCAGAAAGATGATGTCGGCACAGGATTAATATTGGCAGTTAGCACAACTTAACAAGTTCGCTGAGCGCTCGCAATCATGTCGTGTCGGTCACGACTGTCCATAGATTCAGGCTCTCACCCTTCCTTGATCGTGCAAGCAGAAGCAGAGGGAAGTCCCACTTCGTGTCGCTTTCATGTCGGCTTTGACTTGCCTGCGGAGGGGTTTATCGACTTGTACGAACTGTCGACGCGCATTCCGGATTACAACATAACATATCGACATGACCTAGGGTCAGAAGAGCCAACTATCGTAGGAAGTGCGGTGCAAAGGACTACTGTTGATGCTCAAAATTCAAGCTCTTTTCTGGACCTCGAGATTCCCTTTCACATGCGCTATCCGGCTCCACTCAAGCTTGAACGTAGTTCGTCGAGAGAACAAACGCCTACTGCTAGTATTCAACGCACTGTAATAGAATGGCCTACTGTGTCGTGGAGCTGTAGTAGTCTCGGTACGTCCTCCCCGCTCAACGTCAAATAAACGAGCTGTAACTGAAGTTAGAACGTCAATGACCTTACTTAGCCGGCAGTCATCATGGCGAACCTACGACAACTGGTTCTGCTGTCTGCACTGGAGCGCAGCCTTTGGCTATCCACGTACCTTTACCCGACGTCCAAATGTCTAAATTTGTCGAGGCGACAACAATTTGCACGGAGCTTTCACTGCTTTTAATTGTCATGTATTACATTAGGACATTGTCTTTTCTACATCCTCAAGCCACTGTAAAGCGATGATATTGGCAAGCTTCCGGACTATTTCTGTCATGACTCTAAATGCGACTTGCACAGACACTGCTTAGAAAAAAGTCATTCATGTTCGAGATATTGCAAACCTATACATATTCCTGCTGCATAGGGTATTATACAAACTACTGGAGAATGAGTCTAAGTAATAGTCCTGAGAAGAGGAAAAAGGACGAGAAAATGCTATGTAACAATACATCGTCGATGCCGGACTATTTTCCCCCACTTCCCCCTCATACTCTCTCGTAACGCGAGGTTGAACACGTCTTGCACGCCAGTACCTGTCTTGGCCGAGCATTCTACGTACTTCGCTCCGATTTCCCTAGCGACATCGGAACCAGTTTCTGAGGATACTGGTACCTGGCCTTGGGCGGCAAGCATCCTGCGAGTTTGGTCATCCCGTCGAAGGTCAATCTTTGTTGCGACGAGAACTAAGGGTGTACCCTCGCAGAAATGAGCGACTTCCGGGAACCACTAAAAAGGCGATGACAAGTGAAGACCAGAAGGTGGTTAGATTTGTCAAGGACTACCAGCTGTCAATATGAGAACTGGACTTGCCTTATCCTGAACATTCGCAAGGCTCGTTGGAAAGTCGACGGAGAACACAATCAAAATTACATCGCTTTCCGGATAGCTAAGGGGCCGTAGTCTATCGTATTCTTCCTGTCCCGCAGTATCCCAAAGAGCGAGTTCGATGCATTTCCCTTCAAAGGTAACTTGTGTAACGTAGTTCTCAAACACGGTTGGTACATATGCCTGACAAAGGAATTGTCATTCAACGAACAGCATATTTACAAAGGAACTTACCTCCGGAAACCGATTCTCGGCATAGACGATGAGAAGACAGGTTTTCCCACAACCGCCTGGTCACACGAGCGTAAGAACTTGGATAGCACAAAGTCAAAGGGAGGTTGGACACACCGTCACCGACTACAACAAGCTTCTTCTTGACATCCGGCCGTCTGGTAGGAGTGTTATCCATGAAGCCAGCGGGCCTTTTGTTTCGTTGCGCTCCGCTGACGTACGGAGGAGCGAGGACACAACGAGCTAGCTTTAAGCAACTTGAAAGACGTTGAAACTCATGGCTCAAACACCTCTCACAAAGAGCATCACGTGATGCATATCACATCATTTGGAGCTCGACATAAGTATCATACATGCACAAGCTGCGTGGACTCTAACTGTACGGTTTCCGCTAGATTACATTCCCAATGCGATTATCTAACATCTAATGAAGAAAAAGTGGGTCAAGCAATGGCTTCATCCGCGAGGAGGACTATGCATATTGCAAATACGATGCCGGAGACTGCAGTAAGCATTACAGGGTGGAGTCTTGTATTTAAACCACTCGGGTTAGACATATTTTCTACGCGGTGTCTAAAGTAACTTACTTGTTTGCGTTCATAAACGCCCGTTTCGTCCTCATGTCACGGTCTGAAGACCAATATTCCCAAGTGCCTGCGGCGAGAGCGACGAGCGAGCAGGCCATAAGGACGCATGCCAGGGTAAGTGAAGCCGCGTGGGAGTGAGGAGTGGAAGGGTCTTCGTCGTTATCGGTGTCGTTAGAGGGACTGGTAAGACGGGTACGAAGGAGGACGGAAGCAGAAAGGAGGAAGAGAAGGAGGCATAGTTTGACATGAGACAGAATGTTCCTCTCTAGCATGCACCAGTCTCGTGCTGTGCTGCCAGTGTTCTCTATGTGCCTCTGCGATGGCATGGTTCGCAAGCGATGGACGACTGTGAACCAGTCAACGGGCAACTTCTGCTCACTGAATTGAAGTGCTAAAAGCAGCGGTTACCATTCCTGGTTACACCTACACCATGTGATACGACGTCACCATCCCCATCCCCAGTCAGACAACACGTTCTCTCCTGCATCCTCCAGCCATCCCTGCAGGTCTCTCCTGCAATTAGGAGGCTTGAATAGCATGTCTCTGAGTCGCTACTTGCCCGTGCTCGTCTCGGTTACCTCGACTCTTTTTAGAATTGTGTCCTTCGTATTTTTGAGGGTCGTAAGTCGCTTATCTGTCCTTCGCACCCCGTGATGCCTAACACCTTGCCTCTGTAGATTCCCAGTACACTTCTCAAGAGTGTACTGCCGCTCCTATACGCTGCATACGCAACTTTATTACTCGCAGTTCCGCAAGATGTCGCAAGTCGTCATTTCAGAAGCAAGTCGGAGGTAAAAGAGGAAACGAAGAAGAATGAGGCCCCAACAGTAAGAATATTATGATTTAACTGAACGAATATGGGATTTGTATTGATCACGTCTATAAATCAAAGATACTTGAACTCGTTCGGTCATTCATTTTGACCCTTCCCTCGCCATCCTCCAGCATACGCAACTTATCATTCCTGACGAATACTGCCCTTTTACTTTTCGCCACTGATCTCATGACGCACCCTATTAGATACCCAGCACACGATGTCAAGTTCGCTCGTGTAGGCGCTGTATATCATAACAGTGTGAAGCTATCTGTCCGCTATCCCCAAGATCCAGTTGTAAAGTTGGGGATGAAAGTACGGTTCCGCCCGTTAGCATTCGGCGCAGACATAGAAGGCAATTGGCTAAACGGACCAGACATGGAAGTTCTTGAAGAGAACGACTGGGTTGCATTTACGACTATCAGTAACTTATTTCCAAGTACGGTCTACGAATGTACGCCGTGATTTATGTATCCAAACGAGCTGCACGATTGAAAAATAATTTGTTTCAGATCAGCTAGCAATATCAAACTCGACTTCAAATACATTGTATCCGGATACACCACAACGATTTAAAACCTTCCCTGACCTCTACTTGGCGAAAGGATCCCACTTCAGTTTCGTTGCAACGTCTTGTATGCTTCCCAACTTCCCGTATGTCCCTGGAAGAGGCGACCAGATCAAGGGATTCGATTTGCTGGCTGACTATATCTCCTCCGAGGGATCGACGAACCAGAACTTAGGAGGAAAGTTCGAATTTTGCGTAACATGAAGTCATGTCTAACCTTTGTCACATTGTAGTGCACTCGGCAAATGATTCACAACAGGAATTCGATGCATCCGATGCTCATATGCCTGCCTTCGACGATACTCCATCAACAGAATTCATGATTTTCCTCGGTGACTTCATTTACGCCGACGTCCCGATATATTACGGCGATTCTCTGGAAACATACCGTCGATTATATCGTCGCACCTATGCTAGTCCGAGCTTTAGACGGGTCTACGAAAAACTACGTGCGTGCTTTATTTTGGCTAATTCAACCCCGCTAAAAACAGGCTTTACCAGCAATGCTTCATATTTATGACGATCACGAGGTAAGTAGTCCTCTTGAGGGAAGCTACGTTTCCAAGTACCTGACGCATGCCGCATTAGATCATAAATAACTACGATGGCGCAAATGACACTTCGCACGTCTTCTTAAATGCCTCCACTGCTTTCGAACTGTATCATGCGCAAGCAAACTACAATCCAAGACGCAAGGGACAGTACTACTATAGCTTCAGGTGAATGCATTTTGTCCCAGTATACCGTGCTAATTCTAAAGCAGATATTTATACACAGATATGCGGATGTGGCGTACTTTGTCATGGATGCTCGCCGTTATCGGTCCAGAGCGTCTGGTGAAGGCGAGGAGCGTTCGACGATGTTAGGAAAAGAGCAGCTCGAGGATCTGTACCACTGGCTGGCTGAGGTAAGCTGCGAATACTGTATATTATTATCTTATGCGAGCGAGACGGTTCTTGCGTGTTGCAGGTTAACCAAACCAGTACATTCAAGTTTATCGTTTCCTCAGTTCCTTTCACAACACTGTGGCAGCACGATGCACAGACAGACGCGTGGCCCGGATTTAAGCAAGAACGAGAGGAAATACTCGAGAAGCTCCATACAGTAGCGAACGTCTTCATATTATCAGGGGACCGACATGAATTCGCCGCGATAGAGTACAACGGGCCGTTCGAATGGTCGCATAACATCTACGAATTTTCGACTAGCCCGTTGAGCATGTTCTACATTCCCTTTGTCCGAACTTTAGAGATGGAGAGTTTGCATGGTGTCGAGAGACGACAGCTGCAGCGGATCGTGGACGAGGACGGAACAGAGAGGTTTATTGAAGACATCGATGTAATCCCAGCAGAGCGTGTTTTGAAATATTTGCCTATTGGTAATTACAAGTGGTATGCTGATTCTATTTGCTAGTGCCTCGCCTATCCTGATGAAGTTTCCTTTTGTGCATAGGGCGTCCTTTGACATTGACACTCGCAATGCATCTAGACCAGTCATTTCCGTTAAAATCATGATAGACGGCAAACTAGCCTACAGGTACGGTGTATAATTCCATTCCCTATTTTAAATCCAGTAAATTTAGCTCACTGCACAAATTGCAGCTGGGAAAAGATAGGCGATCCAGCACCAAAGCACTCTACTGCTCTGGGCGCTATCTTGCCACAGTCCTTCCATGGGATGCTAGACAAGTTCGGACTGGGCTCTCGTAGCTGGTTCTAAGAACCGTCCAATTATGTATATTACTGTAGATGCTTAAATTACTTGATCCCTTCCTGAATCTCCACTAAATCGTTGTTGGATCTCGTTGTAATGCTCCATCTCGGCTTGACTGACGCTCGGTACAAGCTCTTGGAGAGCTTCCTTGAAGTCGATCTCGGAGACGACTACATCGGTTTCTCGTGGTGAGGCGAGCTCGCTCAGGTAGTATTGAGGAGTTAGTGGGTATTGGTGATTTGGCAAGCGAGGTCCTTCGTTCAGTCGTTCTGGACATACAGAAATTAGTAAAGAAAAGGTTTGGAATGTCGGGTAGAAACAACCCACTTATTGTCTCTTCTACTGAGTGCGCCTTGCGTGCCATCGCTTTCAACATCGCATCAGAGCACAGAGCATAAAAGTCAGCCCCTGTGTAATTAAAAGGACACAGTTCAGCGATGGACATGAGATTTAATTGGGGATCCAAGCGGAATTTGCGCGTTAATGCTTCGAGTATGTTCAATTGCGCTTCATGGGTATTGCTAACACCAAGGTATAATAGCCTGTCGAATCTATACAAGGGTCAAAACTAGAAAGGAGCAGATATCGTTTGATACTTTGACGGACCTTCCCGGGCGTAGAAGTGCGGGATCCAACAAATCTGGTCGATTAGTTGCGCCAATCACGAAAACATCGGTCCCTGCCTTCGAAGAGGACATCCCATCAAGCTCGGCGAGGAGCTGGCTAACAATTCGGTCCATAACGCCGCCTGAGTCACCATGATTACCACGCTTAGGAGCTACGGAGTCCAATTCATCGAAAAAGATGACACAGGGTCTGGCTTCACGGGCTCTTTGAAAGACCCGTCGAACATTCGCTTCGGATTCACCGATGTACATGTTTAGTAGTTCAGGACCCTTCACTGAAAAGAAATTCAGAGAGCATGATGTTGCAACCGCCTTAGCTAAGAGTGTCTTCCCGGTCCCAGGAGGACCGTATAGCAGAATGCCTTAAGTTTCCAGGTTAGACGATGGCGTCAGACGTCACTTTACAGACTCACCTGAGCGCTTTTTCAGACCATCTGCGAAAAGCGATGGGTTGTCCAAAGGTAGCTGGATAGTATCAAGAATGTCTTGTTTGACCGAAGCAAGGCCTCCGACGTCGCTCCATGAGACCTTGGGAATCGATGGAGCTCCGATGTTCTGTGAAAATGAGATTCGAGACTTCTCGACGGCACCAGTACAATCGTCTTCGTTTAATATAAGTTTTCCGCTGCGAACGGATATCATGTTTTCACGACTTTCCAGTCATCAAGAGATTAAGGAGGTTATTTCTGAGTGACAATAACGAACTTACGTGTCAACCATGGACCTTTCGGCCGCATTAAGATGCATCAATGAAATTAGATGGTTTAGATCATCGTCCGTAAAAGCTGCAGTCTGGACGGCTAAGTCGCCTAGCGATACATCATCTGCAAGCATCTCTTTGCTAATCGAAGACTTCAGGAGAGCATAACGCCCTGGTTCATCGGGAGCCTATTAGGAATTACGATCTCGTTAGAATGAATAATATCGGATCGAACAAGCGCTCACCTCAAAGGTGACCTCGTGCTTGAAACAAGATAGCATTGATGCAGAAAGACGTTCAGGCTGGCTAGTTGTTGCGATCACCGCTACCGGGAATCCGGTCTCTCGCCAGTTCGATGCGAGCTTATCTATGCATTCTTGGAAGGCTTGCACTACTGTAGGTTCTGAGGAAGAAAACCCATCATTAAGTATACACACGGAAATGCAACTGGACGCGGACTAGGGGACTACCTTTGCTCATATCCGACTGAGTTGTCTGCATGAGACCGTCAACATCTCGTAGTAGAAAAATGCATGGTGAACACGACATTGCAACTTCGAACTCGTCTTTGAGCCTCGCCTCTGTCCTTGTATCCGATTCACCTACAATGTCGAATGCACTGACCTACGAAAGTAACTTAATACAAACCAAGTGCAAAGATCGTTCAACACACCTCTAATAGATGAAATCCCAAACAACGTGCAACAGTGTCGACGAGCGTCATCACAACTGATTCACCAGGTCCTCTGAGGAGAATGGCCAAATCCAGTCCAAATGCTGCTGCGTCCTTCTCCAAGGCGGCGGAAATTAGTTCACTGATCTTACTGAAGCAGCCATTAAATGAGCCGACATCGAAATCTGCATCTACCAAGAATCCATTAATTGACGATGTTCTTCGGCTTCACTATCCATACTTACTGGTTGAGGGATTATGCCTGGTGTGTGGCGTGGGCAGATGCTCGAGACCCACCTGGACAACCCTAGTCACGGACGAATCGATCCAACAACCCAGTTCTCCCGAAGCTGTCCTTGAAAACTCATCCACTCCAGAGTCAACGCTGGATTTTGGAACGTCGTACTCCAGGCTAGAGACGACAAAGTATACAATATTACTTGAAGAATGGTTATCGGCGTCTATACTGGAGATACGTCTCAGCTTATTACCGTTAAACAACGCAGTAAGTTAAACGAACCTAGTTTTGAATACCTCATCGTATTCTTCTTCGGTAGATGCATCGTCTATGCTTTCGTCGAGCTCGATTGTATCATCCATACCAACTGTAACAGCAATAATATCACCCTCTTTGGCAAGGCATTTAGACGCCCCTAGTTTCGCTTTGAGGGCTTTGAGAGCGATAGAATGACCGGTCTTGTCTAGAGACAATGGTGAAGCAATACGGGCGAGGGTCACAGTGCGAGCGATTGGAATTGAGGGAGGCCCCGTTCCAAAAGGACTCGCTCGGATAGGAAGCGCGTTGCCCTTGTTTAATCTTATGCCACAGTTATACAATAACTGCGGTGGTGCATATACTCGTAGTCCACTGGATCTGCCAGACGTGGAATTTCTAGGACGATCAATGGATCTGACTTGCACTAGTCGCGAAGTATCATCTGAAGAACCAGCTATGCACTAGCAGACGATCAGCAATTGGTTTTCGAGATCGCCTTGGCAAGGACTTACCCAGTCTCCGCTAAAAACACCTAGTTTACCCATATCCTCCGTAGACATCAATATGACATAGCTGTCAGATGCATCCGGTGATGACGAAAGGAGAGGTTCGGCTGAGAAAGAAAGTACACTTTCATCGTTGCCTTCAGCATGTGCAGCCTGTGCCGAGAGCTCGGTTGGCACACGACCAACACTGGCAAGAGTAGAGCCGGCAAAGAAATTTTCATCAATGGTAAAGTTGTCGTCAGCGACGGAAGATCCAGATGGCGAATCGCTCCTGCCATTCACTTGAAGGTCCCCGCCATTAGGTATGGAGTCCGCAAATGTAATAAGAAAGCGTGTCTTTCCTTGGACGGCGCAGCCTTGCTCAACAGGCTCAGTCATAGCAGTCTCTAGTTGACGATGAGTCTGGTCCAAAGGATCACCAGGGTCTTCAGAAAGCTCTCCTGGGCTGCTTGTGTAAAATACGTCACCAGTCTTTATGATTCGATTATTGTTACAGAGGTACTGTTCAATTCTCGACTGTTCCACGGAGAGCTTCTGAGTACCCGACACGATCACCGTTACGCTAGTAAGCTGGGTTGGAATCGTTGCTGATATAGTGCAAGACAAAGAGTCATCATCGACGCAAATTTGACGACTCAAATGTTGAGATATTAATATTGAATCTAAGGGTGGAATTCGCGAGGACTACATTTGTCAGGTTAAATATGCAGTTCGGATTGCATCACGCACATTTTGAGGGGGCAATGCCCACACAATACGGGGAGCATCAGTATACGACGCACTAGGAGATTGTTTTAATTTGCGGAAAACTAGCGATACTGCAATTCGGTTGTCCTCGTTGCTGGTTATTTGACTGCCGGTAATGAACAACAGTGATTGCCATATGTTATCCGAGACTACAATGGTATCCCGAGGCAGAGAATCCGAAAAAGAAAAGGTGGCATAAATAAGAGGTCCATAAGTCCTAGTAGGAACCATGTTTGGATGGGGGTTAGAACGGAGAGGAAGTGTAGCTGTACAGTGTCAAGTACCGGTTATTGAAGCAGCCGAAGGATCGACGGTTATGTGACTTTCCTAGATCGACGTGACAGCGTTGGTCATGGCCATTCTTGAATTACTTATTCTTTAATCTTTTTCAAACTCCAATGTCTGGCTTCTCTTCTTCAGTAAGGCCGAGCCGAGGCGGATTCTCTCGTGGAGGAGGAGCTGGCAGAGGTAGGGGTGGATTTGGTGGCGGTATGTCACTCCCTTATATTCCCTGTGCGACTAGCCATGCTCATGAAAATCTAGCGCGAGGTGGAGGTAGAGGAGGATTTCACCAGTCTGCAGGCCCTCCCGACACCGTTCTCGGTACGTGCAATCGCCAGCAGTTCGCTCGTAACTCGATTCAGTTCTTAATCTCTTTTAATTTGTCTAGAAATGGGCTCTTTCGTTCACGCAGTCGAGGATGAAATGTTATGCGCTTCAACAATGCCCGACAAAGTCCCTTATTTTAATGCACCGATTTACCTTCAGAACAAATCTGAAATCGGCAAGGTGGACGAAATATTAGGCCCAATCAATGAGGTCTATTTCTCGATCAAGATGGGCCAAGGCATGGTCGCGAGTAGCTTCAAGAAAGGCGATAAAGTATACATTGGCGGAGACAAGCTCTTACCAATAGAGCGATTTTTACCAAAACCAAAAATTCCCGGTCCGTTTTTCATTTTCATTTTGATTGACATATACTAAATAGCGACACTTTTCAGGTGCACAAAGTAAGCTTCACGTATGTATATTACTGAAATCTTTTTGTTTCTAATTCTTGAATGTAGAACGTGGACGTGGTGGAAGAGGAGCGCCTGGAGGCCGAGGTCGAGGAGCTGGTGCAGGTCGGGGAGGCTTCAACAGAGGCGGCGGTGGACGAGGTGGAATGTCTCGCGGTGGATTTGGAGGAGGACGTGGGGCCCCAAGAGGAGGAGGGTTCGGGCGGGGAAGAGGTGCTGGACGGGGCGGTTTTCGAGGTTCATATTAGAAATATAAAATTCTGTACTGTGTACATCCATCTTTCACTACGATCTACTTTCCCACGCGCGGGCCATAAATATGTCTGCCTGTTAAAGCTCACTAACTTGTGAATCTCTTGAACCATTCTCAAGAGTTATTGGGTTCTAGCTTGTTGGATCTTATGTCGCTCAAGCCCCTGATAGCGATATGTGGTACTACGGGAGTCGGCAAGAGTCGTCTAGCTGTCGAATTGGCTCTTCAATTGCGCGGAAAAGTCGTCAATGCCGATGCAATGCAAGTCTACCAGGGATTGGATATTCTAACAAACAAACTACCTCCAAGTGAACAGCATGGAATAGAGCATGTCCTTATGAACTTCAAAAAACCTGGAGAACAATATGTTGTTGGAGAATGGGTGCGAGACGCTTCGAAAGAGGTGCTAATTTTTTTCCTCTTGAGGATGTCTTTAATGAATTGACCCTAGCTTTCCTCTTAAGATTGACAAGGCTCATGAAGGAGGCAAAGTACCTATTGTAATTGGTGGCACGGCTTACTGGATCCATCATCTCTTGTTCTCCAATGGTTTACCTGCTCAGGCTGGACCGTCTAAACTCTCGGCTGCTCAGCCTACTCCTGCTCTTCAAAACGCACTGAAAACACTTCCAGAGGAGCTAGCGTCGCTTTACAATGCATTACCACCTGCCGCACCTTTGGCAAAGACCGAGCCGGACACGGCCTTCGCTCTTCATAATTTACTTTCACATCTTGATCCCACGATGGCTAGTCGATGGCATTGGAGAGATACGCGTAAAGTTCTACGAAATCTAGAAATCATCAAAGAAAATGGCCGAGCCGCAAGTGAGGTCGTCACCGATACCTACTCTGCAAGTACAGAAAGACGGTGAGCCTGTTATTTATGACCGAAGTCACACTATCGGAAATTACCGAGTTTACTCTAGGTATCGGTCTTTAATATTCTGGTTGTATGCGGAACCTGATGTTCTGAATGTCCGACTCGAGCAGAGAGTGGATGATATGTTAGCTGTTGGTATAGAAAATGTTCGACTGTAAATCAATCACTCAGCTTACACGGAAAATAGCAAGGACTACTCGACGAAATGCGTTCCGCTTACGGTGTCGTCAGAGGTACCCATATTCATCCTTTTCTATCAAGCAACGCTGACCTTTTTGGTCAGAAACACCCGATTTCACCTTAGGAGTCTTTCAGTCTATCGGTAATTGGCTAGTTATTCGGCCACGCTGTATTTCCTCTCAATAGCATTTAGGATTTAGGGAATTCTACGCCTACCTCAATCAAGAGGAGAAGACTGATCAATTATACGAGACCGCTGTCGCTGAAATGAAGCTAAACACGATAAAATATGCGCGTCGGCAGGTCAAATGGATACGAAATAAACTTTTACCCGCTCTGGAGAACGCCAACGAACAAGACGATCAATCATCGGATACAATTTATCTGCTTGATGCGACAGGTTCATATAGCTACTATTCATGGAGCTCCTGGAGGATCTGAAAATAGTGTTTTGTATAGACCTTTCGGCGTGGGAGGAAAACGTCTTGTCCAATGCGAAAACAATCGCTGGAGGTTCGTTGCTCTAAGTGCTGCTACCTGTAACAGAATAGCATCTAATTGCGTCAACATCAGCATTTTTAGCGGGATCACCTACTCCTGAGCCAGCATCAATATCAGACACAGCCAAACGGATGCTCACTGTAGCTTCTCGCTCCACAAAGTCGGTCATTCCTCATATTGTTGCTCTATTCACCAAATTGACAACGATATTTCGTATAAAGCCCTGTGGACGTCATGCTCACTCGTCGAAAATTAGTTTGTCCTGTCTGCACAACCGAAGCTAATCGCCCTGTGATGCTGGAAGAAGGGCGCGAGTGGGAGGCTCACCAACGTACCTCGATGCACAAGGCAATGCAAAGGAAGCGAGACTCAAGCCGTGTAGAAGAGCACAGCTAGTACTGCTGTTACATTGAGATTACCTAAGGACTAGTCGTCGTAGGTACCGAGACTTCTCACCCATGGAGTTGAGATCGGCCCAAGACAAATTTAAGGATGTGCGATAGTGGATGGTGACGCAAAGAACTGGAACACCCTTCGCACTTTTGGGACTTCCGACACAGACGCAAATTGAGCAAAGGTCACTCAGCACACTAGACTTTTCGATCTTCTATATATGTATATAGAACTATTATGCATTCTAGATAAAAAGGACATCAAAAGAAAAAAAGAAAACATGCAATGACATTAATCACAAGGAGGCGTGCAAGTAAATAAAACCCGAAGTCAAAGTAATAGGGACAGGGAGAAAGAAACTAGGCGAATAAATTTCCGTGGATCATCATCAACGATAAAAAAAAGGTACAAGCGAGACGCTATACTCTCAAGCGTTCGGTGAGTCATTATTATATATTAAGCGTTACTTCCCAGAAGTAGTAGCAATCTACAGAGAAATTCAGAAAATGTCAGTCCGTGGTTATTTATTGAGATCCAGGAGAACCATTGCGCACAGCTAATCCATTGGCCGAGCGGCCTGAGTGATACGGCGCATGATAAGATCGGAAGCTTTTTGACGTGCTCTGAGAAGCATGTGACAGTGAGCTCAGAGGAGTCGAGGGTATCTGTGTTCCTGTTGTCCGAGCACTCCGAGCAGTCAAAGGTGTCGGAGCACTGATTTGTGATTTCTTCGGTGTCTCTAGCTGCTTGTTTCGCCCGGCAACAGTAAGCAAGCTAGTCGAAGAAGTTAGATGTCCACGGGGTGAACTGGGTGGGGGGTTGTTTATAATTTTTGCCCTTCGGCCAGCTGTGACGAATGGATGGCGTAGAGCAGCTTGAGGCTTGATGCGCTTCTCCGGATCCCAACTTAAGCACTTGGACACAAAGTCGACGAAGAGCTCATCGTCACACCGGAGAACTTGCGCCAGTGTCTTTGTGCCTGGCCGTCGTCGTCGACCTTTCGAGTTGACCACTGGCCTCGGGAGGCCCGTGGAGTCTGAAAACCTTCGGTTAGACCTGCCTAGAGAACTGTCGCTACGCTACTCACCAAAGAAAAGTCTCTTTCTGCTGCTACGATTGATCAATTCCTTGTCCGGCACTCCGAGAACTTCCATAATGCAAGACAATTGCTCCTGTTCATTTTCTCCAGGGAATATAGGATAACCAGTGTACAGCTCGGCCAATATGCAGCCCAAACTCCACATATCGATAGCCATGCTATAATTCATCCCAAGAATGACCTCCGGAGAACGATAGAACCGACTTTGGATATATGTGTAAACTGCTCGAGGAAGCTCAGCGTGCCAGTAGTGATAGGCAACTTGAGATTAAACACTGACCTTTCTCGTGTTCGAGACAACTGCTTCCGAAGTCGATGACTTTGATTCCACTCTTAGCCGGATGACGAAGTAGGACGTTCTGGAACGAATTGAGCAACAAGGAAAACCCGTGAAAAGAGAGATTACTCACCTCTGGCTTAAGATCACAATGCACGATACGGTGGTGCCTCATCAAAGACAAGGACAGGAGCATTTGACTTGTAAACCGACGAATAAGCGTTGTCGAGAAACCCGCGAAACCATTGGCCTTGATAAGCTCGTAAAGGTTAATACTCAAGAGCTCCATGGCGATACAGAGATGGTTCCGGAAATAAAAGTGCTCCGTCATCTTGATGACATGGTGTTTCTCTTCAGGATCCTGTATGAGAATTAGAGATTAAAGCCAGGGCAATTTCATCACAAAGGACTCACCCATTTGCGCAAATTCTCGAGAATCTTAATTTCAACCAAAGCCTGATGATGGAACCGCTTCTTGTTTCGGATAATCTTGATAGCAACTGATTCACCGGTGCAATGGTCCCTGCAGTGCAGTACCTGGCCAAATGAACCCTTGCCCAGTGTGTCTATAATTTCATATCGATATGCCAAGTGGTCGTGATTGGTCACGAGATAGTCTCCTCGGTCGTCGTCATAGCCATAGTTATTTGCGGACACGTCACGAGTTGCCAGTTTCTTCTCGTTTCTACTGCTAACGAAATAGACGGACGAATAGTCTAGAATCTCTTTGCGTTCGTAGTCAGACAAATGGTAGGATCGATCACCATTCAATACAGCTAGATACGGTGTAAGCCGATGTGAGACGGAATTAATACTACAAGACTTACCTGCCGGAGAACTGGGTCGGGCAGGAGGAATGGGTTCAGGGAATTTAAGAAGCTCGTCAAGATCATCCTTCTTTGCACCATGCGCAAGCTTGCGTGCTTGCGTTCGTTTGATGTACTGCATCATTTCTTCATCTCCAAGAATCTCATCCTCGTCAACAGAACTCGGAACCGGGGACGGAGTCGAGAAGGATTGACGCCTGGATGTTGGGGAACCATTTGAACGTTGCTGGAAAAGATTTGGCGTTGTTGATGATCCTGACAAACGCGAGCCCGGTAACGACATTTTCGGGCTTAGGAGTTTATTCAAACCCTTTGAAGGCGAAAGCGCAGCCAGTGCACTTTGCTGTTGTTCCGCTGCAGCAGCCGCGATCGAAGTAACAGAGCCCGTCGACGACTTTCGGAGGCCCTTAATCGGGTTTGATTCATGAGCCGATTTCCGGGCAATACTGGCGGACGAAGGAGCCGCCGACAGCCCCGCCGTTAGACGCGTGCTCTTGGCTCCAGCCGGAGGAGACGATCTTGTTGACTGCCGATATGTCAGAGAAGACGACTGTGACTTCGAAGACCCTTCTAAGTTATCGAGCAAGCCGAATTCATTATGAGACTCTGTGCCAGTATCACCAGCATCAGATTGCAAGCTCATCGCGCCAACATTCAAACTTGTCCTCCTAGAAGTTATCGAAGACGAAGCTTTGAGGGCTGGAGATGTTACAGTTGATGATCGGCTAGCTATCCGTGGAATCCGAGTTGGGGTTTCTTTCGGAAGCCCAGAACCAGTAGAGGTTTGCATGGAAAACGATGGCTCCCTTGAGCTGGCATGACTGTGAGTCCCGATAGAAGGTGAACCTGCAATCGTTGGTAACTGTTGTCGTGTGCTCCTAAGAGAAGAGTCTGATTGTTTCTGCATTGAACTTATCGTCTGGGAGGTAAGACGGGACGACACCAATGGACGAGAGCTGGGAGGGGAAGACGATGCGGAATCATGCAACTTGACATGAGCGATGCGGTCGGCAGTCGCCTGAGGTAGTGCGGAGACCTGCATGGGAGGCAAAGTAATCGGCTTAACCTTTTTCTGGTCTGTGGAGGAGAGTGTCTGAAATATCGATTAGTGGGTTGCATCCAACAGGGAAACCCTACCAAAGCAATCAGGTTACGTACCTTTCCACGTTTCCTACCCATAAGAACGGAGATACGGCTTTCGCTTCGATCCTTCTCTTCCTTCTTTCCTTTCGCGTGTTCTCCATCTGAATCCTTGTACTTTCTCAATTTCTCGGGTTCGTGAGAACTCAGCGAGCCCTTCTCGACCTGCAAACTCTTCCTCGAACTCGAACCCTTCAGGATGGAAGGTAAGCCTAAAGACAACATGGACGACTTCCTATGAGAGAATCCGGGCGTTGTAGGAGAAACAAGATGGTCCTTTCCGTCTGACACGTCAGCTTTTCTTACATGATGCGTCGGTGGCGCAGAAGAGAAAGTCGGAGAAGTGGACATGCCAGTCGTCGCCGAACCAGAAGGGATCTGAACAGACTGTGCAGAAGAACGACGGAAGAATGGTATTGAGGACGGCGTTAGACGTTTATTGCTTGCATCCCGGGACGAAACTCTGGATGTTGGGCTCCCTTGACTGACCTGGGGGTCAAACGAGGAGATATGTGTAGCACTGTTGCTGGAAGCCGTCCCAGACCTGCTCGGAACCCGGTGTTCGTCTTTCCGGACAGGTGCCATACCAACATGCTGAGACGGTGACATCGGTGGTGACGGTTCAGGCAATGAACTCAGAGAAGACAACGATGTCAAAGAAGTCTCAGATGCCATTGCACCTTTCTGTATACTGCGCCATGCCTCCACCGAAGATTTCGGAGAAATTACAGGCATCATAGGCGAGTCTTTCGACGAGGAGGTTGGACGGGATTGCTTATCAGATAATCCGGAACGCGTTGGTCGCTTGGGTGATTTCAAAACGTTTGCCTCATGGCGATTTGGCGATGTCGAACGCCGAATACTCAATGGATTGGTGAAGCTCCACTTCTTGGATGGAGTCCTGGGAACGGGTTGCGAGACTGTAGTAGTTTCAGGCACGGGATGTACATTAAATATGGCCTGTCGAGGTGAAGGCTGCGCAACTTGGTTGAAGCGCGGTTCCTCGAGAATCTTGTCATGTACATGGGTATCCTTTCCAACTTCCCTAACACTCTCTGGTACAGGGTCGGAAACTGAGAATACAAGGCTTGTGGAAGATTGTGGAGGTGTTTTGTATGAGGAAAGATCCTTCGGAAGTGGTGGAACGGGTGGTACGTTGACACCATCGATCAAATCGCCAGTAGCCAGAGACGCAGCTCGATCCTTGTGAGAAGACGCGTCGGCAGAATACACGCTAGACACATCACTTCCTGCACTATTTCGCCTTGCCTTGATGAGGGAAAACCTTTGCGAGTTCACACTCGCCGATGTAGCACTTGTGGCAGTTGAATAATTTGCAGATTCCCTTGAAGAAGTTGGCGTTGCAGTGTAAGTCGTCGATGAAGCCGAACTACGCTTCGGAGTGAAACTCAAGCGGGCGCTTGCGACGGGCTTCTTTGAATCACTTTCCTGCGCTGGACCTGATCCACCGAGATCGTCAGCAGATTTCACACCTGGTGACCCTCCGGTAGATGGTTTATGGTGTTCTCCATCCGACCCACGGATGCTACCTTCTTTCTCAAGAATGACATTGGACTCTGGTCGAAGTCTTTCCTTAGCGCGCCCAGAATTCGTTCCAGTGCTGTTCATCCGATGTAACTTGTCAGAGCCCTCAGTACCCTCTGAACGATGACCTCGTGATGTACCAGGTGTCCCAGGGCGTGAATTGTTACTCATGCGACTAGTGACTCCAACACTTCCTCTGGAGCGCGGTCCTTTCCCAGAAATGCCGTCTAGTTTACGCAATGCCTCAGCCGTCGCGTCGTCATCCAAACCAGACCAACCTTCTTGTGTACCTCGCAGTAGAGAATGTGCAACATTTGAAGGCACATGAGAGTCCCTGTCCTTAAGGACCGACAGTTTTTCGGAGCTTATCCGATTCGAAGGTCCTGATACGCGCTTCGTTTGACTGCTCGAGCTTGGAGAAGGCGGAATACTGTTTGAATCGCTGGTCGACAACCTACGCCGTAGAGGATCACCATGGTTTGACGAGATAGAGCCAACGCTCTGCTGACGTGAGTGCTTCCCATTCTTGGACTGTATCAAGTTAGACTTCGTTGTAGACACCATCGACACCCGTACGCTTCCACCCCTTCTCTTTTCACGAGCAGGAACTCCGGAGCTTGACGGACCAACAAGAGACTGATGCTTCCGTGTAAGTTGCGAAGCTGGCTTATCGCCACCCTCACGATGCGAGCTAGTTCCATTACTGGACGATGGTTTGACAAGAAATCCCGATTGATCAAGAGCAAACTCATCAGAACTACGTTTCTTCGCTTTCCGAGTTGGTGAAAGGAACGACGACGGAGGAGACGTCGGCACAGAAGGAGAAGAGTCTCCTTGACGGCTTGCTTGGGAAGTGCTTTTATTCAATACCGGACTCCTGGTGATCTCGACATGCAGTGGTTTGCGAGGATAAAGTATTTCCTCCCCTCCACTTTCGTCCGGAATAAAATGCATTTGTGAGTTTTGCAAACGATCGGCATTCGCATCCTTTATCTGGATGTCAATTACAAGTGTAAACGATAATAAAAAAGAGCAAGCATACCTCGCATTCATCCTGTTCCCCATCCACAGCTTCAATAGTCCACGGACTGCCTCGATCATTTTCGTCATCCGACGCATCTCTAGGCTGGTTTTCGTCTTGTCCCTTTGCATCTTCACTACCAATCCGATGAAAGAGCGGGAGACTTTCATCTGAAGAAGGAAGCGTCGGCCAACGTGGAGTAAGAAGCTCTCCGACTCCCACCAAACCATTTCTGTCGATTGAGGCAGGATCTCTCGCAGGAGTAGCAGGCTCTCGTGGTATTTGCGGTTCTTCTCCAGTATTCCTGCTCACAGGAAGCGGAGGAACCGGTGATCCGTTGCGTGAAGGGATCGAGAAATAATAGGGATCAAGAGAAGATGTGGCTGAGGTTGAACGGGGAAATTCATTCTCAGATTCTACGGGTACTTCTTTCGCTTGTGGAATGCGCAAGGAAGGCAATTGGCGTGTCTACATGAGGGCGGTCAGTTCAACCTCTTACAATCGCAAGCGCAGCAGCGCCGCAAAATTAAGAATCTCGAAATGACGAGGTAATTTTAGTAGTGGGTAGTACGCATTTTACTTACCTGACTAGCAGACGAAGGCGCGTCGACTCGGTCTGGCCGATCGTCGGACTGAAAGGGCCCAACGGTCGTCACATACTCTGGATCGGAGGTCTTGCTCTCATAGTCGCTTGGCGATGGGGGCGATGTAGACATGTATCGACTTGTGTGTGACTACAGGACCGGGTTGTTTGGCGGGAAAGAAAGAGCGGACAGTGACACGGTCGCACGAACGACAGCCACGATTGGAGAACTCAGAAAGCGAAAGGCGAGGAGACACGGGCAGTGGCCAACACGGCGCCTGGCAGACGCAGAGGGCTCGGAGCAGAAAAGAGACGGGCGGACGTCGTGGTTGTGCGCTGTGAACGATGGAAGGGGAGTTAGAGGTAGACGACCGAAACTGGCGACACAAACGGTATGAAGCGCGCCGCGTGCTAGAGCGTCTCTTATTTGTCCATCCCCTCATCAGCCCCGTGATCTGCTCCCGCAGACGCATAAATACACACAACAACAACACCCCCTTATTTCGTTGTTTGTCTACGTGTCGTTTGTGGCTCCAGCACTCAGATGAAAGGCACATAAATTATTAACAAAAGCCATTTATATACACTAGTGGTCCCGGCTTGTTACTGTCTCTACGCAGTACTACTCTCCTAGCTGACGGAACTTCTCCTGAATCTCGCTGTACAGTGAGTCAAGTTTTGACTTGATCGGCTCCTTGCCTTGCGATGGACTCTGCAAATTAAAACAGTCATAAGTCGTCATGTGCGAAGAATGTGGCCAGTCCCATGCGTACCTCGAACTTCATCTGAGAAAGCTTGAACATCAAGTCACTCGTGGTGTCTTTGATTTTCGCAAATGTCACATCGCCCTGTGAAACAGCTTTGATCGCAGAATCGTGGTACGCAACAAAATTGCGAAGCATTCCGCTCGTCTTGTAGAAAGGACAATAACGGTCATACTCGCTCATCCCGTTCTGCTGCAAAAAGTCATCTTTCAACATACGCGCCACCTCTAGGGTGATCTTGTCGTTCTCGCTCAGTGCACTCTTCCCTACTAACTGGACAATTTCGGCAAGATCTTCTTCTTTCTGCAGAATCTCCTTCGTCTTAGACCGAAGCTCGACGAAGCCAGGTTCAGTTGACTCGTAATGTTTCTCAAGGATATTCAGATATTTCGAGTATGATTGATTCCAGTTTACTGAAGGGAAGTGCTTCCGTTGGGCAAGTTTCTTATCTAACCCCCAGAAGACCTGGACGATACCAAGCGTCGAGGATGTAACTGGGTCAGAGAAATCACCACCAGGAGGTGAAACACTGCGCGGATGCATATGAGCGCAAACAACAAATATAAACGTGATATTTTTACTTACGCGCCAACAATTGAAACAGTACCGTTCCTCTGCGGGTTGCCGAGACAAGTCACCTTTCCAGCACGTTCATAGAAACTTGCAAGTTTGGTTCCAAGATATGCTGGGTAACCAGAGTCTGCAGGCATCTCTGCCAAACGACCGGAAATTTCACGAAGCGCTTCAGCCCATCGCGATGTTGAATCCGCCATCATCGACACGTTGCTGCCCTGATCACGGAAATACTCTGCTAACGTAATACCAGTATAAATGGAAGCTTCACGCGCAGCGACGGGCATGTTTGACGTATTCGCCACGAGAGTGGTCCGTTTCATGATGGGTTCTTGGCGGTCACCAACCTCTAGAGTAAGTTCCGGGAACTTCAACCACTTCAGTAACTTTGTTTACATAGAACTGGCAGATGCTTACCTCCATAAGCACTTCAGCCATCTGAAAATAACGCGAGATGTTAAGAAATCATAATCAAAAGAATAGAAAACAATGCAAAAATGCTTACTTCGTTGCCTCGTTCACCGCACCCAACGTAGATGATAATGTCGCTATTGGAGAATTTCGACAAAGCTTGAGAGATAACTGTCTTTCCACAACCGAAGGCACCAGGAATCGCGGTAGTCCCGCCTTGGACACATCTAATAAATAAAAACAGATGAGCGCGATCACATATCTATACATACCACTTACGGGAAAAGTGCATCCAATATTCTCTGGCCGGTCAACAAAGGATAGTCCGCCGTGAGTTTCTGCGCCACAGGTCGCGGAGCACGAACAGGCCATAGTTGCATCATTGTATGCTCCGTTTTCTTGCCTTCAAACTCTGTCTCAAGTACCACGTCCTGTTTAGAGTTAAGAGCTTAATTAGACAACGCCGAGCCTGAATAAACTAAGTCCATACATCGACTGCATAGCTGCCTTTCTCGGCGATACGGGTGATAGAGCCAAGAGCCCGTGGCGAAAGCATAACCTTGTGGGCATTAACCAAAGAGTTCTCATAAACTGTTCCGAAGATGTCTCCGCCCGAGACGTGGTCCCCAACCTGAATGCGAGTGAGCATACGCGAAAGCAAGAGCTAGCAATTATTAACCTTGAGGTTGGTTGGAGTAAAGTCCCATTGAATGGAACGATCAAGTGCATCCGTGTTGATGCCGCGAGGTATATAAATCGAGTTAGATAGTTGTTGAATAGACTAAAGTATAAAAATCGGTATGTCAGAAGGAATTATCATCTGTCGTGAAAGTGATAAATGCATACACGAAGTGGACGTTGAATGCCATCGACAATGTTCCCCATGAGCCCTTGAGTGTGGCGAGACGCGTTAGAGAGAACATGGACACGGTAGAAGAGGGAAAATGTATACCAGGTCCGAGTTCAACACTCAGGGGTTTTCCTGTGCGGAGTACGGGGTCGCCGACAGTGACGCCTGAAGTCTCTTCATAGACTTGGATAGTAGCCTTATCTGCATCGATACGGATCACCTCTATAACAGTATTATGGCATGAGAGACGCGGTAAAGTTTCAAGCTACATATTCGCGACCGACCTCCGACAAGCTCGTCGTGGCCGACACGAACGAGCTCATACATAGCGGAACCAGTCATGTTCTCGGCAATGACGACGGGTCCAGAGACGCCAAAGACCTGGCCAAACCTAGACTCGCGGTCCTCGTCACGGATCTTCGGAAGGTCGCGCTTTGCATTCTGGAGTGCGCCGGCCATGATTTAGATGAGAGAGAGGACAGGAGATAGCAGGGCAGGAGATATATTCTGGCCTCTGGATCGTGGAGCACCGAATAGGCAGTCGAGCATAGCTTAGCGCACGCGTATTATTACGTAACCAGAGATGCGCGTCTCGTCCACGCAAGCTTGCTCTCTCAATGACGCGGCCCAGCCTCTCTGTAACTTCACCGCATACCACCACTACCACAAGCAAATTTTAATCTGAATAATGCCTCCTAAAGCGTGAGTATTCAACCTTATCTGCTGTACTATGCTTACCGACGCCTTTCCTCTAGAGACTGGGAAAAGTGTTCGTGAACATTCATTCGTAGTTCCGTACTCGTAATTCACATTCATTCTTAGACGAGAGAAAGGCTGATGCAAACGAGGATGAGAAGATCAATGGTATGTTTATTGATCTTGTTGTCAGGTATTGCTTCAGATCCGACGTTATCTCTAGCTCTCGATGAAAGCGACATTCAAATATTGAAGACCTACGTTCGTGGCGGTTTCCACATTTCAACGTAGATGTGCTGACACATCTTGCAGGGCCAAGGTCCATATGCCGCACAGCTAAAGAAAGTAGAGATTGACATCAAAGAAATCCAGAAGCGCGTAAACGAGAAGCTGGGTCAGTTGTGAATAATGCCAATACTCTTTCCGAGTGTTGCTTACTGGTCTGCTATAGGTGTCAAGGAATCGGACACGGGTCTCGCATCACCGAACCTCTGGGATCTGGCTGCAGATAAGCAGCGTATGGGAGAAATGCATTCCTTGCAAGTTGCACGCTGTACGAAGATCATTCCAGTCAATGAGGAACTTGCAGCTGCCGCCCGAGCCGTAAATGCTGCTGGAGCTGAACAGGGCCAGAAAGGAGCAGACGAGCAGGATAAATACGTCATTAACATCAAACAGATTGCCAAATTCGTCGTCGGGCTCGGCGAGAGAGTTGCACCTACTGATATTGAGGAGGGTATGCGAGTCGGGTGAGTCTCATCCACTGTCAACATACATTGAAGACCGTCGGATTAATGCTATTGTCAGGGTTGACCGCAATAAATATCAAATACAGATTCCTCTTCCGCCTAAGATAGATGCATCAGTGACAATGATGCAAGTAGAAGAGAAGCCCGATGTTACCTATTCCGATGTTGGTGGTTGCAAAGAACAAATTGAAAAGCTCCGTGAAGTTGTAGAAACCCCGCTTTTGAATGTGAGTGTTTATGATTGATGATTAAAATGTTTCTGGGGGTGACAATCGTCTGTACCGTAGCCTGAACGCTTTGTAAACCTCGGAATTGATCCTCCGAAGGGTGTACTATTGTTTGGTCCACCTGGTACTGGGAAGACACTTTGTGCTCGTGCCGTTGCGAATAGGACGGATGCCACTTTCATTCGTGTAATTGGGTCCGAGCTTGTGCAGAAGTATGTGGGTGAGGGTGCTCGCATGGTCCGAGAGCTTTTCGAGATGGCACGGGGCAAGAAAGCGTGCATTATCTTCTTTGACGAAGTTGATGCCATTGGAGGTGCCCGGTTTGATGATGGTGCAGGTGGTGACAATGAGGTTCAACGAACGATGCTTGAGCTCATCAACCAACTGGACGGATTCGATCCCCGAGGAAACATTAAAGTGCTAATGGCCACCAATAGGTATGTTCGCTCATGTTTGCTAGTAGCACATGCCTGGTGTCCTGATTCAAGTATGATGACAGGCCCGATACACTTGATCCGGCTCTGCTACGGCCAGGTCGTTTGGACCGGAGAGTCGAATTTTCCCTTCCAGACAATGAAGGGCGTGCTCATATTCTGCGAATTCACGCACGAAGGTCAGTAAGGCCGTATGTTAGGCTTGGATGCTGCCTGACGTGTGTTCTCACAGCATGAGTGTCGAGCGCGAGATTCGTTTTGACTTAATAGCGCGTTTATGTCCGAATACTACGGGTGCAGAGTTGCGTTCTGTGGCAACTGAGGTAAGCTGTTAAATATGCAAGTGTTTTACAAATTAATACGTTCCTCCGTAGGCTGGAATGTTTGCAATCCGAGCTCGGCGAAAAGTCGCGACTGAGCGAGACTTCTTGGATGCCGTTGAAAAGGTTGTCCGACAAGGCACGAAGTTCTCTAGCACGTAAGTCCTATTGATCATCTTGAAGTGAAATCCGTCGCTCATTTTAAACCCACTCGCAATTAGGCCGCTTTACCAAGTGTATAACTAGATTAGTCTGAGCGTAGAATATATTTTTCTTTATTCTGTTCATTTTATAAATGCCATTTGTTTTTTAACGGACGGATCTTTATATCATGTGTGGTCGCACGTGACGTCAGTGCTGTAATAAATATGAGATGAGGTCAAGCTGCTGTAGCCTACTACTGAGTCATTGTACAAGACGCCACCTCTAAACTCGCGTCCTGGCGGTAAGATTACCGCTGGGAATGGCTTGCCCAGTGAACAAACTTCGACCGCGTCCAGTGCGTCTGGTGCTTTTCAAAGGACAGACAAGGTCATACACTTCGCGACCTGTGCGATTCTTGAGACCGCCCACTCCAGAAGTAGCAGCGCTCTTGGCCAACAGCTTAGCTCAGTCTCCACGCCCGTTAACGCTATCCAAATTACTGTCTTATGGAAGACCGCTTTCGGAGAGCTCGCTTCTCGCTTCTGCTTCGTACGTGCAATCTGAAATCCCGCGCCGGCTGGCACGGCGAATACGCGCTTTGGAGGGCCTCCCGTTTATTGTAGGGACTAACCCATATGTGGCCCGAACACTGGAGAATCATAGGAGAAGCTTTGAGTGGCTTGCGACATACCCTGATGTCAAGTCTCTGGAAGAGAACGCTGAGTTCTCTACACAACTAGAACATCTAGTCCACAGACATGCAAATGATATACCAACAATAGCACGAGGGTATGTTATATTCAGTTTTTCTTTCTATTCCAAAAATAAAGACATCCCTATCCAGGTTCCACGAATGTGCTCGTTATATGTCCCAAGATGCCATCAGCGAATTTCTGGATCATGCTATTCGTAATGTACACGAATACGTGCAGTTATTTCGTTCCGCGGTTTGACCAGACTTTTCTAGCGCATAGCTGTTCGTCTCATCGCAGAGCAACACATTGCCCTGTCATGGGCATTCTCAGAAAATCCAGACGCCGTCTATCATAATGGTGTTGTTAACATGGCATGCTCTCCCTCAGATATGGTTAAAGCATGCAGCTTGATCGTTAGTGAAATGTGCGAAGCAACGTTTGGCGTATCTCCTAGCATTGTCGTCGATGGCCATGACAAGGCGACTTTTGCGTATGTGCCAAGTTTTCAATCCACATAACATATGCACATCGTTCTTACGAGCTCAAGGTCTGATGACTCAGTTATGTACCAGTCCACCTCCAGTATATCTTAACGGAGCTTTTGAAGAATTCTTTCCGAGCAACGGTTGAAAAGCACTGGAACACACATAAGTCATCCTCACCCAAAAAGCTGCCGCCCGTCGTTATCACCGTATCCCCATTTTCCCGTTTATCCGGCCGTGGACGTGTTTCTTACATGTCCCTGAGGATTCGAGATGAAGGCGGTGGCATTCCTCCTTCGAATATGCCGCGTATATTTTCATACGCGTACTCGACGGCCGGTAGAGACTTGCTTGAAGGCGACGAGACGGACGGCGGACCGTATGCTGCTCAACATGTCGGAGGGAGCGCCGCTCTGAGTGGGAGCGGAACAGATGGCCCTAGCTTGTTCGGCGAGATAACAAGTAAAGGAGTACAGACGGCTGTCGGCACTCTTGCGGGTCTTGGATATGGCTTACCTATGAGTAGGCTTTACGCCAGGTTTGTTCTCCTTAATTGCCGCTGAGACGTATCCCCATCAACTCACGATTGCAATATTTAGATACTTTGGAGGATCACTTGATTTATTCTCTTTGGACGGCTGGGGTGAGTATTACCCTACTGCCATGCGAGTAGCTACGACTGTACTAACAACATATGCTTAGGGACTGACGCAATCCTGAAACTGCGCTGTCTCAACGAGGCTGGTGAAGAAGTGGAAGTATAGTAGTATAAAATTCTTATGTAGTTATATTGCCTCCTTTCGGGCATCTCCGAACTCCATTCTTTAATACACCCATCATAATGACGCTATCCTGTCTTACTTATTCACTCGGCAGCCGGACACCGGGACAGTTGTGCGCGGCTGATGCTGCGCTTTCAGCTGCGCATGCATATAAGTGGTGGGACTTGATATTGAAATGAACATCTCGTAGAACTTGTCAACCATTATGGTCCGACTCCTTGCGGCGACAGTCGCCTCCATTGTCGCCGTCTCTGCTCTGAATATCCGTCCTGGTCTCCATGTACAGCATCCTGGTGATTCCTACTTCACGGACTTCTTGCCTCAGCCGGGAAACAACCATGACAACGATTTGAACATTGAACCCCCACATCCGCCACCGCATCCTCACCCCACGGCGGACAGATCCATTTTTACTACACTGAACGAGAATCCTGAGTAAGTAAACCTTTCAACCAACAGCTGGAGTTGATGGACGATTAATGCGTTTTATGCTTTAGATTCTCACGTCTTGTTAAGGTTGTGAATATCAGCGATGAAATCGTGTCTTTGCTTAATGACACATCAACCAAGTGAGCACGAGCGTCGAGAATGCAATTGTTCCTGGTGCCTCATGCTAACGTTCCTTTAGCGTGACCTTTTTTGCCCTACCGAATCATGCTTTCCCGAAGCGCCCACACGGTCCACCTCACAAGCCTGACGCCGAGACTTTTGGGCTTGATCTTTCACTCGTTGACCTCGTTCATTACTTAGACACATTTGAAGAGGGACCGAGTCAGGTCAAGGCAGAACCTTCGGAAAAGCTCAAAAAAATCGTGACTGCTATTCTCTCGTACCACATCATCCCAGATGGCCTTGAGTTAGCATCCTTGACTAAGAACACCACGTATCCGACAAAACTCTCTCATGTATTCGGTGCGCTGAACGACGAGCCTCTCCGTCTACGTGTTGGTGCTGGTTTTCCGTTCGTGCGAGTGAATTTCTACTCAGGAATCATACGGCCTGATATAGCTGCAACGAATGGTGAGATCACATATGCTCGTCATCTGCAGAGAGTGATTCTCATATTGGGTGCTCCTTAAGGTTTCATTCATGTTGTTAATCATCCGTTACTTCCACCACCGTCTATTTTCCAAGCATTGTTTATCGCGCAGCGAGAGTTCTCCTCTTTCGTAAGTTATGGGTCTTTGTTCGTTGATCAGTCTACTAAGCACTTCCTAATATCCCCCAGACTTCCGCCATTCAGCGCACAGGACTCACAAATGCGCTTGATTACACGTTTGTGCCGGACGATGACAATGAACTGAGATCAATCGAAGGATCACCTGTCGTCACCACATTCGCGCCGTCGAATAAGGCGTTCGGCAGTCTGCCAAGGAAACTTCAGTTCTTCCTTTTCTCTCGTTTCGGCCAACGACTTTTGTCGAAGCTGCTCCAATATCATATCATCCCCGAAGTTGCGTTATATACAGGTATTGTATATCGATCCGACCCTTTGCCTACTTATTCTAACAATGCATCTTGCCATTCGAACAGATTGGGTCCATGTGAATCTTGACTCGATAGCAGATGTAACCTCCGAACAGCATTACGAGCACCCTCCTCACTTGCCTCACTTGCCTCATCCGAAACCTGAAGTAGTCGCCAACTATACTTTACCTACAGCTCTTGAAAACCACTCTGTGAACGTTCTCGTCGTCGAAATTCCAATCAAGCTACCGATACCGGGGCACGGACGGAAGGAAATAAGCCGCATCAAGAAAGTCGTCGTAAATGGCCAGGTTGTCAAAGGTTATGACGGACCCGCGCTGAACGGCGCTATTCATGTTGTGGATAGGCTCGTTAGTCCTCGTCATAGGAGGGGAAGACCACATCAGACACTCGAAGCGATGCTTCTTAATGAGGACTATGCTGACGAGTATGATGATGACTGGGAGGATTGGGAGGAGTGGCTGCCGGCGTGGGCAGAGTGTGATGATGATGAGTGGAAGGGTATGGAGGAGGAGTGGAAAGATTGGGAGGAGTGGCGTGTCAGCGTACACCCTTCCTGAACTAAACGTTGATTGTGCGCATCACCACTCAGTTTTATTTTCGTATCAGGTAAGAAGATAGGTAGGTACATTCCCGGGAACAACTCTAAATGTACAGTATATAGTAATATAAACTCCTGGTGTTTGAATGATGAAAATAATATTTAGCCTATGCTAGTGCACGTGGCTGTCATGCTTTACTTCCGTGGCTGTGCCAGAGCTTTTATGTATTGGTGTGACAAGACGCGTTTTGTATTTCTGTGTATAAGAGACCAGCCTTGACTTTCCGCACCCGAACCCTGAGTCTCACGGCTCTTTTTGGGACGACCCTGACTGGCCACTTACATAATACTTGTATGCTACTTCACAGACCAAGAAGTTAGGAGGGGGTTTGGGGGGGCTCTGCCCACCCAATTAGGTTTAGGTTCAGTTTAGGTTGTTAGATTTAGGTGTTGAGTTGAGTGTTAGTTAGGCTTGGGGGAGGGGAATATATATTTTCTTAGGGAAATAACATTATTTTGACTTAGTGAAATTCAAGTCGATTTGTGAGTGGCCAGTTGGAGCTAACCTAAAAAGAGCCGTGGGACTCAGGGTTCGGATGCGGAAACGACGCGACTATAAGAGACTCGTCTCTTCCTCTGGCAGTCCCTCGTCTCGCACCCTAGTCGCAGCACGATTAGCCGCGTTGATTCGACGAGCCCTCTCAATGGCCTTCAACGCTCCAGGCCGCCCATCTCATCTTCTCGCCAGTCACACCCATCTCTGCCCGTCGACATGAGTCTCCGTCAAACCCAGCGGAGTTCAAGCCTAACCCTAAGTTTCTTTACAGGCCCTCTGCGTTTTCGTCTTTGCTCGAGGCATGTGCCGCTAGTTGCTCCCTCTCGTCCTCATTCCGGACTACCGTATTTTGCCTTGCTCCGCCGACGTACTCATGATGATCTTCGGCACGACCACGCATTTCCGGAAGTGCCCACGAAGTGATTCTGCATCGGATTGTATTGGGTTTTTGAGAGAGACATACAGAATTTTGTCCGAGATGCTAGTGCTCTGATCTCCGTCAAATCCCGTCTAGCCACACTGAACTGCAAAATCGGCGGGATTTCGGCGGATGAAAAGAGAAGCGTTTCCGGGAAGACACGAATTCTTCTTTGCTCACCAATAAAACTGGTCGATCGCTTTCGTGGATATCAGAAAGGCGTGTTGGAACACTGTCAAGGGAGTGAACCACATTACGGGCGGACTTGTACGCAAAATGTCTGGATGGGATGTTCTGTGCAACAGTGCTACATTGCCAAGACGCGAGCCACATACCGAAAGCCAGAGCGGCTTATGCTTCAGCATCCTCTCCGCTGAGCCATGCCTTATGCGTCGACTTTCTATGAGGGTTGAATACATTGCGTGAGCTCAAACCCCGGCGAGTTTTATGTCTACTAAAGATCGCCGAGAGTTCTCTTGCCTCACTGAGTGCTCCTCTTGACCATGGGAGCAACTTTGGGGTAGGAGGGAAGCTCTGAAGCGCCGGCGTGCGCATCAAAAGTGACACCGACGGCCAGAGGTGGATGGCGAACCCGAGGTGGGACAAACGGAGAGGATCGACTATCAATTGCATGTGTGAACGCAGGGGGAGGTCTGCGAATGACATTGACAAAGAGGGTGCGATGATTGCACTTAAGATATTTTGTGATGCATAGATACTGTCAAGCTATTCGTATGTGTCTAACTTGTGAAGGTATCTAACTCCCGCCCCCAATCTCTGCCCTTCCGTGCCACAGGAAGGCAGAGGTGCGGAAGACCCTGCGCTTGAGTAACTCTCTCTGCGCCTTTCCCTTATTAGCCAATCTACCTTTACAGATCCGGTCCTTGGTACCTACGGCCGTCTAACGAATGCACGAATGCGAGGTTCGTCGTGTTTAATACGCACGTATCTACGAAGACCCGACTATGCTTTTAGTCATCTCGTTCTGTGATGTGTCATTTCAAGCTCTCGGACAAATGGTCCCGCCTGCGCTTCTTCTGTCCGTCTAATGATGCCTGCGGCAGTGCATAAGATCCTTCTGGTCCTACTTCTCTTTGGATGAGTCGCGAAAGGATCTCGTCTCGTTGATTTTGCCATAACTTGGGGTTGAAGATGCAGACTCCTGCGGGAAGATTGCATAGAGGGACACGCTCACGCTCGCCCCAAGTGTGGTATGATCACTGTTGATTGAGGTCTGGCGATGTGTCCTCTTCCCAACAGAGTAGACCATGGGAGCTTGTGATATTTGCTTATGGTGGAGGACGGATAGTCGAGTACAGTGACGTTGGTCGAGGGCAGACACAGAAATGCTCATCCTTTGCGGGACGATGAAAAGGCTGTCGGCGAGTAGCTAGCGTGCGTGGTAAGCGTGAAAGAACGCGTGTAGAAAGGATGGCTGGATACGGGGCGTATAGGCTAGGCAGAAGGTTGGACTGGCTAAAAGATGGGGAGAGGTGGCGGAAAACGCGGAGCTCGGAGGCGGTCTTTGCAGATAGCTGACGAGTGGAGCGGAAGTACGGCGGAGCACAGGGAGAGCGAGCAGGTGCAGGCCCGCTTCAGTGAAGCTGTCTCCGCACTCGGGGGAGAAACGCGTTCATTGATGCACAACCGTTTTTGGAAACTGGGGCATCACGTGCATGCATGAGCTCTTCGAGGGCTTGTGTCATCAATTTTTGGATTACTCCACCACGCTCCTTGCGACGCGTCTAATCTCTTTATGTACATACTGCAAAGTGTGCAAAGTGAAATGCCAAGCCAATGGAGCATGCATAATATGGATATTTGATGCCTGATTCTCCTCCGGCACGAGTGAACCCCTCGATGATGCAACATGACGTTGTCTACTTTGCCCCTTCATATTATGCAGCCGTGCAATCCTCCATGTATCGTCCATACTAACACATCCTTCCAGTTCCCTCAATCCCTTGGCATTCTTCGCCATGCCATCACGTCGTCGCCATGAAGGTGAGAAGGCATCCTCTAGTGAAGCTGACCAACCCCGTTCTCGGTTCTCCTTTGGTCTTTGGCTTCGCCTACATGGCGCGGACCTTATCACAATGGCCCTGATGGGTGCAGTTGGACTTGGCATATACGAAGCTCGTCAGTCATGCCGTGCGGATCTTTGTTTTTGAAAATGCTAATCTTCTTAGCACAGCTCCCGCGCCAAACAGGAGCTTTCCTGTCTATAATCTTGATGGAGGACTAGCATATCCTGAGTTCGCATATCCGTTGCGAAAGGAAGTCGTCCCTATATGGCTTGCTGCCTTCATAGCCTTCATGGCCCCCTTTGTTTTCTTTGTCCTGTTCCAAATTCGCAGGAGAAGTATTGAGGACTTGCTGACGACAACTATGGGTCTACTCAAATCTCTTATCACGGCTGCTGTATTCCAGGTATCCCTTACATGCTATACAATACACCAACCTCCCTGTTTCATGATTCAATATTTGCTCAGGTTTGGCTGAAGTGGCTCATTGGCGGACTGCGTCCACATTTCTACGCTGTATGCCAGCCAAATGTGCCTTCAGGGGCTTCCCAGCGTGGAAACGGTTTTCAAAATATTATGTACGACCGGTCGGTCTGTACCGGCGACAAGGATGTAATAGACGATTCTCTAGGTCAGTATAATTTTTATTCTCTCTTGAGCCCAATCTAAAGGCGCTTCTCCAGAGTCGTTCCCTTCTGGACATTCCACTGCTGGATTCGCCGGTCTCATATATCTGGCGCTCTACTTCAATGCGCAACTCAAGGTCATGTCAGCACATAACCCAGCGTACTGGAAAATGATAATCTTCTTCGCTCCCATCCTTGGTGCAACCCTGATTGCTGGTGCTTTAACTATTGATGAATTCCACAATTGGTAATACAACTGTAATATTTCATAGTCAAGTCCAACATTGTTCTCATGATAATCATCATTATAGGTATGATGTGCTTGCAGGCGCCGTGATCGGAACAGCAACTGCTTTTGTCGCATTTCGCCAGACGTTCGCATCCGTTTGGGATTTCCGCTTCAATCATATCCCCCTTCCGCGGACATCCTCGCTGTTCCTTTGGCATGGTCTGCAAAGTGCTCATGGATCGCCACCTCTCTCAGGATTCGCAGCTAACGGGCCATTCTTCACGTACCGCTGGCAGCCAGCAGGCGCAGTGTTACCTTCGTGGTCACTTCCAGTGGCTCGCGAAGGAGGCTGGGGTTCACTCGAAGAAGAGCATGTTGGTGCGCCATTTGATGCGACTGCGATGAGTTTGGGCGGTGTTGGGGGAGGTGCAGCTGGGGGATATGGACCTGGAACTGGTGGGGGAGCACTTGGAAGGGCAGAAGCGCAGACTGGCGGTCGTCGCTATCGTCCTTGATTTTTTGGGTTTAACGGACTCTTTGACTGGTTATTTTGCATGCATATCTTTCTTTCGAAAACAATTCATGTCCTTTTCTTGACATCGTGCACATTTCCTTGTCTCTAGCTTTTCAATCACACACGCCATAATGTAATGCATCCCTTTCGAAAACGGCCAAATGCTTGTGCATTTGGAATATACTATAACACTCCATACACTCTATACACAATACGATCTTCATGCAGACTGCCGTTTCAGGACGCGTCGCGACGCGAACGTGACAACCGCTTCCCGCCGGTTCGGCGCCTTTCCTTTCTTTCCCTGCTTCTCCAACATTTCAGACCCTCGGTGTACTAAATTCAACTTGAATCACCATGTCTAACCAAACGTATGCATGTTAGAGCTGTAGCATTTGCTTTGGTTCTCATTCTGTTATTCTCTTGATTGGATCTAGTTTCACGCCGACTGATGCTGTCGATATGAACAATGAACGCGACTGGGCACCGAGAATTGGTATGCACTTATCTCGTTCCTCCTTAAATGTAAATGTGCTATATCACCTGTTTTGCTAGGTATGATGGTGAGGAATTTCTCCCACTAGACCCTACACGATCTGCTTGATGAGCTTGCATCATAGGATTGGGACTCAACGCAAATCGTATTCACGAAACGTACTCTCCTCGAGTTCCTCAAGTACGATATTACTGAGGCCCATCTTACTCTATCTCAATTATCATATTAAAGATACACTGGCACGACCGTCGATACCAACTTTTCAAATATCTCAAAGCTTCCTCGTGCGTTACTCACACCTTTGTGTTGCTTGCCAACCTTTATTAATGTCATTTCAAAAGGATATGCGAAGTTCGGCAAATTCTCTTCGGATGCACCCGCGGATACGGAAGCAATCACCCAGCAGCTCGAAAAAACCGGTGAGACGTTTGTTGAAATAAGTCTATCTACTATATGCTCATATACATTCTATGCAGAATTGACGTCAAAGGAAGAAGATTCAGCATATAGGCCCTCCCGTCGAGTTAGAACAAGCCCAGGAGGGCCGAGTTCAGGGTTATTTGAAGAGGAATTCGCTGATGATGCTTTGTCGAAAGCCCCACCCCAATCAAAGGTCAGTGACCATCTATATGAATTTGTCTGATTGATGCAACCCGGAATCGTAGGCTCCCGCGCCGGAACCCGCCGTCGTTGCAAGTGCAGCTACAGAAATCTCGGATGAGCCCACCAAGCCAACTAGCGGAGTGCGCCCTAGCAGGTAAGCAAGTCCTTTATGTCTTACCCCTTAAAAATGTATACTTATTCGGATGGATAGACGAGTACGCGAGAATCCAGGTGGTAAAGACTCGCTCTCCGGTGGGATATGGGGAGAGCCCGAAAACGTGGAATTCAAACCAATGCGCAGGTAAGATTGAGTGGTATTAGATTGTGATTATTTGCAGCAGGGAAATTAAAATGTCTTTTGGTGCAGGGTTCGTCAAGGTCCTGGAGGACAGGACTCCATTGGTAATGTAAGAGTTCTGATTATCTCTAGCTCACGTTTAAGATGGCACGCTGACATACTCTTAAAGATATTTGGCTGAACGTTGGATGTGGGTAACAATGAGATGACTATAAAGAACTGCCGAAAGGAACATATTGCTTACGAGAAGTTGTTATTTATGGCGGAACTGTGCCCATACTTTCCATTGTCGTGCTGCCTTTTGTGTTGTGAGGGAGTCTGAGACATTACGTCTCGGCTATGGCTTGTGCAAAATACCATGTACCATACCTAGTACAAGTATGCGTGCCGATGATGAGACATGCAAAGCTGAAATCTGATTGAGAAAGAGTAACACACGGACTTTGTAGTGCTCTGCCTAATTAGGTTTGGGGGCTGTGGACAGCTATCACGCTCTCAGCAATATTATTATCCCTCTTTCGATTCCGCACTCTGCGAGACACCCACAACGACGAGCTCGAACTCAAGCTCGCATATACGACCCCCCGAGCCACTCCTTATTACCCATCCTTTTGGGTTTTGCTGTATCTGTAACCGTCTGCTTTCGCTCAAGTTCGTTCTCTCGAGTCACGGCAGGTCCGTTTCTGTAGCTTCTGCCTATGTACCATGGACACTCTCTTTGGACGTAAGAAACCACGCCCTCGCCAGACATCTGCCGACCTTACAGAACGCTCTGTTCCCTATGACAAGCTTGGTCCAGCGGCTAGGTCTCCCATACCTGTCGGGACGGTCTCACATGGCCTTCGAACGAGCGCGACGAACGGTTCCGCCATCTCCGCACCCATAACCAACCCGACGCTAACCAACGATGGCACGGAACTTAACGTGCGTACAGCGCAGCGGCAGAGGGTCGAAAGGGAACGCTTGTACTCGCAACACTCACGATCAACGACGAGGTCACCATTGATCTCTGCAACAAGCTCCTCCGCCACATTGTCGAGCGTACCATCGACCTCGTCTGGTTCCTCAACTTCGTTCACGACCGTCACGGACTCAAGTCGTATTCGGAGATCGGGAGCGTCATCAGATAGGATGAGTCCTAGTTTGTCCGATTTTGGTGGACTTTCAACTACCTCACCCTCTTCAACGTTCAGCATGGCGAATGGAGTGCCCGTGCCCAGACCCATGTCCGTCGCTAGCTCTCGCTCCGAAGGTAATCGCGTATCAAAGTATGCGGCTTCGCTAACGCCATCGGATTCTATGCAATCACATTACTCTCACGCTTCACAAATGTTTCACCACAGCAAGGGCAGCACGCAAGATGGGTTCGAGTTCGACCGTCCGACCGACGAAGGCGTGGAAGCTCTATTCGAACAAGTCCGCCTTAAACGTGACTTAGGAGAGTTACCGAGTCTTTCTGTGGATCAGAAATGGCAGATGGTGTACAATGACGAGCATATCCGATGGAAAGAAGAGAAGAAAATGGAGGAGCTAACGAGGAAACAGGCGGAAACGGGTGCTCAGAATGCTTTCGTCAAAGACTCGCCAGAGTGGTATCTCAAAAAGTTCCTTGATCAAACCATAACGCCAAAGCAGGCCGCAAGCTTACTTGTCTCGCTGCGAACGGGTACCGTGAGGTACGTTTCTTGTTATCGTCGCGGGTTGACTATAATTTGACTTTGGTCACGCTATAGCTGGTTTCGGCAATTTTTGGCTATTCAGGGTACTTCAGTCCTTGCAAATACGCTACACAATATCAGTCGTAAGGGGGTGAATAGGTGTGTATCTAACACGTCCTTCTGTCTTCGAAATCGACTGATGCAATATCTAGACGAGATACTGACTTTCAACTCGAATACGAGGTGTTAAAATGTCTTCGTCGCATCCTGAATTTAGAGGTTCGTCGTCACTCTTTGTGATGCGAGCATGGATAGACTAACATGACGATAGATTGGCGCCAACGAAACACTAGAGCATCCATTGATAGTCAATCACATCGCCTCCACCTTGAATACCTCTCAAATTTCATCACGAAAAGTTGCCCTCGAGATCCTCACTTTTATGTGCTACTGGAAAGATGGCGCACATCACGAGTTGGTGATTCAAGCGTTGGAAGCGCTCAGCGCAGCAAACAGCGAAAGTGGTCCGTATGCCTACTGGTTCCACTCGATGGAAAGTGCCCTTCTTGGTCGGGGCAAGATGGGTAGCCTTGTCGGAGCTAGTGAGGAAATTCGGAGGAACGGCGGGCTGGATAGTTCCTTGAATGAATATGCTGTGAGCATTGATATTCTATTTATTCGTTGTTTCGAATAGTCTGACAATAATTACAGCAAGCAAACCTTTTCGTTATCCATGCCATTCTTGATCATATTGAAGACCTTGACTTACGCATGCACCATCGGTCGCAAATGGAGGCCGCCGGGCTCAGGCGTATCATGGATCTTTGCCGCGAATTCGGTCTTCCACAGATTGACACTCAATTGGGTCTCATTGAGACCTTAATTGAAGCCGATGAACGGGCACTACGGGAACAAATGGACGAAGACATCCTGCGGGATTATGGTAACCCACAGGATGTCTACAATGCCCTCATTGCCAAGACGCAAGGCTCGAAAGCCTTCGATTACTTTCTCTCGGCGATGCAACATCTCCTGCTCATTCACGAGGATGGCCAGGCTCTTACACATTACTTCCAAGTTGTGGATTCTGTCATTACAGATGTTGTCCTTGACAGGCAACTGAATGGCGCAGAGTCTAAGCTAGGGACTTCAGTAGCGCGGATCATTGCCCAGCTGAATGAGGCTGAGCGCTATCAGCATTTGGAAGAGCAGGCCAACGAAGCACGTGGTAAAGCGCTTCAGCTCAAGATCGAGAAGGAGGCTCTTGAAGAGGAAGTCTCTCAAGGTTCTGACGGACTTGTAGGCCGATTAAAGGACAAGGTATCTCAACTCGAGGAAAAGCTAAAGGGATCGAGAGGAACAATCGAGCTTCTGCAGGGACGACTTGAAGAACAAAAACGAGGATACGAGGAGCAGATTGCTCAACTTGAAGCGCAGATACTAGAGCTGTTCCGTATGCTCAAAGAACTTGGCCGAGGCGTAGAAGAAATCGTCGATCAGAGCCAGACGATGGACCGAAAGGAGTTGATGGCGACTCTCGAGAAGCAGCTCCAGCGGAATAAGACCATAAGCATGCTCGAGGGCCGACGTGACTCTAGTCGGAGAAAGACTAGAACTGGTGGACACGGCGTTGAGGAAGAAGGCGACATTGCGGACGGTGTTGGACCCTCATCGTCCCCCAAGCGAGGTTCGAAGGTTCTTGGTAGGGGTAAAAAGCAATCTGCACATCCCGAAGCCAATGGAATACGCGATTCACAGTTCGCCGACGCGGATGAAGCTAGTGTGCAAGAACATATTGAACAGCGACTAGCAGCGGGTGTGCAAATGGTAAGCCATATTTATTCCATGTCCCCATGTTGCCTACTTGACACTGCACATTTTTTAGTATCCTCAACGGGAAGGGACAATTTCGAGCCCTCGCAATGCAAGAGGTTCTCCGTGGAAAGGCAATACCTCGCGTCTTCCTTTGGATGGGGATACCAGCATGCAATCGCATGAAAACCGCCTATTACATCCTGACAGGGATTCACGCGTGTCCTCAGATGGCAAGGATACTGACAGTGAGTATCGCCAATCCAGCAGAAGCGGCTTTACTGCATATTCAGAGGATACTCAAGCTACTTCTGTTGGCTCTCGTCGTTCAGCCGCTGAGATTTCTCATACACCCGGCCAATTATCCCTTGCGCAAGTGCTTGCCAATAAAATGGCTGGCTTGGATAAGCCGCCTGCTCCATCGGATTCCGAGAAGGGCTCTGCTGCACCTCCTGACCAAGAGTCTGCCTCCAATTTTCCGCCGCCGCCACCTCCACCGCCTCTCCCACCCATTCAATCCTTCCCTGCCCCCCCTCCTGCCCCGCCTCCGCCTCCCAAAGGGTTCGTCGCTTCTCCCCCGACTTCCTCTGCTTCTTCTGCTGCTCCACCGCCGCCGCCGCCTCCCTCTGCTCCTTCATCTCTGCCAGGCTCCGCCCGCCCCTCTATGTACCTCGGTATGAACCTGAATAATCTGGTCATGGCAAGGAAAGACATAGCAATTGCACCGAACACGAAGATGAAGCAGTTGCAGTGGGATAAACTTCCGCAAACACAAGTTGGTAAGACGCTGTGGAATGATGAGGAGCCCGGCAAAGAGAAGGAGTGGATCCAGAAGCTACGAGAACAACGTATTTGGGAAGAGATGGAGGAAGACTTCAAGGCGAAGCAGCTCGTGATTAACCTTATGGGTTCGTATATATGTCCTCTCTGCTCTAATTCTATTTCACTGATGTTCCGCCTTGGTCCATTGTAGCCAAACAAAAGAAGGCAGAGCTTCGAAGTGTCCTCGATCCCCAGACGAAGAAACGTGTCGGTGAGTACTTGCCGCCTCAGGGTTGTGAGGATAATGACTGATAGCCATTTGCAGAGATTCTTATACAACGAGTTAAGAACCTGCAACCCGAGGAAATTGCCCTCAAAATTGAACAGTTCGACAAGGACCTCTGCACTGAGACATTCCTGCGTGAACTGAAGAATCTCCTTCCAACTCCAGAGCAGGTCAGTTCTTTCCTCTGTCCTGAAATCGTGCACCTGTGCTGATTTTTACGAGAAAGGTCGGGAAACTGAACATATACAGGAACGCAGATGCAGTAGAATTGAGTGGACTGCATCCTGCGGACCGGCTCATGGTCAAACTAATCCAGATCGACCGCCTTGGTCCGCGAATAGAGGCTATGCTATACAGGATAACGTTCGATGAGAGTCGATCACTCCTCGATCAGGGCGCAAGGAAATTGATTGATGCGGGCTCAGGACTGCTGGACGCGAAACACTTCAAAGAACTCCTGAGCGTATGTGCTATATCATTTTTTGCGGTATATTCCCAATACTGAACCATACCTGCTAGTTGATTTTACTTATTGGTAATTATATGAATGGCACTGGTGTCAAAGGAGGCGCATTCGGTTTCCGCGTCAGCAGTATAAACAAGGCAAGTGTTGAAAGTACTTTATCACGAGATAGTCTGTTGACTTTTGTCATAGCTTGTGGACACGAAATCGCTCAACAACACGACGCTGTTGCATTTCCTGGAGAGGACTGTATCACAACATTTCCCAGAAATGGCCGCATTCCTCGACGAGCTTGAGAAGCCAGCGGACGCATATCGAGGTTTGTGTTGAAGGCACTGGCGACTTGTCCTTAACCTAACTGACATTTTTTTCCACAGTTAATCTACTAGAAGTGAGGAAAGGCTTTGCAGAACTACGGGATGGTCTCAAGAAGATTAAGAGCGAACTCGATGAGCAATTCTCCGACGCGGATTTGAATAGCCCCTTTGTTTCACAGATGTGGACTTTCGTTGGCAAGGCAAACTCAAAGCTAGAAGATTTGCAGGACGATATTGAGTCTGCAGACACTACGTTTAACAAGGCTGTTAGCTACTACGGTGAGGAAGATCGAGGAATGACTTCCACTGAGTTCTATGGTATCTTCAAAACTTTCGTGACAAGCTATAAGGTAAGGCGGCTCAGTATTTCACCTTAGACTGTGGCTGATAAGTTCGTTTATAGAAATGCCAGAATGACAACAAGTCTGCTCAGGAGGAACGCGACGCGGCTGACCGACGGCGGAAAGCCGCTGAAGAGGCCAAAGCTAACCGTTCTGCGAAGGCTAGTACCAATGGTGACTCTGATGCGGGTGACAATTCCGTATTGGATAACCTTCTGGAGAAGCTTCGCAATGGCGATAGTGTTGGCCGTAAGTCCCGTAAAAACCGACATGTGAACGGGAAGCCTGCTATGTCGCGCCGGACGAATTCGAGTAGCAAAGATGATGCATCCGACTCTGCTTTTGAACCGGCTCTGCCTGAAGCTGGTGACAAGACAGTGGACCTTGCGCGAGACATGTTGGCCGCTTTGAAGTCGGATGGCTTTGAAGCGTTTACTCCCACAACTTCAACACCGAAGCCGGACCGTGCACATCGAAGAAGTAGGCCGCGACGGCGGATAGTGACTGAGTTCGGAGCTGCTGAGGAGATGGTCACGTCACCGACATTCTCTGATGATCGAAGTATAGAAGAAGGGTATATCTCTGGCGATCAATCCCATGCATCACCCAGACCCAGAACTCCCTCAGACGCAGGTGACTTTGGTTACATTCGCGCTGAAGACGCAGACGCAACTATCAAGCAGCGTTGAATACATACCATCGACGCTCATACCCATTCTAAGGAAGGCACTGAATAATCTGGTATTATTTCGGACAGTGGATTTCATTATTAATGACTATTCTTCTTTACACTTCTTTTTTATGATTGACGTTGCATTTTATTGATTATTTGCCCTCGTATGCAATTACTCGATGCGTAGAACACTTGTATTATACGTTGGACTAATTGGACATCCATCAAATGCGGACTGACTGACGAAAAATTGAAAAATATCGTGTCTCACTGTTCCGTCGATCATGTGCCTTTAATTCCGCTTGCTCTCTTCTGCACTCGGCTTAGAAAGATAGAACATTACTTCGACCCCCATGAACAGAACAGGCACAAGATATCTTCGACCACTGGCTATCAGAAGATGGGTTTATAGTTGCAGAGCCTACACTGTCAAAGGACTGTTAGCGTCCGATGCCTACACGAACGCCGCCAACGCGTCCAATGATTCAGTTACTTCCACTCCCAAGCTTACCGCTTCCCAACATACGATCCTAGAAAGAGCTATACGTGTCGACCAAGCTGGAGAGCTTGGCGCTAATTATATCTACAAAGGTCAAATGGCGGTATTGGGGAAGGACAAGGTAGTCGGTCCGGTGATTCAGGTTTGCGGTTTATTCATTTCTACGTCGAACTCGATCATTAACTATGTTCTAGGAAATGTGGGATCAAGAGAAGAAGCACATTGCAGTTATGGACAAATTGCAGTTGCAGCATCGTGTGCGACCGACGTTTTTGTTTGACGTCGCAAAAGCAGCTGGTTTTACGCTGGGTGCGGTGACAGCCTTGATGGGCAAGGAGGCTGCTATGGCATGTACTGAAGCGGTCGAGACGGTAATTGGTGAACATTATGATGAGTACGTATTGGATTTCTCTATTATTACGATTCACTGAATTCATTCACACGTGTTTGTTATGCAGTCAACTCAAGCAAATGGAGAATCTGCCTGCAGACCATCCGAGCATCCCTCTTCTCAAAGACGTCATTCGAGAGTTCCGAGATGACGAACTAGAGCATCTTGATACGGCCGTTGAACATCATTCACAACGAGCACCTGCCCATGCATTGTTGAGTGCAATAGTTGGTGGGGGATGTAAAGTTGCTATTGAAGTGTGCAAGCGAATATGACGGATATTAATGTTGCCACTGTTCTTCTATGGACCGAGACAGATATATAGCTACACTTATTTGTCCGCTAAAGATTCTCCCTTCTGCTTTCCCATCCAAGTGTATTTAGTCTGTAATCATTTGTTAATATTTTTGTGTAGTTCTGAGGAAGTTCATGGGATTGTTTGCTTACATCTTGTTGCGCAAAGGTGAACACGCAAATGCCCGGTATCAAGACCAAACTGAGGATTGCTGTTCGCGTGGTGCTCCTAGTCCATTTGAAGTGCTTGTAGACATCTTCACGCTGTGTGCCACGCTTTATTTTCGCAATTACGGGTAAATATAGCTAATGACACTGACCATTCGGTTGTACCGCTCGAACGCGGGGTCGATCTATAGAAATAGAGGAGTGAATAATCATAACAAGTGTAATTTGATGGCGATTCATACGGTCACAGAAGCTAACGGTTGGGTCGCTCAGTGGACTCATTACTTCGGAAAGGCAAATACTCACATTTCGGCGCCATCGTTTCTGTTGAAATGTGCTCACTGTAAACTCCGTCAAGTACTTCTGGTGCATTCAGATCTCTCGTGACTGTGCGAATAATTACATAACGCACACTTCCTTCCGTTGCCGGCTGAGCTTCGCTGTTTCTCGCACCCACCTTCCTCACATCATCCATTGGACCATTCATTCAGTAATTTTTCTACACCGCACCTGAAACGATGTCGTATAATCGTGAATGGGACCATGGAAAGTCTTGGGATAATGCAGGCTATCGAGGCTACTCGAGAGGCAGAGACGAGGATGACTATTATACCGAAGGGAAGAGGAGGAAGTACAACAACGGAGTTCGCATGCACTAGGCGACCAAGGCTTTTATCAGACCGCTTACCATGCACATACTTTTCAGGGCTACCAGGAATCATGGTCATCTCACCATGACGGTGAGCATTACGGGAATGACAACAACTACGATTACGATTATGGCTACCCCGATAACTACAACAACTTTGGTTCTTCTGAGTACTCGCATGACAATCGAGACGACCGTGCTTACCGCGATCGCGGACCTCCACGAAAGAGACATGTGGCGAGCGAACCAAGTCCCCATGTCATTTTCCTTGGTTTGGATGCAGACTTTACAGAAGTGGACGTACGTACAAACAAAGCTTCGCATTGTGTACTTGGCGATTAATACGGGGTTTCAGCTGCAAAACTTCTTGAAGGAACGAGGATTCGTCACTGAGACCGTCACAATTATACGCGATCGGAATACAGGCACTTGCCCATTCACAACATTGTCTGTTTCTGTGTCCTGACGATAGCTCCTCATTGGATTTTAAAGGTCAATCCAAGGGTTTTGGATTCGCCCAATTCAGGTCTACTGAGGAGGCCCGATCTTTCGTCGACCCGAATTTCCCGTTCATCTCGGTTCCTCCGCCAGTCGCCCATGGAGCTTCTGCCGCCGCAGCGTACAGATTGGCCGAAGAGAGCGGTGCCCCTCATGGGGGCAAACGCGTCAAGATCGATTATTCTCAGAGCGCAAGTGCGGCTGGACATGGCAGACGTGGACCACAGTTTTCAAACGACGGCACTCGTGACATTGGCAACTCGCAATCTGCTGTTTTACTGTTTCGAGGACTGGACCCATTGTCTGGGCCCGCGGCGGTGGCGCAAGCCATGAAGTTCTCGTCAGGACCTGATGTTGAGGGTGCCAAAGGGATGAAACGGGTTATTTTGATCAAGGACAAAGCGACTATGGCAAGCTGGGGCTATGCATTTGTCGAGTTCGTTGACATTCAGGTATAGTTTCAGCAAATTCGAGCTTCATTACTGCTGACATGACGTTGATTACTAGGCTGCATCGGCTGTCCTGGCGGCGACTATGTCACCGCAATTACATCCAAACGGCTTTCGCATTTCAGATCGTCCCGTTGCAGCTTCTTTTGCTCACCCGTACTCGTTTCAATGTATAGAGCATATTATGCACCGAGACGAGAACTGCATTGCCTCATCTCTGAACCTCGGGGGAGTTGAGGGATCATGGGCCAAGTACTGGGATGAGTCTGCTTCGCTCGCATCCATGGACTTCAAAGTTGAGGAGCCCCAATCTCAGCAGCAGACTGCGGCGGGCAAAGAGAAGAAAGACAAAGAAAAGAAACGCACTAAAGGTATACTTCTTTCTCGGTTTAATTAGACTAATTCTGATGCATTGCTTGCGTTCCGCTCTCCACCATCTAGCTTCTGCCGACGGTCCCTCGCAGCCAACCGAGGCATCGACTCTTCCTGTCTCAAACAAACCGGTTACTCTGAGTTTCAACAAAGTCGGAACGTCCGTGAAAACCGCAAACACATCAGGTATGGTTTATTGATAAATGTACTACTGACTTGTGGTTTAATAAGTTGTAACAGGAGGCGTTTCATCTCAAGCAGCTGTTCTTCTCGCCAGTCACGATGAAGATGAAGCGGCTAACAACGAGCCAGACAACAAGTCTACCAGTGCTGAGGATGAACTGGGCAAGTATAATGTACTTTGAGAGGAACTTTGCAAGCTTATATGTTTTGGTTTCTAGCAAAGAAAGCTCAGAGAGTTCCGCCGATGATAGCAAGCAGGAAGGTTGTCAACAATATTACGAAATGGAATCAGGTCCAAGAAGAATTGAGTGGCACAGTAAATTCTTCATCATCTACAGCTGCCCCCACTGTACCTTCAGGACCGCCGGCGTCGGTTACTCCAACTAAAGAAGTGATTATTTCGTCTTTTCAACAAAAAATGGACAATATTTGACGACTACTACAGAAGCCAAAGACGCCGGAAGTCGAGACGGAGTTCGAGTTCTCTGACACTAAGGCGATGACGTGTCTTCTTTGCTCTCGCGCATTCAAGTCACTGGATCAATTGAAGAGACATAACAAAGAGTCCGAACTTCACAAGGTAAGTCTACATTTCACATTATCGCTTACTCGTGTTCACGAGCAACGACTTCTTTGTATAATAGAAAAACCTCAAAGACGCAAACTTACGTGACATCGCACGCGAAAAAGCCCGTACAGCGAACGCAAAGAAGAAAGATCAATCCTCAGACACACCAAACGATCAATCATCAGCACCGAAATCGCAGTACCGCAACCGAGCGCTCGAGCGCAGGATCCTATTCAACCAGCCAGACGTACCTCCACCAGAATCCGGTCAAGCGGGCAAGACGTCGAATAACAAGCGCTCAGCTGAGGGTCCGGCTCCTGTGCCGTCGCCACCACCGCCTGCGAAGACTCCGGGAGAGGATGCGAGTAATATTGGGAACAAGTTGTTGAAGATGATGGGTTGGACGGAGGGGAGCGGGCTTGGGACTGAGGGTGAAGGCAGGGTGGATCCAATGTGAGTATTTATTTCATACTTTTCAGGATGATTTTGTGTACTTGGGCTGACGGCCGATAAGTCAAACTGCTATTTATGCTTCTGGAGCCGGCCTTGGATCGAGCAAAGGACGAGAAGTCGGGAAGTATCAGGAAGGTTATTCTGGATATGTTCAAATTGCTAAGGATGTCGTACGTATTCAATTCAAATGAGCTTTTGGAATGCTGTACTCATTTCTCGCTAGGCCAGAGAGCGATATGGGCAGTGACAATACTCGCTTTTCGCTTTTCACTCTTGCTATTATTTGTATGCTGCTTTTCGATCTTGCTTTTACGTACATCAACTTTGCTATTAAGAAATGTTTTCTTTATTATTATGGAAGCAGTAATACGATGCATCGATTCGCCATCAAGATATTTTAAAGTCCAGCTCAAGAAGGAAAGGGGAGAGGAGTGTAAACCTTCAGTATCAAGCAAATGCGAATGCAGCAAGACCAGCAGCAAATAATGCTACGATGCTATTCTTCACGTCTCCCATCTTCATAGCGGCCGAGTGAGATTGATTGGCATTACTGCCCGAGCCGGTCGCCGTGGCACCCGTAGATGAAGGGACAGGAAGTGTCGAAGTCACGACGGCACTTGTAGACGCGGCGCTGACAGTTGCCGTACCCTCTTCCACAGTGAAGTACATGCCGGCAATGGGACCTTGAAGACCAGTGGAGTTCACGTAACTGGAGAGGGAGAAGACGGAGACGCCAGCGTTGGGAGTGGAAAGGTCCGCTGGGGGCGTGAAGTTTGCGGGTTGGGTGTAAAGCAGGATCACGTAGCTGGACGTTTGTTTAATTAGATAGAGTTCATAATTAAGTTGTGAGTTGTTGTAAGCAAAGTTTGGTCTAATGTAACTTTGAGGAGTTAAGCGTACCGGTGGGCGCCGCTTCCCTGAGGAGGGGCTGGACCGGCGTAGTCCGTGATGGCAATGCCCGAAGAGTTTACGGTGCGATTATTGCCCGACGCTATAAGCAATATAAAGTAACGAAATACGCGTTTTCAGGTTTATTGCTGACTCTTGGCTACCGAATAAAAGTGGGGCCGACTAACCGTTTGAGAGAGACGCGTTATTGACGAGCCAGTGACGCGTCTGACCCTTACTTTCGTCTGCGCCGACAATATCCGCGTCGACCATGGTAAGTGTGAACGTGTTGCTCAACGAAACGCTAGAATTCGAGGTGGCGATTGATATGTTCGGCTGAGGTGCAACCTCTACATGTACATATATTAAAAAAATAAAATGTGCCACCGTCAGAACCAAGAACCCAAACGCTCTCCAACGCGAAAAGAAACAGACGGAAGAAAGGTAAGTTACTAACGATCCTTAGAAAGCGCCTGTCCGGGCTTGATTTGGCCTACTCCGGGAAAGGAAACAGCCATTTCGGCGGAGGGGTTGAACGTGCTGAGGAGGTCCGGAACGAGATGGGCATTTTTGAAGTGGGCTTGGATGGCCTCGATGTCGAGCGCGGTGCTGTTGGACTGTGCGCTGACGAGGGAAACGAACGAGAGTGCTAGAAAGAGCGGGTGGATCATTTTTAAGTACAGTTTAATTTAGTGGCTTTGAGCAACGAGAGTGGTGCTTGGTGGAGAGAGCAGGTGAAGGAGAAAGGAAGGAGACGGGGCGAGGTTTAAGTATGTTGCGGGTGACAGGTGCGCATCGAAGGCTGTGCAGTCACCGCACGCGTCATTAAAATTCATTTCTTCTCGACATGTCCACATCTAAAGGCAAAAATATTATCAGAAGTACTCAATGGGCCAAGGGGGATAAGAACGGAAATGTCGGTTTGTCGAATTCTCTGAGCGACGTATCGGCCGTCAACAACTGTAGACCCGCGAATAAATAAAGAATAATGAGCATACAGCTAGGGTTGGTCAAGTCCGCGAGTGCTTACGTGAGCGAATCTGGGGTCAGATGGCCCGTCGCTGGGACGAGTCGCCCTTGGTCCTCGCCTCCATCACCTCCTCCATCCCGTCCTCCCGCTCAGCCCCGCCTAACGACTCGCCAGCCAGCCCCCCTTTCTCTCCATATTTATCCTGCTCCTCTTTCAATCACCGCTGCACTCCCCGCGACCCGTCGCCATCCACCCCTCATTTCAAACACTAGCTCGCTCCAACACCACATATGGCAAACCACGGTCCAATAAACGGTGTAAAGATCTCCGGTCAGTTCCTCTCTGCCCCCCTTCGCTTCTATTCCCAGTCTCACTCCTCTTCAGCAATCGACGACCCGCACAAGATCGTCAAGGTCATCGCCTCCGACGGCAAGTCTGGTGACCAAAAAGAAGTATGCTACACAAACTGCAAGGTCATCGGAAATGGTTCCTTTGGCATCGTCTTCCAGGCCAAGCTCGTTGGCGGGACAAAGGAGGGCGACGACATTGCCATCAAGAAGGTCCTCCAGGACAAGCGATTCAAAGTTCGTTGTCCTCCGCTCTCTTCTTCATTTCACCCTCCTACCCTTTTTGGGCATACATACCCCTTCTGACATTGTTGTTCCCTTCACGCATTGCATGCGCATGTATAGAATCGTGAGCTACAGATCATGAGGCTGGTGTCGCACCCGAATGTCGTTGATCTCAAAGCGTTCTTCTACTCAAACGGAGACAAGGCATGTCGTTTGTCGTTATTGAGCTCGGCTCGCGTTCGTGTCAGACTAACACCCGAACGTTTGTGTGTGACAATAGAAGGACGAAGTATACCTTAACCTTGTTCTTGAATACGTACCGGAGACCGTGTACCGTGCTTCTCGGCACTATGTCAAGCTGAAGCAGTCGATGCCGACCATTCAGATCAAATTATACATGTACCAACTTCTCCGATCGCTCGCATACATTCACTCCGTTGGCATTTGCCATCGTGATATAAAGCCGCAGAACTTGCTGCTCAACCCCTCGACAGGGGTACTCAAGCTTTGCGATTTCGGTTCGGCAAAGATTCTTGTAGCGGGCGAACCGAATGTCAGCTACATCTGCTCGCGATATTATCGAGCTCCGGAGTTGATTTTTGGAGCGACAAATTATACCACAAATATTGGTACGTTTCATTTCAACTCATCGCCTGATGCTATAATGCTAAAGATCTAATCTGTTCTACCACAGATATCTGGTCGACTGGTTGCGTCATGGCAGAGCTGATGCTTGGGCAGCCACTGTTCCCTGGTGAGAGTGGGATTGATCAGTTGGTTGAGATTATCAAGGTGTTGGGCACTCCATCGCGGGACCAGATCAGGACGATGAACCCAAATTACATGGAGCATAAGTTCCCACAAATCAAGCCACATCCGTTCCACAAGGTACTTCTGAAATTTTGTAGATCGGAGTGGCGATTATTCAATTGATCATTGTTCCATAAATAGGTATTCCGCCCGCGCACAGCCCCAGAGGCGATTGACTTGGTTGCAAAACTCCTTGAGTATACGCCTGAAGCGCGCTTGAGCGCCATTGAGGCTATGTGCCACCCGTTCTTTGACGAGTTGAGGGTTGAAGGTATGAGGATGCCAAATGGCAAGGACTTCCCTAGACTATTTGATTTTACAAAGGAGGGTGAGTCACTGCATAGCCCAACCTAATATCGGGCGCTTATATGCACATATGATTCCTGAGATACATTGTACTAATGGCCGTGTTTGTAGAACTCTCCATTCGACCTGATCTTATGCGACAGCTAGTACCGCCTTTTTGTGAACCGGAGTTGAGGTCACGGGGCATCTTTATGGACAACTTTGTCCCGATACCGCTGGAGCAGCTGCGAATCACGCTCGACTGATGCGCACGTACCTGTGAGGATATTAAGATATATGACTGCTGTGTATCGATAGCCCGCAGGACGAGCGAGATCTGGTGCTGGATCGGAAGGGAGGGAGGGAGGCCCGGCTGGTATTACTTACATACGATGCGATTGATGTCTATTTTGTTCGTTGTTTGTTCTTTTGATGATGCGATGCACTCGCGACTCTGTAGCACCTGCTATGCTGTGATGTATGTGATGCAAGGCTGAGCGCTTGTTCACGCCTGAGGCTATTTGCTAGTTACTGGTACAGTACTTGTAGTGTTGCAATACTTGGGTTGATGCCATAATCACGCGATCTTTCTACATAGCACGTGCTACGCTATATAAGACTTGCGCTCAACTTCTGCTGCCACCCCCGACGACGCCGACGATCCTCCCTTTCCCCGCTCCTTCTTGTTCTGCAACCGCCTTTCATCGTACACGACGATGGACAACGCTTCCACAGCGACATCGGACAAGACAAACTACTCGTGCGACACCCTTCCGACTCCCCGACATCTTCACCGTTCAACTGCACCGTCCAACTCGCGATCGCCCTCTCCCCTGCCTGTTGCAGCAAATGATGATGCTGTGTCGTCTTCCTTTGAGATAGTCACTCCAGAAGAAGTAGAAAGTCATTCAGAAGTCCAGCGATTATCAGAAGCGGGCCCTGCACAGCCCTCCGAACAGGCGATCGGCCCCGACCACTCTAATGCGCCGCCTCAACCGCCCGCCCGCAAATTATGCGTGCGGCACCAGCGAATGGCAGACGAGGGGACAAATCTTAAGATACAAAAAGTGAGCACGCCCGTTCAGGCCCTATGTATTGGCCAATTATCCATTGCACTGCCCTCCTGTTAATGAGGCCTGAGAGCCACCAACTCTGTATATGCATATTTAACTGACTCCTTTTGCGTTTTTTTTCTCCCTTATCTAGTCACTTGACGCACTGCCCGTGGAAGACAGGGAGACGGTCAACGCTATCTGGACAAGTTTTAGTTCATCACCGCACTCCCGCCGTCTAGTGATCCTAAGAGGCATCCTCACGATGTGCTGTTTTTCTCAACTCTCAATGCTTTCCGAACACCTACACACACTCATCCGTCTCGATCCCTTCTCCGTCTTACCGCGGGAAATATCTCTCAAGGTTTTGCAGTATCTTGACGCTATTTCCTTATGTCGCGCCGCTCAGGTCAGCAAGTCTTGGTCAAAGCTTGCCGACGATGACGTGCTATGGCGAGGTATCTGTGAGCAACATATTGGTCAGAAGTGCCAAAAGTGCGGATGGGGCCTTCCTATGCTTGAGCGTCGACGCAAGATTAGAGTAACTCAAACTCCACCGGCTGACGGCACGTCTGCCTCTTCCTTCTTCAAGCGAGACCTCGAAAACTACCACTCAGGTGACGAAGGACGTCCCTTGAAGCGCATGCGTTCCGAGTCATCTGAAATTGCGAGAGCTTCTTCAGAGCCGAGCAACTTGCCTCAATTTACAACCGAGCCGGATCATTGTTCAACGTCGCAAATGACTACACGTCCTTGGAAACATGTCTATAGTGAACGCCTCACGATCGAACGAAACTGGAGACGCGGCCGCTGTACGGTTCGGACATTGACAGGACACACTGACGGTGTTATGTGCCTGCAATTTAGCGAAACATTGCACCATCCGTCTTTCCCTGTTCTCATCACTGGCTCATACGATCGCACTGTTCGGGTTTGGAACCTTGAGACAGGAACTCAGATTAGATGTCTACGTGGTCATTCTCGGGCAGTTCGTGCCCTGCAATTCGATGAAGCGAAACTTATTACGGGCAGTATGGACAACACAATACGTGTCTGGAATTGGCGGAGTGGAAAATGCATTCGCGTGCTTGAGGGTCATACCGAGGGTGTCGTGTGCTTGAACTTTGACTCGAATATCCTCGCAAGTGGGTCCGTTGACACGACAGTGAAGATTTGGAACTTCCGCACTGGTGAATGTTTCACTCTTCGTGGGCATCGCGACTGGGTGAATTCAGTACAAATATGGGACTCCAATGCTGCTAATATGGAGTCTGGTATGTGTGCGACGCCAATGTTTGAGCCCTGCACCTCGCAGGCGGAGGGATCTTCCCTTCCAGACATCGATCCTGGAAAAATGCTCTTCTCTGGTTCGGATGACGGATCAATAATTTTGTGGGACCTTACGTCGCGTGCTAGTGTGCGGACGTTTTCAGGGCACGTTGGGCAAGTGCAGAGTATCAAGCTCGTATACGAGAGTCCTCCTTGCGAAGAAGACGAAATGCAACCAAGAGACGGTTCCCCTCGAGATCCCCGTTCAACACTCCCTTCAGGCCTTCCCGGATTTGCTCCTGCATCTGTTTCGATACCTTCTCCGCCTCCTCCTGACCATCCTGGGTTTGATGCGCCTGTTTTCGATCCTCCGACGGGCTTTGACCCATGCGCGTACCGAACTTCACCACAGTCTGTCCCGCCAGCTCGGTCTTACATACACGATCGGTCTCCAAGACAGCGCTCAACGAGCGCTGGTTCGGGTTCAATCGGTCGAAAGCCAAAGCCCGTGCTAATTTCGGGGAGCCTGGACAACACAATTCGTGTGTGGGACGTCGAGACGGGTAAGCCTATCACGACACTCTTCGGACACATAGAGGGTGTGTGGGCGGTTGCGTGCGATAAGCTTCGTCTGGTCAGTGCCAGTCACGATCGGACCATTAAGGTAAGTTTCTGCTTACTTAGTTTAAATTGTTTGGTCGGATAATATGGATGCTGATGTTCTTTGACTTTGTTTCAGGTCTGGGTTCGCGAGGAGAATAGATGTCTAGCCACGCTCGTGGGTCATCGAGGTGCTGTAACCTGTCTTGGCCTCGGCGACGACAAGATTGTTTCTGGGAGCGACGACGGAGACATCCGGATTTGGAACTTCGCAGTGTAATGACATCCTTTCTTGACTTGTACTCGTGCCTCCGGTTCCTGTTTCCTCCTTTCTTCTACATACATACCAGCGAAACGTGCGAGTTCTGATACCTCCTTACCCCCTGTTTTCATATGCTTATATTATTACTATTCTTTCAGTTACGAGTAACGCCACTACACATGTACGTATGCTGCTGTACTCCTAGTAATTACACATACCAAGTACCTTGTTCAGTTGTTTGAAAGGGGTTCCTTTTTCCCCCTGTTTTAATAGAAGTAAAATGAAGTACACAGAAACTAGTTCCGTTCTCGGATTCGTTGATTCATGTGAAGAGTACGAAGATATGTAACTTATGCAACGATTAACACTGCAAAGGCAACCAAGAATACAAGATTTAGGAGTCGTAAAGGACAATAGGAGTTCTGTATAAAAGCGGGTGATAAAAGAAATGCACACTTAGTCTGGGTATGTGACGTTGTCAAGAAAGGAAGGGTACCTGTATGTGCAAGATACATATAGATAGATACAACCCATTACAAGTAATTTAGTTCCCCACAGTCAAACGCTCTTCTCTCGGAACTAGGGGGAAAAGAAGACTATTCTTGCGAATTGGAGGCAGTGGGATTCAAACCCATGCTTGTTCCCTTGACATCTTAGTCCACTACTCAATCATACCTCTAGCTTTTCTCTGAGGATTTTGGCATTTCATACTATTGTTGTTATCTACTCTTAATTTACGCAATAATTCGCCGTATTAGCAATTTTCACCACTTGAGCCGTCTGAATCAAGGCACTCTGAGTGTATCTTACTAAACATAAACTGTGCCTAGAGTAAAGTCTGTGAGAATCACGTCGAACAGCAACAGGTGACCACAAGAATAAATGTAGATGGATCTGTTTGTTGTCATTTACATAATCAATTAGAAAAGGTTAAGTCTATTTTTCGGAAGCGAATTCTCTTTCTTGGCTACAGGGTTCACTCACTGCCCGTCGCCGTCGAACGTTCACAGCTCGTCACTCTCCCGAGCACCTTTTCCCTTTCCAACTTGTCGTACCAAGAGGGCGACGTCTACGCTCCTTTCTCACAGACTTTCATTTATCACTTCATCCGACCTTCAAAAATAACTTTTACTTTTATCTCTCAGACAAAATCCATAGTCGAGATGACTGGCACTGTGGAACTACATCAAGACAGCTCGTTCGAGCACTCCCTCGACTCGCAACATAGAAGTGGCTCAAATGAGTCCGGATTGACTTTACCAAACGTTTTCGTAACCCCTCCAGAAGAGGAATTCGACTCACCACCTTGGTGTTGTTTTGACGCCGACAAAGACGCCCAACCAGGCGCGTTCGTTCCCGAGGACTTTGAGAACGGAGATTTCGACTATGCCGCACATGCAGAGGAAGAAATATTTGGCGGGGATGTGGAACAGGGAGGGAATGTGCCAAGGGAAGGCGAAGAGATTAGGGAAAACGTATTCGCTATGCGGAGCTTGGTTCAGGAGGCGGAGAACTTGAAAGAGAAATTGAAATCGCTGGAGCTCTCACCTGCATCATTCTCTTCTTCTACACCATCTCCGCCTGTTGAGAACGAAGAACTGGCTAGCGAACCGTCGTCAACGCCAACCACTACTGCGTTCCCAGCAACTCAAGTGGAGGAGAAAGTTAACCGAAGGAGATCGATCTTTTCTTTCAACACCTTACGGCGCAAAAAGTCCCGGGAGGAGGATTCTATGCTTTCTATGTATGAGTCTAATCATACCTCAGGCAACCAATTATCGAGTAACCGGGATGCAGATGCTGTCAGCATAAACTCAGCATGCTCAACCTCCAACAAAACGGGATTCTTCTCGCGTTTTAAACTCTCATCCAAAAAGTCTAACACGACATTGTCGGAAGGCGCATCAAAAGCGAGGAAATCGACCAGTGCATATCGCTCATGTGAGGAGCTAACAACGTCTCAAGAAAACGATGCGGTGTTAAAACGCCGTTTCTCGATTTTCGAGCTCCCTCGTCGTCGAACGTCCATTTCGCAACAACCAGCGATTCCAGCCGTATCCGCCAGTCCGACTACCTCGCCTAGCATGAATCAATCCAATTCGTCCCTCTCGAGTTCCTCCATCCCTCTGACGCCAGATGCAGCGACTTGCGCGCTTGGCTCCCCGACGGGAAAATCCACCAACGGAGAAATGCTTTCCTTTCTGTCATCGATAGAAATGCACGGAATCAATAACATCGCTGCATCATTGACTTTCCCCTCATCGAACACTATAGTTCCTGGCAGTCAATTCTCACTCGACCCTCTCCATTTCGAATCCTTACAATTCAATTCAGACGACTTTGCATGATATGTTCACCAGTGCTTTTTTTTCTCGTTTTCCAACCTTTTTTCCTTTCATAGTTTTTAATACCCGTACGCATCTTGATACCTTGGGACTTCCTGTTCGTCTTTGCACCCGCATCCGCTTATGGTGATCATTTTTCTTTCCTCCTCAAGACACGCCTCGCCTCATTGCTCGTTACCTTTTCCCTCTCGTTTCTGCACGTTCTCAGTTCTCGATCTCGCTCTGGTTGTGCTGATAGTTATGACTCTTCGTTTGTCCTGACTTTCGCGTCTATGCCTTCGGCATGACCCCCTTGTCTTCCGTAATCTTTTTGGTACTCGTCACTCGTCAGTCCATACACGTGCTGTAGGATAGGTCGCATTATGTGGTATATGCGTATCTACAGCTACATAATTTTATTGCCACACGACTCGTACCTGCGTGTAACACTAATGACGCAAAGACGTCTACTACATATCTCCAGCTAGTATTTCTCAGCCAGGACTATGATAGGCAGGTGGTTAGTCGATCAGGAACGAGACAAATTTGCGAAAGAGATGCTTACTCATTGCGACCAAGGACGTCCAGCCAGTGAAAGGATGACTAGTAAAGACGATCAGAATCTGACATTGACTTCAAACAAATCCATAATACAAACCTTCTCCGACCCTCTCCCGTCAATGCGTCATACTGTTCCCATACATATCCAGTACGTTCATATTCCTTGAAGACATTATCAATGATGTTCTTGCGCAGCTCCGTGTAGATCTCCCTCGCTCTTGACTGGTGTGGTCCAGGCTCTTTGGCATACACCTATTGTAGATACCAAGATATGTTAGAAGGGGCTCCAACGACTGTATGAGCCCTTACCTTGTACAAAGAACTCAATGCCATATAGTTCATCTGAATCCAGATAGGGCCCTTCCAATAGTTCTCGCCCTGACCGAACTCGGGATGTGAGGCAGACAAGCTGCGTATACCGTAAGGTGACCATAAGTGATCGGGTGAACGGAGAATCTCAAGAGTCGGACCGAGGTGTGGTGATGATGGTTCGAGGAGGCCAAGTAGCACCGGGAAAAGAGAAAGATAGCCCTTGTGGCAGACGAAATACGACTCATCTACATATATGTCAGCACGGTTTCATCCATGAGACTTTGTTCTTACCATCCGAGTTAACCCCAACGTCACAGTACATCTGATCCTCCTCACTCCAATGAAGGTCTTCCAAATTATCGAGGATCGCTTTCTCGATAGCAATGAAGGAATTCTCATCGTCAGTTTCACCGATATAACCCGCAATATCACGCATTGTCCTCGTGAAGAACGCCATCCAAGACATTAAGTCAAGATGTAATTCCCCAGCATGTGGCGGTCCACGAGGATAATCATCCATGCCGCTCGTTAACACATGCTGCTCACTGCGGCCTCGCCATCGGTATGCCTCTGTACGAGAACGAGCTTTCCGTCCGTATTGTTTAATTTGACCACGTTGAGTTCGGCGGAACCAGTCGTAATGGCGTTTTAGCTTAGGATAAATTGAACGTAGGAATTCCTGCGCCAGTTCAGGATTTCTAAGATAATTATCTCCGGTTTGAGGTGATGACGTTTCGTCCTCCATGACAATCTGCGAGTCCACGCCGAAATCCATGCCTAACTCAGCGGTGGAGGGACCCGAATTGAATGCCTTTAGTCTATCAATGAACGCCGTTACTGCCATTGTGAGGGTCGGCGGGTTGGCGTAAGACGGGACTTGGGTGATAAATTCCATTGGGACTTTGCTGCGAGCTTCTTCCCCGAGTATTTGTTCTCGAGCGACCCAACCATCTTCATCGATGAGATTGATCCAGTCTTTCAGGATTTCTAGACTGTAATACACAGAGTTAGTACGGTAATGTATACGCCAGTGATTAAAATTGCACCTGAAGTCGTTATCCCAGGCCCCGATGTGAAGGAGGTGGAAACCTTCGTCCCTTGAAGTAACATACGAGTTAGCCTTCACCTGCATCCAATCAAAACTTTCTTATCCTCACCAATAGAATCCCCTTGGGAAGAAGCTTCGGCTTGGAGTCGCTGTTAACAGTGCCTTCGGTTCCGTCATCTGTGGACCTGACTTCTCATCTACGTCTTCCATTTCGTCCTCATCCCATTCCTGTTTTATGCTTGGGTCGACGATTGAGTCGCCGTAGAAATAACCAACACCACCCAACAGGTTCGAAGTTATAGCTTTTGAGAAAGCTATTAATGACTCCGATGAGCCAGCAGGCATCGGGAATTTCTCGTTGAACCGTCTAGCGAACTTTTCTTTGAATGCGGGGATTCCGTTGTCGAGGAGCGATGCTGAGTACGAAAAACTATGAGAAAAGATCACCCAGACGGGATGACTGGCAGCGATTGGTACGTACAGTCCAACTTTTGTTTGGTGCTCGCACTTTCGAAGAAAACATCAAATTGAAATTCCCCATCGAACGACTTTTGAACAGCGTAGAGATTGCTTGCCGAGTAAACTTCGTCTGGAAGTTGGAGTACAAAAGATGGGTCTGGGGCACCTTTCGCAGGATCTTGATATGGTTCAATTGCGGCCTGCGCGTTTTTCAGAACACTGTTCATAACATGCTCTGGAAAATCGTCCTAAATCATAATCGATAGAATCTAAATTGACGACTAACCTCTGGCTCTCCAAATTTCGCCTGGGGGCATTCTTAATCCCAAAAAGTGTGTTTTCCCAATGCGCTCGGCGAAGGCGTGGGCATGGGGCGCATTTGTGACGAAGTTGTTATTTGGACCTAGTCCACCAGGTCAGAAACAATAGCCTCAATACAATGCCAAACACACCGTCCTCCACTCTAATAGAGAAATCTCCGAGATCTGGTGTGCTACCAGAGAACTTTACCGTGCCTTCTAATCCCTGCCAATCCAAGTTACAGAATGTGTTGCTAATTCACAATCACAAACAAGCTCACATTCTCGTCCTCATCCGTATCCATGTCGATTCCTCCCAGTCCATCCACGCCGAAATAGAATATGAATGAGGTCCGGGATGGTATCTCTGTTTACAGCAGCTTAATTTACCAGAGCAAATAGTGTTGATAGATGGAACTCGGTTGCATACCAGGATCCAGAGGTTCGCCTTTGACTCTGGCAGCCCAGCTGCCGCCATGTTCGCCTCCGTTTACTTTTAGGAGTTCAGTAGTCACTTTTACATTGTTCATTGGATCATTTAAGACTTGTACGCCTCCCTCGCGCGGGTCATGTTCCGTCCAAGTGTATCCCGCCAGACCATCGCCCTGCTCACAGGCGTGGCGAGCATCTATATTACCACATAATTGGTAAGAAAGGTAAAGCTACTATTGTATATGCCCCAAGACACCGTACTTTGGAATGACCTGAAATCCTGCGTTCCATACCATATTAATCCTGTCAAGAGAGACTGGGGGAGGCGCGGCCGTAGACCAAAATAGAGATTCGGCCTGTACGTTCCCCAGAGCAGGTCCTGAGAATCGTTTGAAGGTGCAGCATCAGATACTGAGCCGAGGATTAGAGGCAGCAGCAAGAAAGAGAGAAGGGAACGCATAAGGTAGACTGAGCCGTAGCAGTACTAGTAGTAGTAGTGCCACGAGAGCGACACGTCCAGAGACGCGTGTGACGTGATTTGATGCACGTGGTACGTGATCGTGACTCAATAGCCTCGCCACTTCGCCGCGCAGCCCTCGTCCACACCTTCTCTCCTGACATCCATCTCGTCCACATCAACCACTTACATCCACCTTCAACCCCACGATGCGTTCCAAGTTCAAGGATGAGCACCCCTTTGGTGAGGACAGCCCGGCCTTGCATATCAAATTAGCCCTGACGATCATTCTATCTAGAGAAGCGCAAGGCTGAGGCAGAGCGCATTCGTCAGAAGTATCCGGACAGGATACCCGTTAGTAGTCGGCAGCTCACCTCATCCACACCTTTTCAACAATGACTTGACAGGTAATCTGCGAGAAAGCAGACAAGACGGATATCCCGACGATTGATAAGAAGAAGTATCTCGTACCGTCGGTGAGTCGTTTTGATCATTACATCAGTGTGGATCTGTGTAGCTGATTTCCTTATTTCCGCAACTAAGGATTTAACTGTTGGACAATTCGTGTACGTTATCCGGAAGCGAATCAAGCTTGCTCCGGAAAAGGCCATCTTCATATTCGTCGACGAAGTACTGCCTCCAACAGCCGCATTAATGAGCGCAATTTATGAGGAGCATAAGTGCGTCCGATTTCTCCCTCATGCATAACCGATACTGATCCACTGCAGGGATGAGGATGGGTTCCTTTACGTGAGCTATTCTGGGGAGAACACGTTTGGTTCGGAAGCGCTATAGGAAGATCAGTCATCGCGTGGACGAGCCAGACGCGTCAGCAACAGTCAGGCTACTCAAGTACTGTAGCCTCAATCTCGCGTTACAATCTTCTTTCACTTCCGTTACACCATCATTGTATAGCGTCACACCCACGAATGGTTTTCACAGAATGTTTTACGTGTATTTTATGCTTGCTCTCTGTCTCATTTTTCCCTTGAGAATATAATGATTGTTCGTCACGTCGATGCACGTTCGTCTCCATGCCCCGTTTTATTCTTGAATTATTCCTTCTGCTTTTTCGGTGTGTCTCGACGTAATGACAAGCGGGCAACGGAAGAAACAGGCAATGGCAGAAACGGTCTCTTTTTGATAGGAGGTCCAATTATGCTAATTGATGATGCGATGCTCCCTCTCCCATCTCGGTTGACGACCAGTCATCTTATTTCGGTCTCCAAGCTCGGGTGTATTTTCCGCAACTTACATACGAACTTTGCACTAGTCTCGAAATACGATTATGCCGACTTCTCAAATTGGCTCTGGCTGTTCAGTCTACGCTTTTCTCCCCTTTTTTACCGATCCTTTATCTACGACTGACCTGGGTATACAACCTACTTTCACACTGAGCACTTCGGAACCAAGTATCATCTATTGCTCGTGATTGAGGAATTATCCTGCCAGCTGGAATACATAAATACGCAAAGCGGACGGGCCCCACTTCTCGCAGACCCCCACACTTTGCATACATCTCTTACCCTCGTCATTCGTACCTCAAGCGCAATGATACCCTCCGTGTTACCGAATACATCTCTACTTGGCGGTATAATGCGCGATGAACGGGCTCGAGGTACCCTCTACTTTGAAAGAGAACGATAAATTGAAGTACACATCTATGCGACCTGGCTTGAAGGGCGTTCTCCCTCTTGAGTTTCCGCATTGCTGCTGCTTTCCACCCACCCACCAACGTCTTTCTCCCTTCACCTTGTTTCAAGGGAAAGATGGGTTCTGTGGTATTCCGTTCTAGTATTATCATTTGTGAGTGTTTTATTGTTTGGTCTTTAGTCAGTAAGCTGTTTTTCACACACTAACCTTCATGAAGTCCTTCTCCTTTTGTTCAATGCGGGGTCGATAGCTCTAGGAGTGCTACCTTACTTCTATGGACCGACGGACGGTAAATATATACAATTTAACCCGACTTTCTGAACGTTCCTAAGTATGAGTCATTAGCATTTCAGATCGCACAGATAATTGCCGCAGGAGCGGTGTTCATTCTTGCAATAATTCTGTAAGTCGAGATATTGCATCATATCTCGATATATGTTCAGATGTATTGTTCATAGGCCGTGCTTCGTAGTAGCGAAGAGAGGCAACGGAGTTTATACAGAGTCCTTCTGCTACCTCTTGATGGCCGCTATTGATATTGGTAAGTACAGTTTCGTATTTCTATTTCACTTTCAGGCCCTCCAACATTTACAATTTAATTCTCTCAACAAGTTGCATCCGTCTTCATCACACTTCGATGGGTAACCAACCACCAACTCTCTGACGACTACAGGAATGTCCCACAGAAAGATATGGTGGTCATCATGGTCGTCGCTGTCTCTTGGGCAGCCGCACTCACCGGTAAGACCTTCACAGTCTACATTGCATTCCCAAAGCAATCGAAATTGATCTTACCTTTCTTTCTTTCACATAGGGGCCATCGGTTTCATCCTTTCCATGATCGATGCCTGCTCCAGAGCCATCCGTCGAGACAAGCACCGCGCATCGTTGCCTATCCAAACGCCTCCACGAGAACTCAGGAGTGCTCCCTTTGCACATCCGCATACAACATACATGAGACCCGGTTACTGAACAGAGACGGGTCAAAACAGCAAATAGCAAATAGCTCAGAGCAAAGTAAGAAAGAACTGGTCTGAGTACCAGTGAACCAGAGACAGAGACAGAGACATCGCCTTAAATTATCATCGATCATCGGACTATAGTCGTTCTAGGCTACGTAGTTTTTCCATTTATTTCGTATTTCATGTAGTTTCTCCATACCCTTGTCTTTTTTTTGTTATACAACACATCAGTTTGTTTATTTTGTCATTAGTACAAGAAATGGGACTATAAGCTCATACATAGATCTTCTATAGCTCTGACTATCGTTCTGGTCCTTCTGCAGGAGCATCGGTCTGGGACGCTCTGATGTCTTCTTCTACTTGATTCCTCTCTAATCTGTCGAAATCGATATCAGGTAGATCTTCATTGAGAATTTCCTCGAACTCATCCCAGTAGAGCGCATCGTCATCGAGTTCGTCGACTTCTGGGAAAGTACTCGGAATTTCTTCTAGGCTCGTCTCGACACTATCACCAACAGCGGAATCGTCCACGACCGCCATTCGAGCGTTGATAAACGGTTGCGACTGCGATTCCTCTGGGAGTGCAGGAGCTGGGTCAGAGACGTTTGGCAACGAGGTGTTCTCGCCGCGACCGTACACGTCTGGCCCAGCCAATTGTCCAGAATCCTTAGTCTCATACGAACTGGGATGTCCAATAATTCTATCATCGGGAAACGCAGAGACTCCCGCATTCGTGACAACAAAATCGACCGAACCAGGAGTTGATACCGAGCCGAAAATAACCGAGAAACGTCTCAGTAATACGAATTGATCAAGTTCCTTGTCGTTCTCTCCAGTCATCAGGGACACGCTCGTCGGCCCTCCGTTTAGATGTTGCCGTTTCGCCAAAGGAAGAGGATCATCTAGATATTTCCGCCTATTCGTCCTCGTAAGCATGATTCGTGCGTTCACTTGGTTAGCCCAAACCAGCCCTAAACGTGCCTCCTTTGTGCTCTCCCGTGGAATGAAATGTGCCGAGTTGAACCATTTTGCTTGGTCACGATAAATGATATCGCCTTTAGATGCGTCATCTTGGGCAGCAGGATAGTAGTCGTTGAAGACGTCTGTTACTTCATTAACAACCACGAAGGCGATATTGTCTCTAGCGGCGATTGTGTGCATGACATTCGATAGCTCGTACAACGCTTTCGATCTCTCGAATAAGGTTACGCTGGATGACTTCTCGGGAGTATTGAAGAGTGTAGAGATCGAGTCGATTACTATGAGTCGAACAGGTTTCCGCTTGGCATCTTTCCGAAGTTCATCTTGCAAAGCAGGAAAGGTGTTTCGCAGAGTGTGCAATAGAAACTCTATCGTCGGCGCAGAAACAGTATGAATATCTGAGAGACTGCAGAGTGAAGGTGATAATAGAGGATGGTTTAGAATAAGTTGATTGAGCCTTTTGGTAGGGAGTTTCGCATGGGTCGTAAGGTAGCAGGCAGAACCAGAAAGACCTCCGAGCGCTGGGCGGAGTTGAACAAGAAGGGAGAGCTGCAATGCAAGCTGAGTCTTCCCCGATGCACTGTCATGACAAGTAAGAACCAAGGAAGCGTACGGTTCAAGGAGACATACCTTTCTCCAACTAATTCCCATACCATTCCAGTCCTTATACCTCCTCCAATCACTCTGTCCAGCACCGCATCGCCGGTAGTGAACTTGTCATCTCCGACTTCCTCAAGAAGGTTTCTGATATCCACAGAGCTTGCCACCTCTTTGCACACATTCTCGATAATTGCTTGAGCTTCACTCAGAGATGTCCTCAGTCTCTTCGCAATCTCGCCAGGCGGAGTTAGAACGATATCAGATAGTCCCTTAAAGTTGCCTGCATAAATCAGGATTCGTTCGGCGTAAGTTGAGGTAAATCAACGCACTCTTCTTCAAACCTGCTTTCTGAGCAGGTGACAGTGACTTCACATCCTGAATAGCAAGCAGGTGCAGATTCATGTGAATAAGATATACACCACGCAAAGCGAGTCAATATTATTGTTCAACTCAATCCTTCAGACAGACACCAATCTGCCTGACTCGATCACGTGTATGCTTTGCCATGGGACGCGCCAAACGCGTCGCGTTCAAACTTCAATTTAAACCTCAGTCGCACGGACGCAGACATTTCTAGTCCCAGTACTGTGCATCAACGCTAACTATTGCATGACGATTCTACTTATTTGATGCATTAGTTTTCTCTAGACAGACGTGCAATACGCCAATAGTGCCTTCAGACAAGCGGTGAAAACAATGGCTAAGAGAAACCTGGACAAAGGCAGGTACCGACATTTTCTTTAAATGTCTTCTGACTACGTCCCTGGTACCATGCAAGTTTATGTTACTAGAGAGCGAGAAAAACGAATGAATTTGCATATATATGCATTTATTGGTAGATATACAAGAGATATTGTCTTCCTCAATGTAGAAATGCGGCACTATTATCCATCACATCGCGTTTACTCTAGTGGACGTCGTCACGTTTGAGAAAGGAGTTCTTCGTGGCAAAGTACGGTGATTTGGCAGGGAAACTGGTTTCTTGCTTGTAATTCGCTCCCGTTTACGAATTTCTTGCTCCCCGTGTTCAATGGGTTCCTTCGATTTGACTAGTCTCTCAAGCCTGTCCTTGATCTCTTCCCTAGTCTCCGTTGCTGGACTGTCTGAAGTGAGAATGAGATGACTCGCTTCAAATGATCGTCCGACACCCGCTTCAGAGATCTTGACGCTTGACATCGACTTTTTGGCCGTTGTAAACTGAACAGTCACTGATTCGGAACTAGATACCTGATTGATACTCTTGACCGACGAGTTGTCCGATATCTGCCAGCAATACTCAAGAATCTTTCGGTCAAAGGCTTCGTCAGTCGGAGCACTTCCTAAGGACACTGGCTGGCTCTGCGAAACGCTCATCGGCGTGTTCACGTCTTGAGCAACGTCTGTCTCATAGAATGAGGAAAGACTCCTGTGGTCACGGAGGGAGACGATTTCGGAAAAACGCCAACGGTGTGCCGGAATTTGTCTGCTATTTGTTGCGTAACTCTGATCGTCCGACGTGTCGGCAAATCTTACTCTCGATGTACGCACTGGCCATCTTGATGACACAGGCTCAGAGGATCCGCTAAAGCAATTGCTCTCAACGTTGTATGGGTCAATGCATTGCGACAATGACATACCTCTCAGTTGAGCTAACGGAATCGGCAAGGCTTCCGTGAGTTCCGTCAGCCTCTAGTGTCGAGCTTTCAGAGCTCGAGAATGCTTCACCACCAAAATCGTACCACCAGACACCTGGTGAGACTAGAAGCTCTACGCGTTCATGGTTGTGCTCCGAATCAGCGGGAGTGCTTCCCATTTGCCTGTTTTGAGGATTCGGAGTACCAAGTCTTGATACTCCACTACCTCTTTGGTTGGAAGGACGAAGCGTTCTTATAATTGGCGGTGGTTTTCGTTTAGGCTTCGGGATCTTAGGTAGAGGGAACAGCTCGTCATCGTCCTCTGCATTCTCTTCATAATCATCCGAGATGTCGACCGGAGGGACTGCTTCCAACGGAGCAGCTTCCGCTCCGATCGGCTTGAACGATGCGATAACATTGTCGAGTGCAGATTCACTGTCAACAACGACATTAGACGCCGGGAGTATAGAAGTATCGGTAATAACGATATTAGGGACAGTCTCCGCTAGTGTTCTTGTACGCCGTCTTGACATAATTCGACGTTGTATATATATTGCCAGGAGGACGATGACTAGCGCTCCCGTGATCCCAGCCGCAGATGAAATAATGATGATAATGGGTGTAACGATTGAAGTACTTGTTAAAAGAGTGGAATGAGCAGTAGTGACATCACCTAGCGCAGGTGCCATGGTGGGATGGTGTGTAAGGAGGGTCGTGTAAAGAGCGGAAGGTATTGTCGCCAACGGGGTCTGGTCCAGAGGGAGGAAACAATGGCGAGACACGAGTGGCAGATCATAATGGGCTGACCGTAATGATGATACCCTGCGTCGCTGGCAATAATTATTTAACCGTATGTTAGTCGGAACCTAAATCTTCTCGAAATGGCATTATTTGTAAAAAGTAGACTGCACATTTCCTGAGGACTGAATATCCGAATTTCCTTTGAAGAACAGATTGTAAACTTTCAAGATTGCCTTGGGAGGCGGAAGCTGAGCTCAAGATGGGGATTAAATTCGCGTATCAGGCAACTTTAGGCTCTGCTTGCATTTCCCCTTTCTGAACACGATGTTGACAGAAGAAAATTCCACGGTTACATTTCATAGCTGCATGAATGAAAAGAAGAAAAATTACACTGGTCAACGTCCATTCCTTCCTCTGGTACTTAAGCTATCTGAACTTCCGCCACGCCCAAGTAGTCCTCCGAGACCTCCTACAACGGAAGATACCGCCTCGCTGATCTGTCTCGTCTGCGATTGAGTATGTTTGACGTGGAAAAGACGGACGTTCGTCGCATTCCAGATGCCCAGGGGCGTCATTCCGCGTACATAGATTTCGCCCCATATCAATGAAGATAGCCAGATCATCGATGAGTCCGACCACTGTAGCGTTCATGAGAATTTTTCATCATGCGTTATGAGGAAATGCAAGGCACGTACTAGGAATCTTCGGCAAGGAGGGGATGGCGTTTCAGGAAGAGCATCCTGAATACTTGCTGAGCGCAAGAAATCGATAATCGCAGACGTAGAATTTGCAGAGCTTATTCCCGACTGGATATTCTGCACCTTCGGCAATAGCTCGGAGATCATCAGTAATACAGTGTCAAGTGGAAGGCTAAGCAAAGAGAGCAGTCAATTTAGCACGGAATGCACGGAACAAAGCAAATATCACTTGCCCTTGCTGCCAAGACGTCACCCAATCCTGAGTCGGAACGAAGCCGTTACGTCCTATTCCTGCAGCTGCAATCCTCTCTAAACTTCCAGAAACATCGAGCGAGTCAGACCGTTGGCGCTCCCTCATCTTCCCCCTGGCCTTTTCCGATCTCGACTGCGCAGTCTCGCTTGTTGACGGGGACAATGGAAGTTGTTCAGAACTATTTTGCTCCGTCTCTCCCTCAGGTGAGCGAGGAGCGGAATCAGTGGGGGTTGGTCGTGGTCGATCTCGTGGCATACGCGCTTCCAGATCAGGTTCAGCTGAAATACCAAGAGCATCTCTACCTTCCGTTGACAGTAATCGAGCCTTTTCATGTTCAGGCGCCTCTTGATTCGTATCGTCCGTAGTTTTGCCCTTGACATTTCCTGCCTGTCTCTTTGCCTGCTCCTCCTTCGCCAACTGCACGCGTCGAATTTCCCGTAGCCCTCGGGCGAGAGTAAACGTCCCGAGGTCTTCAAACGACTTGTGTGAACGGAGAATTGCGTACAAGAGGTTAGGATTTTCGTTTAGGTGATTCAATATGACTCCGTTGAAGGCCTCCAGTCTGCAAATACTTTCAGTAACTTGCGTCGGAAAAAGATTCTCAAGCAGGCTTACAAGAAGAATAGAAGCCTTGGGTGCCCTTCATCAGAAAGCAAGAATGACGGATTGGTGAACGCATTGAACAGTGAAACTAAGCGGTTCGACGAGACAACGGACAAATGCTTGAAGTATGGGGCCGAATTGGATAGTGCGATGATTAATGCGGGATAGAGTGAATTCAGTATACCGGACGTTGTCGCTACAACGGCGTAAACCGACTAATTCACGGCGTGAGAGCATCGTCAACGTGAAGAATGTGATACTCACGTTAATCATGAAGTCGCCTGCAGTTCCTTGACATGCCCATTTTGCAGGTAAGTGCATTCGTATGGGAGAGGATAACTTGGCATTGAATGCTGGTTCAGCGGAAAGCGTCTGCAGGATATATGAAATGGCACGACACAAGCCATGTTGCTCTTAACAGCACGTTAGTTACTAAATAAATACACTGGTCAAGGCGAGCTTACCGGGTTTGTCCTTCGACTCCATGAAGTAGCAAAGGAGATAAGTCATGAGATCTACTGCCTTCTCTGACTCCAAGATGTACGTTCGGAATTTCTAATAAATATAAGAACGGTTAACGATCCCACATTCAGGTGAAAGGATGAAACGGGTTGGCATACCTTGTTGAGCTCCACCATTTTCCAGAAAAAGACGACTTTCATTTGTAATCAACAACTTGAAATCAAGAACATGACTACAAGCACTCAACTTGTTTCGAGAAGATGGGGTATAGGCTTCTTTGAACCAGGTAGGACGTTATTGATAGCAGCCATGTACTGTTCCATAATACCAATAATCCCATTGGCTACAAAAACGAAATCTGCCTGCCGGTGCTGTGGGCCACTCGTTAATCGGACATCGAGAGTATACACAGCGACAAGTTGGCACATACAAGTTTAGCTAAGAAATAGCGGAACGCATTCGTTTTTGCTGATGGCGTCGCAGAGAAAGGATCGTTCGGGCTGTTGAGGATGTCGCGTGCCGCTCCGCTTTGGAAGTCCAACAAAGCACAGAGCACTTGTAGTGTCTCACCAACTAGTGTAAGGCGGACATCCTCTCCTTTGAAAACCAGATGGTTGTACGGCAAAGCAGCTGCAACGCTTCCAATTCTGGGGGAAGTGCTTGATTGGGGTGAGTTCATAGCGGTGTTCAGCAGTGAACATAGGATAGTAAGAATGTGTCTTCTAGGTGTTCGCTGGACGAGGGCGAGGGAATATGGAGAGGCTACAGTCAACAGTGAACCTGGTGGTATATAGATTTGTTTTGAAAGGAGGACAAGTAGGAATCGCAGCACTTCGACTTTGTTTTGATCGTGTGCTTGATTAGGGCCTGGGTCTATAGTCGAGCCTACACCTTTCTCCCTAGGCACGTCATGGTCAGCAAAGTAATCCAGACAAGGAGGTAGGGAACACTCGCACCAAATGACATAGTTAATCTTGTGATCACTTTCTTGAATTTTAGTGGGTAGAGTGAACCCGCAACAGAAGAGTAGGTCTATAGTACATGCTATTAACCGCTCTGCTAGCGTTGGCGATGTTTTCTTCCTTTCCTCATTAGTCTTCGTCGATGATTGGGAACTATTCTGGGGACTGGGACTCGAGGGCGATTTAGGCGGTCCAGTAGTGGAAGCATCATCATCTTCGTCCTCGTCATCAATCACAAACTGCGGCCTGTCGTCCAAAGTGCCGGTATTCCTTATGTCAGCGTCTTCTTGTACTTCCTCGCGTTGCCAAAGTAGCTTCCTTTCAAACTCTTCGTTCTCAGCCTCGAAGACTACAGGAAGAACTCGCTGCAGTACTCGAAGACAATTAAGTGCTTCCTTGGTGGGATCCCGCTGAGCACTCGCGGCCGAAACGCCGGCTGATGTCGCCGCATTTTTTATGAAAGAAGTTGCAAAGGAGCCTGCTCCAGACGATGGCGCCGTGGGGAATGTACGATCTAGAAGCAAATTGAAAAGACGCGTTGACAGAACGCGCACGAGTGTAGCAACGTTCTCTGGAGCATCATTAAGTGCTCTTCGAACTGTTTAAGTCAATAACAAGAACTTGGCGAAGTATATTGGCGAATAAACGTACTATCATTTGACGAAATCAAAGAAAATGCGTCTGAGGGAGAGTCGAATAATGTCGCATACTTCCAGGAGGTCAATTGACCAAGCACGGTGAAAGAAGACAACGATCAACGCACTTGTTCCCAATACGTATCCGTCGCACTGATAGCCTATTCCAAAGTGTAATGTTATCCAGAGTCTCCCTCAATGCACAATCGGATGACAACGCACTCTGCTTTCCGCGAGCTTTCTGATTCCTCCTGGTTGCGTCCTGAATGAAAGCTTCGCGTCGTCACCCAGGATGCCGAACGGCGAAGTTAGCTTCTGCGGCAGTTTAGAGAACATGTCTTTAGGTTTATGAATTTCGCAAGTCTGCCTGCAGTGTTTCTCCTCGTAGACTTAATATGAGCCGTGCCGAGAGAACATTGACACGATACAGGACAGGTTTGAGGCTGTCGAGCTGCGGTGGGCCAGCGACCCTGATTATTTGATCTGCGTCCACTTTTGGACATTACAAGAGTTCAACACCGAAATTATCGCAACTCTGTTCTCCTCAGTCCAAACTACTTGACATCGCAATGCTAATTTTCGCGTACATAGCCTTTCATACTGCCCGTATATTATACGAAAATAGTGCTGAAGCCGTCAGGGCCTTGCAAAGCATGTCCGTAGCGTTGACACGCAGCAAGTTTGCAATATTACTATCTCTCAATGTCATATTTGAAGTGTGCACAAGGCAAGGAAACTGTAGCGATTGTTCCGAACTCTTTAGGACAAATTAGATAACTGCCAGCCAACGTAAGGCCTAAGTAGTGATACTGTATTTAAGAAAGAATTACAGGTAGCTTAGGTGTATATCAATACTATCGAATTTATACGCGCTTCCTGCTGATAAACATCTCATTCGATTCGTACGAGACTTAGATATTGCATGTATATTGTACGAAACACTTAGCGGGAGAATTAAATACTTTGTTTCTTAAAAATTAATGGGTTTTCAGCTCATTTTCGGCACGAAAGGGTATCTTGCACGTGACCAATAACGTGCCAGAGGCAAGACGCGTTTCCGCCATCGAGACGCGCTCCTCTCCAAGTTTCACCCCGTACTTATCCATTATCCATATGGGTGAGCCTTTGTGAGTTCCATACCCCAAGAAGAAGTGCACTTCTGACGCGTTGATATGTCAGACCAATCCCAGAGTCTGTTTCCCGAGCAGAAAACACGCACATTAACCTTCCTAATGAGACACCGTCATTCCTACTCGGAGAAAACCACAAATCATATAGACACCAATTCTCAAACATATACTTTGCGAGGCTTACTTTACTCAAAAATATCGTGGAAAAGAAAGCAAAAGAGCGGTGGAAGGGTCTGAGTGGTAAGTAATAAAAGCCGAATTATACGAAGTATAAATCTTAATGACATGTCCAGGTTCGCCTCCGCTTGTTCCTCGCGTGCTCGACGTTGCAAAGTCTCAAGTATGCTTCATCATCGGAACCGTGTATTTGAACATGCCTCAAAAGCCAAACGTCCTTGAGGACGTTGGGCGTGACGTACGAATTCCTCTCTATCCCAGTGAACAAATGGTGTCTAAATATTGACCCGCCGTTTTAGCGATATTTACCGGAACCAGCCCCTCGCGAGAAATATCTATCACCGGAAGATGAAATAGTACTTGAAGATGACTCTGGCCGAGTGCAGCTTGTTGGAGAAGCATTGCAACGCGTCATAGATTATTCCTCGTCTGAAGAAGCAAATGGTGACAAACCCAATGGTTGGGGCAACGTGCTTGTATCCGGTGTAATAATGGCAGCTCTCGGTCGAGAAACATCATCCGGAGCATTTGAGGTCAAGGACGTATGCTTTGCTGGGATGGCACCTATGCTTTTCAAAAGCCCCAAAACGGGTGACAACATGGAAGTGGACAGTAAGTTCCCAATTTCGTACTTTGGCTAGACAGCCACTCACCATTCTCATTCTGGTTAGCCGAATTTCCGGATAGCTGGATTGCTTTTGTATCTGGCCTCGATATGGGGGAGAGTTCAAGCATGGATCCTCGAATGCAAATGCTCGTTGAGTACCTTAGTGGCGAGGCAGGCGCACAAGAAGATACCATTTCTCAAATATCGCGGTTGGTCATAGCCGGGAACTCCCTTGCTCCTGTGACAGCCGTTGCAGATACAAAATCCACTGTCGTTGACACTGGCTCAAAATCGGTAAGCGCCTAAGTGCTTCATTTGGTGATTTGTGAATTTTAATTTCACCTAGAAACGCTTCGGACAAGAAGCGTCGAACTTCTCTCCTGTACCTACAAATATGCTCGGCGACTTTCTACTGGACGTCGCAAGTGTAATGCCCGTGCATCTTCTTGCTGGTGCGAGGGATCCGTCTGGAACTCTGCTTCCTCAACAAGCTCTTCCCCGTGCAATGTTTGGAGAAGTTAAAACGTTTGAGAACTTCTCTTGCGAGACGAACCCGGCGTGGCTAGGCTTCAACGCAGATCCTTCCTCTGGAAAAGACGCGCGGCAGCGTGCTGTCCTTGTACATTCCGGACAATCCGTGGAAGACATGTATAAATATGTTCCTTCACCACCAACGACACGCCTGGACCTGGCCTGTGCCACTCTGCAATGGAGACATATAGCACCCACTGCACCAGACACTCTGTGGTGCTACCCGTACCAAACCACAGATCCGTTTGTACTAAAGCGGACGCCTGATTTATATGTGGTTAGCTGTCAGCCCGAATTTGGAACGCGACTAGTCAGCAGTAATGATTTTGGTGAAACAGCTACCTCGGAGGACGGAGAGCGAAAGTGCAGGGTTGTTCTTGTTCCGAACTTCAACGAAACAGGATGTCTAGTATTAGTCAATATGCGAAGTCTGGAAGTGAAGTGTGTGGAATTCGGTCTGGCGGGTCGCCTGAAGGATGCAGAGCTACCTTCTGCGGAGAAATGACACATTAGGGCATTGGTGCGTCGTGTAGGATATAGTGTATTACTCATCATTAAGGACTGATAATATTACACACGCAACTGTAATCATTCTTCAAATATTTCAGTGGACAATTAAGAGCTCTATCGTTACGCTTATTTTCATTGCACAGGCTTTGAGCTTATCTCAACTTACCAGTCCCCGACTCAACTTTGCCCGTGTATGGAATTTGGGACATCAAAGGCTCCTCGAGTTCAACCAACAGGAAGAGGACTTACGAATCTTACTGGGGCGATATCTCTCAAATTCTGACCCAGTCCCACGGTAAGAACAAGCCATACATTCCGGTGGGAAACGAAGGTACAGATAGCGCCGGAAGAGGTGACTAGAAAAATAGAAGCATACAAAAATGGCGCGTGTCGGGACTCGGTTGGTCTGATCAAACGTGGGGTGCGCCTGATGGCGGGCCGCATTCCTGCTGCTGCGGAAAGCAGTGTGAGAAGTCGAAGGTGAGTTCTCGAGGCACATACTCACGGTGTTCAGCTATCTTCCACGAGTGACTATCTTGCTTTACAGCGCGAGAAATAGCATACTCCTTTCATACTCCCAACAGATTTCACGATTTTGAGGAGTCGAGGTCATCATATCGGACGGAAAAGCGAAAGTTTTCAGGGAGGACCGTAGCAGTGCGATCGATATTTGAAATTGACTGTGCGCCGACTTCCCTATCCCGACTGATGTGAAATTGATCGAAGTTTAAAATTTCAACAGAAAGGCGCGATTTCAGGTGCTTCGTGCGCCTCCTCCCGACCCTGTTCATTCTTCATCACAATCCATCGTTTCACTTGAATCTCCGCGGGTGCTTATCCGGCCTTCCTATCTCCATTACAACGCCGGTACAGTCCCACAAGGCATATCTTCTCAATGCCGACTAAGCTTCAGGAGCGCCATGAGTCGGCATTGGCTATGAAGCGAAATGCATCCGTCCGCGACGGGGCTTTCGTTCCCATGATTAAGTGCCACTCTCGCTCGACGTGAGAGAGATATTTCATACGAGGCATTTTGGCATGTGCTAGACCGTACTAAACGGCTCACTGCATCACCGTGTTCACGTCGTTGGTCTTCTCCGCAGCCCTCAGCCAAACAGAGGTCGTGTATAATAACTGGCAGTCGTTTCTACATTCTCACCCCCCTCCGCCCGCTTTCTGCCTTGTTTCTCTTGGTAGTTGAAAAAGTTGCCTTTGGCGCCTGTTGATACCTTTGCCCACCATGCATTTTACGACCGCTGTCGTATCTGTGCTCGCACTCCCCGCCTTCGTCGTCGCCCAATACGGCGCACCGCCAGCTGGCAACTCGAACCCGACGACGACTAGTGCTGTTTCATCAGCACCCTCAGCTCCTCCTAACACACCAGGCTTTATGAATGTGAGCCGGACCAAGTAAAAAAAACCTTTCAAATTGTTCATCTTTGCAAAGGTCGACGTTGGTCCTGGTGAACAACTGGTATACAACCCGGCTAACTTCAGCGCGCCGAACGGCACAATTGTTACTTTCTATTTCCCTAAGTTCGTCAATGAATGTAACTTACCGTCTCAAAATGTATTAACGAAAATTCCAGCGATGGACTCTACACACACACGGTGACGCAGTCATCATTCAACGACCCATGCACACCTCTTGCGGCGAACTCTACCGCCGGTACACCCGCTGGCTTTGACTCTTCCTTCCAGGCTGGCGTTCAGTTCTCAATCAACATCACAAACGACCAGATTCGTGAGTCATTTCTTTTTTATCCCACAATTCTGCGTTTGTCGCTGACCGCTAATTCCTCCAGCCATCTGGTTCCACTGCAAGCTTCCCATGCACTGCGGGTTGGGAATGGTTGGGTGAGCATCATGCAGTGCTTTCAAACGGGCTTGAGATTAAAACAACTGCTCTCAGTGCTATTAACGCCCCGACAAACGGTTCCAACACATACGCGGCCTTCCAGGCAAAAGCAATGGCCATTGGCCAAAGCGAGCCAGTCGTAAGTACCACCGACGCTTGCGTGTCTTAAGCTTCCTCAACCTTCTGTATCTAGGAGAGCACAGGACCGATCGTACTAGGCGGTTTTGCTGCGAGTGCAGCCGCCTCTCCTTCTAATACTGCATCTGCTGGAGGCTCGGGTTCTCCATCCGGTATGGACATCTACTCCCATCCACTGATTTCACGGGCTTACTAAGTTCTTTATTTTTTCACAGGCGCTACTCGACTGTCCGTAACGTCCGCCGCTACTGCATTATTGGGTGCCGCGGCTGCAATGATTCTCTTCGCTTAATGACCAGCACTCTTGTATCTATTTACATTGCTTTATTCATCTGGACATGAAGTAGACTCATGCTACTTTCACCAATGCACTGTGTAATCTGGCTTGCTGGATTACTATGCTCTATTTCGATAGAATACAAAACCTTATTGCTCGTCATCTCTACATGAAGCGATTTTCACTTTGTGTTGTCGACAGTGGAGGGAACGGGTATAGACCGAAGTACACCATTCGCAAGTACCTTGACACATTTGTAGGGTGATAAGTAATCGACTCGTTCGATAAATCCAACTTCTAGCGTTATTCAGGACATCTATTTGTTTCAAAACCTTGTACGGTTGCTGTAGTCGTGTAGAGGAAAGTCCATTTTTAGTCCAATCAACAAATGAAAACTTCCATTTATTCAGAAGCGTGCCAAGGCAAACCCAAACCTTTTTATTAGCAAACGAACTTTCTCAGCTCCCGCCCATCAGTTACTCTTAGAAGGGTGGAATAATGTGGTCGTCTCGGTTTCACTCTTCCTCTACTTACACGGGTTCTGCATACTATCTGTTTCCCCTATTTTGGAAACTGTTGATTCTAAATTTGGTCCTATTTGTTTGGACTAAATATACTTTATATTGTTGTCCTAATTTGTCAACATAGGCCTGTTACTAAGGACAAACTTCATTTTAAATTAGAACAAGCTAGCAATTGCTCTAAATGTATGTGATAACGACGTGGAAACTGCAAAAATAGATAATACCCTCGAAATAAATTATGTTTCAAGTTTTTTTAAAATCGGAATCGTGTGCATTATCCGCTAGAGAAAACTAAAGAAGAATTAATTATACATAACGAGGTTCAATAATCTGATGCACCCCTGTTTATTCATTTGCATATAGAACGAGATTGCAAACGTCTGGGACTTGAAAATCGTACAGCAAGTATGACGCCTGTAAAGAGCTGTACAGAACCTATAGAGAATAGAACTGAGCCCTTTTCCTTATTTAAAAGTTACGGGCCAGCATTAAATATCACGAAGTTTCTGGGAAAATCAAATGCATAATTTCCATAGTGCATTTCAAAGTGAATGTAAATATCTTTAGCATCATCCCTTGACAGCAATATGGATAGCAAAACGCGGAGCATCTCCATTACAATAACTACCAGGTCAAGTACGACATTGGCTCATTCCATTTCCATGAGGTGTTCCATACGCTGTCGATGCAAATAATTGCACAAGTTATAAAGGTGAGCGACATGGCGGAGTAGGCAAGAGCCGAACGTACCCAGCACCAAGCACTCCACCAATCCCCAATTGATCCGCCTCCTTCCCAACTATAATCCAATCGGGGGCTGCAATACCTGTACGAGGTACGAGGAGTCGCAAAACACGTTCGAGTCCTTCTGATCCTCCACTATTGTCGTCAGAGCTGCCTGCCAGTATAACGGCCGCACCATAAGGGTTCAAATGATTCGGATGAGTGAAGAGGATCCCAATATCCTTATCTGCGTCAGGCAATACTCGGTTGCGGAACAACCACTCTCCACTTTCTGAGATCCCAAATTCTGTTTGTCGTTCGGACTGAGGTACTTGAAGGAGTTTACGTGATAGAGCATTTTCCTTTCCACCAAGAATTACGATGTTCCCTTGAAAATGGTATTGCATGTGCCTAGGGTTTCCTTCCGAGTTCGAATTGAGACGATGAAGAGCTTCTGTATCAGTGATTATTTCGCTGTCGATTTTGATGTAGACATCGAGTGCATGAGAGATTCTCAACGCTGCAGACAGCATGCGCGTATAGAAGTGCGGGTCTGAAGGGATGACAATTGTTATTGGTCCTGATGTATCAAAGATATTCTGCAACCTTCCTGGTGGAACAGGTGTTGAGGAAGATGAGTCCTGGCTTTCCTGCTGAAATCACGAATAAAGACTACGATCGCAAGACTGAAAGACACAGTACTTACACGCCAGGACCTATCTTCTGCAATGGTAAACGTTCGTTTTTGCTTCTCCTGAGCGGCCATTGATAGATGACTTCCATCCACTACAACCGGACTACGACACCAAAGAGATCCAGAGTCGACGGAGAACTTGCGCACATTCGTCGTCCTAATGTGCGTATTGCCGCTATGTGTGTCGACTTGCAGGCGTGCCAGCCTTCGATCAAAATAAATGAGAATATTTGATTACTTCACGGATCGAGCAGAGAATACCTACCGCCCAGGAATTATAAGTTCGTCAATTGTGCAGCCATGCATACTCCCAGACCGAACGGGATCGGCAACAGTCAAAGTGAAGTATGAAGCGTCATTCACTATTTTATCGTTTTGGTTATCAGGATCAAGTACTTTCTTCAGGAAAGAAAGTACTGTATCGCTTTCGAACACGCCTGGGTACCAGTGCTGCTGACCTCCATCCACATGGAAGCTAATGTTTACCCAAAACATAGCATAAGACGGGCAATTTGTGAGCAATGTTCTATACTCACGATACATTAGAGGCATTCCCCAGCGACTTCATAATAGAAACGTATTCTCTTGAATGCCAAGTTGGAACATTGGTATCATTGCCCCTGAACACGCAGTTAACACTTGTGATTCCGGATACGAATTTCCACTTACCCATGTACGGCAAGCACAGGCACATTGTCTACAAGATTCCCAAGGAACAAAGCATTGTCATCCGGCATGAACGAACTCTCTAGTATAGAACGCAGCGCAGGGTCCGCAAATCGTGCGCCGTGCGAAGGAGTGAGCGGGACGTAGGCGGCTGGACTCAAGTAACCCGCCGCTGGGATAACCGCATGTGTGCGATCTGGGAAGCGACTTGCGAGGTACCAAGCACCCTGTCCGCCATTCGAGTGGCCAATAACGACAGCACGTGTATCTGGTAGAAATGCCCAGGACTTCCACTCGGTTTTGCTATGTAGTATTTTGCCGAGGGCCGAAAGTGTCGCCCAAGCTTCAGACGCACTCGGACCATGCCAATCAAGACCCTACAGTTAATAAACACGAGAGCCGGAGCTCAATAACCGAGATAAATCAAGCCAAAATGGTATATGTGCTTACCCATTCCGTACGCCCAACCGGCATGACAATCCAGCTGTGTTCTTGACGAGGAAGGGCATCTGCCCATAATGGCTGCGAAATAATATCGACACCTGCGCCATCTGTAGACGCTTCAGTCTAGTATTAAAAAATGATAGGCGAATGGAGACTAACGAAGTGCAAGGAGAGGAAGATAACTAGAATGACCATCAGAATTCGGGCTTGTAGGTGCCTTGGCGAGAATATATGTCGGATGAGAAGCAGCAAAGAAAAATGTCGCGCGAATAGGTTGGACATTTGAAGTATCCCATTGTTTTAGGTGTCGTAAATTGATCCGTATGGGTATTGATACAGTTCGAGGTTCAGCTGCTCCATTATCTTCATGACGTTCCTTCAAGACAAGGTCGAAAGACAATAATCCTGCGTTGTATGCCTCAGTTTGCTGGATAGAGATTGGGACGACACGAGTCTGCGATGGTGCAATAACTTGCTTGTGCAGAAGACTAAGCGATAGACCCTGATGAGAAATGGCAAATGTCAGGAAATTGTATCATCCTCGTCATGAGAAAGCCCAGGCTTACTGTCGGGAATTGTTCCGGAAGTTTAATATCATCAACGGTCCACCATCCATCGATGCTGCGAAGTCCAATGCCCAACGCGTCTCCGAAGGCGAATCCATCGACAAAATCACAGGTTATATCGTGCGTTGCTTGTCTGACGATTAACTGTTGATTCTCTTCCAATGTGACGGCTAAGTTTATTTTCAACGTCGGAACTTCTTGACAAGCGCTGCGTGGATCTCCGAATAGCCGGATCTGACAGGCATATTCATAGATACCCCTGGAATGGCACCAAAAAGTAGGCAGCATTTACCTCATAGTCACCACTGATGTAGAAATCAAAAGTCGTAGGCTTATCGGGATTTAATACGCCAGGGAGCTCGACGGTATTTGGAGCAGCATGAGCCATACCGTATATGTTTCCGGGGTGCCATTCTGGGTGAACTCCCGTTGCCTCCCTTGGCAGGATCGTGAAGAAGGATCCTTGAGTTAGCTCAACCCGGAGCTTGGGTTGCAATGGTCTTGGATTTTTCGTGCGAGGTGGAAGGAAGGTGAGCGGTGCACGAAGGACTGAATGGAATTGCAGTCCAGCCCAACCCTCCGTTGCTCTAATCTTCTCCCATCTGGATTACTTATTCAATGCCAGCAATGGGAATGTAATATCAAATTTGAGACCTGACATCAGGGAATGACACGGCGAGTTCTCCCCTGGGATTCAAGAAAGCTGCCTTCCAGGATACCTCTCCGCTTTCAGACAAGGACGATGGCCATGTCTCCTCCAAATCGCGAGAATACGGAGCTGATACTGAAGTCTCATCAGTATTGACCTCTATAGGAATCGTGGCTCGAGTATGATCCTCACAGCTCAAAGGAAATCCTGGAGATATAATATGCTGTTCTCTTGCATGAATAGGAAATGGCCCGAGGGTCTAATTTGGCGGTATTATGATGTTCCGTGTAATAGCTATGAAGCTTTAATAAACGCATACTTACGTCCCAATTTCTAGGAGGTATGAGTTGCCATTGGTCCAAGTCAGAATCCATTTTGAGGGAAACTTGGGCTATATTCGAAGAAAATCCGGTAGCTACAGCACAGTGAAATGTGATTACGAATATTAGAACGGCAGACAGCAGAGCCAAGAACCGTAGATGGACCGTGTTCATGACAGTTCAGGTTCAAGATTAAGTTCCCAGAGATCGACGCACCCGTTTTGGAATGGCGTTGTAGGAAGTATAAAGGATAACCGAAGCACCACTGGTGAACAACATCCACGATGTCTGGTAGACAAGGCGGAAAGTTAAAGCCTCTCAAGGTATTTATACTCAATTAATGCCCACTCGATGCCCTGCACGTCTGATACCACGTCATTTACAGACGGCCAAAAAGGCACAGAAAGACGAGGACGAAGACGACAAGGCTTTCAAAGAGAGGAAGAAAGCTGAAGCTGCTGCGCTGGCAGATGCAAGAGCAAAGGGTATGTACCCACCACAGACAGTTCAAAATGCAGACGAGCTTACGACATTAAATTTATGTTTACAGCTGCGAAGGGTAAGTATCAAGTGTTGTACACTACCCGACTGCAAAGCATTTTCTTAAATTGATTTTAGGTGGCGCTCCTGGAGGTGGCATTAAGAAGTAAGCTTCTCCTTGCATGCAAAGATATTCTTTCACTATGATTAACATTTTGGCACTTACAGGTCTGGAAAGAAATGAGCTTCTTGGTTAAAAGGACATTGCATTCATATTTCTCTGCTTTGGGCACTATCGTGTAATGACCGTGTACTTTGCATCTATTGCATCTATGCATTCAGCCGTGAAGGTTCATCATACCGGATTACAGCATTGTCTTGCCCCGACAACCCGATTCGTTATCAGTCCGCTCTCGGAACTGCACAGACACAATTGGTGATGCATTTATGGGGAAATAGAGCAACAAAAAATCAATGATCATCCCCCAGTTGTCCTGCAAAGGGATGAACAAAGATACACTTTGCAATCGTCAAGAAGGATAAACTAGAAAAATAATCGCGGGAATAAAGTGTTTGATGGAGAATGTTGTTGTATCGTGTACACCTCACACCGCGGGAGTACGTAGAAATTCAGGGACCTGTTAGCATTGAAGCGACGGCTTTAGGAATGAAACGGAGATTTCGCTGCAAAAAGAAGAGATTTTCTACTGCCATCAAATCACGTTCTGTCTATCACCACTTTGCCCATCTTGCTGCTGCTGCTGCAAAGGAAGAGGGGACTTGATCTGTGTTAGAGAGGGGCAGTCTGACTGAATTGGTTCTCTGTTCGCGTCATCACTTGTGCCGCGTATGTTTGGTGGTTCCCACGCAGGATTTCGACACTCCAGTCCGTCCAACAGACACGGCACCGTCATTCCCAACGATTTCATCGGCCGATACTCGCAAATGTTGAGCAACCTCGCCGGCCTTCATGGCCAGGGCGGCCAGCAATTTCAGCAGCAGCAGGGCCAACAGCAGCAAGGACAGCAGCAACAACAACAACAGCAGCCCAACCAGGCTCCCCCGCCTCCCCCACCACTCAATGGCCAGGACCTAAACCTATCAAACATCCTCCATTTCTTACAGTCAGAATGGCGAAGATACGAACGCGAACGGAACGAATGGGAGATTGAGCGTGCAGAAATGCGGGTGCGTTTGTGTTGTTTTCGTTTTCTCTTTCACGAGCAACTTCTCTGACGCGGTGACGTTTGCAGGCGCGTATCGCGCTCCTCGAAGGGGAACGGCGTTCCTTTGAGAACACTCGCATTGACCTATTGCGACGCATTAAAATGCTTGAATTCGCGCTGCGTATGGAGCGGTACGCGCGTTCTGAGTCGTCGGCTTTCTTTACTCCCCCAACTCAAATTGTTGTTTTCCAGCGCAAAGCAGCTCAATCAACCAGCAAGCCAGGCACCTGTGCCATCTAAGGTCGCTGCACTTCAGAACCAGTCCAACCCGGCATCGACTAAGGATGAAACTGGCAGCCACAAGGAGGGCAGCAGTGGTAGCTCTCCACGTAGCGAAGGTGCGCCTTTCTGTCGCATGCAATTCATCCCCCGTCTTATGAACAATGAACTTCTCGTCTCAGATGTGCCCCTACCCTCTGAGAACCGTATGTCGATAGGAGGGCCAAGTCTCCCGAACGGAATTGGCGCGTCTAACCCGAACAAAGCCAACACCTGGGGTGGCTCTAATTGGTCGGGTGCACCAAACGCAGCTGCTTTGGGGAAACCACCTCCAGGCAGAGACCCTAAGAGCCGGGCACGGAGTAGAGATTATCTTAAACAGTACGCTACTAATCTGTCTGTGTATTCTTCGAATATCTACTAATAATGGATTGTCTTTAGATGCCTACAGGAGATATCTTATTTGACATCCCCTCAGGCCATGAATCCTCTACCTCAACGACCTCTTCTTAGCAACCAGACGATGCCTTTGACTCTTCCGAACGTCCCTGCACTGAACGAAATGGCCTTCAATGGAAGGCCAAGGAAAGTGTTACCTGAAACTGGCAAAGATTTCCCCGTTTTGAATGGTATGATGGGTGGGCCAGTGGCGAGTCAATCGGGATCCAACAATCAGGGCTCGGTGCTCGAAAGGGATAATGGGATGAACACTGGGTCAAATATCCCTCTGCAGCAGCCTCAACAACAAAATGGACCTCAAGGCAACGGCTTCCAGCAACAACAGATGCAACAACAGCCCATGGATCAAGTGCATTCGCTCCAGTTACCAGGACAGCAGGCTAACAGGGAAGGCCTCGATAAATCTGAGGGAGTAGATTCGCAAATACCTACCGCAATTTTCCGTCCGGATAGGGAATTCAAAGAGCGTTTAGAACGGGCACGCTCAGAAAGATTCTCCCCGCAGGACAGCCACGGATCTGGTGTCTCCGCATGGGATACGTCGGGAAAAGACGAAGACGACGATGATAAAGAGGATGTAGAGATGGATGATGAGGATACTACCTCAGCAGCCAGTGATGATGACGGGAAAGTCTGGCGGCCCCGACGTACTCTGCGAAAGTCAGTTTCATGTGTTTGAGACCTATTTTGGGAAACTAATCTATGTGCAAAAGTCATCTTGATGCTGTAAGAGCACTGTCTTTCCACCCGACCGAGATGTGCCTCGCGACTGGTGGGGACGATTACACAGTAAAAATTTGGAGAATGGACGTAGTCGGCTTAGCGTCATCCGCGTAGGTTCTACCCTTTCATTTTAGCCTACACGCGTTCTAACACGCGCTTAATGTAGAACACGCGGAACCATCGAGGTTGAGCCTCAATTAACCTTGCGTGGACATACCGCTCCGGTTACAGCACTTGTACATTCTCCTCAAAAACGCCTTTTGTATTCTGCATCATTGGATTCTTCAATACGCGTGTGGGCATTGCCTCCTGCAGCGCATACAACCTATGCCCCTCATGATCCAGCTCGGATCCGCGGCGAACTTGTTGGGCATACTGACTCCGTATGGGGACTCGCACTGCTCCGTGATGAGAGCGTGCTTGTCAGCTGTGGAGCGGAGGGAACCGTGAAAGTATGGGATGTCGGTGCCGCATCTGGCATAGGCGCTTTGAAGCTGAGTTGGGGTTACAATGGGCTTGACAGTGAGGAAGACGAGCCAACAGAGACTCCAGGCGCGACTTGTCTTGAGGCCATCAAGTCGGACTTGAAGAAAATTGCCGTTGGGTATCAAAACGCTACCGCGAAAATATTTGATGTTGATACCGGCAAGCAACTGCTTCTCTTACAAGGCGAGCCCAGTCCGGGTTTGTTTTAAGTTCTGTATGTGAAACGGGAGCTTTATTTGATGACTGTTGTTACAGAAGGCGCAGAGAGCTCTCAAATTAATAGCATCGCATCGCATCCAACGATGCCCCTACTTGTCACTGCACATGAAGACAAGCATATCAGAATATGGGACATTGTTACCGGTCCGTATCGAGGCACGGTTCTGACCATTAACAACAGCTAACGATTATATTAATCCTACAGGCCAATGTACACACTCAATGGCAGCACACCTCGACGCAGTCACTTCGTTGTCCATTGATGCCGCTGGCTTCTCGCTGGTTTCAGGTGGCCATGACTGTTCCGTCCGCTTCTGGGACCTCCTTGGTGCCCATGCATGTATCCAAGAAATTTCGAATCACCGCGAAAAGGCCCAGGAGGGTGTACTTGCCGTTGAATTCCACCCTTCGTTGCCATTCATGGCAAGTGCTGGTGCAGACGGCGTTGTCAAGCTTCATGCATCATCGTAATGATAAACAAAATACCATCTTCCCTTCTATGCTCACGTCGTATATGATTTCCGTTTCTGTTGTTCCTCATTCTTTGTGCTTTATTTATCGCACAATACCACCTCTTTTATTTTTTTTCCGTCCTTCCTCGCCCTTTGTCATGATCTTTTTTTTTCCTGTTCTGTTTCTTCTTCTGATATCGATCCCCCCCGCACTAATTAATATCGCTTTGGAGGTCAACTTAGCAAACAGTGTGATTGGCGGTTAGCATGCCAAAACAACAAATGCATTTACTTTCAGTCTTTATAGATATATCCTGTTTCATGTTTGATACACACGCAGTCATGCAGTATGTGTCGGTATAAGTGAGAAAATAAACTGTGCACTTTGCTTAGTTTGTTTGAGAGGTGGGTCATTTTATTTTTATTTTCGTTATAATTGAGATTGGTTGAATCAGCTCATGCACGATGTGTATTGGCTACAGGTTGCTAATGATACAATGCTGTGGTATCTAACGAATGAAATGCCCGGAGAAGAGAAAGATAAAAACCCAATGGTATGTTCGGAGAAATAAAATCAAAACGAAATCTTATATTTCTGCGCGATGTTGTCGATTGTCAGTCACCCACATAACTCGCAGAACGTGGACAGAATACATACGAATAAGGTCACCTTGCGCTGCTGCAAGGATCGTAGCACCAAGGCCCTTCTCTTCTACCAGACTGCGTACGTGCTCTGATATCACAGAATGCATAGGACGGCCGGCGAATTTCCCTTCCATGTCCTCCTTGCAGTGGATGATGTATATTGTTATCCCCTCGAGAGAGCCGTGCAACACCGTTCCTGTCCCATTCGAAGCAGTTTGTGAATGCTTAGAACGCTTGCGTTCCGGGGATGCATCGCTTGAAGCGCGTTTTCTGCTTGACGAATTGATGGGAGCGTTTGGTCCCGTATGAGCGTTTCCTACTTTATTTCGGAATGAAATGATTGCAGTCGCAAGAGTCTCCAGCTCCTTGACGAGGTGTTCTGGAGAAAGATGCCCGTACAGCCTCTCGTCGGGTCTACCTGCAGGCCAGGAGCATTCAATAAATATCGTATCGAGTAATCCGGAGACGATTTTTGGTGCTGCCGCGAGCCAGACGTCTTTTGTTCGCGGTTGTGATGAGAGAATATCAGGCTCGACGTCTCCGAAGAAGAGAAACTCGCGGGAACTAATATCATGTCTAATAAAGAAAGCGGAGGAGAAATATTCCTCGCATCCGACTCCGTGGTTTATAGGGAACATTCGGACTGAGAGATCGCCATGTAGAGGAGTATATGCGTCCGTATTGTCGGGCAATCTAGATGCAACGTCAGGAACGGTATTGACTAGACTTTAATGTAATTCAGAAACGTACGGATCGTAGAGGTACAGATGCTCCGCATCATCTGCATCCCAGGAAGCAAGATTCGGCCATATTCTATGAGGGTTGAATATTGTGTCGATGTCTTCGAGGCATTTTCGAGATCCTCGAACGCTCTTCCGTTTCCCGTCCATGCTTCCCGCGAGTAAGATGAGGCTCATAACATGGTCCAAGTGGGCATGGGATATGAGATACGTCCTAAACATATTTTAGTGAACCTTCCTTGTTTTTGCAATTAAAAAAAATGGTAAAACACCTGAGAGCAGAGTAAACTTGCCCGGCATCAAGTCCTGACTCTCCATCGGCAGATGACGAAAACAACTTGGGGTTTTCTTGAAGAATTCTCCTCAGAGCACCGAGCCCACTGCCTACACACAGTACGTTGAAAATAAGACATATCCACACATAGTACAGTAATAGAGCGGAGAACCTTACGTACCCGCTTCAATGCCGACAATGCCGTCGGACCAAGATTTCTCGTGTGTCTTGAGTAAGTAGCTGTTGCCACCCATCACCGATCAACACATGCAACAAGACCGCCATACCCCAAACACAACTAGCACATACCCGGAAAGGTTGGCCTCGCTCGGCCCGCCACCGGCGCCAACAACAACGAGATCGAAAGAAGGTGGTGTTTCGACCATAAAAATTGCGAGTGTACAGTTAGTTAGCTGTCGTAGTTGTCAATGGCAAAGCGAGGCGCGTCACTGTCCCCCGACGGTATCGGTGTATATATATGCACTGCACAACTAGAAGTGTCGTAGTAGCACTGACGATGACAATGGGCGTCGAGTGAAGTCACTTTATATGCATTGCTTGTAATTGGCTTGTAATGATTTTTTTTGCTCATGCGGGAGGGCCATCAATTTGTGGCGGAGGTGGCAGATGGCCGTTCATCTGAGTATGAAATTTTTCTGTGTCTGATGACTCGACGACCAATAGTGGTGGTGGACAGCAATCCTACTCGTACTAGTACTAGCGCTATCGTCCCTTATTGCGCACAGAGTGGAATCTGACAAGAGACAATGGCAAAATGTCTCAGTTGATAAACCACTCATATTGTTTTGTTCCGTGTGGGGTGTTCATTGACCCGACATCACCAGTGCTAATACTAGTGCCTCATAAACAGTTGGCATCACTTTGACCACATTTGTCCAGCAGCAAAATAGCAGGAAAAACAAGACAGCAAGAGCCAGCTTTGTATTTCTCCTCCGTTCATTCCCATTATGCATCCAGTCCGTTGTACTATATAGGGAACTCGAAGTTAAATATAGGCAAGAGAGAGGGCAAAGAAAACCAGATAAGGAAGGAACTAGGTAAAAAGGCATACGACATTTATTGGAACGAGCGTGTGGTGGACTGGTGTGGATTCCATAGAAGAGCGGATGTGGAGAAAGAAAGGAGGGCGGTAAGCGGTCGGTTCCGGCAAGTAAAAGACAAAGTATACAGGAACGGTATTCATTAAGCAATTAAAGACAAAGGAAAGAAAACGTGGGCACTGCATGGCAGAGAAGTTAGGCAGTTGCCTTCTTTAAGCGCTGCCGAGTAGACTATTCAGGGCCCGTTGGACATCATACCCATGTTTTTCAAGCGCAGTTACCGCTTGAACCCGGCTGAAACCCATACCACATAGCTGCTTCACGGGCTCGACGTCATCTTCAACCGCTGGCGTGTGGGATCCTCCGGCGGGTTCGGCTACGGTCGTTAAATGTTGCGGCGGTGGCATTGGCGGAGGGTTATGCTTAGCTTTCTTCTTGTCTTTGCGTCCGAAAGGCAATCGGATCTATTAGCAGGTCATATCAACATATTAGTAAGGACTCTCAGACTAGTAGCGAGAACGTACGCTAAGTTTGGAATGACGATGTTGCGGTGGTGGCTTCACGGACGGAGGACCTTCCGTTGATGAACCCGTTGATCTCCGTGGCGGAGGGGTCGCAGACCGGACGGTCGACGGTGATGCTTGCGTCGGTGCAGCCTTTGGTGACGTCGGGGGCGATTGAACCGGGAACGGTGTCGTCTCCGGTTCGGCTTGCCGAGGCTCCGTCATGACGGTTGGAGAGGCTGCCTGAGGGGCATTGAAGTCCAGGGCCAAGGCCTTGTCGCTGCCGCCACCGAAGGTATCCTCGAACGAAATTCCGTGGTCGCCTGCTGACGGCTGCGACGCTACTTGCGAAGGACCGACGGAACCAAATGCATCATCGAAAGAGAAGGCCGGTTTACTCTCTTCTTGTGCCTTCGCGACCGTGTCCTGGGCCGACGAAGCTGGAACAAACGCTGAACCAAGGTCCATAGAAGGCGTCTTTACTGGCCCTTGCGAAGAGCCGTTCACGACTGGGGCAGAAGGGAACGATGATGCCGAAGGATCAAGCTCGGCCTTCGCTGCCGTGAAGTCAAAATTGTCATCGAAGGCAGAGTCAAGCTTGAATTGCGGTGCCGTGGAACTGCTTGGCGCCGATATCTTGCCCATGGCTTCATCGAAGGCATTCACGCCAGAAGTAGCTAGATCATGTTCAGTAGGAACCCTTTGATCATACACAGTTGGAAAAAGCTGACCATTTTGTACGTTGTCAAAAGGTGAACTCCTCTCGGGTACTTTGCCATTAGCTGGAGTCTCGTACGTTGCCGTAGATGGGGAGAAGAATAAGTCGGCGATAGAGTCTTTACTCGCGGGTAGCCCATTCGTTGTTGGTTCAGCCTTTGGTTCACTTTCTTTCAGTCCGAAGGCGTCTTCAAACGCACTCGAGTTTGCAACAGGTGCAGAATGGGCGGCATCAGCCACAGCTCCGATGGCACTGACCTTCGCCGGTGAGTCGACAGGGCTGCCTATAGACGTACGTGCTTCCTTAGCGTCATGGAAGTCACCATCATTATCGCTATCGCTGTCACTGTCACTCCCCTCCTCCTTCTCTAGCAACTGCGAGTTGAGGTCGGTATGGCCAGCGGCGGCATCATCGGGTACAGGCAAGCCTCCCGGAATTTGCGTTTCAATAGCAGGGAACTGCTTGGCAGCATCGTTGATAGCCTCCGACAAGGAGGAACTCTCGTGCACCTTAGGTGTGCTTTCAGATTCACCAATCCCTAGGGAGGTCAATACTTGAGGCTCAGAACTCTCGGCTTCAGGCTTGACTTTAGACTCAGGAGAAACAGGCTTCTCTGGGCTTTCTGCCACAGATGTTGCACTGCTTTCCTTGCCTCCTTCCGATAGCCCAAACGGATCATCTATCGCAGATGGTGCCGACGTAGATGACGATGGTTCGGCAGCTACTACATGTGGTGATGCTGCACGAGGCGCGTCTTCAAGTTTTTCGGAAGCTACAACGGGAGCGAAGGGTGACTCTGAGGATTGTGAGGCCTCTGTCTGCGTGGGCGGAGTCGGGACAGAGAAGATGTCTGATGCAGGCGCGGCAAATGGAGATGCAGGACGAGAACCCGTTGACTGCATCACGAGACGTCCGAACGGGTTGTTCGTTTTCATGGAAGGCGAACCGACCGCAGGCGGTGGAGACATACTAGGGCTAGCTGGGAGTGGTTGAGCTGCTGCAAATGATGGTGTGTCTGTCCTCAACGGTTCAGGATGAGTCAAAGGCGACGCGATGCCGTTCGCCTGAATTGGCGCGGGTTCTTTAGCAAGTTCAGCCTCAGTCGCCTCCAATCCCTGCTGAGTCTCATTAGTCTCGCGCTCAGACTCCTCAAGTTCCTTCACAGCTTTGGCCCTTTCAGCTTCCCGAGTAGCAAGTTGCTTCTTCGCAATAGCGAGCAGGCCTTTCTGGTGCTTTGTTTCTTTCTTCGCCTTCTCTATCGCGGCTTTTGTATGTTCGGTTTCCTCGCCGACCTCTTTCATGCGACGCTGTAGTTCCCGTACCTCTTCTTTGTCGCGAAGTACCGAACCTTCAACCTCTGCCTTTTCAACTCGGATTGCACTAAGATCGCTCTCTGCACGAATGAGCTCCTCGCGGGTCTTTGCAATATCTGCACTTTGTGTGGCGAAGCGTTCACGTAACGTCTCGAGAAGCTTCGTTTCGGTCTCATAAGCTGCCTTCGCAGAAGATAGTTGAGTTTGAAGCGCAGAAAGTTGACTTGCTTGGGTTGCAAGTGTAGTCTCTATGTTTTGCCTTTCTGCTTTCGTGCTCTCAAGCGAGCGATTCGTGGAGTTAATCTGATTTTGCACGTTACCAATTTCTGCTGAATTGTCTGGGACAGCTGCAGATGTGGTGGCTTCATCATCGCTCAACAAATCTCGATGTGCTTATTTGAACAGGGCCAAGTCAGTATAAAGAATCAGGCTCAGTTAATTCATGGAGTAAACCACGTACCAGGAGAGGTGAACGGCGACGCACCGAATGGATCGGTTGGACGCGCGGGAATGGCTGGAGCGACTGGAGGGCTATGGGCAATGGCACCTGTTGGCTGCTGTGAAATGCGACCAGTCGTTTGAGGATGAAGCACTGGGGTTGCCTGCGTGATAGGAGGCGAATTGACTGGTGGTATCGTGTGTTGTTGTGCTGTTGCAGATGCTGGTGGAGAGTCATCCCACAAAAGATCGCGGACCGGTTCTGGGACTGCTGGCGCAGGAGCAGGCGCAGCACCTGACAAGCGTGGGGCTCGCATACTGGGCGGTACGAGTGATAGTGGAAGGGCGGCGGGGATATCTTTTCCAGCCAGTTTACCTTGAATGAGATGCATGGCTACTGCAAATCCGTCGCGTGTTAGTCGGCCATCATTGTTTAAATCCGCGAGATCCCTGTGCAAAAATTCTTCAGTATCAAGCCAGTGTGACCTATATATAGAACCTATTCAATACGTACCAGACTTGTGCAAGAACGTCCTCGGAGAGCTTTGATTGTAGCATAAAAGGCACCGCGACGTCTCCCTCAATGAAACCGCGCTTCTGGGAATCCAGCCCGTCAAAGTATTGGTCGAAGCGTGTTTTCTCCTCTGGTGTCACATCCCACGGCTGCTGTGCACCGCCAAAGGCACTGGCTCCTAGAGCCGTTACAGAATTCTGTGCGAAGTGTACCGAAGGCTGTTGCTGCTGAGGCGGAATTGCCATACTAAATCGGTTGTATTCTTGGCCAGTAGCCTGAGGTTGGAGCCGCCGAGCACCGCTGCCCGTGGTCTGTACAGCAAGTGGTGCTGGGGGAGGGAAAGCGCCAGACAAAGACGGACTCATCGAGGAAACACTTCCTCCGGTGCCATGCGACGTTACAGCTGCGGGTGCGCGTCCACCCGCCTGCTCATACAAACCAGGTGGAAGCGTCGCAGGGAGGTTACTGAGCTGACCAGACATGATCGCCTGAATGAAATACATAGCAATTGTAAAATCTGTCTGATCCAGCATGCCCCGATCTTGAGTATCTGCCAAAGACCTATTTACGGAATTAGAATTCAAACCGAGCGAATCGCGGAAATCGCTACGTACCAGATGTGCGACAGCTTCTCGAAAGGCAATTTCGACTTGACGAAGACATCTCTTGCTTTATCCCCTGAACATACTTTGGTAAGGCCACTTGCGAAAGATGGACAGAGAAATGCGCACCGTTAAGCAAACCATTGACAGGTCCGCAGCCAAGGAAGAGGCGTAAGAACTTCGACTTGTCCTCGGGCGTGAGAGGAGGATAAATAACACCCCTTGCTGGCGGTGACTTGGGAGGAGGACTTGAAGGTATTGACGAAGGCCTTGAAGAAAGACCCTCAATATGAGCCAGCGGACCGGCTATGAGAGTGGTCAGTTACAGGCAGCCGGTTGACATGATGGAGCATGCGTACGCCTCTCGAGTGAGGATTCATTGAGCTGCTCGCCTTTCTGAGCGTGCCCAATCAGTCTCAGCGCAACGGCGACGCCTTTTCGCGTTAAGAAACCGTTGTTTTCCTTGTCGGCGAGAGCCCATATTTCGCCAAGGACATTTGGCGGTAGGTTTGCGCCAGCGAAAGCTTCGACTGCCTTGTCGCCGGTGACAATCCCGAGTTTTTGCGGATCGGCCTTGGCGAAGATGCTGTTGACGAGCGCGAGCTCTGATGGAGTTGGAGAAAAGGAGGACATGGGGTGGGCGCGACGAGTGTGTGCGCGGGTATGAGTACAAGATGGGAGGATGTCAAAGCCTGGGTTGACCTGACCTAACGCGAGTTGTCCCCCGACGGCCTTGCGCGGGACGTCATCGCCCTTTAGTATTTACTCCTCCGACAAAATTATTTCATATCACTATTCTTAACTCAGACAGCCTGCACACGTATTAAACCATATATTAATCGTCCTCCACGACGAGCAAAGCACCTTCTAGCGTCCACGCACGCAGCAGAGGACCCTTTTGGCGGAGGCGGAAAGAGGCACTTAGTTCCCAGGATATTGATGCGGTCAGCCCACGTGCCAATCACGGGGTCACAAAACATCAACCAGCGGCCCTCAAGTTTCGACCACCGCGTTTCTTTCTTGTCCTCCAACTCCGTCTAGATTCCATAGACACAGTCACAGACAGACACCTCTTGCAATGGAACAGATATCCTCTCCGCTTGCTCCTCCTAGAAACGCAACCAAGACTGCAGCTGGCCCCTCCCCGAGCGAAGGAGCAGGCAGTGTCACCAAAAGGCAAGCTGCGTTCCGCTGCGGCATCCATTTCGTACTAACGTGAACTGCAGACTCGGGAATGAACTCATGACTCTAATGGTACGCCTTGTGATATCTTCTTTATTGCAGAAAGCTAAATGTACTCGTCCTTCAGATGTCTTCCTCACCTGGGATTGTACGTTCGAGTCTGTGTGCCCGCCGTGGCTATTTCACTGATGCAACTCTCTCCAGTCGGCCTTTCCGAAAACTGATGCGAATCTGTTCGAGTGGATAGGGACGATTGAGGGTGCTCCTGGCACGGTTAGCCCATTATCTTCACTTTTACGCTGCTTAACGCGCTAACGTGCCACATCACGTGCGGTCCTACTTTCTCCAGGTATACGCTGGCCTGACGTTCAAAATATCCATTTCGTTCCCTCCTAATTACCCATATGTTGCGCCGTCAATTCGCTTTGACACCCCGTGCTACCACCCGAATGTTGATCTAAATGGAAACATCTGCCTGGACATCCTCCAGGTTAGCGGGCTTTGAGTTTGATCGCAGCAACTTACTGACTAAACGCGCCTTATCGTCAGGACAAATGGTCTGCTGTCTACAGCGTACATACTATTTTGCTCTCCCTACAATCTCTTCTGGGCGGTAAGGCTATCCGTGTCGACGTCAAACGCGTTGCTCACAATTTTGGTAGAACCTAACAACGCATCACCACTGAACACTGAGGCCGCGAACCTGTGGAGTAATCAAACTGGTAAGAGCACTGCATTATCGTACCTCGACGCCTGTTCTCATGTTTTCCCAACAGAGTTCAAAGTGCAGCTTATGAAGCACTATCGTCCAGTTGGCTCTGATTCTGCATGATTTCGGGTTTGTCTCTATACGTCGTTGTTGTATCTTTGTTTTGTTGGACACCTGTCCCATGTTTATGGGCTCATGTATATCACGCATATCCTGCATGACCTCATGATATATCGCATTGCATTTCGCTATTAATCTAATGCTCATCCGTTCCATTATCGCTGGTACTTCAGTGGTAGTACGGCTCAAAGGCTGAAATATTTCCTCGTTCCGGATGGAACAGTACATGAAAGGAACGTACGTGCTGAATTGTGCGAAGATAATGATCTGCTTCATCAGACGGCACCTACATGTCTGCAAGGCTATTAGCTAGCTAATATCGTACTTACTGTTCTTGTCCAATGCCCATTATCTAATAAAATAATAAAATCAGAAAGTAGGTATATGAAGTCACGTGCTATGCCACGAACCACATTTGAGAACACTGAACCACTGCTCCAACGTAGACGTTTCTCTCTCCTCATCTGCCATGGCGGCGCCTGCGACTCAGTCTGAAAAGCACGAGGCCTTCGTGCACGAGCTCGCAATCAAGCTTTCGCGTGCACTGAACACCATAAATCCTAATGATCTCCTTGCTCGCCGAGTCATTGACATAGCAAAGAACAACTCGTCCGAAGGCTTCATTCAGGGTATGCGTTCCCTCCTCCCTCATACTTTCTCTTCCTATTCGGCTTACTCATGTAATCTGTTCTAGCTGCAAAGGGTTTTGGAAAGTTCAAGGACTCTTTCTTAGCGGAATTGCATGATGAGATTGTGTCACATACAAAGCAGGAGGCGAATGGACACGTTCCAGAACCTGTTGCGGGCATTACTGTCATTGATAGCGATGTGCTCGAGCCGGAACCTGTCATACAAGGTGGTCTCATGCGCAACGATGCAGTGAGTATTTATCAATAATATTGTGAAGAATAGTTGTATTCTGACTTATTGCACCAAGAAACACACTTTCCGAGCACCGGCGAAGCCGATTGAGCCTCCAACACCTCGAACTTCTATGCTAGGTCTGGATATACTTGCGAGGGAGAAGCGCGCTGCCGCAGCCCTTGAGAACGAGGCACGGAATAAACGTCCAAGAACCAACGGCGACTCTAGTGAGGCAGTGTTCAAGGTACCTGCATTGCCTGCGAGGCGATTAGACAACATGCGACACCGAGGTGAAGAAACGCCTTCGCACCCTGGAGGACTTTCAGAAACTGCTCGACAGCGTTTGGATGAGTTCAGACGGAATCGTGATAAGCAACGAGGTGAGTTGTTTACTTGCTTCTAATTTGCTGAGTAAGTACTTATAGTGCCTTTCTCGCAGAGGGTCTTAATGTCCGCGAGGAGCCTAGAAGGGACGCGCCTAAGGGGCTTGGTGACTTCCAGCGACGTTCAAACAGGGATAACGGCTGGGGAAGACGGGGTGGTGATAGAAACAGGAACAGAGATGCGCGGAACGGCTGGACACCGCGGAGCGAACGTGGTTCTGGCAGAGAAGATGGGCCCAGTGTTCGCATCCCGAACGCCGCATGGGATTCAACACCACGAGTTGGGCGAGATGGAGAGGGCGGTGGCTGGGGTAGCGCTCGCACGAGAGGCTGGGATGCTCCTACACCACGCATTGCTAGAGGGGAGAGCCCAGAGGAGGATGGTGCGTTAAACTTGAATGTCCATGAATGGGAGGAAGAGCAGGTACGACTGGATCGGGACTGGTATATGGGAGCGGAAGAGGGTGGGGTCGCAGGCGATGAGGAACATAACCCGCTCTCAGCATACGATGACCTCGAGCAGCTTAAACAGTTGGAGATCGCTAATAAGCAGACAAAGAAGAAAATTTCAGCGAAGCAGGCGCAATACGTATGTACTACTCCTCTACAAGACTTCAATTTGATTTAAATTTACTGACGTCTATTTCAGAATGCGGACAATGACCTATGGGAAACAAATCGAATGGTTACGTCTGGTGTCGCAACACGAAAAGCTCTCGACCTCGACTTCGAAGATGACTCAGAATCGGCCGTTCACGTTATGGTACACGACTTGAAGCCTCCGTTCCTCGATGGTCGCACTGTCTTTACGAAGCAACTAGAACCTGTCAACCCAATTCGTGACCCAACCTCAGACCTCGCCGTCTTCGCTAGAAAAGGAAGCGCACTCGTCAAGGAGAAACGTGAACAAGCAGAACGTGCCAAGGCAGCGGCGAAGCTTGCAAACCTCGGTGGGACGAGTCTAGGTAATATAATGGGCGTTCGTGATGAAGAAGCAGATGCAGAAGGTACGTCTACTTTCCGACTATATCGCACTGGTTTAGACATTCACAAAGTTCTTGTTTTCTTGGGGATACAGCTGAGGCGGAGGCAAAGGAAAAAGAAAAGGCACAGACTGGCGAGAAGGAGAATTATAAGGGCGATTCTAAGTTTGCGAGTCATCTTAAAGCTGGAACGGCCAGTTCGTCTTTTGCGAGATCGAGGACGTTGAAGGAGCAAAGGGAATATTTACCTGCGTTTGCTTGTCGAGAGGAGCTGCTACGAACGATTCGTGACAACCAAGGTATGTATATTTGCTTTAACTAGTAAAGAGTATTGGGATGTTGAATATTCGTGCCCCGTAGTTGTTATTGTCGTTGGTGAGACTGGCTCGGGTAAAACGACACAGTTGACGCAGTTCCTGTACGAAGATGGATATTGTACCTCGGGTATCATTGGCTGTACGCAACCTCGTCGTGTTGCGGCTATGTCTGTCGCAAAGCGAGTCAGCGAAGAGATGGAGGTTGGTTGTTTTTCTTTAGTTGAATACGGCATGTAATAAACATTACCTTTTTTCCAGTGCAAACTCGGTGGAAAAGTCGGTTACGCGATTCGTTTCGAGGACTGTACCTCAAGCGAAACTGCCATTAAATGTACGCATTTTTGTTGTCTATGTTGAGGTAGGAGCTGACAGCTTTTCTTCAGATATGACGGATGGTGTTTTATTGCGCGAGTCTCTCAATGAAGGTGATCTTGACCGCTACAGCGTCATCATCCTTGATGAGGCCCATGAACGATCACTGAGTACGGACGTTTTGATGGGTCTTCTTCGTAAAAGTTAGCGCAGTTTATTTCTTTTTTTCCTGTTGCAGTTTGCTAACGTTTGTTTGGTATTCGTCCAGTTCTATCACGACGGAGAGATCTAAAGTTGATCGTCACTTCGGCTACGATGAATGCTGACAAGGTCAGCTTCAGAGTTTTTTATTGTTTCCCATGTAACTGACGGGGGTCTTGTACGCAGTTCTCCACCTTCTACGGAAACGCTCCATGTTATACCATCCCAGGGCGAACATTCCCTGTAGAAACCTTCCACTCCAAATCGCCTTGCGAAGACTACGTCGACAGCACCGTCAAGCAAGTCCTACAAATTCACCTCTCGTTACCTCCCGGCGATATTCTCGTTTTCATGACTGGACAGGAGGACATTGAGATTACCTGCCAAGTTGTTCAGGAACGTCTTGATCAACTGGATGATCCGCCTGCTCTTGCTGTACTACCTATTTATTCGCAAATGCCTGCAGACCTTCAGGCGAAGATTTTCGACGCCACGGATGATGGACGTCGGAAAGTTATTGTTGCGACAAACATTGCAGAGACCTCGCTTACGGTTGATGGTATTTTGTATGTCGTTGACGCTGGATATTGCAAGCTCAAAGTGTACAATTCGAAAGTCGGGATGGACGCGCTGCAAATCACACCTATCAGCCAGGCTAACGCGAATCAGCGTACGGGACGAGCAGGTCGTACGGGCAGCGGCTTCTGTTATCGGTTGTATACCGAGATGGCGTATCGAAATGAGATGTTCGCGAACACGATCCCTGAGATCCAAAGAACGAACTTGGCGAATATCGTGCTGCTGCTCAAGTCACTCGGAGTGAAGAACCTGCTTGAATTCGACTTTATGGACCCACCTCCGCAAGCGAATATCCTCAACTCTATGTATCAGCTGTGGGTACTAGGTGCGCTTGACAACGCGGGTGACTTGACGCCTGTTGGGCGGAAGATGAGCGAGTTCCCGATGGAGCCTAGTATGGCGAAGATGTTGATTGCGAGTGTGGAGGATGGGTGTTCGGCGGAGATGTTGACGATTGTGAGTATGCTTAGTGTGCCGAGTGTGTTTTACCGACCGAAGGAGCGGATGGAAGAGGCGGATGCGGCGAGGGAGAAGTTTGCTGTGCCGGAGAGCGACCATCTTACGCTTCTGAACGTTTATGGGCAGTGGAAGAGTCATGGGTAAGTTCTCATCTCATCTATTTTCATTCTGAGCTTCTTCTGTCGACAACCGATAATTAATTGATTGCATGCGTACAAGGTACCGAGACGACTGGGCGATGCGACATTTCTTACATCCCAAGCTTCTGCGGAAGGCACGCGAAGTGCGAGCACAGCTTGAGGATATCATGAATATGCAGAAGATGAAGCTTGTTTCCGCCGGAACGGACTTTGACGTTGTTCGAAAGGCTATCACTGCGGGGTACTTCCATCAAGCTGCACGGGTGAAGGGTATCGGGGAGTTTGTGAACATCCGGACGGGGTTGCCTACGCACCTTCATCCTACGAGTGCGCTTTATGGACTTGGATGTAAGTATTCTTAATTCTTACATACCATTATGCTAGTGACTGATAAATGAATATTAGACACGCCTACGTATGTTGTATACCACGAGCTGATCCTGACGTCGAAGGAGTACATGACGCAGGTGACGGCAGTGGACGCGTACTGGCTCGCGGAACTCGGGTCAGTGTTCTACTCCGTGAAAGAAAAGAATTTCGACAACCGGGGAGTGCGACGGAAGGCAGACCGGGAGTTCTCGAAGCGTGCTGAGCTGGAGTTGGCGATGGCCCAACAGCGGGAGGAGAGCCAGCGGAAGGCAGAGCAGGAAGCGCTCGCTGCGAAGACGGCAACGCGATCGACGTCGAACATTGTTGTGCCTGGCACTCCCAGAACAGGTGGCTTCGGTGCGCGTGCCGGTCAGACTCCCCGGAGGCGGGTCGGTCTCTGAACAGTGCATATATACACGCATGTACATTATCTATTATTCGTAGTGTAGTAGGATATTTTACATAGATAATTTGCACGGTTTATTGTATTGTTGCATTGGCATGCCGTGGGATATGCGGTGCCGACGACATGGTTACGCTAATAGGCAAGCCGTCTCGTACTCGGCAACACATCTTTCTGTTCTCAGTCGGTCTCAACAGCATCATCACCTCTTGCTCTTGGCCATCGACCACCTCCTTGCAGCCCTTTCCGCTCTTTTCCTCTACACTCCCTTCCGCCCTCTGTCTCTCCACTGTCGCCGAGCGGTTTGTGGCTGGTTCCGACAAATCGCTGTGCTGCCAAGATAAAGCCGCGTCCAAGTGGCAGTTCTCAATTTCCTGCGGCGCAGGCCCTGTATCTCTCCTCTCTACTCTACTACTTAAGTGGTCGTCTTTTAGGCAAATTTCAAACATGGCAGCGATGAGTGCACCTCAAAGACCGTACGACTATGGTCCTGGTCCGTTCTGGGGAATGTCGAGCCATTCACCAGCTCGCAGCCCTTCTTCCTCGAGCCGCAATGCGTATCCCCTGTTCAAACACCCCTATGCAGCCGATACCAGTGACTACGAAGACGAAGACGCTTATGATGTCGACTCGGCTCCACCTCCTGACGTTCGTATCACTGCACCTTCGCGAGCTGAGGAAGAGCGCAGACCAAATTCAGTGGTCAGTGATGATAGAAGTGTATACAGTGAACGCATGTCAACAACACAGAATTTCTACTCGTCCGTCTTTCAATCCGGTACCTCGCCCACGTCACATCATCTATCTGCTTTATCGACTCGGACAGATCTGAGTAGAGACTCATGGCAGCGGGAAGGCAGTGCACGGCCGGACAGTAACGTTGATCCATTTTCATTCATGAAATACGAGTCACCGCGGCAGCCTCTTCCCAAAGTCGTGGTTTCCTCACCTTCAGAGAACTCGTTCCGCACGCCGGCTCGGTTTATTGATGATGACGCTGTTTCAGACGCTGAGGGAGACCCAATTATTCCGCAGCCTATCACTCCCCCGCCGTTCCAGCCACCGCAAGGCCGAGTACCTAGCGCCGTACAAGGCAAGCGCAACTTCTCGCGCCCGAATAGACCTACAGTAACACCATCGTCTATGGATGCGTCCTCTATGGCCTCGCAATCGCCCTCCCGACCCTATGTGGTAGGCTCTGAAGAACAGAAGAGAGAGGTCTTGGAGCGGAATCGTTCGCGTCTCGGTCAAGGATCTCCGACCTCGCAGCCGGCATCGCCGAGCGACTCGTCCGTGTCTCAACAATCATCGCTCTCGAGTCCGTCTTGGGGGCGTCCCGAGAATGGGTTTAATGGTAATAATAATGAGTACATGGCCGTTCCGCAGCCGCGTTCGCGTTCTCCATCCCCCTCCCGCTCTTCTCCGCAACTCCTACCCGAACTTACTCAGTCTGAGTCCTCTTCATCGACCTCGAGCCACCCTTCACCTCGAACACCCCGTACACCACAAGGACAAGGCCTAGTCGTTCTTCCTTCGAGTCCACCCGGCATGCGGCATTCTACGACAGAAAGTGTTTATTCGACCTATTCATACTATCAACTTGATAGTAACTCTGCAGCACCTTCTCCATCTACACAAACGCACTTTGACGAATCAAAGTTGCCGCAAGCTATCCAAAACTCTCCTATGCCTATGAATTCTTCTCCTTCTCCGCAGCCGACGTCTATAACAAGTCCAACGCGGAGGGTCAAATCACCCGCGTCCTCACCAAATCCCAACGAGGCTCTACCAAACCCGACAACGGCAGACGACTACCTAGCGCTCGGGATCGCGCATCACGAGGCAGATCGGTTGACCGAGTCCGCGGAGTGCTTCGAGAAGTCTGCAACGCTGAATGGTGGATGTGCGGTAGGGATGTTGATGTGGGGGTTATCGCTGAGACATGGATGGGGTGTGCAGAAGGATGAGGTGAAGGCTTTCAAGTGGTTGAAACAGGCTGCGGAGCATGCGGTTGTGGATTTGCAGCAGGGGAGGAGTAATGTTAGGAGGGATGCTGTCAAGGTTCGTCGGTTTTGGGTGTTGGTATTTTTGTCATTTGCTGCTTGAAACTGATTTTTTTGGTTTTTTTGTTGGATGTTGTAGAAGGAACTTGTGCTTGCTGTGTACGAAGTTGGGCAGTGTTTCTTCCAGGGGTGGGGTGTACCGAGGGATAAGCAAATGGGTGTCGTAAGTCTTTCTTCCTTTACTTCATTTATATCATAATCAATCTAACTTCAAAAACTTGCAGAGTTATTTCCAAACAGCTGCACAGCTCGGGGACCCAGACGCACAACAAGATTTAGCGTTTTGCCTCGCAAATGGGAAGGGGTGCAAGAAGGATCGGAAGGCGGCGGCGAAGTGGTATCGGGCTGCTGTAAGTCACGTTTCTCCTTGTCAAATATCTGTGGTTGGAGTTAATATGTTTATTTTTGTTCGTAAAGGCTGCGCAGGGAGCTAGCACTGTTGGACTTGCGTGGATTTATAAACCGAAGTATGCGGATTGAGGTCTTGATTCGAGTGTGTATTTCTTCGTGTTTAAACACCCCCCTCTCTTCCCCCCTTTTTCTCCCCGGAGCCAAAATGCCACCCTCCATCTTTCTCCACTTCTCTGTGAACGGCTTCGGATTGGCTAAGTTATGGATATGTACATATTGATACCCCCGCGTCCTGCATCGTTTCCCTACGCTCCATCCTTTGCCGTCTACCTCCTCCTCTATCCCTTCCCCCGCCTGCGTCGTTCTCGATATATGATCTTCCTCGTTCGCCGTTAGTGAATATTACTTCAGCATCACTCCTTTCCTACTTTTGTTATGTACTGGTATCTATGATAGGTCAAACTGGTTGAATTACTTTTCCTCATTTATTACTTGTTTCTTAGCATATACAGTACGCTCTTTTTTGGGAAAAAGTTGTGCAGCTGTCGATTTGGTTTGATAACCAGCGATTTATATTTCTCTTTAAGCTTGTGTTAAGTCCAACTGCAGTGATTATCATTATGTTTGATTGGAGGTCTATTAGTAATAGTTTTAATGCAGATATTATTGGCAGTGACGACAGTGATGATGTAATGCATGTATATTGTACAGATGGAAAGTATTCCTTGATTGAGAAAGTGAGAAGCAAAACTACAACTATGCAAAAACGAGTTCCAAGGAGCAGAAGGAGATCGAGAAAACGAAGGAACAAGAAATAGCGTCAAACGTATACTGTAAAGACGCAAATACTCACTTAACTCTCCCACTAGTAAGTACTCATGTTCCGGCGGCAAGACGAATTCATCCTTATTCCTTATGAATCCTATATTGGTTATCGACGATCAGCCTCCCTCTTCTCCCGATACACCACATTCAGCATCGCGCCGAACCCAACGAGGGTAGCTGCGAACACGTAAAATACGCGTCCTTCTTGGTGTTCTGGGTCGTCTTGGGAGAGGAAGTTGCGGAGGGGGAGGAAGATTAGGCCGACTGTGAAGTTTGCTATCCCTGTTTGTTTGATAAAAAGAAAGAGGCGAGGGAAAGGTTGCATCAGTTAGTGAGGATGATGAAAGGTGGTGCGCTTACAGTTTAATGAGAGGGCTGCGGAAGAAAGCGCGCCTACGGCCTATACATGCGAAAAGCGCATCGTGTTAATTACTCCGTCAATATATAGAGACAGAGAATAACGTACATGATACGGAGCGATATCCGAAATAACCACGAATGGTACAGGTCCCATCCCACACGCAAAAGACGCAACGAACGTGATGATCGCCGTACTCGCTAGGACCTTCTGGTTAGTATCGAGGCCATAGCCGACTGCGAGGAGAGAGACGAAGGCGCCGAGCATTGAGATATTGAGGAGGGATTTGCGGCCCATGCGCTTCAAGGAGGTGACAGTACAAATTTCAGTTCGTTGTTCAGTATCGAAGAGAGACGCTGCGAGAGTTCACTCACCTCGATGAGGAAGACAGGCGGAAACGTCATCGCAACGTTCACAACCGTGATCGCAAGTGACACATACGGCCCTAACGCAGGTAAGGTCTTGCCGAGTATCAAGTTGCTATAGTACAGCACAGCGTTGATTCCGGAGAATTGTTGTGCGGCCATCGCGCTCACTACGACGAGAACAGGTGTGCGTAGTTCCGGAGCACGTAGAAGCGCACCAAGAGAGAGGGTTTTGTTGGCTGAATGCGCAGTGAAGACAGCTGGTGGATCCGCAATGTCTTCATCGTCGCTGTCGGCCGCTGCAAGTAATAATATATATTTTTAGATACTAACAGAGGAAACCGAAAAGGAAACGTACCTTCCGGATCGTGACTTACTCTAGAATAAGCTGCGCCTCCACCGCCAACCCACAGTTTATCACGGACACGTTCCGCCTCCCGAGCCTGTCCATTCCCTGAGAGCCAAGCATGACTCTCCGGGACAGCAGCAGCGATAGCAAGTTGAACGAAAGCAAGAGCTGCGGATGCGAAGGGAACATAACGCCATGTCCAAGGTGATGCGAGTGAAAGACCAATTCCTTGCGTGGTCAAGATACCGAATACAATTGCAACTTGGAAGAGTACGCCTGTTGCACCCTTTATTGCAGGTGGTGCGAGCTCGCCTAGGAAGACAGGTCCTACGGATACGCCGATTCCCGCTCCAAGACCAACGAGCACGCGACCAAGCCCCAGTGTGAACATGCCCGGTGCAAATGTAAGCGCAAGCGCACCTGCCAAAGTGATGAATGCATCGATGAGAAGTGCACCCTTTCTTCCCTTTCTTTCAGTAAGACCACCACCAATGAGACTGCCAAAGAGTCCACCAATAGTAAATGCCGAAGTGACGACGGAGAATTCTGCATCTGTCATCGGGATACATGATGGTAGCAGGTGACGGTAGAAGATTGTTTTGGATGCATCCTGGGTATCTCGACATGTGAGAACATCACTGATTTGGTTGAGTGCAGAGATGTGGAAGCCATACTAAACAGAATGAGAATTAGACGAAGTCAGCGATGAGACATAGGGGGAAGAGATAGTGATACCTGGAAAGCTGATATTAAGAGCCAGAATAGACAAAATAGTCCGAACGATGTAAACGACGAAGCTTGTAAGGTGGACGACATGATGGCGGGTCTGTAACCTTCGCCCGTCGTCAATGTCGATGATGAGCGTCAGACTGCGCATTGACGCGACGCGCCGTATCACGTGCACTTTCCCATCCCGCTCATGCCTTAATCACTCACATTTTGATCGAAGCCATGGAAAAAAGTCCACCTACGAAGTCATCAAGCCGATACAGTTTACACTAGAACTGCCTTGAAACGGCCGAGACTCGCTCCCCTTGATTTAATTTTTCTCGCATTTTCGAAGCAGTCCACAATGGCTGGCTGCTTGGCCGTCATGAGAAAGTCCGACGGCGTTGCTACGTAAGCAAATTGACATTAGCACACAAGCCTCACATGTTGGTCTACTGAATCGGGTTTGCGAAACCCATTCTTTGTCTCGTTTCGCGCAGATCATAACAACTTTGCAATGCCTGTCATGTGGCAAGCATCTGCGGCGTGAGTTGTATCCGGTTATAAAGGGATACGGAAGAATTCGAAGATGATCCGGACCCGGCCCAAGCGGGATGCGGTTGTAAGGCGGGCGGGATCAGCGGCTCTGGTTCCTTATTAGGTCATATCTGAACCAAATCGAGCATAGCCGGTGCGGGGAATCTGGACTTAGAAGACGAGAAAAGGCGCACGGCGATCCTTCTAGACCAGAAACAGATGAGGCGAAGGACGAGCATATGCTGACCTGTGACCACTTGGATACATCTGGGTTTGAACTGTTCATCAATTGAGAAAAAAAATCCGCCAGATGTGGTATGTTGCCAGCCTCCCGCATGCTTCTTCTTCCTTAGCCGCCTGGTCCTCCGTCTCCCCCTCCGTCCCCCCCTCTTCTCTCTATTCTCAGCTCGACCCCCTGCTGGCACGGGACACGCCAGCCACGTTCACTCAATCATATCCTCACGCACCCCGACGCTCTGACGCTCGTTTGCACCTGCCATCGCCGTACACGGCCAGATTGACCCCTTATACCCAACAATGTTCCCTTTCACACAACTCTCGCTTTCGTTGATCTCTCTTTTGCTCCTCCAATATCTCCCCTCAGCATACACTGCCAATGCCGACGCTTGGCGAACCCGCTCAATCTACCAGTACGTGTTGTATACTCGCCGCACCTGAGGTGGAGGCTGACCTTTGGCCTTAGGATCATTGTTGACCGCTATGCGCTTCCTAAAGGTGCTGACACGACCGCCTGTGATCCTGCACAGCAGACCTGGTGTGGTGGGACTTGGAATACAATCCGAGAAAATCTCGACTATATCCAGGACGCCGGATTCACCGCCAGTGCGTATTTTCCTTTTCTAAGTCTAAGAAAGAATTACGATATTCATTTATTATTTTCCTTCCCCACTCACACTTTAGTTTGGATCAGCCCTGTATCAAAGAACTATGAGGGCCCGCGCACCCCATACGGCGATCCATACCATGGCTACTGGATTTCTGACGCGTCCCAGCTCAACGACAAATTCGGTACCGCAGATGACCTCAAAGGCCTGTCTGATGATTTGCACAAGCGCGGCATGTGAGCACACGTCGATCCCCCGCAATTGATTGGAATTGATAGCACATTGTTTTCCCCGCTTTATCGCAGGTATCTCATGGTTGATGTCGTTGTGAACAACGTCATGTCACTTAGCAACACGAGCATGGATTACCAGTCCTTCCTCTTCAAAGAACCTGTTCGTCAAAATTTCGAGATACTTTAATCGTCAAAAATTCCTAAAAAAAGCCTATTTGACATGTAGCAATACTACCATCCTTATTGCCCCGTCGACTTTAGTAACGATACAAGTGTGCAGATGTGCTGGCTTGGCGACACTAACGTCTACCTCCCGGATGTGAAGACTGAGGATCCTTTCGTTGTGTCGACATACAACAGCTGGATCCAGCAACTTGTCCAGGAGTTTAATATTGACGGTTTGCGGATTGACGGTAGGCGCCTCTTAATTAGAGTTTCAGTAGCTTAATTCTTACGTTGTCTCCACAGCGGCTAAGTGAGGACATACAGCTATTCAAATGAATTTCATTTTTTGACACTATTTTCAGGCACGTCAATAACGGTTTCTGGCCAGGCTTCTGCTCAAGTGCGGGTGTCTTCTGTATTGGCGAAGTCTTCGATGCCGATCCTGCCCAAGCTTCTCAATACCAAGGTCCAACTGCACTCGACTCCATTTTGCACTATCCTATGTACAACGCTCTTACTGCAGCATTCACTATTCCCGGTACCCAGAATATGAGTGCAATGCCGGACATGATTTCACGGTCTGCGTCACTCTTTAAGGATCCAACGCTTCTGGGAAACTTCCTGGAGAACCAAGATGTACCTAGATGGGGTAACCTGAGCGTGGATCCTCAGAGCATGTAGTGAGTGAATTTTGCCCTCGCTATCGTCATGATTCATGTGCTGTGCGTGCTCACCATATTTTAGCAACGCAATGACCTTCACCTTCATGTCGGATGGAATCCCTATCGTTTACTATGGGCAAGAGCAGGGCTTCCATGGCTCTTCGGATCCTGTTAGATTTTCTTCCACTTAAAGTTTGAATTATCATATACTAACTGAACACCACTCAGTTTAACCGTGAGCCTCTCTGGCCGTCTGGTTATGCCAATACGACCAGTTACCAGTTGGTCTCTACCTTGAATCAGGTAAGAGACCGAAATAAACCGAGTAAACCGAAACTTGTTGTCTGATATTCTTGTTACGAAGTTCCGTAACTTCCTCGTGAATACGTCCGACTTTGCGACACAGCCGATGAAGGTTTTGGCTTCGAATGATGCTGCTCTTGCGATTAACAAGGGCAATGTCATTTCCGTCGTCACTAATGTCGGGTCACCTGTGCGTGCATTAGTCGATGTGATGTATTGAAGGATCCGCTGAAGGCCATTATTTCACAGCCGAAGAACGCTACTCTACCAATATACACCAGCTACGCACCTTCAACTACACTCATCGAGTACGTCCTTTGTCACTTTTAGTATTAGCACGCTCATATCGTCGTTGCCTTCGTCGCCACCAGAATTCTGGAATGCAGACAAGTTGCTGTCGGAAGTGGCGGCGCTATGCTAGTTGACTACTCCAAGGGAGGAAAGCCAATGGTCTTCTTCCAGGAGAGCATGATGAGTGGGACTGGTCTCTGTGGCTACCCAGGCTCAAACAAGTCAACGCTCGCAGGACTTGGGAGCTCGTCTGCTGCTGTTCAGTCGGTCAGATGGGGCCCTTTAGCAGTCGGATTAGCAGTTGGGAGTTTAGGATCTCTGCTTCTCTTTTAATCCTTTCTCCTGCACTCGTGCAACTCTCTTTTTCAAAGATTGGGTTTTGTTGCTTTTTGTTGCTTTTGCTTTGGAACTATGGATTTTCTGGGTCTGAGAGAAGTAGTAATGATTAGTTGGATGTATTAGTACCTTTAGGGTATACTAGGTTTGTTTTGTTGGAGTGGTGTGTGATTCTCGTTTCGGAGCTGGTGGATTTGCAACTTTAACGTCTGTCGAAATCCAGACAAACCTGCTGGCATGCCCTGGAATTACCTCATGCCTGTCTTAACTTTGCTAGAGAAGCTGTTAGTGTCTGCTACTGGATGTGCTTGTTTAGCTGCTTGGGGTTCTCCCTTAGCTAGGTGGTAGGAGACCAGGAGCCTTTGAGGCATCTAAGAGAGCTGTAAAGACAATGAGGAATTTGAGGAATAATGAAGATGGTTACAATGGCTTGAGGTGACCTGATAAGGACCTTAAGACTCATTCTGTGACCTCTTTGAAAGGCATTTTCGCTTAGTAGATCACAGTTGGACCCAGAAACTAAGGCGGGAATAGTAAAGAAAAAGACTGCAATGTTTGTGAGTACTGAAATAAACTGGAGATTCGTGCGCTGTGAGACAAGGGTAGATACCACATAAATAATTTCTGGAGGCACAGACTAAGGAGCGTAGAGGATTCGCAAATGGACGACTCAGACTGAACACGTAAGTCCAAAACTGTGTAATGTAATGTGGTCACGTCAAAACGTGACGCGTGACAGAGTCTGCAAGTGAACGCGACTTACGGTGACCCAGCTCATCAACCCTTCCTCATCCTCATCGTACTCGTCGCGCAGCATCCGCTCTGCGCATACAGCACTCTTCTTCTACTTCCCGCCCGTCGCACCGTCGTCGCGGCACCTCTCAACCAGCGAAAACGTCGCGCCCGAGTAGTGCCGTCGGCGCTTCCAGCGGCGGTCGACCTGGAAGCCGCAACGCTACCAAAACCAGGATGGACGCTGGCACGCCGACCAATAGCAGTGCCAACTCGAATACGAATGTCCATGCGATTGTCAAGGCCCAGATCGTCTTCCTGCTGTCGACGCTGACGGAGGAAAACTTTGAGCAGAACCAGTTGCAGATCCGTTCGGTGAGTAGTAGTATTTTTACTTTCGATATATTCGGAGTGGACTACCACTGCATCTCGGCCACATTGCACTGTCCCGGTTATGGGCATCGTCCCCGTCCCATAAGTCTTAATTTACTCTTGCCCTGCGCTATTAGTTTTTATTGTGGTTTTCGGTTGCATAATGAATGTGAAGTACTGACTGCATTTTTTTTCGCTTTCTCGTGCTATTCTCCCCCTCTGAACTACTGTCCGATGTAGTTATCGGAACAGCATGGGCTCAATACATACCTCCACTTCATCCGTCGACTAATAGTGCACTCGCAAGCCCGGCTCACGAGCACCGCAGCCCCTACTGCATTTGATACATCGACCTCGCTTACCTTCCGCCTACTTGTACAGGAGACGCAGCGCCTTGCTCGTGACCCATACCTTGCAGACCGCTTCCGTGAGGGTGTTGACCGTGGTGATGGCGAGATATTCCGTGCATTCGACCTCGTTCGCTTCGCGGATCGTGTCGGTCTTCGACCACTAGAGCGACTCATCCTTGCCGCGTCCATTGCCTCTGCAGGTATTAATCCTCCAAATCCCTCTGGCGTCCGGAAGGCTTTGGCGGAACAGGCTGCGTCAATTATTCGTATGGACTTTGAGAATGCCGTACTCGCACTGTGCCAGCAACCATGCTTTGACCATGCGGACCTGTCACTTGCGCAAGCCGGAAAATTATTGCAAAATTTACTTAGTGATTCCCCGTTAGATGAGCCTCTACTTGTTGATCCGACTCAACGTCAAGCACTCGTATTCTCTGCGCAGAAAAAGTTCGGCGCCGAGCTGGTTTCGCCGATTTTGGCGCAGTTATTCCAGAAGTTGAGGTGAGCCTGTGATTTACTCGCTTTCAAGTTGACTTGACATATGCATTGTTTTTGTAGTCTTCCACCGCAGACGACTCTTGTCCAGGCTCTGAACCAGCTTGGACCGGACATCTCGAATGACGTAGAGGTTGTGCGAGGTCTTCTTGTAAGATTCGGAATATCAGATCAAAATCTTCCGACGAATGAGCAAATCACGGACACCTTTATGACGCTCAGTCGTCTCACGGCAGAAGGCGCACAGCTATGTGACGTTGGTACACTTGTTCGGGTGTTAAGCAGCTTTGTAAGTCGGAGTACTTTCTATCCAAGTCAAACATGTTGCTCATTGACTACACAGAGGGCACAACTCGACTGGAGCAAGGCTATTGAAGTATTTGATTGGCCGGAAAGACAGGGCGTCGATACCAATACTCTCAAGCTCCTTATCGCTATACTCGTTAACTCGCCCCGAGATGCCGATAAGCCTGCCGTCGCTGGCTTTTGGTCCAACTGGAAGAACTCTCTCTATCAACTTCGTCTTCTCGATGCCCTTCTCTCACTACCTAGCGACACGTTCAATTTTGTGTCCCTCCCCGGCCGACGTGTGGTCACCGTCGATGATGTTGCAGCTGCAAGTCCTACGATCAAGACTTTGGCTGCCAATGTGCAGAGCCATACGTGGAATTCTCTCGACTTATTCGAAATCTTGGTCAGACTAGGCGACTCAGAAATCGAGAATGTTAGAAGCTATGTGCGGGAAATGTTGGATAAGGCTGTTCGGATAAGCGCGGACATTGTGCATATGGGACTTGTCCAGGTTCCGGTGAGATTGCAGTTCTATCTGCCTTCTTTACATTGAATTGACATGGCCTCTTTCTATAGAAACCATGGAATGCATTACAGGTCGAATACTCGCGGCAGCTGCTTGGCATGTTTCTAGGAGGACATCCGAACCATCAACTTGTCTTCATGCGCATCTGGCAGATCGAACCGACGTATCTTTTGACTGCTCTGCGTGAGTTCTATGACGAGAATCCGATGAACATCACCCGCATCCTAGACGTTGCGCAAGACCTGAAGATCCTCGATTCTTTGCTGGAAGTACGTCCTTTCGTTTTCGCTCTGGACGTCGCCGCTCTTGCATCCCGACGCGAATACCTCAATCTCGATAAGTGGTTGTCGGACAACATCGAGAAATACGGAGCAGACTTCCTGCACAGCATTATTCTGTTCCTAGACCACAAGATGCAGAACGAGAAGATCGCAAGGACAGTAGATCCTCAGGCAGAAAACAGGACAATGGCGTTGAGTCCGACTACAATCGCAATCTTCCTACGCGCTCTACGCACATTGTACGTTCTCTTCTCTCCCATCTCCATGTTTGTTCTAATATATGCTCGACAGCTCGAATGTCATGGACGAACGAGATGCAGAATACTGTGTTGAGACGCGAAATGCTTGCCTGCAGATCCACCCTCGACTAATGGTATTGAGTCCTAGTGCCGAGAATCAAGAGCCCGGATTTAATGTCGTCAGCTATTCCACGGATATCGAGGCAGAGGTTGATGGAATCTTCAAGCAAATGTACGACGAGCAGATTACGATTGACCAGGTCATCATCATGCTGCAACGCACGAAAGAGTCTACGAATACCCGCGACCATGAGATTTTCTCTTGCATGCTACATTTCCTTTTCGACGAGTACAAATTCTTCCAAACCTTTTATCCTCCTCGAGAACTTGCGATGACGGGTTACTTATTCGGATCTATCATACAGCAACAGCTAGTTGATTACATCCCTCTCGGTATTGCCATCCGATACGTCATTGATTCTCTCCAGTGTCCTCCCGATACGAACCTCTTTAAATTTGGCGTGCAAGCGCTTACACGCTTTGAATCGCGATTAGCAGAGTGGAAACTTCTGTGCGAGGCGCTGCTCAACATTCCGCATCTTGCCGAACAGCGACCGGACATCATTGAAGCAGTTCGTCGTGCTCTTGCCGCCCCGACCGAAAGTGCTGGTGCCGGTGGGGCAGGTCAGTTGCAAGGTTTTTCATCAGCTTTACCTTTGGTTGAGATACAACCTGCTTTCACATCCATCCGACCAGATGTTTTGGAGGAAGGGGATTTCAGCACGCCGCCGGAGGAAACCTCGGACAAGATTCTCTTCATAATCAACAATCTTGCTCCTAGCAATTTCGAAGCAAAACTTACGGAGATGAAGGAGCGTTTCGAAGAGATCTATTCGCGTTGGCTTGCGGATTACCTTGTTGACCAGCGTGTCAGCACTGAACCAAACAACCATCAGCTCTACCTGCGGTTCCTTGACGGTTTGGACAGCAAGCCAATAGCAAAGTTCATTCTACACGAAACATTTGTCAAATCTGCGTCAATGCTCAATTCCGACAAAACCAAAAGTTCCACATCCGAACGTACCATCCTCAAGAACCTCGCATCGTGGCTCGGCCAAATAACTCTTGCTCGCGATAAACCGATCAAACATAAAAACCTGTCCTTCAAGGAGTTTCTGATCGAGGGAGCGGACAGTGATCGACTAGTAGTGGCAATTCCATTTGTCTGCAAAGTTCTTGAAGGAGCGGCAAAATCGAAGGCTTTTCGTCCTCCAAACCCGTGGCTCATGGCTGTCATCAGCCTTCTCGCGGAGTTATATCACTTTGCCGAGCTCAAACTGAACCTGAAATTTGAGATCGAAGTGCTCTGCAAGGCGCTCTCCATTGACCTCGATACTGTAGAGGTTGCAAATATTCTACGCAGCCGGCCGCAAGTTGAACCAATGGCTGGGCCTGGACTACCTGAAATGATGCCAGGTATCGATGCTTTGCCTATTGGCGGTTATGAACACGCTGGCGACGGCCAGGTCATACCCATCGGTACTACCAGTGGACCAGAGGCTGACCGAACTGTGGGAGCTCACATAGAAGAAATATTAGCCAACTTGGCTACTTCCGTGATAATTAACCATCAACTGGCTCCACTGCACACGAACCATGCGTTTAAACAGGCAGTCCAAGAGGGTATTGATAGGGCTGTTCGGGAGGTACGTCAATTTACCAGAGCTGCGGTAAACAGTGTTTAGACTTATAACCCATAGATCATTCTACCAGTTGTGGAGCGTTCCGTTACGATTGCAAGCATCACGTCTCGAGAGCTTTGTGTCAAGGATTTTGCGTCAGAACCGAACGAAGAGAAATTACGCAAGGCTGGTCATATGGCTTGTCAAAAGCTAGCAGGTAGCCTTGCGCTTGTGACTTGCAAGGATCCGCTCCGAACAAACATGGCCGCTCATATACGGTCATATCTTCTGGACCATGGATTTACTGAGCAGATGGTACCCGAACAAGTCATCATGCTGATCGTTCAGGATAACATTGATGTCGCCTGTGAAGCAATCGAGAAGGCTGCCATAGACCGTGCAATCAAAGAGGTCGACGCTGCACTTGCACAGTCGTACGATGCTCGCCGGCGTTACCGTGATGTTCGCTCAGGTCAAAGCTTCTGGGATCCTCTTGCCGTTCAAAGTGCCTTTATCGCTGGTCTTCCTGACCCGCTGCGCATTAGGCCGAACGGCCTTCAACCTCTCCAACAGCGCGTCTATGAAGAGTTCGGTGAGTTCTAGTTTAACGGATGTATGAGACTTGACTGACAGCTTTCAATGAAGCTTTTGACAGCAAGCGTCGTGTTCCTGGTCGTCCACCTTCTATAGTGCAGTACGCGCGCAATGACGCTCTTCAGCCTACTTATTCCCCTTCACCCATACCTGACCACCAAGTGGCTGTCGCCAACTCTGCTTACATGGCACAGGAACAGTTCAACGTTCGTCTTTCTGCTATTGTCATGGTAGGCAGCTTATCTTATCACCCTCTAGATTTTGGTACAGAAACTTGAGTCAATTCTGTCTGAGATACCTTACACTTCCCTCGCCCTCGTCCCTTCCAACCACGAGCTTCGTAACGTCGTCAATCGCGTTCTCTCCCTAGCGCTCGAGAGTAACGATCGTGTCCGAACGCCTCTCTTCATGTCGCAAAAGATAGTGCAGCATCTCTATAAGACACCGTCTCAGATTGGGCGGGACATATATGTTGCTTTACTTGATCAGCTTTGCCAGTCGTTCGAGGAGGTGGCAAAGGAGGCAATAAACTGGCTTATTTGTGCTGAGGATGAGGTAAGTAATTTCAAGCCTCTTTTCATTGGAGCAGTAGTGCTAAGACCAATCTAGCGCAAATTCAACATACCTGCCACTGTTACGTTGTTACGGAGCCACCTGATAACTCCGACTGACGAGGACATGCAGCTAGCTAAATGGATATATGCCAGTGCTAACAGCCGCCCGAGCTTGCAAGACTTCGCTGCTGGTCTCATACGGGAATGCCTTACAAGCGAGCCTCCCGTTACAACGCAACACCAATTCCAGTATACTCTTGATGCTTTGACACAACTTGTGCGAGCGAGCAAAGCAACAGAGTCGTACGTTTCTTTGGTTTGATATGTTTAGAACGTCACTGATGCACTCTAAAGTGTCATACAGCTGCTTAATGAGCTGGCTGGCTTGCCATCTCAACCTTCAACCGAAATAGTTCCTGCCGTTGGACTTCAGCCAGTCAAGCAAGAGACAGAACAACTTCAAATTGTACTGCTCAAGCGCTTCCAGCAGTGGGTGGGCATTTTCCAGTCCTCCTCCAATCCAGAGAAGATGTTCGTGCAATACGTTACTGCACTGTCGAAGCAGGGCATCCTCAAGGTAGAAGACATGTCTTCTTTCTTCTTCCGTGTTTGTGCAGAGTCCAGCATTAGCCACTACACGAAGAGCGTTGCTGCGGGTGACTTTGGCCACTCGTTCCTGGCTTTGGATGCCATGTCAAGACTTATTGTCTACATTATCAAGTATCACGGCGATGCTTCGGGAACAAACAATTTACAGGCAAAAGTACACTACTTCACAAAAATTCTTTCGATCCTTGTCCTCGTCGTTGCTAATAGGCACGAAGAGCAAGGCCCAGCCTTCCAGCAGAAGCCATTTTTCAGGTTCTTCTCGAGCCTGTTAAGTGATCTGTCTAGTCTCGGAGATCAACTCGGGAATGTGTATTTCCATTTACTGGTTGCCTTGAGCGACACGTTCAGTTCCTTGCAGCCCGTATATTTCCCAGGATTTGCATTCTCGTGGATGACTCTGATCTCTCATCGCCTGTTCATGCCAAAGCTGCTTCTCTCTGAAAATCGCGATGGCTGGTCTGCCTTCCATAAACTCCTTCTCGCTTTGTTCAAGTTCCTGGCACCAATGTTGCGATCGGCGAATTTCACCCTTGCGTCTCGCAATCTTTATCGCGGTGGCCTTCGTCTCCTTCTCGTGTTGCTCCACGACTTCCCCGATTTCTTGAGCGCCTATTACTTCTCCCTTTGCGATGTAATCCCTCCTCGCTGCACTCAACTTCGCAACATCGTCCTCAGTGCGTTCCCTGCGTCCATCACCCTGCCCGACCCTAGCCTTCGCAACACGAAGTTTGAGACAATTCCCGAAATGGGTCCAATTCCACTCGTCCTATCCGACTTTTCGGCCATCCTCAAAAACGGCGATCTTAAGGGTTACCTTGATCAATGCCTTCTGAGTCGTATGCCGCAGACCTCTTTGGCAACGTTGAAGGAACGCATGTGCCTGCCTCCGGGTACTGCAACAGGCGAGGAAACATACAATGTCCCGTTGATAAACGCGATGGTCATGTACATCGGTGTTTCCTCGGTTGCACAGGTTAAAGCACGAAGTGGCTCGTCAGTTTTTATTCCAACCGATCCGGGCGTGGTCGCTCTGACCTACCTGGCGTACAACCTCGATCCAGAAGGTATGTTCTTAATTTTGTTAGTCATGACCAGAGCAAATATTTATTTCTCTTTAATATCAGGCCAATACCACTTGGCTAACGCGATGATTCTCCAACTCCGTTACCCGAACGCGCATACGCATTGGTTCTGCTGCCTCATGCTGTACCTTTTTGAGCATGCTAAGGACGATCGATTCCGGGAGATCATGACCAGAGTGCTTATGGAACGGTTCTTTGTGCACCGCCCTCACCCCTGGGGAGCGCTGCTCACCTTCATTGAGCTTGTGCGGAACCCCAAGTACGACTTCTGGAACAAGGACTTCTTGCGCGTTGCGCCAGAGGTCACGGCCATTTTGGACAATGTATGTTCCTGCATTCCCATTGTTCCACTGACGTCTGCTCATTAAACACGATTGGTCAGATCGCCCGCAATCTGTTTTAGTCGTAAATGATAGAGTAAATAATGTTCATTAGCTGTGATTTTTTGTGCCGTTTGCTTTCTTTGGTTGTATTATTCTTTGCGGTGTTTTAGCTTCTGTTTCCTCTTCTGCTCTTGTCTTCTCTGCTGCACATTGTACTGTATCAAGTATCGTATCTTAAATTGAACGTTCATCTTTCTTCCGGTTTGCTCTGTCTGTAAATTTTCTGTGTTGAGCTTGACCATTTTGGCTCGTGTCGCGTCGATCCCACATAAGACGCGTGGGTGGTTACAGCAGCGCGGAGTCTGTGTGCTGCTCTATAGTCAGTCAGTCAGCCAATATCCTGCACGGCAACCGCACACATCCGCCACAGGCTTGCTCTCTACCCTCATCATCTCCCCGGCGATGGCCGCCATGGATGATGCCCAGAAGGAGCAGGACGCATTTCTTGCGCTCTTTTCGACGTTCGACCTGGACCGGCAGGTCGTGTCTGTGTCTGACCTCAGCGATGGCGCCCCGCTTCTTGCGGTCCTGCAGGGCGTGTAAGCTATAGCCAGCCTCATATTTGTCGAATTGGGATTGATTTGGTGTAATATAGCGACTCGGAATATTTCCGTCAATCTCACCAATCCGTACAAGGCTCCGAGAACTGGGTTTTACGCGTCAGCTCACTCAAGCGCCTCTACCGTTTAATGACGCAATACTACACGGACATTTTACACCAGCCAACGGCTACGATAGACGTCCCTGACTTACAGGCCATGGCGAAGGACCACGATGCAGCAGCCACTTTAGCCATGTGTAGGCTTACGATTGCCATTGCGGTGCAGAGCCCTCAGAATCGTGAGATTATTAACAAGATCCAGGGGCTCAGCCAAGAGCATCAACACTACCTCATGAGAGCGATAGAGCAGGTGTGTAACTTTGAAGTGCATGGCAAGGCTGTTAATGAATCGCTTTCAGTCAATGACCAAGTCGAAGACTGGTGACCGTAGTCCTGACATTGGAGGAGGTGCAAGTATGAACGAGTATGTCGTGCAATCCATTTCTATTCTAGCTTCTCACATTAACTTGCATTAGCGATGATCACTTCTACCAGATACAATCAGAGCGAAGTCGAGTACTGTCTGAAAAGGAAGCTTTAGAGGACGTCTACAAGACCCTATTAGAAGAGCACCGTACTCTACAGACAAACTTCGACGATGCTGTGGCAGAGAAAGAGGAGACTCTTCAACGGCTGCGAGATCTCAACCGCGAAAGAGATGACCGGAGGAGTGAGAAGGCAGATGGTGCAATGCGTGCAGAGATAGACAGGCTGAGAGTTGATTTGTGAGTTCCACTGTGGCCTGCAAGCTCGTCTTATAATCTGACTTCGCCTAGGCAAAAGAGTGAAGACAATTTAAGCGTAGCTGAAACCGAGCTGGAGAAGCACCGTCGTATGGTTGACGACCTGCACCATAGAGTGGATGAACTCCAGCTCAAGGCCGATGAAGCCGTTAGACTGAAGGACCAAGTTGACGAGTAAGGACTTCGGCTTTCTCTCCTGTACCCAACTCTCACAAGGAAAACCCTTACAAGGTACCGGCATGCTGCAGACAAACTTCAGAAAACTGAGAACGTGATGGAGAAATACAAGAAGAAGCTCGAAGAAAGTGCGGATCTGAGGAGGCGAATAAAGGTAACTTTCCCCCTTACCTTTACTCGCATCGAACTAACAATGGCGTCACACAGGCTCTCGAAGAACAAAACGCTTCACTTGTGGACAAGAACGCTTCTCTAGAAGAAGAGTACCGAAAAGTTTCCTCGTTCAAACCGTTGCTCGAGTCGTATAAATATCAAATTTCCGACTTAGAGACTAAGAGTTCCGAGAAGAATAAGGAAATTGACGGCTTGAAATTTGAACTCGAACAGGCTCGAACTCTTTTGAAAATCTCAGCTGAAGAACGGCAGAAGGACAGCGAAGCTTTGGAACTCTACCAGGAACGCGTGAAGGAACTGGAACTTATGTCTGTGCGCCCCGTCAGTAAACCTGCAAGGAAAAACTCATCTGCTGCGGATGACACGGCAGAGCCGCTTGGTACACCCACGCAGGACGACGATGCCACAAGTCATGGGCTTGGGAGCGAACTCGACGATGCACTTTCCGGCCGAACAACAACTGATCTCAAGCTCGAGATACGGAAACTCAAGCGTGATCTCGAAGCAGCGCGGTCGAATCAAGCTGATTCAAGTCGCATATTAGTACTGGAGAACCTGCTTGAGGATGCAAACCGAATGAAAGCACGTTACGAAGCGGATTATCTTGCGGCACATCGGGAGAAGCTCGTGATGCAGAAGGACCTTGAAGAAATCAGAAGTGGCAAAGCTCTGGGTGATGGGTATGTTCATTCCGTCAATTGTTACAATCTATTCGCTAACCTTGACTGGGCTTTGCAGAGCGGAGGCAGCAATTGCCTTGAGACAGAGACTGAATGAGACTGTCGAGCAGCTTGACACTCTGAGGAACGAGCATACAGAACTTGAGGTTAACTTCCAAAGCCAATCGAAGGAGTTAACAATTGCCAAGTCAGATCGTAAGTAACGTTGATTTTATTCGTCTCGCATCATATGCTAAATAATGCCATCCACAGTAAATCTCGTCAATAAGGACCAACTTGAGATCCTTGGTGCTCTGCGGGAATCCGTCAACGAAGACAAAGTCGCTCTAGAAGCCGACATGGAGAAGCTCCAAGGCACAATCAAGGAGCTATCCGACAAGAACAAGATGCAGCTGGAACAGATCAATGGTCTCCTACTCGAGAAGATTTCACTGCAGAGCGAGGGTATAGGCCAGAGAGAAAAGATGCTCGAGAGAGAACGCAACTTCAGGTTCGTTCCTGTCTTATAGTTTTCAGTGTTGGGCTTTGGCTAACTTAGTGAATTGGGTACAGCGAATTACGTTTGTCGGTCAACGGCAAGGATATTCCGGAAGACGTCAAAGCTCGTTTACTCAAGCTACACGAAGAGAATGTTGCTCTCAAAGAGCAATTGTCCACTTCACAAGCCAAATTGACGAAGGCGAGGGCTGTAAGGCTCTCCATGTGGTTTTGTTTAGAGTTCTTTATTGACTTTGGTTCGTACAGTTCATCAAACAGCAAGACAAACTGTTCCGCGCGGAGAACTCGCGCTCGAATGCCGGTTCACCTGTAAGTCCATTTGTCTCTTCATTAAATAATTATTTCTTACTAATGACTCAAACAGGGCATGTCCGACGACCTAGAGGCTGTCTCGAAGTCACAAATCAAGATCTACGAAGATGAGATCGAGCGATATAAGGTGAGCTTCCAGCCTTGCAATCTGAGTATACCACTTCCGTTCATCAACTAATTCCCGCGTTCTACAGAAAACCATCCGCAACATGCAACTTCGATACGACAGAGAGCAAAAATACATGCTCAGCCTCGTTCACAGCTTCGGCGAACAAAGAGCTAGAGAACACATTGCTTCGCAGAGCCAGCAGGGTAAATCAGCTTCTGATAGCTGGTTAGCTAAGCAGCGGAAACATGTAAGCCACTCCACAAACTCTCAATATCCCTCGCATCACAGCCAAGGTCTTCATACTAATCAACTTCAATTACAGCTAGAGAAGAGGCTTCTGCCATGACAACGGTACGAAATACACAAATGTACGACGAATAATGACCCCTTTTTTATGCATGTCATACATATTTCTGGAGTCCTTCGGATATACCCTATATACAAACATCAAGTAGTAGTACCAGCGCTTTCTCCTTTTTCTTCCTTACGACTGCGCTTTTTCCCGCCTTTGTACCTGTTAATGATTCATATAGAGTTAATCGAGAGGCTTTGTGTACATTCATGGTTCTTTGGAATGAGGAAATCTAGAGTTTTTTTTTCGGCCTCATAGAGAGAGCAAAGGAACGAATACTTCAATACAATACGTTCGTTATTTAGTACAGCTATACCATGCTGTTTGGAGCCATGACTCACATGGACAATACCGTATATGTTGGCCCCCGATATGCACCGTTAAGTTGTGGAGGGATTTAGGATCACAGCTAAATGGAGAATCAAATTCAGTTATAAATAGATTGATACGTCCCCAATGTTAAATATCCTATTTATCTTTTATCGTCTAGCATACAGGTGTTGTATACAAATATAGACAGTACAGATGGAGAGGTACTTAATTTTACTTTTAGGTTTTCATGAGATCGGTGATTCGTGTGTCACAATAACCAATCAACTGCCATCTGGGCTGAGTGAACGTACACAGCTCCCTTTTCTCACTCGCGCCAGTTTTAGCACTGCTTAGCGTAAGTGCCAGAACTCTCCGAGCCCGAGCCCTCCTCGAGCTTCCCATTACCACGTCTAGCGGAGCTGTGCGTCGAGCCAAAGGCAGCGAGCGCACGCATGGCAGAACCTTCTTTGATGAGACCCTCGGTGATCTCGATTATGTCTGTGACGAGACGGTCGACGAGCTAAAATTGAAATATACATATACGAACAAGTTGATTAGTTATAGTTATCAGGTTTACGACGACGGAAGGGAAGGTCATGAAGGGGGAAGGGATGAAGAAGGGGGGGGAGGGGGGAGGAAGAAGAGGCGTACCACTTCGGAGAAGTTCTCGCGTACGACGACGCGCAGAATGTCGACTTGTTGTAGGTTGGGTGCGAGTTCGTAGTTCGGTACGATCCTTCATATTGTTCTAGTCAGGAACGCGGTGATGGATGGATGACAGAGAGCCTATCGTGACGTACCATCCCTTTGAGCGCAGAAGTGTCTGCATCCACCTCTGTTGGATATCCGGATACTTCGCTTTGAAGTCGTCAGAGAACCGGAAGGAGACGACAGGGAGCGAAGGGATATAATTCTAAACAAATTCGAGGATCATTGAACGAATACTTCTGCATGGAAACAAATGAATATCTTGCCTCAATATCCTCCTCATCCAAAATCCCCACAGCTTGTTTCGCACCCCCAATCACTCCCTCCCCACTCTCCGCAAACCGATGACAATCACTCAACACATGGAAATACCCACTCTTCTCAAGCGCCCGACTCAACACCCTCGCATTCCTCAAATCATTCAACGCAATATTCCGATACCCCTCAAACCCAAGGTGCACGAAGTTAAAGTACTGGGCAATAACCGGTGCTGCAGGACGCGAAAAGTTAAGCGAGAAACTATACTCGACCGAACCCAAATAATGCAGTTCGAAGATCAGGTCCTTAGGTAAATGGGCCTTGTCACGCCAAATGACCCAGCCTACACCAACGTAGGCGAGACCGTATTTGTGGCCAGATGTATTGATGGAGACAACCCGCGGTAGGCGGAAGTCCCAAATCAATTTGGGCTAAAAATAGATATCAAAAGGAGAAAACATAATGTTGAGTCTAAGTCTTTACTGTGTAGAGACTAAACATAAGGAATTTAGACTTAGACTACACGTACAGTTGCAAATGGAGCAACGAATCCTCCGGACGCCGCATCTACGTGAATAGGGACGTGATGACCCGTCTTAGCCTCGTATTCGTCAAGGAGGTCGGACATTTCCTTGACGGGCTCGTAGTGACCGGTGTATGTACCTTGGACAACGATATGAGATCAGAATCATATAGTGAATAGCGCATATACTCACTTCCAAGAATGATGAAAATACCAATTGTATTCTCATCAACGTACTCCATCGCTTTCTTCGGGTCAAGACGGTACCTACTCTCCTCCGAAATAGGAACAAGCCTGCACTCGACCTCAAAGTAACGAGCAAACTTCTCCAGCGCAACTTGCGCGTTAGCACCCATGACGATATTCGGTCCAGGCTCGTGGATGCTCTTCCCAGCGGCTTTGCGTTTCTCTTGCCAGATACGCTTCATGGCGAGTCCACCTAATTGTATAGCCTCTGAGGAACCTGTTGTGGCGGTACCGATGGCTTGCTTGGTGTTCGGAGCGTTCCAGAGGTCCGCGAGCATTGAAATACCTAATGGAATATAAGATAGTGCATAGAATACACATAATTAAATCGTTACATCTCTCATGAACCATTTCTTTGAATAAAAGAATAAGATTTTGTTCTGAAGGTGACTGGAGAGGAAGAATAGCTCACGAGTCATCGGATATTCGTCCTGGTCAACGAAGTTCTTGTTCATATTTTCTTGCATGAGCTTATCAGCATGAGTCGGCATCCACGTCGTCACGAAGGTCGCAAGGTTCAAAAGCGGGGAACCATCGAGGGTGAGTTCATCATGGATGACTTGGTAGGCGGCGTCCGCATCCGCTCCCTGTACATTATCCCCTTCAGCACCAAGAAAGACATCGGGAAGACGGGTAGAGAGGGCAAGTAACATACCTTTGAAGGGATTTTGTATTTTGGCAAGGAAATAGCGCCATAACGAGCGCCATACGTAGACGACGTCGACGTTGGGTCTGTCTGAGTGAGATGATGCGCATGGTTCTTCGACTTGTGGTCTTTCGCTTCTCTGAGCAGTCTGTCCGGGTTGACGTGCTTTGCAAGGGCCATTCTTAAAATATCTTTGAGACGCTAGTATAGAGCTGAAGTGGGGGAGGTAGATGATTGATGAGGGGGATTAACCTGTGTAGTTACTTATATGCGTCGCCTGCAGTCTACGGACTATAACGAACGGGGGTTGCTAGGCTAATAATAGACAGCTTCCGCTGCTAGGGTCATAGATGCCCTGTCCATCCCCCATACACGTTCATATAACTTCATAAGCGGACGTTATAAGAACGCTGCGGTCATGATATTGCTGTTGCAATTTGGAGATGTAGATCAAGCAAGCAGAGGGAGATCAGCTAGCGCCGGAAGAAGATGGAAGAAGATGACCGACGGAAGCGAAGACGCGTTCCTTCCAGTCATGATTCATTGATCGCCTCAGGTCGAGACTCTCGACTCACCCTCCATGTTTAGGCCTGGAAGTCGAGTTGCCCAATTCACCGCACAATTTTTGAGGTGTATGGCATCCACTTCATCTAACGCAACAAAGCGAACCATCGAGCTCGATGGAAGCACCCTCGAAGGCGGAGGCCAACTAATGCGTAACGCAGTGGGTCTCTCCGCGCTCACACGAACACCGGTACACATCCGTAACGTCCGTCAAGGAAGGGATCAACCCGGCCTCAAGGCTCAGCATGCTGCAGGTGAGTATCATGCTGTAAGTTATATATGGATCTCCGAGAAGCGGCGATTTTGTCCTTGGGATATTTGAGCCCTTGTGTATCGGAGTTCATCATCTTCGAGACTTTACCTCGTGAACCCGCCCCGATTTTATGAGTATTAACGTGTCACTTTATGAACGCGTTTTATTCCGAATTCTACCTTATAATAACTGCTGAGATTATATCTGTGGCTAATTCAATCAAAGCACAGGACTCGATCTCGTAAAACGAATATGTAATGCTCAGGCCGAAGGGATCGAAAAGGGCTCAATCACGGTCTCATTTGACTCCTCACCAGGTTTCATCCGTGCAGGAGAATACGAAGCAGATCCCGGGACAGCTGGATCAACGATGTTACTTTACCAGGTATCCTTGCCTTGTCTACTATTTCCCGAGCCTGCTCCCTCTCCATCGCCTTCAGACGGCGAAGTGGCAGATGCGAAGGAAGAACCACAACAGAACGCTAAAGAAACCGGGATGAACTGGGAATCAACACTTACTCTCCGCGGAGGGACGAACGCCATCCACGCTCCACCTATAGACTTCTCTCAACACGTCCTCCTCCCATTCCTCTCAACTCACATCCTTCCATCCTCCTTCTCATCCTCTTCCACTTCCTCATCCACTTCTTCCCGGGGATCTCTAAGTCTAGACCTCAAACAGCGCGGATTCTTCCCACACGGCGGCGGCCTTCTGCGCGCCGTCATACCCTCCCTCCGCCGCGGTGAGACTCTCCGAAGTCTCAAGCTCCTAGACCGCGGAACCCTGCTCAGCATAGAAGGTAGAGTCGTCATCAGCGGTGCAGTAGGCAAGAAAGTAGCAAACGAGATGCGCGCAGCAGCACTCGAAACAATCTTTTTCTCTCCCCTAATCACCCCTCTCCTCTCTTCCCCCAATCCAAACCTAAACCAACAATTCAACATAAACATAGACATAGAAAGTCACCCAAAAGGCACTTCAGGTTCCTCAATCTTCCTCCTCGCACGTACATCCACAGACGTCCTCCTCTCGGGTTCCGCAATCGGTTCAGGCAGAGTACGAGCTTCGCAAACAGGTCGAGAAGCAGCTGAGGAGTTATTGAAGAACTTGGAGGAAGGAGGATGTGTAGATTGTTGGATGCAAGATCAGATGATCGTGTTCCTTGCACTTGCGAAGGGTCGGTCGGAGGTTAAAACCGGGAAAGTCACACTGCATACGAGGTTTGTGAATTCCATTCATTTTTATTCCTTTCGAAAATTTATAACGGGACTGATTGATATTGCTTTGGTGCATTTTTGCAACAGGACGACAATTTGGGTAGCTGAACAACTGACCAGTGCCAAGTTTGAAGTAAGCGAGAACGTTGACGGGACAGATCAGGCAATCATATCCTGTGAAGGTATCGGTTTAGAAGGACGGTTATAGTGCAAGCCCACTAGCTTCTCAAATTGGAGTCTTAGAAACTTACTAACAGTAGCTTCAAGTATTTTATGTACGGATATCTTCATTACCAGAACGATTAATCATATCATATACTCGCACCACTCATACAATTTCACAACCTCCAACCCCATTCAAACCTAGCCACACACGTATGTATGTAGTCAAGAAAACGAATTAATATAAATACGGAAATAGGACAAGAAAGGAAGGACAGTTCATCAGTGAAGTAACACAGGAATTGATGAGGGTCGGAAGTGATGAATATACTCTATCATCGACTCCAAGACAGCAAAGACATATCCCCGAGGCGTCTAAGCAAATAATAATAATAATAATGCGTGAGTTATTAGTCGAACAGCATGACGAAGCTGTGCTCACCTTGGCTTGACAAGATGCCGAATGAGCCCGGCAACACCGAGAAGGACAAATACACCAGCGGCAGCAACGTAAGCCCAGCCGAGGAACGGGTTCTTACCACCTATCCATGACACAGTCGAAATGACAATTGACTTGGTACCGCTGTATGGTCGCACCGGGAAGTCTAGAAAAAACATACCAGTCGGTCAGTCAGCTTGTCTGGGTTAAAAACCAAAATTAAATTGATGGTAAAAATGAAGACATACTCATGGTGACATTAAGCTGATACGTCCCATGCACAAGTGTCGTATCATCATTCCTCCCATACAACTTCGTAAACGTCGGTAAACCCGCCGTGCGCATCCAGTTTTGGAAGTGCTCATCTTCGTGCAAGTTTGGCAAGTTCGTATCATTGTATCCGTCCGGGAAGCGTAGCTGCCAGTTTGGCGGAGGCTCGATCTCCGAGAGATTGTAGTTTGGCGTTGATGAGTACTTCTTGGCTTCTCCTGGCCAGGCAATACCCTTAGCTGAGAAGGTATAGTCGCTGTTTGTAGAACCGTCGGTAGCAACGGCCGTCAAGTTTGAGAACGTATCTAGAGAAAGTGGGCCTTAGACTTTACAACCAATATTAATACACTAAACAGTAGTATACCATTGAAAAGCGAGTTGGCAATGAGCCCACACGGCCAAATGATCCTGTTAGACGTTGTATTAACATCAAGAGGCTTGCAATCACCACCCTTTATGGTGTTAAACGAGACATGATCGCCTTTGAGCTGGTTCGAATCAATGCTCTTCACGTATCGTCGGTGATTTTGGTAGAAATTTGTGAGCTTGTAGTATAGCAACACCGTCGCCGGGAGGTCTGCGGGTACGTCGAAGCGCACGAGGCATTGATTCTCGCCAGTGTCGTTCACGAACGCATACTGAGGGGGGTTAAACGGCAAGTGCGCATCACGGGAACGTAAGCGGTAACTGAACGTGGGGACGTTAGTGAATTGTGGCGAGGATGCGGAGGACGAGGTAAGTTGGTCGCAATCGGTATAGTCGAGCGTGATCTCGCTAACGAGACTACTGCCCCAGATGAGAAGGCCACCGATGGGCCCGAAGAGGATGGCGATGATGAAGAGAGTGGGCAAAACGGTCTTGGGTGTCAGAATCGGCTGCCATGCCTTGAGTCGCTGCTGTTTGAAGGCGGTATCTGCAAGATCACATTACACATTAGTACAAACAGGTGAGGATAGAAACGAGTCTCGACGCACTGGCGGGTCTACGCCAGCCGCCCTTCTGCTTAGTCTGCTGTTCCGAAGTGGACGAGTCTTCGCCATTGTCGGCGTCGCTGCCATTTCCACGCCGTCTGAAAAGACCCATGGCGGTTGTGAATGGATTGGGGGAGGAGAAACTGCGGTCACCGACGGTGTGAATGTACTAATGTGTAATGGCGACGAGCGACGGGTGATGAGCGGCACAGCGCCTCCACGTGACCTGACTCGTTGCGTAAGGCGTTTCGACTCAGCGAGAATCCGACTTATTCTCCAGTTCTTACTCAACTTTTTTGCTTCTTATTCTCATTCATCCGGATAATTCAAGGCGTTACTCATTACTATTACTTTATAAATTAGATTCTACGTCTCAGCTGTACGCCCACTACGTCGAATGCGATGCATGGGTCCTTCAACTGCAGGAAAGGTTTCAGGAACTCTGGTACATAATCCGAGCAATGCTGAAAAACGCATCATCACTTGTTATTTTTCCGATCTCTCCGCTGATCGAAGCTCTTTTGCAAAAGCCTCAGGGCTTCTCGATGCATATAAGTGAAAAATGTATATGGTGAGAAGTTCTGGTTTTTCTTTTCCGTTGAATATTTTAAAATAGCAATAACATAGGTATTATAAGGTTAGCCAGACCAGAACACGTTGTCGAATCATTCGGGGGAAATCCGTCAAGTATGGTATCCATAAACCTCTACACGAGCAACTCCTTTGGGGAAAAACGACAACTTTTTTTATAAGTTTACTGTGAATATTTAATTCTTAATCCATCTTGCATCTTGCCTTTAAGTTTAAAACGTTCTGGAACAATGTGTGGATGCAGAGATCAAGCCGTAAGTCGTTAGTTTTTTTAATAATTGCTTAGATGCAATAATGTCTCAAGCTAAGATAGGGGTACTGAAACAGTCCCAATCCGAGCACCGCTCATAGGATGCATTTACATCTGATTCAGGGAGCACCTGCTTAATTCATGCAAGTAAGGTTTTAACGCTGTGTTGTTCTTTTTGGCGCTAGTCTGGTCGAAGTATGTCAATTATGGTATAAAATTAGCTGCGCGAAGGTACACGTGACGTCATTGCAATTTTGAATCAATTCTTCAACCAATGAGCGATTATTACTGTAACGGCGACACATCCCTTTCATGTTCAACAACGCGACCTACCACTCCGTGCTCGTCCCCTTTTGTCCAAAACTCATTTCGTTTGTTCTTGAGGATTGTCACAGGGCTCAACAAGGCACATTTCTCTATTCTTGTCGTCACATTTGTTCCATAATCGACTCCAATAGAATGAGACGGCGACCGTGGAATCGTAATAATAGCTCCCAATACTTTCTATTTTAAGAACACAAACCCAGCCCCATCGTCATCGACTACGCGCAGTCGTGCATATAAGGACCCGCTCAGTCTCCCATTCATTCTCTCTTCACCCCCCAATCTTCTCAACCCCTCCTGCGCTGATCAACACTGATTAAAAGCGAAAATGGCACTTGCAAGGCACGTCAACCCTGACAAGCTTCTCCAGGACGCGAGGGACCACAAGGCTAAGAACCATGCCCATCACCTCACTAATACGGACCCAACCTCCTCCGTTTCGGCCTATGGAGCGCGTTATGGGACTTACCCGCTGCCGAAGTACAAGATCCCGTCAAAGGTACGCTATCATCCACTCTCGCCCGTATTAGAGAAATGGTCTAATTATCCCCAGGGCACGGACGCAGAGGCAACATATCAGCTTGTACATGATGAGCTTTCACTTGATGGCTCTCCACTTCTCAACCTCGCTTCATTCGTGCATACATGGATGCCCGCTCCTGCAGATAAGCTTATGCAAGAGAACATGAACAAGAACTTGATTGACCAGGATGAGTACCCTATGACGCGTGAGCTGCTTTCCCCGTCCATCATATATACGGAGAAACTTAACCATTTTTTACAGAGATGATCCATGAACGCTGTATCTATGTTTCTTGTCATGTCCAAACAGAATCTGACGTCTTCAAGGTGTCTCCATGCTCGCGGATCTTTGGAATGCTCCGAACGGTAAGCAGGCTATTGGAACAGCTACGACAGGTTCCTCCGAGGCTATTCAACTTGGTGGGCTTGCCATGAAGCGCATCTGGCAAGAGAAACGCAAGGCTGCTGGTAAAAGTATCCATGAGCCCGGACCCAATATTGTCATGGGCGCAAATGCGCAGGTTGCTCTTGAGAAATTCGCTCGTTATTTCGAGGTTGAGTGTCGCTTGGTTCCGATCTCCGAGGAGAGCAAGTATAGGCTGGACCCGAAGAGGGCCATGGAGTACGTCGACGAGAATACGATTGGCGTGTTCGTCATCCTTGGAAGTGAGTATATGCATTAGTCACTGTGAAATTCTGAAATAATCGTTGTCCAAGGTACATACACTGGTCACTATGAACCCGTCAAAGAGATGTCCGATCTTCTCGATGAGTATGAGAAGAAAACCAGCCATCATGTCCCTATTCACGTGGATGCAGCTTCTGGAGGATTCGTCGCACCGTTTGCAACTGTGCGGAAATTCCATTTTTCATTAGTCGATTGCTGAGATTTACGCTATTAACAGCCCAAGCTAGCCTGGGATTTCCGTCTTCCGCGGGTTGTCTCCATAAACACGTCTGGACATAAGTTTGGACTCGCATATGTTGGTGTTGGTTGGGTAATCTGGCGTGACAAGGCGCACCTTCCGAAGGACCTCATTTTCGAGCTGCACTATTTGGGGTCCATCGAGTACAGTTTCTCGCTCAACTTCTCGCGCCCGGCTGCACCCATTATCGCCCAGTACTTCAACTTTGTACATCTCGGTTTTGAGGGTTATCGCCGTATTGCGCTGGCAGACCTGAAGAATGCCCGTGTACTGAGTCGTGCGCTCGAAAAGAGTGGATATTACCATGTTTTGAGCGATGTGCATCGCTTTGCGGACGGCGGTTCGAGCGTGATCGAAGGTGCAAAACAAGCTGCGGGAGTCAAGAATGAAGAGGATGTTGAGGTTAGCTGCTTTCATATATTTATTCAAGTAGTTGACTTCACTGATTGTGTTCAGAATTATATTCCGTGCCTCCCAGTAATCTCGTTCCGCTTTTCTGACCAGTTCAAATCCAAGTACCCGAACATCCAACAGAAGTGGATGCAGACGCTTCTCCGTTCGAAGGGATGGTAAGCACTGACCAAACTATGTGTTACGGTCTTTCGCTAATCAGAGCTGTCAAACAAAGGATTGTACCAAATTATGAACTCGCACCTAATCTGCAAAACGTCGACATCCTTCGTGTCGTTGTGCGGGAGAACTTCTCGGAAGCAGTAAGTCTTTAATGTTTCTATTCTATTCTAGTGTACTTGATCTAATACCTCTATATTTCTAGCTTGTCGACCGCTTGGTCACTGACATTATAGAGCTTACTGAGGGTCTCATGAAGGACGACTCTCCGGTGCACGCGCTCAGCACACTTGGCGCGACTCACAGTTCCGCTCGTCGTGGCAATGGCAAACTCGATGAAGACTCGGGACCCAAGAGCTCTGGCACGTACGCAAAGCAGTGCTAAATCTGTCCTTGTGCCATCGATCAAGGTAACAGAAATTCATTGGCAAATGGTGCAAAGAGACATATGGAAAGGAATTCGCGGTTGTAACTGAGGACTTTCCCTCTTATTCTCACGGAACAAAAGAAAATGTATGCGTATTGGATATGATGTGTCTTTGTACGATACTGTGGAGGAGCAATGCAAACTAGGACAATGTTGTATTCTGTATTCTGAAAATATACGCACACTCGTCGATAGCGAGTACTGCAATGTAGTTGTGCGCATGTGTTAGTACATGTCATTATTACAGGAATTCAAGGTACGATAACAAAAGCAAGCCCCGTTTGTTGCATTAGCTTTATAGTCGGAGGGAGTGAATCGCCCATCCTTGATGTCAGAGGCTAACGAATAAGATAATATCTATGACTTGAAGGAATGCTTAATGTTCACGCTCGCTTGTCGGATAAGTGCGACTGCCTCTTGTGACCGAGGTGCGATCGAGCACTTAAATGAGGTTGGATGCCTATACATGTTATATTCCGCATTAATTAGTATCAATATTGACAGATAATGGAAAACGTGAGAAATGGGAATGATGGAAGAAAGGTAGGAAGAAGCAGCGAGCTAAAATGAAAGAGACTGACGATATGATTCCCGATGTCGGGAGGTGTACACTAGGAATGACGGCTCCATTCTTGTCCTTCGCAAGTCCTATATCGAACGTAGCCAGTATGCGAGCAAGGGCGAGATGCAGTGCATCCTCCGTGTAATAAAACGCAGGACAATACCTATTCCAAAACGCAGATAACGCGAGAAAAAAATGAGAATCACATTGAGGTAAGGATGAAATTAGAGAAAGGAACATAAGACTATTACTCACCGTCTCCCGTAACCGAATGCGAACTTTGAAGGATCGTTACTCGAGCATTCGAGTTGTCCTGCTGCATTGATGTATCGTTCTGGCTTGAACTCCATTGGCTCTGGATATACTTCCGGATCGTGTAGGATACCCCTGAGTAGCAGGAACAAAGAGAAATAAGTAATCTGAAATCGAGAAGTCCGCAAAAAGGTGAGAGCATGTACGCACCACGTATTACCGAGTACGATAGCTCCCTTCGGCAAATAGTAGCCCTCGTATACATCATCTTCCTTTAGCATATGTGGCAGACCTGATTATCAACCAAAAGTTGTATATTAAGCATCTCATCTCTGCAATCTCTAGCAGTAAACTGAAAGAAGAGACAGGAACGTACTCTGAGGAGCAATTACATGCCAACGCAACAGTTCCTTCATTACCGCAGTGGTATACGGCAAGTCTTTCCTGTCCGTCTGTGTCGGTAATCGCGCTGAACCAACGACGGAATCGATCTCCGCTTGCGCTTTCCGCTGAACTTCAGGGTTCAAGGCCATGGCCAGGAAAAAGGCATTTAGAGCTGCTACACACTATGCATACCGTTTATCTGGTGAAATATCGTAGAAAATTAGTTGATAGTTGCTTACTGTATCGGACCCAGCTGCAATAGCCCTTCGTCAGTAAATAAGAACTACAATAAACCAAGATAGTAAAAGTCACCTCCGTATGCAATTGTGCCGGTATCTCTGATGATGTTCTCCAGCTCCGGATCAAACTTCTCATTCTTCTCGCGTTCTTGTTTCTCCAGAAGTTCAGAGACGTAGCAAGGGACCGGTAAGGTACCATTGGCCTGTAAAGGTGCAATCAATCAATCAAGTTCTCCTTTTTCTGGAAAGGGACACTAACCATCATATCCTTCGTCTCAACGATCGGCACATCACGCATCCCTTGTACGTCACTCTTCAACTGCTCTGCCATCTTGTGGTAGAACTGGCCAGGAACCCACGACGGTATTTTTTTCACTGTAACACCGATTTTTCAAATAAAAATGAGAACAACAGCGATCAGATTAGTATAAAACATAGCATATACTCAGAGTTTAAGTCAGCAAACCTACAGAACGGGAATGCATCGACCAGGAACGCCCCAGGACGAGCCAAGTCAGAGATCGCATTGAGCGCTCTCTCAGCAAGCACAACGAAATCATCGTTTCGTGAATCCGGGGCGAATCCGTAGACCGACATCAAAATTTGCTGTACGATATGTCTAAAAATACCAGAGTCACCTCAACAACATCAGTACACTCAAGAAGGGAAGCACATACAAGCGAACGTGATCCTCGAACTCCTCGGGTCTATCGAGCAAAAGTTCAAGTAATTTAGTCGATGCGTAGTCCTGTGCCGGATTGAACATCTGCACCGTCCCAGGACCGAATTTGCTGATAAAGAGTTTTCGATACTTCTTCCATAAATCACCGTAAACCATCAGCGCGAAGACCCAATCGAAGCCCGTTCTATGAAATAAAATAGCCCAAAATAAAACAGGCGAAAAAAGAAGAAGAAGAAAATAGACGTCAGACCAAGCGAACAAACGATTCTCACAAAGGACAACCAAGGCCGGGACATGAAGGAAGTAAATGTGAATGTACGTACAATTCCCCAAGCAAAGGTAATCTCGGCCTATCAGAATAAATGGAAGACCGCTTCTCGAAGAGGTCGTTCGCAGCTTTAGCGGTGTTAACGATGATGATTGATTGGTTGAATACATGCACATGTACAACTTCCCCTGCAATATAAACACAAGTACAATGAGCTCTCCGGAGGCGAACGAAAAAAGAAAGAAGTTAAATTACCATAGTCCTTCCCCCATTGCGTGAACGTCTCCCAAGGTTGGTTCAGCGGCATATCAAACGCGTTCCCGATTAGCGGCAAAGGCTTCGGGCCAGGAGGAAAAGGTAACCCATCTCCTTTGGTTCTTGCAGCGTTTCTTTTCACATCGAGGGACCTGATGTAGAGGGCACCACTGGCAAGAAGTGCTACAGAAGCAATAATAAGTGCCTCAGTGTCCAAAGGGAAGGACGACCAGGACAAGTCAAGGACCATGGGGGATTAGAAATACGACGTGTTGTTCGTCGTCAGTCGCGATGAGTAGTAGTAATATACTACGAAGAGCCTGCCCAGGGGATAGCGAAACAAAGAGGGGAGAGCAGGCGGACGAACAAAGAGATGAAAGAGACGTCGAGATTGCCAGGTTCGAAAGCCAAAGAGTTATATATCGTATATTATACGTATATAAGATCCGCGTACTCCGGTGGATCGCAGATTCGCAAACGACGATCGGTAAGAGAGTAAGTAAATTTGCGAGACATGAGTGGATGTCGGCCATCCAAGTAGGTTTCCATCGTGGAGTAGGGATGAACAAACGATAATAACAAAATGCCGGCATCAGGCAGACACGTTTTTAACAGGTCTAGTACTAAAACTCATATTTCTGTACTGGATATAAGCACACGGTGGCGTCGGGCGAGGCAAACGAAGAGAGAATATTGAGGGGCGGAATTCAGGTCCGTCAAACGAAGATGGTTTAGACACCATTCGAGAAGCTCAAATGCCACGTGGGAATGATGGCATGATCCGGCAAACCGAGAGAAGTCAATCAGCCGCGCCTGTCCAGGTTCCTGCATGTCCGCGCTGCTAATTGTTCTGTTTTCCTGACAGGACACGTTGCTCTCTGGTCCTTAACTAAACTCTACTGATATGCATAGCCGTACCCCTATTCCTTCGCGCTAACGACTAATCGCACTAAGCGCCCTCATATCAAATGCAATGTGTTGGCTTCTTCTTGACATGTTGTAACAAAGGCAAAGAAACGAGGCAAACTCTACAGAAACTTTATGCCAACCTAGCTAGTTTATAGTAACACCGCCGGCTTGTCCGACTTATCGATTGAAAACGACTTTCATGAGACCATCTATGTTACTCTTACCTCGACCTGTGATCAAGTCCTTAAGGTCGCCTCTCGGTTCATTGCGTTACGATAAGACGAGTCGGACTCCAATGTTTCCGAGTCCCTCGTTTAGTTAGAAATATCGAACATGTGTGAAGCACTCGGCTCTTCTAGGCTAAATGTCATACTCAAGTTATTCACCGGACTTCCTGGTATCAAAATCTCCAGAAAACCGGTCTGTACTATATCCGCGTTCCGGCATTTCGGTGGTGATCGTCTTCCCCCCTGGCTTCTCTTACGCTCTTGAGTGATGTTAATTATCATATCCCGTTCACAATCAACCGTCAGCGCTTCATATCAAAAGACTCATGTATCCGTTTGGAGCTAAAAATCAATGATTCGTTAAACAAGACACCCTCAAATTCTTGATAACCCTAGACAATTGAATTCATTCAAGGGTATTATAGTACAAGAATCCACCTCGGCTCAGAAAGTGTTAGCACGCTCAGCCAGCTCTCCAAGGCTGACTGAGAAGCCGCTGGACGGATATCAGCGATCGGTATCGCACGTCCGCATTCTCATGTGTCATCAACTGCATTACCCGCGTCTTCGCTCCGAGGTCCGCCACGGCCCTAAGAACCAGCGTAACCATATACTTATTAGCTGAAACTCTGCATGAGAAGAGAAAATGTGAACGTACTTCTTTCCTCGATCGCAATACTTGACGAATTGCCCGAGATCATGCGCTGCTACTGCCAATACGGTCGGATCCGAGGAGTCGTTCAACAACTTGACAAGAAGTCTAGGTAAAGATAGAAAAGTCAGGATGAGCAGCCGATTAATGAAAGGATGTGCATCAAGGACACCTACTTGAGCTGAGCATAATCTTGATCGCAGAGCTTTGAGGCATTCTCTTGCCAGAACGAATCAGACTCGTGCACTGGCGACCATTGAAGGTGGCCAGAGGCGAGTTCAGCCGTGTATTCTTCCCACGTCCTACATGAAATTTGTCGTAAGCACATACAAGTCGATTAACTAGTTACTCACGTTAAGCTGTCAAATCTAGCTTTAAGCTCGTCACGCAGGAATTGGACATCCTCTACGATATCCTCATCCGTCCATTTTCGCCCGCATAAACTCTTTGCGAAGGGAAGGAGCTGAGCAACAAGCATTGACGGCAAGTTTTGAGAAGGAGCCTTCGTGACCAGATTCTGGACGAACTTTAATCAGTCATAATTGAAACATCAAGAGACGAGACACTGACTCGGAACGTAGCAACAATTACTCGAATAACCTTCTCTTTCACCGCACCCTGCGCTACATCTGTCAGAAGAGGAATAATATCGTATTTCCTAGAGAACTCGGTGTAAGACAGATCATCAGGAAACACCCATTCATTCAATTACTTGTTGATATTTTCCGAGATTTCTTGCTCAAACGTCAGAAGCCAGAAGCAAAAGCAAACTTGGTAGCTCATCTGAGCTCCAGGTTTGTTCTGCAAGATATCACGTAGGCTGAGTACGTTCAGATTCAGCAACACTAGAAGAGTACGAGATGACAAGTGTACAGACCCAATGATAATCTTAGAGTGCGCCCAGACTGCTCTGCGAACTTCTGTTCTAGGAAGTAAAGCTTCAAGGCATTGTACAGCAGCATCTCTCTTGTTCGACGAATAAGATTGCATCAGTCCGGAGAGGACTTCCAAGAATGGTTGGAGATGTTGCGGTTGAATAGGGGAAGATTCGGAACTTAAATCAAATTATACGTTAGTCTCTGTACCGAACGATCGAACATTGAAATACCTTAGCAAAACAGTTAGAATTTGAGCGGTCTTCAGCTGAAGGAACTCGTCTTGGCTGTCCAACGACCTGACGCAATAACATCAGCCAGGTGTCGTATAGTCTGAACAGGCAAGTGTGGCGCACCGTAATAACGGACCATATGGCAGCTCTGGATCCTTCTCAGCAGCCTTAGTGAACAGTTGTATACGCTCATCATGATCTGAATGAAACGGTTCATAACTACAGAAACAATAGTTCAGTCTTCGCGTACCTGCAAGTGCGTCAGTAATAAGCACTAGGATCCACTGCATTGTGTCCACCCGGTTGAGTTTCTTGAGAAGGCCAAGGTACAGGCGCGCATACGTCTGACCGTCTGATTGCAATAGTGACTCTGTCTTTGACCTCGGTTGTCTGTCAACTTTCTTAATGAGCGCGAGCTCATCGGGTGTCACCAATCCGGCACGCTGGTAAGCCTGTTTAAGAATGTGTTGACTAAACGTCATATATACGAATTTGAGTAAACGAGCCAACCTCCCATGGTACCGGCTTTGAGCGAATCTTCGCGGATGTCTCGTCGAGATATGAGTTTGAGACGAGGGATAGAGACATTGTAAGGGGTCAGCGGGAGAGATGGACTAACTGCAAGACGCGGAGGTGCTACGCCACCGCTGCCGAATGCAAATGGAAAGTCGCGTCAAATAACAATTCATTTCTTTTCTAGTTGTACCGACACTTCCATGTCGCCTCCGTCCGTCCTATTGACACAATGTCGACGACAACTTTCTCATAACCATGGCTTGGCACTTCGTAAGTTGCTATGAAATTGCCATTTTCTTGTAGGAAAAGTACCGGGAAATAATTGACTGGATCCATGCTCTTCAGGATTTACGAAGCGCACACTTGCAACAGTCGTCGACGCACCAAAAACACACCGTCTCGCAGTCAGCATCCTTTTGAACCGCTCCCCTATCCTCACACGAACACCAACCAAATTCGAGCGTGAATTCTACAAATACCAGCAACGTATCCAGCGCACCTTGCACAACCCATTCCCACACGAGTTTTACTTCAAGCAAGGCTCCCTACTCGAAGCACAATTCAACCAGGATGAAATCCGGCGGGAAAGGAAAGCGTTCGGCAAGGATGCGGTGAAGGATATGGAGGACAAGTCGTCGCTTCTGATGAACGTGGAGTCAACAACTGGGGAGGAAGAGGAACAGCCATTGCCGCGACGAACTGCTGCAGATGAAAAACGAGACTTAAAAAGCCTAGACAGACACGGTGCACGGAACTTATATCTCCTAGTAAAGGGCCTACCAGGCGATAAGTACCAGTGGCGATTTCCAAAGGGCCACGTAGAAACAGGCGAGCTTTTACACGAGGTTAGTTTCGGTTGTTCTAGAGGGTCAATTCTTAAAACTAAACTTGTTTTTTTAGGCTGCAAAGAGGGATTTGCATGCTGAGTGTGGTCCCCACATGAATACTTGGATTGTCGGACGGAAACCAATAGGTCTGTTTGAATATCAATATCAATCAAATGCAGACCCACAATTCTCCTGCGAAAAAGTACGTTTCACGATTGCGTTTTTACTCTATTACCTTTGTACTGACTGATTATGGTAGATTTTCTTTTATAAGGCGCACATCTTTGCAGGACAGGCGCGACCTGTAGATAAGAAAATCGCTGACTTCGCTTGGCTTACGAAGGAGGAGATTGAGTCGTATGTCGACAAGGAGTATTGGTTAGGGACGAAAGACATGTTATCCGACGTTTAGTAGATCATCTTATTATCTTACACGCATAGACATTTCGTCTTGCTAATTACACCTTGAATTGTTCAGTTAATGCACGAACAAAGAGAAAACGATCATACAAGTTCAACGATTGAAATCATCGTTCTTTTAAACAGATCTATCTTTGGTATACAAGTAAAGAAACAAATCAAGGAGCGGCGTCAAAAAGAGCGTGGTATGTTTGAAATTAGGGAAACGGAATGAGTATAAGGAATGGAATTTCGTGTGATTTATCAATAATGCAAAGGATTGGCAGTGGATATGTCCGGGAAAGGCGCATAGAAATCGAGCGGGGCGCCGTAATCAGGTATGTTCTCTAGCTCTGGTGCTGGCGGCGCTAATGGGATTTGTGGTTGACCAGCATCTTCCAGACCGAGCAATAGACCGATATTTGCGTTAAATGGATTGGTAAAAAGTTGCCTGTCTGCTGGAGCCAACGGTCTCACCGGCTGTCCGAGCGCGTCATATAGCCAGACGGTTTTGTTGATTAACATAGACTGAGGGAAGCTCATTGCATTATTGCCGTCCGTGCCGCGGTCTACGAACGGCTCGCCTGTGCCGTTCATGGGGTTAGACGTCTCAGTCTGCATCTTTGCTAGTTCAGATGGCAGGTACAGGCCGCAACGTCGTTCAAAATCGTCCCTATCAACGTCGCTTGCGTCGTCAAATCCTGAGAGGTCCTCGACGACCTCCTTGCCTTTCCCCTTCTCAGCCGACCGGGCCGAGGTCTCTCCCACTGCGGTCGGATCAGGGGAGTCAGGGAAGCCATTCGACTCCTTAGGTAATGTTACAACGTCGTCCTTTCCTTCAGAATCGTGCATCTGTCCCATGACCGCTCGCTGCCGTCTACCAGGCAGCTTATGGTATGTTTTCTCGTGTCTGATTAGGCTAGACACGGATTTGTAACCTTTATGACAGCCAGTAATGGTGCATTTAAATTGTTTCTTTTCGTCGCTGTAAAGAAGAGTCAGCTAATGCGTATTCAAATCACCTTTACAGAAACACCTACTGCACGCTATCCACGTGCGCGGGGATGTTGCACTTTTGTTTTGTGCTAAAGTCGCATCCTTCGGACTTGAATGGGCATTCAAATATTCTGGCAGAATGGAAGGGGTGGAAGACATCGAGAAACAAGTAAGTACAATCGAATAGAACATATAATAAAGGTATAAGACTAACTCGGCTCGTTTGTTGTGCACTGTCCTTAGGTGCCGCCCTAGGTCGGACCTACGGGCGAAAGTAACTTTGCAGCCCCGTTTACGACAACAGTGCTCTGAACGTTCAGATCCATTGAGCCGCCTCGCGGTACGTCTACGGGCAGGCTGTACCCCGGAGTTCTGTCTTCCAGTGCTTCGTGCCTGCGCGCGTGTTCGCGGTCTCCGCGATCGGGCCATTGCTCTAGTTCGCACCGTGGTGCGTTCAAAGTAATGGAGTATGTAGTGAAGAGGTGAGCGGTGTAGTTCGGAGAAACCGGGCGAGAAGTCCCAGAGGATGTAGAGGATGCGATGTGAGCTGTCTAGAAATCACTGCGAATGGTCCACCTTTATACGCGAGCCGGAGGACGTGCGGCTTGGACTCTTGATTGCTTTCGTTCGGGGAGAGAAAGGGAAAATGGACTCGCCTGATTGGCTGAACTGAATCTTTGGCAACCAGCTGTCCACTCGTCTCTTCGTAGTAAACGATTCACACAATGCGTGGGCCACAGACGCTTTAGGCTTGTGATAATTGCCACCGCTTGGATTCTGAGGTCAGTGGTATGCTTGAGACCATGGTCTGAGAAATCTACATTGCTAGATTCGGCTGCAAGGTTTATCCCCTCTGTAAAAGCTACACGTTTATTCTGCAACTGTTTAGTGACTTATGTATGCTGCTAGCGTCCTGAAATCCTATAAGGCTCAAAACGATCGTTCATGGCACAGTTGTCTAGGCCTGAACGGCCTTTTCACTGTACAGCATGGAAACGGTCCTCGTACCTGGATGAATTGCGTGGCCTAGGGCCTCCCCGTACCACTACCATATTAGTCGCCTAATAGTAAAACAGATCAAGTCCTAGGATCTCTAGACTTCCAATGACTATACTAGTATGATACATCTACATGAATCTCTTAAAGAATATTTTGGTCATCAGTTGAGGAGAACAAGTGACTGCCACTGATGTAGATGTCCATATTTGAATGGATCTGGGTAGTCTCTACCCCCTGAATATGGCTCACAATTATATTACAGACACAAAAGTTAAGAAGGTGAAGAAAAGCTGCCTGTTATACATGGAAGGATAACTTGGAACTACTATCAATAAAAATGCCGGTAGGTTGTCCAGTTGACATGTGATAGGTTATATATCTTACCAATGTGCTTTATAACAGTACCTACACATTCTACTCTCGCAACTTAATGGATGCACTTTCTTTTTTTCGATTATTCGCAAGCTGTTCCTCTTGGTTGTTTCTAAATTAAGAATGTGATTTGCACAAAACGTCTGAACTGGGCTAGGCTAAATACAGGAGTTCGTTACCACGCTTTGACTTCTTTGATGAGATTATGTAATAATATCACTGATCTACTGATCCATGGTCGTCTGGTGCCTTCCAATTCTTTCCACGTCTTCAAAGCAGCTCATTCTATTCTCGGCGACTTACCAAAGACAGGACACTTGGTGCAAAAATACTCAGCTAAGTGGACTGCCTGGTCCAATGGACCGTATGAAGGAACAGAAGTTATGCTCAGAATTAACAAGTATAAGCTAAGCAAATGTATCAGACTACAATGGCTTAAGTCGTAAATTTAAAGCAAATATAAGGCCGCGAAGATAAAGCAATCGGTCACCGCGGTGTTCATGAGTACTCAGACTCGAGTTGAAACTTCAGCGAAAGAACGAGGATCAAAAGGTGTCGTATGACGTCTAATCTGTTAGCCGATGAAACGGGTGACGAAAATGGCGGATATATAACGCGCTTATGTGCACAGTTCAATTGAACTTGCAGGACGCCTTTTATGTATTTTGTACTTTCCAAATACTTTCTTCAAGCCCTTGTAAAACATTCTATCGACAAATCAGGATGGATAAGTTATTTTTCTTAAATCGCCGTCCGACTTCTTTATTGTATGTTTAGCCAGAAGTAGCTTTCTAGGCTGCCGGGAGGTGTTGACTCTGGAACGTGCATGCTTTCTCAAATATGATAATCGCTTCTACACCCACAGGCCGTCCTTGTTAACGACTACATGCCCGGATGCCCACAACCTCCACAGTAATTCGTAATTCAACCTGTTTCTAATGACTCTAATTTACACATTTATTTCTAAAGTTACAACTGCAATAGCTTTCCCAATTTCGTACTGCGGATGACTCTTAATTTTTCGTCGCCAGAGGCGCCTTACGACCACGTCCAGTCACTCCGAGTCCTAGACCCCATTCAATTTGGTTTGCTACCTTGATCCGTGTGCCAAGCTGTTCAGCGAACGTCAGGACACTTGCCGGATCCTTCTGGAACTGCCTTCCAACAAAGATGACGTCGCTCATTCCTCGTTGGAGGATCTCTTCTGCAAGAGGGCCGGTTGAGATGGATCCAACCGCTCCGACATGCAGACTAGTCGGAGTGTCGATACCATGAGCCTTTTTTACAGCTTCGGAAAGCGGTGCTTGATAAGCCTTGAAACCGGTTGGGCCTGGGTTCGGGATACGTTGAGCAGGGTGCAAGGCGGCGCTCGACACGTCTAGAAGGTCCACTCCGTGAGCTGCAAGGATACCTGCAAGCTTGACGGTGTCTTCGAGTCGCCAGGAAGGTTCATTTGGAAGAGATTCTTCAAGCCAGTCGGTCGCGGAAATACTACCCAATTATCAGAAACCGTGACAAAACAATGTACATGACAGCTGTTACTTACCGGAGGAAAAGAGGCATATCTTTGGGTATTATGCCTCGGACTGCATCAACGACTTCCAGAGTTAATCTGGTACGGTTCTCGAACGAACCTCCATACTCATCCGTGCGCTTGTTGGAAACGGGGCTAAGGAATTCATGAAGAAGGTAACCATGCGCATTGTGGATTTCTATAACATCGAACCCGGCCTTGAGGGAACGTTTCGTCGCGTCAACGAAAGCGCGGACAATTTCTTTTATCCCTCCCTTTGAGAGCTCGTTCGGCTGCGGAAGTGCATCATTGTAACGGATTGGTGATGGTGCCCACACATCCTCAGGCCAGCCGCCATGCTCTACGGCGGCTGTTGCATGGAAGTCGAGCCAGGGAGCGACAGTCGAAGCCTTCCGTCCGGCATGTGCTAGTTGGATTCCAATTTTGACGCCCTGAGAGTGCGCGAACTCGACGATTTCCCGCAACGCGGGAATCTGATCGTCAGTCCAGAGGCCAGAATCCTCCGGTGTAATACGTCCCTGAGGAGTAACTGCGGTCGCCTCCACGAAGGTAAGCCCAGGTCCACGGGTGAAGATTCCACCAACTACAGTGTTTCCGTTGATCAGTATTTCGTCGAAGTTGAACCGCTGTTGTACTCACGGTGAGCCATATGCCAAGCTGTCAGACGGCCGTCTTCTGCTGAGTACTGACACATGGGCGATACCTTTCACGAAGTATCATATCCATAAAACATGAGTAGGGTAAACTACATTATTGCTGCCACCGGCACTTACGAAGATTCGGTTGTGAAATTCAACCCCGCGAATCTTGATAGGCTGGAATAGCTTTGGAATAGGCTTAGACTGCTCGTTAATGAGTACCGCTGTTCCCGACGGGGGTATCTGCGCCGGTGTAAAGTAGCTGAGAAGGCATTGCGAATCGCATTCAGTGGCACATCATAATATTAATGATTGGAGTACTGGCGTTGGACGTGCACTCACGAGGTGTTGGGAGCTGGAATATTTGGGATTGACATGGCTAAACAGAGTCAACTAACTTGTAACGGCTACAAGTTGCGCAAGCTTGCGTGCTTTATATGTTCCGCGCGGCTCATATCCCGACTAGCACTTTCTGACAGTTTCCGTGTGTGAACCTCCTCTTCATCAGATACTCCGTCAGCATACGCTTATTAATTTCATCGTACATCGCTGACAAATTGCTGAGTAAGTTAACTGGAAGAAGCATGAAAACTTTACATTAGAGAAATGGAGTTTGGACGGGCTCTTTCACTTAGAAAGGACGAACGAGGCTTGCAGTGCATTCATTAGTTCGTATCGCGGTTGTTTGTTTCAATGTTTGGTCCTGTATAAGTTCACCGTCACGGGACCTGAACCAAATGAAGTCGATCCACGATTCCTCTCGTCTTGACATCTAATCTCATCCTACAGTTTTCCAGATCTTGTCAGCGCCCATACCATCTGCGCATCGATCTTATTAATAAAATAAGGTCTACTAAATGCCTTTGAATCCGCACCGCACTCGTGAGGTTGGAAGGATAGTTGCTTTGTCGGTGAAACTTTTGTAGGTCGATTTGTCTGATCCGACCAGTCATGATAATAAGTCATTCTTATTATCAAATCATTATGCCAGTCCAATAGTCAACTGCAGGGATCATGCCTTTAAGCGTCTCTCGATATTAATCGATGCCAGACTTTAATTTGCCTCAAAATACTATTTTCTGCTTCGGGAGAATGCTAGAAATATGAGCGTTCAGTTGCGAAAATTAGATCTTGTCATGCATTAATAGGTGTTTGTAGATTTTTGGGGAAAGCTGTATCCAAACTATATCGACTCACTGCACCACAGTTAGTTTTGGGTCTATCCCGCCTTCCCCAGATTCATCATGCTGCTTGGATCCATGACGTTCTTAACTCGTCTCATGAGTTCCATAATTCCAGGATTATGTTCATCTTTCAGGTATTCCTTCTTTCCGACGCCAACATTGTGATCACCAGTGTCTAATATATGAATACTGTGAGCATTCAACGAATTAGGTGAGAGAAATGTGACTGACAATTCCACGCATGCGCGTCAAGAACTAGTACGCAGTGTACAAGCTGATGGATGTATACACCAACTTTCTGAAGTCCTGCATTGTCATAGGCAAGGACTAGTGCATGAAGACTGCTTGCATTGGTAGGATCAGGGAACGAATGACCATGAATACAGGTGACGACATACTATCTCCCACGTATTCAACTATATGCCTACTTTCAGTCCACTGTCAGTGAGATCTTGTTTCGAATCCTGGACGAAGCAGTAGTATTTTTGGTACGAGAATGCTAGGCGCATTATTCATTAGTGTCAAATGGTAACAGAGCAGAATTTTACACCAGACATCTATTGTCCAAATTCTACTCCCCGCGTCCGATGCCAAACAGGCATCAACACGCTTCCCATAATCACCATCTATGCCATTCTGTGGTCGCAAACCGGAAGTACAATCCATTGTGGTGTTCTGCGATGGCTTGAACCAGTTTGAATGCTACTTTAATTGAATCCTTAGCCTTTGAATTTTGAAGAGAGCCTTTGATAGGATTCGTCTGGTAGACCTTTCCAACTTGACACGATCGGTGATAGGAAATAAAAGTATGCATATACTGACGTATTGTATATTCATCCACAAGTTCGACACATTCTTTGTCGAGAGCCGTAGTACAGTACTCTCACAGAACACAAAATACTAACAAATGTTGTTTCTGTGAAGCAGTCTCTTGAATAGTGTCTACAGTATTCTAAAAATTCGGAAACTCTGCAAGGGTAACCCAGAATAATGCTGGACTAGTACGGCCTAAACAAGTTATTTAAACTACAGATGATCTTGGCAAGTAGACCAAAAACTAGTAAACTTAGAAATCCTTGTCCAAACTCTTTACTAGTAACCTTCACTTGCTTGCTATGTGTGCAGCTCTTGATCCTCTCTGCCATTGATTGTGACATGTGTTGTGCTAATCTAGTTCAGAGGATGAATGAATCTAAGCAGGCTTGTCAGAGAAAATGGTAACAGTCTTCCTTCACCCGTGCTATACAAATCCCTCTGCCGTCAACAAGAATGCCTCCCGTTCCACAGATTACAAGTCATTAAATCTACTATGAGGAATATTGCTGCCTGCCAGATTTAAGCATCAATATTATCAGTGCTTTTAGTCCTCTTGCTAGGCAATCTCTCCATTACAAACTATATTCTATGTAGATGCAGTCGTCATTTTGACACCAAGGCACTGGCAGTAAAAAGAAGCAGTAAGATTATAAAAAATACAACAGTTAATCACCTTCACAATACTATCGCACCCACACCTCCGCAACGGTATCCCACTCCCTCAAGATCTGCGCTTCGTTCGCCACCACCTCTCCCTGTGTATGTAACGTCACCTCATCTTCACCATCTTCCTCCCCAGCCTTCTCCTCGTCTTTGATAAGTAACACCCGTAAACCACCAACCTGGGCGAACCCGCGTACACGGGGTATGTACGAAAGCACGAACTCCACACTTCCTTCCCCTCGCTCTGGTCTGATAGTAAGATTTGACGAAGAAGGTGAATAAGGTGAGATCGTCGAAGAAGAGGACTGTAGGTCAATCGAAGGAGAGGGTGGCGGTAATAACGAAATCGGTGGTAAAAATACCACAGACGTCCCCGAGAATTGTACCCGACCACTCTTCGTCGTCGCATGGTTATTATCCGACTTCAAAGAAGTCGAATAAGGTGAAGGCAACTTCACATCCATCGTTCCACCCAACTCATCCGTATCTCCAAACGCATCCCCTCTGTCATCTGCGTCCTGTAACCCTAATCCAAGAGCCTCACTCAACGCAACTCGTCTTAAGCGTTCTGTTAAGCCTCCTACAGTCACCGACCCCACTCCTCGAGCTGCTGTAGCCGTTGGGGAGGTCACCATACTACTTTCCCTTTCCCCTCCTGCTGCTATTGGCACGGGTGCATTCGTCGAAACTGCCGACCCCGGAGGAGGCGAGACGACTCGTCGAGGAGTTAACACGTCTATTGACCCTGCATGACTTGAGGGAGAATGCATCCCCGAACCAACAGTATCGAACGATAAAGTTGTGCTATTACGTTTCTTCAATGTACGCAGCATCCCTGGTGTAGGTACTACAGCATTAGTTTGCTCAGGAACAGGTGGCGGAGCCGGAAAGGTATGTTGCACCGCGAGAGTTATAACACGCTGTTTTCGTGCTGATGACTCCTCTCCTAGGAGACTGGGGGTGCTCAACGGCTGCAAAGCCGAAATAGCTAACGAGAACCGCAAGGAAAATGGTTCCTCAACACGGACCGTAGCATCCTCCGGCCGCTCAAGTAACACAAGATCCACTGCAATGTCAGCCTGTTGCGAGGGCTGACTGGGTAACGAAGGAACAGGCGGAACGGCCGTGCTCGGGGACTGCGGTCTCGCAGGCGCACCGGGTGTAGTTGAACGTTTCATAGGAGAACCAGGTCGTTGAAGAGGAGGCGGCGTCCCTGTTCGTTGTTGTTGTTGCTGCGCTTGTTGTTGAAGGGAGGGAGAACGTGGTCGAGGGGAGTGAGGCATGACAGCTTTCTGCAGGTACGGTGGAAGAGTAGATGCTGGTGCAGCACCTGATGAAGGAGGGGCAGGTAATGGAATACGGCGCGAAAGTATCTATGACAATAATATTAATAAAGTAATAGTGTTTATCTCGCAGATGAAACCCACTGATGTTAACAGCCTTCCAGGCTCCCCCATAGAAGATCTCCACGAAATATCTAGACGACCGAGCGGAATCACAGTCCCAGGAACGGGCGGTGCAGGAACGCTCGTATTCCTCGGAGTAAACTTCGGAGTCAAAATGTAGACATACTGACGCATATCGTGAGGAGGCATAAGCGCCATACTTCCAGAAAATATGCTCTTTTCGTTTTCTGCATCCGCAGTGGAAGATAGGTCGAAAGGAGGAGAAATAGCGTTCGCATCAACAACGTCCCAACCTTCTACAGCCTCTAAACGGATCTTCTCAAACCACATCGGAGCTTGAGTGAGGTTCTGTATGTGTACCTCCAAGAACACCTTATCTCGTTCGCTCCGGGACAAGAGAGCGGTGGGGCTCTTCGGGACGTGTACTTTCGATTTCACCGACAACGGATTTGTGACCTAAACACGAATATTGTCTACTCTAAGCATTTCCAAGGTGATTATATAAATTGGAGTTCGGCTCACCATGAACTTATAGAACTTGCGAAACGTTTGCATAAACGGATCCTCCGCATTATACGCTCCACTGGTAGCGGGTCTCATCCCAGGCGGCGTACGATAAGTTACAGTACACGCCAAAACATGCTGTCCAAGCTCCTTAATCTCCGTAGCTACACACAGCTCCAGTGAGTCCCCGGTACCCAACGTTCCCGTCCCCGATCCACTCGTCTCCTCCATTTTCACATCCCTATCCGAATCTCCAGCATTAACCTCCGCAAGCAATACCTTACTCGTCGCCGTCTGCATCTCCACTCTCGCCCTAACACTATCCACGGGTAGTCCCACCTCATTGTTCACACTCAACACACAGGCAAACGTCTCCCCTAATTGAATCGCACCAAACGCAGCAGGAAGAGTAAGTAAGTTACTTGCGTGGGTCAAGTCTCGCAGAGTCTTTGGGTGTCCGGGGAGTGGTTCGGCGCCTTGGAGTGAGAGCGGGTGGGCTGTTGAATGAGCAGAGAAGGAAGGGGAACTGGAGAAGAATGGTTGCCAGTGGGATGCTAAAGAGGGACGCGAGACGCGCATTACTTTGAGGGACAGCGGATGCTGCCCGACGCTATCCAGGCCGGCCATTTTGCGACAGTGTTAATCCAGAGAAACGATTGAAGCCAGTCGTTCGCGTTTGTGCATGATCGACGCGTTCACACATGTGCAAACTGCTTTCTCTCAAATGCCAAATAAACCAAGATTACTATTCTATATCCACTTAAGCCAAATCGTCTATACTTCTATTCATAGACAAGAGATTACGGATAAAGACGCCAACACCAACAACCCAACTATTACTTCGGTGCAGCAATAGCTTTAGCATTAGGAGCCTTAATCTGTTTCTGCGCATCATCAAACCTCCTCACAAGAACCTCACATTTCGTCGTCTTGCAAATATGCTTTGACGAATTTTTGATCTGGTCAGAGAATAGCGTGAGACCAGCTGCCCGCTCAACGGCATCGACTACAGTAATTAATACAACAAATGTCCATTAGCAAGAAGGAATACAAGCCAGGCAACATGTGTATAGGAAGCAAACGTACCGGGAACAGTAAAGCTCTCAAACGGCGTCGTATCCGGAATCGCAGCGTTCTGCAACACGAAAGCACCCGTCGATATCTCAGGTACGTCAGGAGTCGAAGGCGAAGAAGGTCGTGTAGCTAATACAACTTTTGCGAAATGCGTTGGGACGCCGATGCTAGGCGGGTTCCCAATCACTTCGTAAGTCTACAATCGTCAAAGGATGATCATATTTCAATCTCAATTCACTGAAGATGTCTTTGAAGATAGTTGAGAGGAGACGAGTTGACTCACCACCCGCCATTTCCCATCCGACTCCAATTTCGGTAAATACAAAGGAACAGTAAAAACGTAAACATCTTTGAAAGATCCTGTAAGTCGTCGACACCAGTCTTCGACGTACGCCCAATAATGACGGTTAAATTCTACTCCTACTTGCGGAGCGATATTAGTTAGTAGGAAGGTTTCATCCATCGCATCCTAGATAAAATAATTCAAAAGTCATTTAGTAAGGTATTCACGACTAAGTGAAGAAAGAATTACCTGAGAGATTTTAGCATCCGCAGCAGGCACCCTTCAAACGCACAAGTTCAATCGTTTGCAGGATTCGAAGAAGAATAATTCGACGACCTACATATGTCCTCGATCATACCCACTCCTGAAATAATCCTGTAATCGTGCACGGAACTGTAAAGGAATAGCAACATCCTCTGTAAACGTCGATCGACTCCTATCCCCCTTATCCCCTTTCTCATCACTATTAATTTGCTCGAGCATAGACCGGCCTAGTGAGGAGAGTGTCAAATGTTCTGCTGTCTACCAACAAATATTATTCTTCATTAGTACAAGAAGAAAACAGTTGAAGAGATGATGTGAAATACACACCCACGCTGGATGCCTCAACCTCCTATCATACGCAGTAACATACGCCTTCCGCACTAAAAGATCTGAAATAGGACCTAATCCCAAGAATCCATGTAAACGACACTAACTCAGCACGTCACCAAAACAAATCATCACTATTCAAGACTTACCAGGATTCCCATACTTCAAAACAGTTCCAGGTAATTGTTCCATCCTTTTGGTGAGATCAGTCAACCCTTTAGACTCAACCTCAATCATAGGAGTCGGAGGCGGTGGAGGCGCAACGACTGCATATTGTTTTCGAGATCGGTTGACAGCAGCAATCGTACCACCACCAACGATAGCTCCAACAGCAAAACAAGCTGCGTGCACAAGAGTCGCACTAGGCATCCCGCCTTTCCGATAATCACTAGGTAGGAGGGCAAAGCACGAAAGTTCAGGACTTCACTTTTGGAAGATCTGCAGACACGTGCACTTCAGTCGCGTGTCGAGTTTGTTTACACATGTTATGCATGCACGTAGAGAAAAAAACACCAACTACAATTACTATCAACAAGAAAAATCTCCAGGACAGCAGATAGAAGAAAGAAGAAGACAAAAAAAAAACTGAACAAGGTCAACTAATATCAACTGGACTTAAATCTTGTCAAGTAAGGTACAAGGGGGCAAAAATGTGAAGATGGCCATAAAGTCACAAATTCATAACTGTTTTCTTGCGCATGTTGTAAAACGGTGGGCACTATATGTAATAACTGCTTCCTGGTGAGAAAATATACGACGGATGAGAAAAGATGAGAAGATGGACGAGAGAAAAACATGGGACAAGGGACGATGATGAGAGCGGGCCGGCAATATACGGGCATCGGAGCATCCAAGAATAATTTGCGAGAGATTTAGGTGAACAAACTATGTTTGACGTTGCCGAAAGGTTCAATTATTATGAGCGGGATGTGAAGGTCAGCCAGTAACCTCCCCTCCACCTATATCTTTTCCGCAGCACGAAGCCCGTGTCAAGAATAGTTACGTTACCATTATACCGATTGGACTTTGACCTTCATATCGAATTTCACTAGATTTCAAGCGGCTCGTGAGAGCGCGCCTCCAAGCCTTGAGTTGCGCTCTCGCTCGCCGATATGCGGTCGCGACGACTCATAAATCCGCTTCCAGCCGATGGACCACGCGGCTGGCGTACGACATTACTGCTCGACACCTCATTCTCACGGATCGTCCCGTTACCGTTCAAGTTCAACGGCGTAGACAGAGTGCTAGGGAGACTCGGAACCGGGGGAACACCAGAACTCGAGAAAGCACTGTTCCCGAAGATCGAACCGAAGGTGCTGCCTGGTGAACGCCGAGAAGGCGAAGCAATAGTGTTATACCTTTCGCCAAGGTTTCCATTCGACGCACGGGAATGCAGCCTTGGTGCCTGAGTGTGCAGCGTCTTCATGTCAGGCATGGACTTCTTCGAGCGCAGCGAGCTCGCCGACACTTGCGGTGCCGTCATGTTGTATGTAGACGGCGCACGCGAAAGGGTCTATACTAAAATTAAGTCCCGTTCTGTTGGCAGAAGCATCATTAAGGACCTACACGTCGCGGCTCCGCCTGCATGTTGTGATTGACCCTTTCCGGATCAATCCTCGTAACAACCGCATAGCGCTCCTCGCCTTCCCCGACGGAGTAATGAAAGACACCTAGCTTTTGTGCTACCAGATGCACGACGCGACGCTGCTTTGGGCTGAGCGTCCTTGAAAACGCTAGCTCATCACGCATTGGGTCATCCTTAAACAAAAGAATGCGGGAGTAGATCTCCAGCGTAGAAGCGTCATTAAGGTCAAGCTCATTAGAAGAACCTCTAGTTGATGGAGTTGTTGGAGGCGGGGGCGCGACCGGCGATCCGACTCCATACGGTTGCGGAACCGGCATAGGCGGCGAGTTGTTCTCTTGGTGCTGATACGGGTTCGTATACGGACTAGAGACCGAACGCGGAGTGCCGTACATTCCGCCGCCAACCGCTCCAAAATCGTTGAGTGAAGGAACCTGCTGTTGCTGCATAGCTTGTTGTTCCTTCTCAAGCTGCATGGAACGCATGCGGCGAAGTGCCTTTTCACGCTCGATGCGCTCCTTCTCACCAGCCTGGAGGACCTTCTTGTACTCAACACGAAGCTTCCGACCCTGGACGTCGAAGCCATTGAGTGCAGCAACGACTGCATCGGCATCCTGCGGCTGGCGGAAGTTAGCAAATGCGAGCCCACGGAACGCGCCTTGGGCATCTAGATGATAATTAAATGCATAAGGCGTCGGAATCGAAAGCGACGCCTACAGCCAACTGTTAGTATGTAACCATTACATTATAGAGTAGCGCATACAATGATGTCCAGTAAAGTTTCCCTTTTAACGTTGAACGGGATGTTTTTGATGACAATTGCGGTGGGTATGATCTCGTCCTCGGGATTGCCCGTGGGCAGTGCCTGCTGCTGCTGTTGCATGGGAACCTGCATCTGGTGGAGCGGCGGCGAACCACCCGAAGAGATGTCCGAATTGCTTGGAGGCGACATGGAGCGCGAGTCGTTCAAGACCTGGCTGTCAATCCATTGCTACGGCCGTCGTGAGTAAAGAGACGCGTCAGAATGCGGAATGGCCCACTCACCGCGGGTAGACCCGCCCGCGCAGTCGGCTTATTCTTGAGCGGGGACTGACCCAGGCCGAGCGGGTTGTATGGCATCTGACCAGGGATGGCTGGGCTCGTGGAGAAGTGGAAGGGCTGCTGTCTCTGGTTCTGGCCTGACTGGAGGGCATTGTAGTCGTAAGGGTTGTCGTGAAGACTTTGTGCCTGCGGGGAGATTGAAAGGGTGGAGAGGTCAGGGGGAGTCGGGGACGTGCTGGTCATGATTCGTGACGACGTGCTCGTAAAAATGGATTAGAAAATGAAAAGAAAAAATGCAGAGGAGCGTAGTGGACGAGGGTAGAGAAAGAGCGAGAACTAGCTGATGAAACGATATACAGTAACGAACGTCACCCAGCACGAGGCTTGTCACACCACGTCTCTTCCTCCTACTGGCACTGCACTCACAGTTGCACGACGCCTTCTTTCCGCGTCTTCCAGCCCCTTGTCTCCTTTTAGCACACTCAAGAATCCCTGCACATCATCAGTTAATATATTCACTTATCCCCTTCAATCCCGCAGGGCCTAACCAAAGTTCTTCTTATATGTATGACTCCAAAGAATCCGTTTCAATTATGAATTAATTACTATTTATAATCCTGTGTCCCACACTGCAACTCCCAAAACTTCAACAATGCCCGGCTGATCTTTACAGGCAATGCATTTCATAATCTAGGAAATTTCAAAGAGTTATCCGTTATTCGTCCGATTTATTGCAAACGTGTAGTCCTTGGGCGTCATTTCACACGACGTGACAGATCAGCGATGCATAAGAAAAGGAAAAAAATCATGCTAGTCTCTTGAAGCCTGAAGCCTGTTGTTAGTGCATTCGATATTACGCTAGAACGTCTCCTTAGGGGCGAGGAAGAATTCATCGACATTCATATAGATCCTACATACAGTCCGCTCACGCAGCGATTATCAAGAACTCTTCGCATAATAATCTACCCACGCACTTAACATACTCAGTCCGATAAAAAAAAATAGCACACAAATCAGATGTAACGCGCCCACTGTCATGAACATCACGGGCTGATTGCGACAGGCTTTGGCAGTGCCAACACCGAGCCGACGTCGATGGGCAATGATACTGCGCGAGAATGGTCCCATGGCCCACGAACAGGCTGTTGGGAGAACGTTGAAGGCGAGGGAGACGGCGTGGACGATGGTGAAGAAGTCGAGGACGATACGGAAACGGGACTCATCCGCATTCCAGAGCCTAATCTGCCAGGGTCGGGCATGTAGGGTAAGGCGAGGCCGGAAATGTCTAGGCCACGCTCAATGGAACGTCGACGTGGTTGTCCATATGCCAAACTAGCGTTAACGTCTTCAATAGAGTGTGCATGTCGCTGGGAGTATACGGAGCCGTGAGGCGGAGTGGCCATTATCCGTGGCTCGGGAGCTGGCTTTACGGTGGAACGCGTAACGTCTGATGGGACGTGTACTGGACGTGGGACAGATGGAAGGGTGTGCTTTGCTTGTCCACGGGAAGGCATCGGTCCTTTGTGAAGGCGGAGAGATGTTGGAGGTGGACGACGAGGCATGTCTTTTCTTATCCGATAACGAAGTGGTATGTGTAGGTCGTAGGCAACGAAAGGACGGAAAGACAAGAGAAACGGCCTGGAAACGCGTCAATGACTCTATGTTTTCTTCGTTGTGGTACAAGGGTGAAGCTCACCAGTTAAGAAAGAGTTCTTTTAAGCTCGTTCCTCTGTTTATCGATAAAAACGATTCGAATTGAGGGACTTCAGCTAATCAAGCCTCAGCAGACACAGTATACAACAGTCGATCAAGGAGGTCGGTAGGCAGGCAGGCGAGAAAGTGATAATCAAAAGAGAAGCACCCGTCAAGGGAGATAGAAAACAAAGTGACGATGAAACGAATGTAAGTTGTGCTCCTGGCTTTTAGTAGAGATGAGGTTGTGGAAACAAGTAAGTAGGAGAGGAGAGGGGACTGTGGCCGCCGCGGACTGTGCCAAAGACCAAAGGCTGCCGTTGCGAGGCACTACTTACAACTGGAAATGATAGAAGCCGCATCGCTGATGATCAATCCCATCAGTTTGAGAACCTTTGATTTTCCGCACCCGGACCCTGAATCCCACGGCCCATTTAGGGATGACCCTGAATGGCCACTTACTTAATATCTGTGTGGCAGTTCTCAGACTAAGAAGTTAGGAGGGGGGTTTGGGGGGGCTCTGCCCCCCCAATTAGGTTTTGGCTAAGCTGGGTTGTTAGGTTTAGGTATTAGGTTGGGATTTGGTTAGGATTAGGGAGGGGAACATGTATTTTCATTAAAAGGACTTTATTTTGACTTAGTGAAATTCAAGTCAAATTGTGAGTGGCCAATTCAAGCTAACCAAATTAGGGCTGTGGAACTCAGGGTCCGGGTGCGGAAAAGACGCGACTCAGTTTGAGTATGTCACGGGAATAAAACGCGCTTTGCCACGTCGTGAGTACGGAGTTTGAAATCTATCTGAACAACTTGCGATGGATCCTTCAGCTGGCAAGGAAGGCTTATATCATTCGAATTGCGTACCCAGAGGAATATTTAACGATTTATTTGCACTAAAAATAATTACAGCCGTCCTATCAGTTACAGACTAGTCTTGTGTAGACTAAATAGTCTAATTCTTACATGCTGCAACCCGGACAAATGCTACCAGCAGACTTTTACACTATAGTACATACACATCTCTAACAAGCACTCAAGGGGTACCAGGAACTATTGATTGCGTATAGAGGACTATACAACACTTCCAGTACGATCAGTCTTACTAACTCATCTTTCTTCCATCACACTTTAACAGTTTAAACAGACAGTCCTTTACAACCGTATTAGCCTCAAGATCGAGTGGTTGTATCAATGACAGGAGTAAGGCTAAACCAGAGCATGACGTTCGACGCCAGTTATACCGATAAATTAATCACTGAAACATACACAGAACTGTATTTGAATTTATCCCTAAGACACACCTTTTCAAGCGTGTTATGGTGAGTATAAGTGAATATAAGGCTCTTATATTTGATCATAAGCTGTAAATTGGCCATACTGTGCACTGCACAACAGTGTTGTCGAACAATGCTCGGTGGAAGAGATCGACGTGCGGAGATTGTACGTCATGCTGTGACGCGCGACGTGTCACAGAAAGCCACCTTTGTCACGTACGCGTGACGTGCTCGTTTTTCCCATAGGGCCTGACCACATTTGGTCCCGCTACTTTCCCCGTTTCGCTCACCTGCTCCTGGCCTTATCCTCGAGGCTCAGGAAGCCACTACTACTATGTTCGCTCCTACCCCCAGGTCGAGCGCCTCGTCCAAGCGCGCGAAGCCGTATTCCCGTAGCCAGAAAAATATGACGCGTTCAAACTCAATTCTCGGAACGATCAAGAACATCGTCTCAGCACCCCTGTCGTGGTTCGCGTCCAGCGATGAAAACTTCGAGGACCTAGGAAAACGCAGGAGGCAAGCTGCGAAGGACATCGCAGACATCGAGGAAGGACAGCCGCAGCGTAGGGAGAAGCGCAGACGTGTAGATAGTCCTGAACGTCCTCCAGAGCGGGTTCAGCCGCCGACTGCTGGCTATCTTGATCCTCCGCCAACCACCTCCCTGGTTACTCAACAGGCCACGCGGGACAGAGAACAGGCAGACGCGCATACACGCCGCTCGTCAGCGATCGAGCTGCCGTCGTCGTCGAGTATTCGCCTTATGTCCGTTGATCCTCCTCACCACTATGCCACGCTTAATCGTGATCCTGCGATGGTGCCCCTTCCAGGATCCCCGACCAGATCGAGTCCCAGAAGATCAGTTGGGCCAGAAGACATTGCCCACGTACCGCGCACTCCTTCCAGACTACGAACGTCTTACACCCCACAGGTCGCACTCACGAAGCCACTTCGACGCGAGGCATCTGCACCGCCCCCTCTTTCAAGTCTTCAGTCCCGTCCGATGTTCGTTAAGCCACCTTCCGATGAGGGTCAGCGTGAACATTTGGACTCGAAGGAAGTGCTGCCTTTGGGAACCCTAGCCGAATTCAGCCGTGGTGTATGTGATCATCCTCTGAATCGCATTTACCAATATCTAATAGTGTTACTAGTCCCGCGCCCCGAGTCAAGACAGAATATTGAATGGAGTTGGATCGAACTCCAGAAATGCACGCCAAATAACATCTTCAGCTTCTTCTGATGGTATTTTGTCTTTCTCCCCACTCCTCTTCGAGCACCTTTTCTCACACTCTGTCTTTCTTTCTTCCCCTTTAAGCTGTACTTCAACCAACCAAGAGTCTTTCTGAGAAGGTTTTCCGCGAGCTCGAGATTTACAAGACGCCAATCTTGCCGTCTAGGTACAAGGACGCGAATGCGATTCCGTCCTTCCTCCAGCCGAAGCGTTCGCATGTGCCGATTCCAATGAGCAAGAAGGGTAAGGCATCAAAGCCAAGTCTAGGTATGGGTGTAAAAGAGGACCGTGAGAAGACTGGATCTTCTTCACGCGACGATGGGAAACCATACGCTCGTAGGGATGGTTATAAGAAGCTTATCGCAAAGCGCAAAGTGGATGGAGAAGATGCGAATCGCGGGGGTAAAATCGAGCTTCCTAGCGTCGAAGAGGAGGACGAAATGGACACGGATATAGAGCCGAGTAAACGCGATGTCGGCGTCTCCACTCGCATGACATCTGGCTCTGAGGATGAGAGATCGCGTCTTCGGAAAGTGAATGCGAGGCTGAGCGACGCCGACGTTCCACAAGGTGCTCAGAACGATCCTTTTTCACGCCAACCTGCGAGTGTGCTTGGCGGTCGCCATCAACCCTATGGACGAGTGGGCCGCACTCGTGCTCGTGATCCCGGACAGCGCTCTGTTCCACTTGGACGGCCAACGAACAAATTTTCTGCCTTTTTTGACGATGATGAAGGTTCTGATAGTGCTGAGAAGAGCACAACTACAAACGAATTTGCTTCCGGCGAAAAGGCTCAGGTAACAGCCGAGGCGGCAAAATCTTCGGTGTACGAGGCTCCCAAGGGTTTCTCCTTTGAAAAAGATGTAAGCTTGCAATGCTTACGATGTGATGAAATTTGTTAGTTTATTGACATGTTTTGTTGCAGGTGCCGTCCATTAACCTTGATCACGCTTGGGCTAAAGAACCTCCGATTCCATCTTTACCTTTCTCGCTTGGCCAGAAGCCTGCTGCTCCGCCCACCAATGCGGGTGACAAGACGAAGGAAACATCATCTTTAAAGCCATCTCTGTCGGCATTACCGTTGCCCCAGCCCAGTCCTGAGAATGCCGAAGAGAAGAAAGAGAACTCTGCAGCAGCGGCTCCGAACGTTGGTGTCATTCCCCCAACCCCAGATCAGTCTGTAAAGGAAGTCAAAGAGACGCCAGCTGTGCCGAACTTCTTTGCTGCTCCTTCCAGTACAGCTGGTGCAAGTGATGCCGCTGCGTCTAACGCCACGCCGAAATCAACAGGAATTCCGAATTTCTTCGCAAATTCCGTATACGTAGCAGGTAGCAAACCGAGTTCGCCCGCCCCTAAACCTGCGGTACCTACATCATTCCCGGCCGCTCCTGCTGCAACTCCCGCTACGCCAGTCAAAGATCCTGAGAATCCGCTGTGGAACGGGAACGATGCGGCCCCGGGCGCACCACCAAAGCTATTTGCCGGAGTAAACAAGCCATTCACGTTTGGAACAAAGTCAATGGAGGCTACTAATACGTCGAGCGCCCCAGCGGTGTCTGCATCGTTATTTGGCCAACCGCCGAAATCAAGCAGCGCTGCTGAGTCCGTCAACGGCCAGCAGTTAGGTTCTGCCCAGATTGGGATGGCGGCGTCGGCGCCTGCTTCGACTCCATCCACCAGCGTGGCAGCTACTACAAGCGAGGCAGCACCCGTCCCTTCGAAGCCCTCTGACTCCGAGAACAAACCTGCTGGTTCTGGACCTACGCCATTCTTTAGCTTTGGTACGAGCTCGACCTCTAATGTTCCAAAGCCATTGTTTGGTACCGGCGGGACCACGGCTTCAAGCGCTCCGTTTTCTACTCAGCCGAGCCAGCCAGCTCAGAATGCTACCGCCAATACTGCACAGAAGCCAGCGTTTTCTTTTGGTGTCCCACAGCCTGCTAGTGGGGCTGATAAACCGTCTGATACTCAATCTAGCCAGGCGGCGCGTACTTTAGCAGGTACCGGAGGCCAGAAGTTGTCATTTTCATTTGGTGCCCCAAGCGCTGGTGCCAGCGCGCCTCCTCCCTCGAACAATGTTAATATCGCGGCTCCAAAACCCTTGTTTGGCAGTGAGGCGGCAGGTACTGGATTCACATTCGGAACTCCAGCGCCCTCCGCAGCTCCTGGCGGAGATGCTGCAAAGCCTGCCAGCCCTTTCGCATTTGGTGCGCCGCCGGCCACGCCTCCCGCAGGTGAACGTCAAGGCTCGCCATTTACGTTCGGTGCTGCACCTTCCACTGGGACATCTACTGGGTTTACATTTGGTACGCCTGCCAAACCGAACGGTACAGAGACAAGCACTGCACCATCGATACAAGCACCGACATCTCCGTTCACGTTTGGAGCTCAGTCAGCTCGGCCTGTGACGCCGCCTCCAAAACCGGATGAAGGAATGAGCATGGAAGAGAGCCCTACGCATATGGACATGAATGGCGCTGGTCAGAAGCGACCCATTGACAGTATATCTTTTGGTTCCGGCCCAACGCCCGTAAATCCTTTCGGTCAAAACACAAATGCTGGGTTTACTTTTGGTTCAACATCTGCATCATCCAGCCCATTCGCCCAGAAAGACGAGAATAAACTGAGCGTTCCAAACTCTACTGGTGGTTTTAACTTTAACCGTACTTCGTCTGCACCTGCTATTTCCACGTCTTTTTCTTTTGATGCGAAGGCTGATCAATCCACGGCGCCAGCGACGGCGTTCGGTACCCCACCTAATCCCTTCGGTCAACCGCAGACGTCTGGCACAAGCTCGTCTCCGTTCAACTTTGGACAACCACAGCAGTCTGCTCCGGCGGCTAATCCATTCGGATCACCTGCTCAGCCGTCGGCAGCACCAGGTTCTACGCCGAGTAGTCCGTTTGCCACAAACACACCGGCTTTCACGTTTGGTGCTCCTTCGAATGCGAATGCGAATGCACCTAGTAATTCGTTCGTGTTTGGTTCGAGCGCTCCGTCGTCCCCAGCGAACGGTGCAACCGGATTACCACAGACATCAGGCGGTGCGCCTTCGTTCACCTTCGGTCAACCAGCAGGGTCGAGCGGTTCGACGTTGTTCAACATAGGTGCCGCGCCTCCTTCGACTACAACTCCAGGCCGTCAGATGAAGAAACTGCCTAGACGTGGCCCTCCGCCGAAGCGCTAAGGAACTTCGTTGGCCCGTAAATAATCGAACTGTTCGACGTGTCTTTAAAATATTGTGTTTTCTTATGTTTAGTTTTCCTTTGTGCGCAACCCCTTCCAGTTTCATTCCTGTCTGTCATTATTTCTCTTCCTGTCGCTTGTTTCAATTCTTCCACCAATGCAATTACTACAGTTCAACACAATCCTGCTTTCTTTCTTCCTCCACCATCTGCAACCATCCGTCGTCTCAACTTGCTCTTATTCATGCAATTTGCTATTTCCGTAAGTTCACACTATTTTCATTTGCATAACCTGATTTTGTTGTCATCATCGCACGCACATACTTGGTAGGTACTAGTCTTGTCGCTAGAATGGAATCAATATTTTGAGGGACACTGTAATTGGGATGACGGCGTAAGCTGTTCACTTTGTTTGTCGTTGAGCAAATGTGCGAGTGTAGAATTGAGCGTGACTGGAGTGAACTTTACGACGCGACGCGTTTGACGCGCCGTGCTTGTTACCTCTGCTTTATTCCTCAGACGCGTATTTTATCGCGAGTCGAATAACTCGCACCTCAACAATGCCTCGTGAAATTGTAACTGTGCAACTTGGACAATGCGGGAATCAAAGTAAGCCATACATCCGCATACTGACTATCTTCTGAGTCCAACGCGTTTTGTCCTTTTTGTGTATAGTGGGCTCTGTCTACTGGCAACGCCTGTGCGCGGAACATGGTATCAACAATGAGGGTATTCTGGAGGAATGGGCTACAGAGGGTGGTGACAGGAAGGACGTGTTCTTTTACCAAGCTGACGACGAACACTACATTCCGCGTGCTATCCTTGTTGATCTTGAGCCTCGAGTGCGTTCTTGGCTTTCGTTGCCGTTTTGTTGGTCATGATGCTAAACTGGTGCTGCGATAGGTCATACATAACATTTTATCCTCTCCATATGCAAGTTTATATAACCCCGAAAATATCTTTGTGTCAAAGGATGGAGGTGGAGCGGGGAACATTTGGGCTCAGGGCTATTCTGCTGGTGAGCGGATTTATGAGGAGGTTATGGAGATGGTTGATCGAGAAGCTGAGGGTAGCGATTCACTTGAGGTGGGTTTCATACACTCCGACTCTCTTGGTACCTGTCATATTAAAGAGATGCCCTATATTCAATTAAGGGATTCATGATGATGCACTCAATAGCAGGCGGTACAGGTTCCGGTCTAGGATCATATATGCTCGAACGACTGAACGACAAGTTCCCGAAGAAGCTTATCCAGACGTATTCTGTGTTTCCTAACGCTCAAGAAGGAGACGTCGTCGTACAACCTTACAACTCGTTACTGACGCTTAAACGATTAACGAACCATGCGGACTCTGTTGTCGTGCTTGATAATGGTGCACTTGCGAGATTGGCTGCGGATAGGTTGCATTTGCAGACTCCGTCGTTTGATCAGACGAATCAACTTGTGCGTTCTTTGTTATTTGCGTTAGACAAAAGCTAAAGGGGATGTTGGTTAGGCTTCAACGGTCATTGCTGCAAGCACACAAACTCTCCGATATCCTGGCTACATGAACAACGACCTCGTCGGTATCATCGCGTCTCTCATCCCGACTCCTCGTTGTCATTTCCTCATGACGTCCTATACACCCTTCACAAGTGATCAAATCGACAAGGTACGCCTCATTCAACACCTGCTCCATCTCATGGCTCGTATCATTAGCTATGATGTATGCTAATGACTTTTGTTTTATTTGAAGGCGAAGCCTATCCGACGAACGACCGTCCTAGATGTCATGCGACGACTCTTACAACCCAAGAACCGGATGGTATCAACTACACCTAGCAAAACGGCATGCTATATCTCAATCTTGAATATCATCCAGGGTGAAGTTGATCCTACTGACGTATGTCCTCTACCTCCCTCCCCCCTCTCCCCCTCCATTCTTCAGCTCTTGATACTAAATCGGATTTCTCCTGTTTATTCTCTATTTGACACAGGTGCATCAATCTCTCCTTCGAATCCGAGAACGCCAACTTGCAACGTTCATACCCTGGGGACCTGCATCCATACAGGTCGCACTCACCCGCAAATCGCCCTACGTCACAACAAGTCACCGTGTCAGCGGTCTCATGCTTGCGAATCATACCAGTATCGCTTCCGTACGTCCTTTCATAACGCCTTTCTTCTCTTTACAAAGCTCTGTGATACTGATACGAATAATGATATTTCCTCTTGTGAAAACCACAGCTCTTCAAACGAATGCTAGACCAGTACGATCGTCTACGGAAGCGGAACGCTTTCTTGGATCAGTATAAGAAAGAGCCGATATTCCAGAATGATTTGTCTGAATTCGATGAATCGCGGTATGAAGGATCTTCATCTTATAAACGTTCAGCTCCACTAATGAGCATAATGGCTTATTCTCATACAGAGCGACCGTTGACGAACTTTTACAAGAATACAAAGCTTGCGAAAGCCCCGATTATATCTCATATGTATGCGCTTTTTTATATTCACTTATTCATTACACACTAACCCTCGTGTTAAGGGCACAGCATCCGACCAACAGGAAACCTGATCTAACGTTGAACCTGCTTGATTCATGTATCACTTACCATCTTATATCACTATTGTATCATGCTCTTTTCCATGCTATTCTATGGTTTACTTTCCAGCAACGAAATAGATGTCATTCACATATGACAAGATGACAGCAACAAGCTAAACATGTCTAATTGGTAATAAGGATTACACAGCTAACAATAAGAATTGGGAAGAACAAATTTCCTTTGTGGTGGAGGGGAACACAAAAAAATTAAGCTTTCTTTGGGCCCTCCAGTTTCTTCCCAATCTCGGCGCCTATCAAACCCAACACAGTCAGTAAACCAAGTTCGAGGACGGAATTACGTATGCGACTGTGCAACTTACCACGCAGCTTGACTTTGAGAACACGCTCGAGTTTACCAAGAATCTGCGGGTTAGGGATGGCCTTGCCACTCTCGTATTCCTGGATGACGGAAGGCTTCTCGTTGACCTTCTGTGCTAGGTCCTTTTGTGAGAGTTTCATGTCACCTCGTGCAGTTGCGATCGCCTAGACAGTCAATTAAAGTAACAAAAAGAGCATTAATGGCATGAGGAGGCAAATAATATCAGCAGAATATGGCAAGCGTACTTTGCCAACTGTTGGGGGGACCTTTGGAGGTGGCGCAACCTCGTTTTCACGGTCGAGTTTCGCGATGCGCTGGTGGTCAGGTCCTGCAAGAAAAATCAGCTTCTGCTTATATTATGAATACAAGAAGGAATAGGGACATACCGACATGACCCTTGTTTGTTCCACCAGTCACCTTCTTGTCAGTCGCAACGACGGCGCCTGTCCGCATCGCCTAAACAAAATCCATCAAACCAAGTCACATCAGCACGCCCTGTTCACTGATCTTCGCCACGTGTAAATCTCAACATACCGCTGTTTACAGAGAAACATAGGGTTTAGAATGTCAAACTTAGCAAACACGAGAGCAAGTTTGCTCACTCACCATTCAAGTCTGATTGCTTCTTGACGGCAGCTGGGCGGATGGCCTTGCTGCCGATGACGAGCTTGCTGTCCCACTCGACGTTGCTCATTTTGTTTTATTATTTGAGATTCGAAAGGTTCTGAAGATGGTCGAGGCGGTTGGAAGCAGAGTGGTGTAAAGCGAGTTGCAAGAAGAGGGAAAGAGTGAGAGATGGATTGACGGGGGATGACTTATAAGGAGTGATCCACGTGACATTCTTTAACTTTGCGTCCGCGTCCGAGGATGCACAGCTTCGTCCGTGAGTCAGAGTTTAAAAAAATAGAACTTCCATGTCCTTCTACATTACAAAAATTATTTTAAGTTCTTCCTACGTCTTTCAGCCTTCCGTCAACGACTGGTGTAATTTCAGGCAAATCCTCATCTTCCATCTCCTCGGTAGTTCGCTGCTGCTTTTCTCCCGACCTCACATGATCTCCGTCGAAGCAATCCGTACTCCCCATATGCTCCCGACGAGCAACAGCCAGAGGTGCTCGGTAAAACGCGGGAGAGTGTAGAATCTCACGGACGTGATTAATGGCCTGGTGCCAATGGTCGCGTGCACGCAGTGACGTCTCCTTGCTCAGTCGTTCTGCTCTATGTTTGGCATTCTGTAGTATACGCTCCGTCTCGGCGTGCAAATGCGCAACTTTTGGGTGTTCCGTCTTATCCTTTTCAGTCTGCTCGACTGCGCGGTTCATCTTGTTGATATATTTAGATCCTAAATAAATCGGGTCAACACGCGATATAAAATAATGCCAGAGGAAGAAGATACACACCCAAGAGATATTTCCGAACAATGGTACTCATCATCTGTCCCTGCTCATCATCAATGAGCATCTTTTGGTCCTTCAAACACTCAAACCCATCATGTCCCTGAGCCATATACTCTCTTGTTATAACGACATATTTACGTCCTCCTCGTCCCCGCTTCACTTCTTCATGGTCTATGAGCAAATTAGGCGTCGAGTCTCCGCTCTTGTTTGGGTCTATGCGTTTGTGGGTTTGCACTGCAATGTTCAGAACTCGTTGACCGGGTGGTTTTCGAGAGTCCCAGGTTACGCGGAAGCCAGAAATGACGGGAAAGCGACTAGAGACGAATCGTTTAGCTAAAGAAAGTGGAATAGTGACACTACGCACCCTTCTTGTGCTGGCCACGTAGCCAGTCCTGCCTCAAATGCTTCCCAGATAGTTCGGCCATCGAGCTCAAGGACAAGAATACTATCCTCAAATGGGAGTATCTCTAAAATGTCGCCAAGTGTGACAAGACCTTAGAGCAATTAAATCGCATAAGTATATTTCTAAGAAGGAAATTGGTTCTTACCTGGTCCGTATACAGTGTCTCCACGAAGAGCGCCTGCGCACAGGAACACACCATCCGCACTCTCAATTCCCATGTTACACAATGCGTCATCATATGCATGATGAATCACGTCTGCGAACCAGTCCCCTGATGCAGACTTAAACCACAAGGATAAGTAAAAGTTGGTAAAGTATAGGGCATTTCGAAGTCAGCTTACTTCTTCGGTACGGATGTACTCTGAACGAAGGTCCAGCTTTTCTGTGGCGTAGCATACAGGCTTTTTCATCGTTTCCGAGACTGAATCCAGTATCTTCGATAGAACCTCCTTGAGCCGTTGAGAAGACGGTGATCCAGGCTTCGTCTCATGTCGTTTCCCTACATAGAAATAGGTCAATTGAACAAAGCACTTAGTATATCACTTACCCTTCACACACTTTATTACCTTTCGCCTCACACTTCCAGAAGGAGTATCCTCGAGCTCAAGTACAACCTCACTAAGCTCGCGGAAATCCGTGCCACTCTTCGCAACAAGGACATCGCCTTCATCCTGTTCAGCACCGAGGACTTCTTGGTTCACGTCGTAACCCTCCCATGAAGTCACTCCTTTTGATGCATAATACACATGATCGTGTCCACCGAGGATGATATCCGCTCCATGGGTTGTGGCAAAGTCGGCAGGTTGGTGGCTAGGTGAGAGTGCGTTGATGCCTTTTGCAAGTCGGATGTCCTGCGATCATACGTTTGTCAGAACATCTCAAATCATTTGAAGAAAACGAACATTCGGAATTCTAAGCAAGGCAGGAATTATCAACACGAGTTCAAAGCACCGCTACGGGCACGTACCGAGAATGCGTGAGCGCAATAATCAAATCACATTTATACTCTCCCTGCGGATCCCTCAAGCGTTTTGACAAATCCAAAGCAACCTCCACCATATCTCTATACTTGAAATTCGACGGCCATGCCGGTACCGTTGTGATCCATTCACTAATATTTCATATCAACACCTTAAATTAAAAAAGGAAGAGTTGTATCATAATAAGCATTACGCACCTCTCTACAAGTCCGATGAACCCTATTCGGACACCGCATCGATCGGTGATGTAGAATTCGTGCAGGTGTTCTGGTATTCTGGAGGTCGTTTCGTCTATTATGTTGCTCAGTAGCCAGGGCTTTACGTTTTATACTTGCCGTTAGATTTATCATAGAAGTGCAGGACGTGAAGTGCAGGACGTGAAGTGCTCACAAATTTAGTGTCATTTAGAAGTTTCGTAAGATGAGGGTAACCTAATGGAAATCATCAACCGTCATGAACGCCACATATGCATAGGTGGAAGACGAACCAAAATCAAAGTCATGATTCCCTCAAAAACCTTCCAAGTAAACACGATATTCAGGTAGAAACGATTGGTATACACACCTGTGACCGCAACATCCGGAGCAAGCTCGTTGATGACCGGCACCTACCCGAACGGAAGCAAACCATCTCAGGACTAATGCTCTCACTCACTTCATCCAACACATATATGCAAGAACTCACCATATGACTACCCCTTGTCACCGAGCTCTCCACAGACGGCGCAAACAAATCACCAGAGAACAACACAAGTCCATCCCGTTTTCCATCCTCACGTACAGGCCAGCGCTCGCGTAGTTCGTCGAGCATGTGCGCGAACTGCGTTACATCAATCGTCGCGCCCCCGCTGAGCTTTTGTGGATTGACGCGGTAGACATCGTTGAAATGCAAGATCGGGAGAGACGTCGACATTTCTTTCGAATTGCCTCAAAGAACGTAGACAAAGTGAATCAGATAAAGATTGAGATGAAGGAAGGAAGACAAGATGCAGATGGTGATGCCATTTCATGCAGTCAACCGGCTGACTACATGTCCGACGACAGCTGTTTACTACGGTAAACTGAAAATAACATTTGTTCCATCGGGAGTCCAATTCCGAAAACAGACTACAAATTAGCCGTGTCAGAAGACATGGAAGCAACTGTACAGTGCCAGCACCAGGTCCATGGCTAGTGATGCTAGGAACCTCAATCTATACCCAATCATGTTCCGCTGGTTTCAGTGATCCGACAATTAACAAAAAATTCTTTTTTGTTGAATAGCATTTACAACGTGCCAATAAACTACAAGTTGCAACGTTGGTATGAGGATTTGTATGTACTTAATATGATGTAGTGCAAATCTTGATTGTGGCGATTGAGATATGTGCATGTCAAAATGAAAGGACGATTGTATTCTGGTAGAGCATTGCTAGTCGTCATAATCTTGATAGCCATAAAATCGCTGACCTCTGCGCGGTCCATGATAATCTGCAAGCGGGTGAGCGAGAGCCCAACGGCGGTTCAAAGATACAAGATGCCTCAACGCACAGGTACTCGTGTCCCGAACTGGACTCAGGCCAGCAACACTAGCCAGGTTAACATACCCGTCCCCCCACCTACTACTTCCTGCATTTCTCGAACCTGCTCCAGCCCATGGAGCACGACAGTATACACAATCCGGCGTACCAATCTTCTTCTTTGCCCCTGTACAAAAAATATAGTATTAGCATTCGCTTAGGCAGTAGCAAGATGGCAAGACAAATGGCGCACACTGCTGAAAGCACTCTTTATGCAAGGCATTCCCACATGCTTCACACCACACAAGCGAGGTCTCCTTCGCTCCGTGCATATTTTCATAACACACCGGACAATCATCTTCTTCGCTCGGCACACGTCGATTTTGTAGAGCCTCTGAGCTAGAAGCCTTCTTTCCCGCAGCTCGTTCGTATGCCTCTCGTATTCTCGCATTTGCCATTGCATTCGGGGCGGTAGGTGCATTCCGGAATATCTCCTCAAGCTCGCTCGTTAGGAGTGCTCTGCAAGAATACTAATTAACAATATATTCACGCACGCGAATTAATGGCGCTACTCACTTCTGATACCAATAGTGTGAGGTTTGAGGAACCTGCAATACTATGGGTGCATAAACGTAAATAGCCATCCACTTGGTGTTCCTGATTCTATATACCTTTGCAAAAGATAAATAGCTTGTACATCTCGTTAGACTCAATTCATAGGTAGAGTAATGCGCACTTACAATATGTTTGCAGTGGTTACCCTTCATTGCATCTGGACCTTAAAGAACTATCAAACTAGAGGAAACTGCAATCGAGCAAGACACTTACAGGTACAGGACGGCATCTTGTCTATGGTCACAGTGTACACCTGTGTTACAATCAGTTACCAGTTTATTTAACGATACGTAGTAGGACTTGCATTTCCTGTAGAGCCAAGGACACTGAACTCTTCCCTGAGCTCGTTCCCATTTCGTTGACGATCAATCATGAACAACCTTGCTCATCTTCAATATTGAATTCAACGGAAAGTCGCAAATGGACACACCTCTGCGAAAGAACTCGTTGATAACGCTCAACAATTGCCTTCGGAGGCCTACTCCTCATCATTGCACCGCGCTTCTCTGGTGACCTCGGCTTCGACGATGCTTCTTTTCCCTCAGCATCCACATCCTTTGCAGTCCTTCTTCTGTTCGTCTTTGGCTTCGTATCTTCGGCGTCGCCACCATCCCTGCTGCTCGCGTTTGCACGTTTCTTGCTTCTACCTTTGACGGCGATAGGCGCTTGAGAAGTCGGCCCATCAATCGTCTTAATGTTTACGGAGTTGGACAGAGTGATCCGGCTGGTAGAGGCGCCCAAAGACTCATGTTCAGAATGTTGGCCATACGCAATTTCACTTCTATATGACCTTCCGCATGAAGTCGATGATGCACCAGCAACACTAGTAGTAGCTCCAGACGCAGCTCGCCTTATAATACGCGGCATTTGCGAATTAACGTCGTTAATTGCTTGAAGACTCAGAAGAAGTGGACGTCTCAGTTCAGGTAGATGGGCGTGTTCAATTCAAGTTTCTCGGCCTTTGCCGTAACGGCATTGGGCGGTTACAAAGATCGTCATTCGATGCGCCTTTGTTGTTAGTACGGCGTGGCTTGCGCTTTGGGCTCTTCCAACAAGTTAAAAAATGTCATTTGTTATTTTAGCGTGTTAGGAGACTAGAATTCGTATCACGATAACAATATTCTCCAAATATTCCAAAGTTAATCAAAGTGGGTATATGCGAAGGACGAAAGGCGAAGTGGTGCAAAATAAGTGAAGAATAAGAAAAGAAACTTTAAAAAAATCACGCTCTTAACAGAAAGTTAGTAGGCCTCGGTATCGTGGAAGGATCAAAAGCCAAGCCCCGTAAGAAGGTTCAAAGAAAAGGCCTGGAAGTGGTCTCAGAGGGGAAAGTTAGATTAAATAGATCAAATGGTGTAAATACATTTGGGTCCGACAACTCCTCGCCATAGCTCAAGTGAGTCGGGTATGGCTCCTGAAGCAGGTAAGCGAAATACGCGTCCCATACATTGCTGGAAGGGTCGGAAGGGATGGGAGGGATGGAAGGGATGCTAGAGGTGCCTGTCTGCACGGGCTTCGGGAATAACTCCGGAATCATTTCATGCAGAAATTCATCTGTAGATAAGGGCACCACAGGATTCTCGCTATCGAGGTGCATCCCGTCATTAACGGCGGGAGCCATCGCAGGAGCCGGAGAGAAGGGTTGCGAATAGGGCGACGAGTTGTCACTAATAGAATAGCACAAGGATGGGGTTGGCGATGGGACACGTTGCTCGGAGTCATCTTTCACAAAGACGGACGGGTGAAGCCCAAGCCTCACGCTTGGCAACATCTGCCGCTCATGCGGCCTCTGCGCCCTGCGGAAGAATCTATGATGGCTCTTCTCGTGCTTTATGAGAGCGGACTCGTCCGTATAGGACTTGGGACAACCGTGGAACCTGCATTGGAAAAGGCGTTGCAGTAAACTGGAGGCTGTGTTAGTTCGTGTAGCTTTAGTCAAGAGCCAGACGTGGCTTACTGCTTTGCGATATAGTGTGTCTTCAAGTTTCCCTTTTGAAGGGAGCTATGGGAACACCCAGGATACGCGCAGTAGTATCGTCTACAAGATAATAATATATAAGAATCAGGGAATGGAGATGACAATAACGACAGACTTACTTAGCATCCGGCTTATGAAGAAGAGCATGACGGTTAAGGTCAGACCGACGGGTGAAGCACTTTCCGCATTCGGTGCATACAAAGGGATGCGATGCAGTGGTAGGCATGATGTTCTTTCAAGTCAGTGAAGAAATTGAGGAAGGGAATTTCAGTGGGGAAGTTGCAGATAGCTCGATTGTAGTCTTGGAAGACTCCTGCGGTGCCCCAGTAGCGACCTAAAGCTGCCATCTTTTATACGCAAGGTGGACAAGTACTCTTGATTGCTTTCGTTCGGGGAGAGAAAGGGAAAATGGACTCTGCTCATTGGTCGGGCCTGGTGGTTGCTTGGATCGAAGCACTTCGCCCTTACGAGGCATGTGTATCCCACGACTTACCTATTCACCTGCACTGCATTGCCCAAAGCGGGTAGACCACTGATGGCATAAACAATTTGTAAATAGTCGACAACAGCTTTGGCTCTCAGCTTGTGCTTTGACATTTTTTACATGCATAGGAGTCGACATAAGTGTTATACAATTAGCTAATTCTCTATACTAAATTGATTGCGTCGATAAAAGAAAAAGAGTAGCACAGACTAACAGGGAATAAAATGTGTGGAACGGGCCCCGCCCCTGCCGTTCCCTCCGGCCACCTTACCGGCTCCCAGCTGCGATTGCAGCCTTATAGACTAACTACTACAATGTATGCTATGACGCCTCAGAGTAGATAAAGCAGAGAGGAATATACGGAAGAAACGACAGTCAAATCCACCAGAACAAGGTTTGGAATCGTTACCAAGAGACGCCTGCAAATAAGTTTGTTGCGAAAAACGAACCTGAACAATAAAATAAAAAAGAACGGGGCGGGCCCGCCCCTCCCGCCCCCACCGGCCACCCTACCGGCTCCCAGCTCTGCGAATTGCAGCAGGATAGGAAAAAATTTACCGCAGCGTTTCGATTTGAAACGAATAGCAGGGTATATAACTGCAACATTTCAGTATGAAACGAGTAGCCGGGTATTATACCACAACATTTCAGTACGAAACGAGTAGTGGGGTATAGATGAGAGAGGCCAAGGTTGGGAGTATTTTCGAGAAACACTTATTCGCGGACGAGTTTGCTGCTTGAAATACAAAAAGACGTCAAATGGGCCCGCCCCTCCCATTCAACGCCGGCCTCTTGCCGGCTCCCTGCTCAAGCCACCCGAATAGCGTTTGCGGATCCAACAAACGCCCATTCATCAATGAGTGCTGAAAGATAATGACCGTGCACAAGTCATCATCTTTGTGCAGCAAAGCTTCATCGTGGGTGGCTTGCGTTCGTGGTCGAATGCTGAGGACGTAAAATGAGAACATCAGTGTCGACTAGGGACGGTGATACTAAAAATACTAATAAAGATGGACTGTCTTTGCTAAGGAGTAATAACAGGGTTAGGCGCAGCTTAACGAAGAAGTTTAGATAGACGACATACATGAACTTGAAGATGACGAGGGCACACATCGAATGTCAGTCAACGACGATGATTGCTGCTTGATGGCTTGAGCCTTGAGGTCACACTTGTCGATCTTACTATATACTCCAGGCGTTGGGATGCCGTTGTGCATGATAATTATGGATGTCTTCGAAGTTGGTTGATCTTCATAACTTGCGGTCTTGTTGCTTGTTGGACGTCGCTGTAAGATTGTCGCCAATGCTGAGCGCTTGCCGCCTTGAGGACTGAGCAGAGGACCAGACCGAGGAGATGGAGGAAGGAGAACAAGATGGAGAAAGAAGGTCGTCCGTGAGTGCTCGCCTTATATCCCTTCTGTTGTAGCGGGCTGACTAGTCTCGGAATTTCGCGAGTGGCAGACAAGTGCTAAATTTACATTCGCCGATTCAAGGCTTCCAGCCCACAGTCGAGCCCAGTTCAGATGACAATTATAGATCAAGAGAAAAGGTCTACTTGAAGATGTTGTAAGCAGCGATTGGTGACAAAATACATTGACGTACGGATGATATGGATTTGTTAAACCAGATATATGCTATCGTTGAGCTACAAAGGCCGTTTCAAGCCCATAAGGTGCAGCACAACACCACAGGACAGTGTACTCACTGTGGTCAATGATGTAAAAAAAGTAGAGAACGGTCGATGACGGCGACCGCACAAGGCCAGGCAAGTGTGCCATCCAAGACGAAGCAGTATTATACAAGGGTTTAGCAGGAAATTCCATTCTGAATAAAAATAAGTTTAAGAATAAATATGTACAAAATGCATAGAGGCTGATATGATATGTGAACGCAATCCGGTGGACAAGGACGCGAGAGATTCGAGAGCGCCAAGGATGGGGCAAGTTTAGCAGCGCTGTATATTCTGGTTCAGTATCGGATCATTGTGCCATCCATTATATAGACCAAAAAGGGAGTAATCGTCGATAGATCCTTGTTACTCTATTAAAAACGTGTTCCATGTCTCAACACCGAGATCTACCTCTCCAAGTCCTTGCTGCCATGGAAAGGGTACTTGTACACTGAATAGCTCGGAGACTTGATCCAAGAGGGGATCCTGGCAAGTAGAAACAGATGCATTAAGAGCGTTGACTTTTTGCGCACTGGTAGCCTCTGATCGTTCATTGTCTAGGTGTCTATGTCTTTGAGACTCTGAGAAACCAGAGGAGGCATGGCCGGTACTAGAAGCTTCAGATGGCTTGCAAAGACCTAAGATCTCATCCAAGTATTGTTCGAAGTTGAATTGCTCATCGCCAGAGGACGTAGTTGGAGAAGGTTCCTGACTTTTGGAGGTACCTTGCACGAACATGCTGGCGTGCACTTGTAGTCGCAACGTCGGCGTCGGAGGACGCACATAGGGCTTCTGCGCCCTTCGATAGAACTTGTGACACTTCTTCTCATGCTTTATGAGAGAAGAGTCGTCGGTATAAGTTCTACCGCAATCGTTGAACCTACAGGCATACGCCTTCGGATTTACACTGCAGGCTGGTTAGTCAATGCGTCTACAATAGCTAATATACTTGAACTTGACTTACTGTCTTCCGATGAAGTGCGTCTTGAGGTTATCTTTATAAATCGTTGTATGATTGCATTTAGAGCACTTCAGACATCTAAGAAGAGCAGTTTAAGTACGAAGAGGAGGAATGGAGACCACAAAAGCAATTGACTTACTCGGCGTTCGGGTTATGGATGCGCGCGCATGACGGGTTAGGTCATGCTGACGAATGAACGTCTTTCCGCATTCCGGCACGCTGCAAACGAATGGGCCCAGAACCCTCTGTGTCGTTACCTTCGGCATGACAAGTATCGATCTGGACGGGGAAACAGGACGTTGACCAGGTTCTTTGCACTTCTTAGATGCTCTAGCAGCATTCTGCAGGTGGCTTTTATACAGCTCCCTGGCCGCATGTGAGTAGAACGCCTGATTGCTCCCTCTCGGGGAGAGAAAGGGAATACGGGAGCTCCTGGTTGGTTAGAAACGGTGGCAGCTGCGGACAAAGGAATCCAACTCTGCCGTGTACATTGTTCTCATGACCACCCGTCGTACAGTGGTATCAGTGGTCCCCAGCTCCTTTGTCTGCTCGTGCAAGCCAGGACGAGTAATCCAGAAAATTGGCATATTCTTTGACAATGGCCTCCCATGTGGACAAGCTTGCCAAAGGCTCGACCTCTCGGTCTTCAAATCTTTGAGCTATATCGAGCAATGCATGCCTGATTCGGAAGTGATGCGCACTTCAAGAGGACTTGGGGAGGTAACTAAGAACATAAAGTTCGTCATGTGCTAATTAGTGTTCATGGATCTTACTAACACACCTTTTTTGCCTTCCCGTTTCACTGTTTGTCTGGATAGAGCTATCTCCAAGTTATATAAGCTCACTCGATTACACTTATTTCCAACATCCTACCTATGTACCCCCAAGGTTCAGGACTCGCATATGGTTTGGGTCTATAGTGTTCTCAACAGGTCCCGTGAATTCCACAATCCCAGGAATGAGCTTAACATCCAGGTATTTCTTCCTGACACCCACTACGTGCTCATCAGTTTCAAGAGCAATGTTCAGCTATGGAAATAATATCCATGCACTGTCAAGCATTAACCTGCGATTGACAAGAGAGTGAGCAAATTAACTAACTTTCTGGTGATCCGCATTATCATGGAAGAGGTCTTACCCGTGGAGAGTGGAGGCTGCCTGTATTATAGAATTAAACAGACGACTATGAAGGCAGTTGATAACATTCCATCTCTCTCTCTACACTTGCTTTCAGCTCGCTCTCGGTGATGTTGTTTCGGTTACTAGACAAGCTGTGCCAGCATCGACACACGAGCACTGGAACCATTGTTGAGGTTGAGAAGCACGAGATCATAATAGGTGGAGTTTTACACACCGAGTATTGTTCCCTTCATCCCATACATACAAGACAGAAAAGTTGCTTGGTAAGAAGTGTACCACCCTTATCTGGTAGGTATTCACCACGAATTCCCCGTTTAGGCCTAGTTCTAAGCAAGTTTTAAATAGTCGACAACAGGTGCTGGCTTCGATGCCTTTACGAGCGTAATGCACTCAAGGAAAGAGTAATTTCTACAAGACATGTTGCGTTGAAGATAAATTGTAAATCGTATTAATATTCTGCAATAAGAGTTTCGGAATTATAAATCCTTCAGCTGCATTGATTATGCCACTGCAACCAACGTAAAGTCTACCAGGAACAACAAGAAATCAAGCAAACAAATGGAACGGGCCCCGCCCCTCCCGTTCCTGCCGGCCACTATACCGGCTCCCAAATTAGACTAATTACTACAATGTATGCTACGACGTTTCAGAGTCGATTAAGCAGAGAGGAATAGATGAGAGAAACGACAGTCAAAGTCACTCGAACAGGGATCAGGACCGTTTCCGATAAATTGCTGGGAAAAAAAATGGGGCAGGCCCGCCCCTCCTACCCCCGCCGGCCACCCTACCGGCTCCCAGCTCTGCAAACTGCAGCAGGATAGGAAAAATTTACCATAGCATTTCATACTGAAATGCTTATTTGCAGACGAGTTTGCTGCTTGAAATACAAAACAAGACGTCAAATGGGCCCGCCCCTCCCATTCGCACCGGCCTCTTGCCGGCTCCCTGCTCAAGCCACCCGAATAGTGTTTGCGGATCCAACAAACGCCCATTCATCAATGAGTGCTGAAAGACAATGACCGTGCACAAGTCATCGTCTTTATGCAGCAGATCTTCATCGTGGGTGGCTTGCGTTCGTAGTCGAATGCTGAGGACGTAAAATGAGAACATCAGTGTCGATCAGAGACGGTACTAAACGCTAATAAAGATGGGCGTACCTTTGCTAAGAAAGAGTAATAACAGGGTTAGTCGCAGTTAACAAACAAACTGAGATAGGCGACATACATGAACTTGAAGATGGCGAAGGCACACATCGATGACAGTCGACGAATATGGATCCTTGACAGCTTGAGGTCACACACATCAGTCTTACTATAAGCTTAAGATATTGGGATGCTGTTGCGCATGACGACTGCAGATGTCTTAGAAGCCAGTTCATCTTCATGACTTGCGGACTTGCTGCTTGTTGTTTATCATAAGTCGTCGCCAGAGCTGAGGACTTGCTGCCTTGATGATCGACTAGAAGACCAGACCGAGGAGATGGAGGAAGGAGGAGAAGATGGAGAAAGCAAGTCGTCCAGGAGCGCTTGCTTTATATTTCCTTCCGTTGCAGTGGGCTGACTGGTCTCGGCATCTCGCGAGTGGCAGACAGTTGCTAAATTTATACTCGCCAACTAGGTTCCTTCCAGCCCAGCCTACAATTGAGTTCTAGACCATACTACGCACTCCAGGCCAATTGCGGTAATGCAAGATGATTGAAGATAGTGTCTCAACCAGACTCGTTTTGCCTCGTACGCGGCAATGAGTAAAATGTTCGGCTGGATAGATGCAGTTATTGTCAGATGCTGAATAGTGACGATAAGGTTAACGTCCGAATTTCAGTCGGGAGACCACATGTCCAGTATTTTGCTCTAGATTGTGATGGTCAACCTCTAATTTCTGCATTTGGCATGACAAGTGAGACCCACAGTAGAACATTCGCAGAATAGTGCAACTTATTACGACGCTGCCGTATGGTATAGAAGGAGAATTAACTCAAGATATATTGTACGGTGAATTGCCTGCTGCAACGGTCCCTCCCATACAGTACAGTAGGAACAGCGATCGAATGAACGAAGCACTCGACAAAAATCTTTGGAACGGGCCCACCCCTCCCGCTCCCGCCGGCCCCGTACCGGCTCCCATGCGCTGGAGATCACAGCAGATTACAGTATCCAGAGGCTGACAACACTAACGCGAAATGAAAGGTACAAGCTATGAGATATACAAGAAGCGCGCATGGATAATAGTCAAAGTTAATGAGCCGGCCATCAAGAGAGACTACGGTGCGTTAGTGTCAGTCATGAAAACCAGGGGAAGAGCGCCCAATTCGAAGTTCCTGGTAAGCAGGGAGGTTGCTTTGTGCCAGCGTCAATAAGGACGTTCGGGACCGTTAGCGCAAAGGGCGAAGGAAGTATGGGCAGCGGCCACGCATTAGGGAGAAGCGGACGAAAGCCAGACAGAGCTTGGAAAACGCCGCGCGATTGAGCCATCGTAGACATCATGTTGATCCAGTCGAACGTAGTCGCTGCGGTGTTAAATGCCATTTGACAGCAAGAGAACGAAAGGAAGACGAGGTTCTTCCCGTCTGCGTTACGAAGGTGAAGTTGAAGCCTCACCGCAAAGAGTAGCGACAACAGAAATAAAAGCAACCATAGGAGAATAAAACGAGTGACTTTCCGGGCGACTCGGTAGCATATGCTTCTCCGGGTAGGTGTTCGGAGCAGCTGTCGGATAACGAAAAAGAGCTGCAAGACGACGAATTGCACTAGTCGATATTGTAAGCTGGAGCTTCACAAAACAAAGGTGAGAATTCGTCTATATTTCAAAAGAGAAAGCCACCGAACCTTGCTGCTTTTCGGCCATTGCTGCTACTCGAAGGCTTGCTGCCTCCCGACACTCCCCAAGGTAGCCAAATTGAGATCATGATGCGATGCGGTTGAGGCACTGGAATTGGAGAGAAGCGTAAACGCACGTTATAAGCCTTACCTTCCTCGAGGGCTGACAAGCCCCTTACCTACGCAGGTCTTCAGGCGGGCCTGAACTGTCCAGTCACGGAGTAAACCTTATTCGGGGACATAGTTGTTCCAGCCCATCTCTTCTAAGGAAAGTAAAAGCTCGAGTACTTGAGGATTCGCACGGCGTACGAGGAAAACTTTCTGGGCACAAGCTAAGAACTCGTGCAAGTGAAATTTCTCCGAAATCCAGAAGGAAACACCAGGAGTAGACTATGTAGACAAGCAATTGCCAGTATGCTCGCCTGAAAGCTTGCTCTGCATGTTTCTTCGAGTATAGAACATGCGACCGTTGTTGTGGTCTAAGAGCTCTGTAATGCGGAGGTGGGGGAGCAAAATCGGAAGCAATTTTACTTTTTCCGCTTACGTCATCAGCTCGCTTTGATTCTAGTTCCAGACTCCAGTAAACGCCTGCCCAAAAACAAATTTATACGACGCGAAAAAAGAACCAAGAGATGTAAGTGATTGTGGCTGCCACTGTTATCAGTACGTATTAATAAATACACTCCCAGCGCCCAAACAAGTTTACACGTACCAAATTCTTCATCAGCTCCCATCAGCTTCCATTGAAGTGATACGCTTTTTCGTCACTAACTTCCTAAGAGAATGGAGGGGAAGTTGATGGACGTTGCACAGTGTGTGTCCCATTGATGTAACATTTTAGAAAAACCAATGCTGTAACAATAATAGCTTGCAACATATTGCACGTCGCTGAAATGGAATTCTTAGCCTTTCCTATCAAAAATATATGTAGTCGAGGTCAGCGTATAATAATCACTGACATACTTACGTTATTCATAGTCCTCAACAAGCCATGGCTTGGCGTGTTCGTGAAGGGACGTTCTGAAACGCTCCGGCATCTCGAGTGCACTCTTCAAAGCAGAATACAAAAATTATTCCGCTTGCCTTCCCTCAGTACAACCTTTTTGTCAAATCGCACGGTACTGTCATCCGCTGACTTTATACCAGCATCGAATCCGGAATTCAAGCAAGGTTCGGAACTGGGTCTCCCCTCGGAGGAGAATTTCTTTTTCTTGAAAAGCCAATAAGCCATCTTCCCGCCCTCAGCTTTCCACCTCTCTTTAACCTTCGTGAAACCAATGTACTCCATAAGGTGCGCGAGATGTTCGGACGTGAGGTACCGCGAATTTGATACACAGGGTAACGGGAGCTATTTGATACCACATGCCAAGTGGATGTATGCATTAAAGTGATCTCGAAGTTAGCATGTATGCCGTCGATCGCACATAAGCATAGTAAGGTACGTTACGCACCACGAGGAAGAGGAACCCGTCTTCACGCAGCATGTTATACGCAAGGTCGAGCATGCGTCCTGCGGTTCGAATTGCGTAACATTAACATTATTATTAGATCAATATCAATATTCGAACATGAAAACGTTCAAATCTTGTTACCAAAAGCTAAAAAGCGCAGCACAAGGAAAACGGAGGTGGGGGAAAATGTAAAGGGGATTGGAAACGTACCTCGATCTCGTGGTTCAGGTACAAAATTCACGACAAGACTTAAGCTAATTGCGTCCCAGGCCTCTGTGTTTTCTTCCATATCCGTTTGAAGGAAGTCTTGCTCAACGATACCCGGATGAGAACTACGCAAGTCGATTGGATGTACGTCCACCCAAGTGCTGCATGAAGCGTAGTTATCTGGTTTCAGTGCACCTACTTCCAGCATCCTAGTTTATTCGCCGTACATTCACTCGCTGTGGAAAGGAAGGAGAGGCGAGGACTAATTACACACCTAAGTTTTTCCTTTCCCTTCCCTTTCTCATCTCCAATACCCAACTCCGTCAACCATTCCACTAAAACGCGTTCACTCCCTCCTCCCCGATCCTTCCCCTGCCCAATACTCGACATGCGCTGATACGCCTCCAAGCCTCCCATTCGAGCAATCTCATCTTCCACGTTCCTGATCTCTCGCTGTATAGCTTCCTCCTCTGTACTATTCTCAAGTCGTCGAGCATGCCGCTTCTCGAGTTGTGTTTTGCGTTTTAGCAACACATGGAATTGCCGGATAATTCGTGCAGATGTGCGGGGGTTTGCTGAGCTACTGCTACTTGTGTTTGCCTTGAGAGTCTGCTTAGTATTTGAAGAAGCGGTAACGGGAACCTTTCGTCGACGTGTTTTGTTCTTCATGGCACGCATCCAACTTGCTTGTAGATCCCAGAAACGGAAACCATGATCCTCATGAATTGATTACATAATCTTACAACAACAAAAGATTCAGTCTACAATATTCTCTAATTTCCCTTCATTGGACGATCGGATACACTTTATACAAGGGTAGAACGAAAGCAATCCTATGTCCCAAATAGAGCCTTAACATAACTCGTAATTGATTGTATAAAAAAGGAAGAAAGAAAGAGAGAGAAAAAACGTGACTGTAGCAGCGGCCGCACACTACATCGACTTCCTCTCCTAGGGAAGGACGTCTTAGTCACGAACGAAAAAAGAAAACAAAAAAGAATGGAAGACTCTTATGGACAGAAAAGGGAAGGAAACTGAAGTTTGATTAGACAGAGACGTCAAAGAATCAGAGAAGAGCTTGCTTCACAGGTTATAGGAAGGAACGTCTAAAGTTAAGCGTTGACAATGACAAAAGGTTCTGTCAGTGTCACCATATGTCATTCGTGATTTAGACGAATCCACGGCCACCACGCTTCTCGTCGATCTTCCTGAAGCGTTCCTCCTCATTCCTCTGTTCAACGTAGACAGGCATAATTCAGAGTAATTTCAATAACACTGGCAACGTTAGCACGTACCTTATTGATCACACAGAGCGAGAGAAGGAAGAGACAGATAACAATCGCCATATAACCATATATCGACGTGAAGATGTTGTTCAATGCATAGTCCGCAAACCCTGTGATAGGTCCCACACACGTCGCGTTGTTCGTCCCCGCTTGATCAATGGCCGACTGGTTCGCGCAAAAGTTGCCACCAATAACGGCAAGGTCCGACGAGTTGAAGTATCCGCAGCAACTGAACTTGTCCTGAATCTGGATCTTGATAGCATCGCTTTGCACCGCGAAAACGTCGTGGAACTCTGCGCGCTCGCGAAGAGTGTAGAACCAGATGAACGTGCCGATGCAAAGGACCCCGATCCCATCGAGCAGGAGGATCCAGTTGAGGATCATGAGCCCCACCGTGACATGGTTAGGCTGAATAATGGCGCCAACTGAGACGGCCCAGGTGACCAGGAAAGCAATCCCGAGTACAAGACCGGCTGTGCGTACTCGCCGTGAGCACACACACTAAGATGGATGAAGATATATGAAGAGAGAAAGATACGCACCAGTCAAGTCACTGTTTGAAATGACGAGATTGCGCATGAGGTCCGGCGCGCGCCACACAATGGAAAGAACGAGCGTGAGGATACCCGCAGTTAGCAGACAAACGTCAACAAACGCCCAGCATCCCATAAGCTTCTTGGACGGCATTTTGGTAGAAAAATCTTCTTTCAGTCAAATTAAAATCAATCTGTAAAGGGCGATTGAAAAAGGCCCTATCTGTCAGTTCCAATGTATCATTTTAGCCAAAATAATTTGAACACCGAACACACCTCTGATCAGCAGATACGTGTTTCCTTTCCTTCTCTTGTCAAATACGAGTCGAACAGGATTGAATCAGACGAGGTGAGTAGGGGGGTTAGGGGCTGATATGATCCTTGGTAACGAATGGGGTGTCGGGTCGACGGCGAGGCGGGCTCGATTTGCCAGGAGCCAGGTAAATCCAGAAATCAAAGATGAGCGACGACGGTCAACGTCGAAGAGCCTGCGCTGACTGGGGAAGGTCGAAGAGAACAAAAAGGTAGGAGGGAAAGAAGAAAGTCAGACCTGCTGGTCGAAAGAAAGGGAGCGAAGGAAGAACGAACGAGAAAGAGAAAGAGAAAGGACGGAAGGAGACTGATAGAGGAGTGGGAGTCCGTCCGTCGGGTGAAGCAACCGCGTATGAAGTACACCAGGGAACGGTAACCACCGTCAGAGTTGTCAGCAGCCGTTGATGCTGATAGTGATCCTTGACTGTGCCGTGTGAAATAAAAGATCTTCGGCAGGGCTAGCCAGCAGCCTTTGCCAAAGAACGTCGGTGTAGAGAACGCTGGGAAGGAAAGGAGTGGATGGCGGCAAGGGCAGACAGCTGCAACGCTGGACAGTGGACGAGTGTGTGGCCGTTGCCTAGACTCAAAACATCCTACCAAGGTGATTGTCCCTTCCATTTCCGGCAGCCATCACTTCGGGATTGTTACACAGCTTTATTTAGCACTCTCACGGCTGCCGGGCGCAGTGTCTCCCAACGCCTGGGCCATTAATCCGTCTATTTCCAGTAGAATTGCCCATGATAACAGTCAATCCTAGGTACAACGTCCATGGTGTGAGTGCTGTGCTCCGGAAAATGTGATCCCGTCGGAATCGGCTAAACCGTCTAAGCATGCACTGATACTATCTACAGAATATACACGTACAGCTAATTTTGTTGCAGTATTATTTGGCCATCTTTCTTTGTTTCAGCGCACGCGGCGGGGACACGAAACGATCCAGAACTTTGCAGAAACACATTTTGCCGTGTGAAATAGCACTGTGACTGGAAGGCACTTTAATATTAACGAAGAATACATGTTCTGCATATTGTACATTGGTAGAAGGTCGTTCGGTAGCTTATACGGTAATTGCATTGCTTATAAGTGTCGTCATCTTCACTTTCTTCTTGAAAAGTTTATCCCGCCCGATGTTTCAATCCCTCAATCTTTACCCGTTGCCTTCCCGTCACCCTTCTCCTCGGGTTCCTCTTCGTGTTTCTTCTTCAGCGTAACATAACTGTCGGCTGCACTGTTCGGTAGCGCCTCTATCTCCCCACCAACAGTCCCTGAGCCTTCAACGACGTGCTTCTTGCGCTGTGCTCGCAGGATGTTGAGGTCATGCGTCTCAATTCCGTGACCGGCCACGGGTCCGAAGTACGACGTCCCAGCGAGGCTACCAATTATGCTGATCCCTTAAATGAGTATACTGCACAATTCAAATACTGTAGTTATCGGAAGGGCTCTTACCAGGTTCCGACAAGAATAGAAAGATAGAAGCGGTACTGTGAGTACCATTTCGGAGCTGTGCAGTAGTTGTTAGTATCCCTACTGGATACTCATCTAACATAAAAATGACTCACCCCAGCCGGCGTTCGTTGCTTGCAGGTCAGCCCACCACAAGGCAGTGAATCCAACCCATTGCGTAATAAGAGCCATCGTAGGATCAAGTGCGAGTGTCGTCCAACCCCAAATCACAGGAGCTGTACCCAGTAGAAGTCGTCGGTATCCTTGTTGACCACCATATCCTGCAAATTCCATGCCCCAGTGTAGAGCACCTGATAATCAAATATCAATGATGCACCGAAAACAACCAGCGCCGTTAGATTTAGACGTGAAACAATGCCGATCAGGGAAGCGAATACAGTGAGGTGAGGATGTATCGGAGGCAGGATAAATGAATTTGTGAAGAGAATAGCAGAAGCTGACATACCCAAGAAGGAAAGCATGACGGCTCCATACGTCACCTGGATGCTGAGAGCCTGATCAAGTATTGTGAGCGCAACGCCCGGATCAATACCGGTATAGTATCCTGTCCATTAAAGCATAAATATCAAATGAAAACGATGCTCGTTATATTTACCAGCTGTGGCAAGACCTGCTTTTCGAGCAAGGTAAATAACGGTCGCCGAGGTTCCGAGATACGGAATACCACCTGTTTCGGTGATCAGCTCTCGGTGTTATATTTGAAAACTATGGAACAAGTGTTTACCGGCCAGACCAAAAACCAGCACAGGTTTGGGCACGGTGCTCGCAACCGCGCTGGTAATTCCAATCTACGGACATAATACATGAGCCGGAAGGAACACATCAAATCAAATCATTCGCGCTTAAACACACAAATGAGTCCTCTTCGGGTTTCATTGGTTTCACGGAGTCCACATTGACGTTCGCACCCGCAATTCCACGTGCGACACTGCTAGCGGTGTTACCGACTTCTTCTCTGATGTTCGTCGCGGCTTGTCTGGGTGTCTGGGAACCGGGCCTGTTGGACACCTGTGATGCGACGCCGCGCACAGCCGCCCCTGCGAAGAGCTTGTTCCGACAGCATGGAGGGACGCGTGACAGCACTGGTGAGACGAGAGGCGTCGGACGCGGCAGTGGCAGAGTGTGTAACTTGTATGTCGCAGGCGGTGCTCGCAAATTCAAGGTGAGTGGGGCACGTTTGAGCGGCAAGAAAGCTCGAGGTAGCATTTTGGAGGACAGAAAGTAAAGAAAATGAGAGTAAATGTCGAGCAGATGATAAATGCGACATTGCAACTGAGTGTTGACTATGACCTCTTGGTGGTGCGCACGACGTCATCCACTTCAATATTGAATATGCTTCCGTCGATCTTAGTCCGAGCGTATTTATTTCCTCATTAAGATCTGGCTCATTCCTCCTGGCGATAAAACATGACTTTACACGGCATTTGAATGGCGCGGGGTCTGAGAAGCATTATTGCGTCAGGTTATCCTAAAGGCATTGCAGAGGTCCGATACGAAAATCAAATTACTATGAATTTCCACTATCATCAACTACTTATGTACAATACTCAACAAAAGAGCTACTAAAATAGAAATAAACAAGAATACAGTTCCGTATCGAATACAACGACCGTGCCGCGAGGCAGAAGCAAAGAATACAAGTAATGTTCAAGTCGGGTCACCAACGCATGCAATAAATACAGTAGAAACATGCATATGCCAGCACCGCGCGACGAGCTTCCCTCCCCCAGCCCGTCAACGCGTGCATGAAATCGAAGCTTTTTGACGGCTATATTCGGCATCCGTAGACAGCCGGAAGGCCAGCAATGAGTAAGCGATTTGGCGGTTGCCCGCGCTCATAGGCTCTCGCTCGTCGTCTGTGCGCATGCCGGGGGTGTCGAACTCGTCTTCTTCGGCAGAAGCTTCACGTAGCGATGCTTCTTTATCTCCGCGCCTTCCGTGCCAAAGTACCGCTTACTCATAAAGCTCCAATGCAGCGCGCCCACGATCCAGTCCTGGAGGCCCTGCACATACCCGGCGACGTCTCGGTCGAGCTGCGGACAGCCGAAGGACGGTACCCGTGCCTTATTTGCGACGAAGTTCTCCATCGTGACTCGGCACATCTCACCAACGTAGTCCATCGCATCCTGAAGTTCCATCCCGTAACGGGTTTCTAGGATGATGATCATGTTGTGAGTGTCTCCACGGGCCTGTTCTACGTTGTAGGAAAATATGTCCTATATTGATCCGATCAGGAACGAAGATAAATAACGTTTCATAGAAGTGAAAGAAATTGCTCACGTTTGACCAGGTCACCAAGTCATTGCTGCCCTGATTCAACGCTTTGATGATCTATTGCAATTAGGAACACCAGCTAATCAGTGATTGATGTAAAATGTCACAGAAATGCAAAAACTTACGGGATGTTCGATGACGAAATCAGGAAGATTGATACCAAGTCCGTATTCAATCAAGTCAAAGACAGGTTTGCATCCGCTCTCATCACGGCGCACGTCAATGTATGACTCCAACTCTGGGATTTCACCATCTTCACGATGTGTTGCCTGAATGTGAACAGCTTCGAAGAAGAGCTGCAGGTTCTCCTTGAAGCGTGCTTGCACACCAGGCCCCGCGTCCGCAATGCATCGGCGCCAATAGCTAAAAAAATATCATATTGGTTACGAGGCGTGTAGACGTAAGAATTTGCAACACTCACTCTCGTGCCAACTTGCCAGCACTGATTTCCTCAGGAGACTGGCCCTTGCACAGCCGATACTCGTCTGGGAACCAGAGGGCATTCATGACAATGTCAGAGAGGACGTCCGCCTCGCGCGTCATCATGCCATCGGAAATGTTATCCAGGTGGAACAAGTAGTTCATGAAATCGCTAATAACACGTAGGTGATGCGCGTCACAGGACGTGTAACAAAACGCAGTAAGTTCTCCGGCTCGCAAGCCATATAAAGCCTTGCGCGCTTTCGGTGCGAGCTCGGGGCAGCCTTGGTCTAACCATTTGTCCGCTTCCGGGGCAACGGTGTCTCCGTGCGGGTTGTAAGTCAAAGGAAACTCGCAATGACCAACAAGGTCAGGTAGGAAGTATCCCTTCGGTGCGGACTTTGCACTCGGACGTGGACCATCCGCTGCCACTAAGGGTAGAGGAAGGAGTGGAGGCGACGCGGGAATTGCGACCATAGCAAAGATAGAGTGTTCAATATTAGACACAAGATAAATGGGTGGAGAGAAGGATAGGGTCGGGATGCAAGCGAAGGCAGGGATGCTTCGTAGCAATCAGGGGGATGGGCAGGCGTGTTTTTATACCAGTTACTAGGCTATGGAGTCCAAGCAGGAGTCGGGTGGCCGGGTCTAAACCAAGTTTTCGGATTTCAAAAGAGATGGTGCGTCCGTTTCGAGACCATCTGCTATTAACCCAAGGAAGGACCGCAAATCCGTATGCAACCAAGTATGGCATCACAATATCTTTCAATTCGCAAAAACAAAGAAACCGTCCCTGAAACAGACCTTGCCCGATGAGACTCAAAATGCTAAGCCAATCATGTGGTAATGAATATAAAGACCCTAGTACTGATTTCAGTGCAATTTGCAAGACTAGCGTAGAGAGATACGGAGAGCCCATACAGTCACTTCACGCCGTGCACGCGGCGTTTCCATGAACATCGGTGAGACTTTGACCGGAGCCGGTAGAAACAGTCATCTTATGCAGTAGAGTTTACGAAATCCCTTAGTGAGACCAATGTAGTTATCACCAAGTATGGGAATTTAAGCAATTCGTCATGACATAGCTTGCGCTCAAGTACAGGTCGGGACGTCCGGCATCTGAGTGAGTGGCGTGGTGATTAGACGGTTAACGGAAGCTAGGCCGGGAGAGACTAATCATTCCTGTTATTTTCAGCTTAATTGTTCACAAAGAAGGATACAGGAGACTTATGGTCTGTGCTCGCGGTGTACGGAAGCGCTCGACCTGATCGGGTGGCACTGCAAAGCGTGAACACCACGCCGCAGGACCTGAATGAGCCACCAAAGAAGGCAAGCTGCATACCTGGGGCGTGGTCCCTAGCCGCTAGACGACAAACCTTAAGAACGAGACTTTGGCGCATTTCGGCGAGTGAGATTGAGACAGAAACACAAATTTGATCAGCAGCCTGAGCTAGGGACGCGCTCGCACAAGCTGTCGGAGCGCGGACGCCATCAACATCGCAAACCAGTGCCTCTGACGGACTGTCCAACGAACAAAATCTGAAGCAGCAGCGACAACACAAGATTGGTGCAAGAATGATCAGCGTAATCTACGCAAACTGCGTGTTATTGCGTCAAGGAGAGCTTGGAATGAGGTGAAAACGGGAAAAAGGTGGCGGCTAGTGAGAAGCATGGCACAGGCCGTGCCGGGAACTATACGTAACTTTGTCTTGGTACTGTTTCAGTGGCAGGCAAGGACTCGTTGCAGAGTTGCTCGGGAGAGAATTGTGAAAGACGAGCCGACGACGTGATGATCGTGGTAAGATCAGCTGGCTGAGCATATCCATATCCAGCTTTTTAGGTCGTTTCCTCAGCCGGTCTTCATCCTCAGTAACGAGCTCAATTTCATCGCGCCTACACTTCTGCGAGCAGTAAAATTGCTATCGAGTGTATTTACTCTCAATGGCCGCCTCCTTTCCTGGCACATTTTGAAATTGCGTCCGTGGTCTGAGACAAGATCGCTTCTTAAAGACAAAACTCAGATCGACGCACATCTATCATTAGGTCCCTCCTCACAAGTCCACACTGTATCAATCTTCTACTCACTGTGTAAGACATCATCCGTCTCATTTTCGCTACCGATTATCATCTAGGTACGCTCCTATAGCAATTGCATATGGTACCCAATTCTGGAAGGACTTGCACTTCCACAAGATTCAGATGCAACATCAGCAACCGATTTGAGGCGGATGTTGGAAATCACACCAACATCCTTGCGATCTCGATTCTTCAGTTTCACTGATAATGGAAGATAATCGTAGCGAAAATACCAGTGGTACTTGACTAGCGCGAATACCTCGGATGGTGACGATATCGTACAAATTACAATAGCGTGGAGCGAATAAGTCTCTCTCGTTACCCCGGATGCACAGAATAAATATCCGGTGGGCGAAGAATGGCAACTGAGAAAGGTATTAGAAAACATAGCAGGTATGCGAAAGGCATACATGCAAGACACGAAAATTCTTTAATATTGTCCTCGATCCACTGTACATGCTCCTCCATCTCAAATTTGCGGCGCAAGTACGAAAACCAGACTCCACTTTTCTCCAAGGCCCATTGAATATTGGAATACAGAGCGCTGCATGGTAGGCCTACGTCCCAGACGCCGAATGAAGCACTGGAACAATTAGCATATTGTCCAAGAATCACCATCCGAGCGTATCGAGTACAGAAAGGCGAAAAGCGGAGAAATCCTTGATAAACACCAGTAGCAAAGACGAGGGTGCCGCCAAACGTGGCGTAGTAAACTTCGGTGGCCTCAAAATAAGTGCCTTCTTTGGCTTAGCTAGCACGACCGGATAGATCTTCAACTGATAGGGGCCAGAGTTAACTGGATCGCGGCTGACGCCACCCATAGAAAATATGAAGACAAGAGCACTATCCTATGTTAGCGCGAGCGCCATGTGCCGGGAACTATTGGAGTCAAGGACGCGCCGACCGGGGCACCAGTTCCTGATACACCGATACCGGCATCGGAACAAAAGGGCTGAATTTGTAGAGCTGTGAGAAGTACTAATGCGCGACGAACTAGATGCGTCATATGAAATATCAGAGCAATATATTTCGACGCCGGCTCCCAGGAACCTTGTCTAGCCAGACATATTGAATTTGTAGCATATGCCTTGAAGATTCCTGATGGATGATTATATTAACAACAGCGGCAACAAGAAAACTTTGGATATATTTTGTGAGCCTCACCAATCTTCTACTTCTCGTAATCCCGCCGACGGCTATGTCGTACATACTACGTCAAGATCTTATCGGAACCATTTTCCTCTCAAGACGCAGGTATAATCGGAGACATACCGAAACATGTGGATTGGAATTAGCCACGATTGAGGGTCATCGAACACCACATAAAGGCTACTTGAAACTGAAGTATATCAAAGTACAACGGTCCGGACATTATGTTATGATAGCATAGGGTTTGTGTTTACCAGAACATAACTCACCACATGAGTCATATCTGATCCCCCGATTTGCGTACCTTTGACGGGGCTTAGCAAGTTATACTTCAACCGTAAATATTGCAATCGAAGCGTTTTAAACTCAAGACACCTTCGATGTAGAAACTCCGAGTAGATCGTCGCCGAGAAAACCGCAAGATGCACTAGGTCCTCCCATAACTATTTTTGTAATGATGAGTTCACGCACTGGAATGAAGAGCATTTTAAGCCCCTCTGTCCAGGAATTTTGCGAGATAATTTTGGTAACTCGAATGGAGATGCGCGGTTACAAGAAGCGATTGGACGTGCAGGAGCTTGGTCCGATCTTACGGACATTTTGCAACATTACTGCAGCGCAATGCTATTTGCTTTTCGAATTGCCAACAAAGTCCGGAATTCATTGCCGAAGGGAAGGACTCGGACAAGCTCCTCCACAGTATTCCGGACGCCCCCGGATGATTGATTGTACTATGCCCTGGCTTAGGATGTGCACAGGACAGCATGAGTTACCTGCCGGTTCTCTAGTAATCGATATCAGGTGAGAGTACATCCAAGCATTCCCGCGATAGCTACAGGCAATAAACGGCTTCTAGCTCGTGCCGTTGGGAAGCCCAGGACGCATCTCGAGGCGGCGGCCGAAGCCGTAAGAGTGAATAGTCAAAACGGAGAAGTTGTACACCGTCCGACGCGGTCTAACCTGGTTCCATGTTTATTAATTTAAAGCTGTTGGGCCGTACTCCATGTCCTATTGACTTGGCTTATAAGCTACCAGGCTCGGAATTACGCCACCACAATCACCGCTGGTACGGGAAGACGCCGGCCGACTTGTGATATACGAACGAGCTAAGGATCCGATATCAGCGAGCAGGGCCGGAAATACAAGAACATGATGGACCTAAAACGACTTCCTTACTGGATGTCGACAGTCCCGCGCTCCAGTACGGGGAACGCGGCATACGCGGTGTGTGGACAAAAGTATTCTCGTGTCCACAACTAAGCCTGTGATGCAGGTATGGCTGAGCTATCATCTGTTCCTTCACCATTTCAGACAATGGATGTTGATATACGCTACGAATTTGATTTTGATACGTTCTAGTGTCTGAAATGTGGTCAATTTTGAGTAGAGTGATGTGAATGATGTGTACATCAGCAAACGCATCAGTGATTCAGAGAGGAAGCATATTCATGAATCACCATGAGCGGGTGAGTATGCAATTCAATATCACCGCAGTCGAACGCTCATATTTCTAGCATTCTCCCGAAGCAGAAAAAATAAAACTTTGAGGCCAATTAAAGCCTAGCATTGATTAATATCGAGGGACGCTTAAAGACATGATCCCTGCAGTTGACTATTAGACTCGTATAATGATTTGATAAAAAAGAATGACTTACTATCATGACTAGTCGGATCAGACAAATTGACCTACAAAAGTTTCACACCGACAAAGCAACTATCCTTCCGACCTTACGAGTGCGGACCGGATTCAAAGGCATTTAGTAGGCCTTATTTTATTAATGAGATCGATGTGCGGATGTTATGGGCGCTGACAAGATCTGGAAAACCGTTAGATGCAGCAAATATTTGTATTGAATACAAACTATGGACAGGGTATATACAGAAAATGTACATGAAATATTAAGAGTACAGCTCTGTTACTCTAGCTTCAGAGTATGAACTTTGAAGGCATACACTCAATGTAGTATGTTACAACTGAAGGCATTCCACTGATCAATGTCTCATATAACCCTAACACCCCTGCCAGAGCCATAATATCTTCAACCATTACTTATGTAGAGAGTGCATTTTGTTAATGGTTCTGTAAAAACAAGCAGACAGCTGTCACATGACTCACATCTCGTCAGACAAGGACATGTTGTAAGATGGGAAAAATATTGAATTTAAGGAGTGTAGGGTATAGTTCTGAGACATAGTAGAATTTTTTTGTCTTTTTTTAGTTAATGAATGCTAATACTTGGAAGTTATGAATGTCTACAGTAGATGTATTTGATTTCTATATACATCTGACGGATGTGCAAAAACCGCGGATACCGTGAGAAAGTTATCCGCGGATGTGGTATCCGTGGGAATTTGTCAACCGCGGTACGACACCGCGGATAGCCTTATCCGCTGCAGTCCCTAGTCACAATGCGTTTGGCAATGTGTAGTCCAGTGTCACGGGACCTGAACCAAATGAAGTCGATCCACACTCTCTTGCCTTTTATCTACTACACCTAATCTTATCTTGTAAAAAAAATAGTGTTTTGTGTTGAAAAACAAAGAGGAAAAAACAAAAAACAAAAAAAGTAAGTGTATGGAGTCGAACGTTGGCAGTGTAACCGCGGTTACTGCGGTTACCGTGAGAATTTCAACCGCGGATAACCTATCCGCGGTTGCGGATTGCGGTTTTTGGTGACGGTTTCCACTGCAGTCCCTAATTGTGACAAAATAATAATGCATGACTCGGAAACGAGTTGAACACAGTGATCTCCATCCTGTTCGCTTTCCGGCGCCCTTTCAAACTTCAAACTCCAGGAGTCCAAGTAGAAATATCCTAATTGACTTGCTCAGCTACTTGGAAGCGATGTGGGAGGTTGGAAGCGACAGAATTAATAAGCGTGTGATGCCACTGATGGAGATAAATTCGCGGATTCGACGCAGAAGGTCATGGTGCTCGTAGTAATACGATCTGCGGGAAAGATAAAAAGCAATGCAAGCTTGCGCAACTTGGAACCGCAGAAGCTATTACGATCAGTATACTTGAACCAGCCATGTCAATCCCAAATGTTCCAGCTCCCAACACTTCGTAAGTGCACGTCCAATGCTAGTACTCCAATCATTATTGATGTGCCACTGAATGCGATTCGCAATGCCTTTTCCAGCTACTTTACACCGGCACAGATCCCACCGTCGGGAACAGCGGTACTCACTGGGGACCAGTCTAAGCCTATTCCAAAGCTATTCCAGCCTATCAAGATTCGCGGGGTTGAATTTCACAACCGTATCTTCGTAAGTGCCGGTGGCAGCATTGTAGTTTAGCCTACTCATTTTTTTATGGATATGATACTTCGTGAAAGGTTTCGCCCATGTGCCAGTACTCAGCAGAAGGCGGCCATTTGACAGCTTGGCATATGGCTCACCGTGAGTACAACAGCGGTTCAACTTCGACGAAGCATTGATCATTGGAAGCACTCCAGTTGGCGGAATTTTCACCCGCGGACCTGGGCTTACCTTCGTGGAGGCGACCGCAGTCACTCCTCAGGGACGCATAACGCCGGAGGATTCTGGTCTCTGGACTGACGATCAGATTCCCGCACTACGGAAAATCGTCGAGTTCGCGCACTCTCAGGGTGTCAAAATTGGAATCCAATTAGCACATGCTGGACGTAAGGCTTCGACTGTCACTCCCTGGATCGCCTTCCGCGCAATAGCCGCCGTAGAGCATGGTGGCTGGCCTGAAGATGTTTGGGCGCCATCACCAGTCCGTTACAATGATGACCTCCTGCAGCCAAACGAGCTTTCAAAGGAAGGGATAAAAGAAATTGTCCGTGCTTTCGTTGATGCGACGAAACGTTCCCTCAAGGCCGGGTTCGATGTCATAGAGATCCACAATGCGCATGGTTACCTTCTTCATGAATTCCTTAGCCCCATTTCCAACAAGCGCACGGATGAGTATGGAGGTTCGTTCGAGAATCGTACCAGATTAACTCTTGAAATCGTTGATGCGGTCCGAGGCATAATACCCAAAGATATGCCTCTTTTCCTCCGGTAAGTAACAGCTGCCAAATGCATTGTTTGGCCACGGTTCCTGATAATTGGGTAGTATTTCCGCGACCGACTGGCTTGAAGAATCTCTTCCAAATGAACCTTCCTGGCGACTCGAAGACACCGTCAAGTTTGCAGGTATCCTTGCAGCACACGGAGTGGACCTTCTAGACGTGTCGAGCGCCGGCTCGCACCCTGCTCAACGTATTCCGAACCCAGACAACCCAGACTTCAAGGCGCTCCAAGCACCGCTTTCCGAAGCTATCAAAAAAGCTCATGGTATAGATACACCGACCGGTCTACACGTTGGAGCGGTTGGAAACATCACAACCGGTCCACTTGCAGAAGAGATCCTTCGGCGAGGAATGAGCGATGTCCTCTTTGTCGGGAGGCAATTTCAGAAGGATCCCGCAAGTGTGCTGACGTTCGCTGAACAGCTTGGCACACGGATCAAGGTAGCGAACCAAATTGAATGGGGTCTAGGAATCGGAGTGACCGGGCGTGGACGTAAGGCTCCTCTAGCGACGAAAAATTAAGAGTCATTCGCAGAACGAGATCGGGAAAGCTGCTGCAGTTGTAACTTTAGAAATAAATGTGTAAATTTAGAGTCATTAGAAACAGGTTAAATCACGAATTACTGCGGAGTTTGTGGCCCACCCGAACCTACAAAGAGGGCCTGTAGGTGTAGAAACGATTATCACATTTGACAAAGCATGCACGTTCCAGAGGCAATACCTTCCAGCAACCTAGAACTAATGTCTGGCTAAACATAAAAGAAGTCGGACGACGATTTGAGCACAATAATGCTTTTGACTTACCCATCCTGATTTGTCGATAGGATGTTTGACGGGGACTTAAGAAGGTATTTGGGGATTTACAAAGTAGATAAAACCAGTCCTGCAAGTTCAATTGAAACAAGTGCACATAAGCGCGTTATATCCGCCATTTTCATCATCTGTTTGATCGGCTAACAGATTAGACGTCATGCGACACGACAATTTTGATCCTCGTTCTTTTGCTGCTGAAATTCCACCTCGAGTCTGAATACTCATGAACACCGCGGTGACCGGTTGCTTTATCTTCGCGGTCTTCCGCCTCGCTGCACTCACCAACACCCACGACGATGTCAACTATACCATCTCGCCTACCTGTGCGCCAGGGAGCTAAGCTATTCGTTCGATCGACGAACGCTCAAACGCGCGTGAATGCGAGGTTCGGCCGTGTCGGGGATCAGCTCCGTTTCATGTCCTCGTCCACCGCTACGCAAGGATCTGTATCTAGCTTTGGTTCTAAGAAGTTTGCGTACGGTTTGCTCGCGTCTGTTGCTTTCTTCAGCTCCGTGTTGGGTTATTCTGTTGGTGAATGGCGTCGAGAGTCTGGAAATGTTAAAAAGAGAGTTGCGAGTACTTGGCAAGATGTCACATATGGCACTCGTGCCGACGTTGAGTCAGCGATAAAAGATCTCCGAGAAGCTCTTCCGCGCAACGGAGCTGTAGAGACAGTGAGCCAATTCCTGTTATCCGCTTTAAACTTCTAACTTAAAACATTGTAGAGTCCAAGTGTATTGCAAACGTATGGCTTCTCCGAGAATAGTTATCACCCAAGCATGCCGCATGCGGTCGTAGTGCGCCCTCAGACTACAGAAGAAGTGAGCGCGATTGTGAAGATCGCGAACAAATATCGTATTCCAGTGACGCCATACGGGGGTGGTACAAGCTTGGAAGGGCATTTTAGCGGTGTAAGAACTGCTAGTATTGAACCGTATATTGAGGAAAGCTAAAAAAATGAAGGATTTAGAATTCGGCAGGATCGATATGTATAGATTTGGATGGGATGAACAAAATCATCCGCATTGATGGTACGCACTACTTGCTTCGATTCCGAGGAACGACTTCTGACAACAAATCTTCAGAGCAAGATGCAGACCTCATATGTCAAGCTGGAGCACGTTGGGAAGATATTAACTCGACATTGACGGACAAAGGGATTCCACTCTTTTTCCCGGTAAGTCATACTTTAATCTATGGATCCTGAACTGACATGCATTTCTGCCTTGTAGTTGGATCCAGGACCAGGGGCGGTATGAAACGTCGACTATACTATCAAGGCAGTACTGAGACTGGCCTTATGTAGACTATCGGAGGTATGATAGGGACAGGATGTTCCGGAAGTAAGTGGGTTAGTCTCTTTGTCTTGTGCACAAGCTGAAATCATCTGATCTACTGTAGCAAATGCTGTTCGTTATGGGACGGCAAAGGGCGAATGGTTTCTAAATGTTGTGAGTATGATTTCGCTTATCCGATACGTTACGACGTAATAATCAATTATTGGCCAAAAGACGGTTGTATTGCCCAATGGCGAAATAATCAAAACGCGCAGGAGAGCACGCAAATCCTCCGCTGGCTTCGACTCGACTAAATTGTTCATCGGGGCAGAAGGTACACTGGGAATAGTCACTGAAGGTACAAGCGACAGATTTCCTCTCTTGATGAGGTACAAGCATTTTGATTTGTATAGCTACCCTGAGACTTGCACCCCTACTTCCAACGAAGGTTGCCCTCGCACAATTCCCCAATGTTCAACACGCTGTAGATGCCGTCCAAGAGATTCTACGATCGCCATACGGGAACAATATTCGTCAGCATTTTTTATTCGTATTCTGGGATTAATTCACTGACACCCTCAATGACAGAATGCGTTGAACTCGTGGATGATTATAGTATGACAATTTATATACATTCTAACCCTTTGTCACTACTAATAGGCTTTGCTTCAGCAATTGCGTCAATAAATCAAGCCGGAACGGTTGATCGGACATATCCCGTCAAAGACTCTCTCTTCTTCAAAATTCAAGGATCTGATGACTCAATTAAAGCAACATCCAAGCTAGTCCAAGCTATCGTGAAACGTCACAATGGATCAAACTTCCAATTTGCGGCCACAGATAGCGAAGCGGCAGCACTGTGGGAAGCGCGTAAGTATGCATTGATGTCCGTATTGGCATCGGATGAAGGGAGTAGAGCTTGGACAACAGACGTCTGGTGCGAAGAGATCCGCTCTTTTACCATCTGAAACTTATGAGTAATACACCCAGTGTTCCTGTATCAAAGCTGCCACAGCTTGTCCAGGAATCGAAAAAAGACCTCACTGATAGCGGTCTAAAAGCAGGCATAGTTGGACATGTGGGAGATGGCACGTTGACGACTGCCTCACTCGCCATCCGTTTTCTGACCCAATCGATACAGGCAATTTCCATGCACTAGTTCTTTTCCATGATGACGCAGAGCTTCCGAAAGTCGGTGAATATGTTCATCGCCTTGTACACCGGGCGCTAGCACTTGATGGTACATGTGTGTTGTATTTCCTTAGCTGCGTTTTCCTCCTACAGTTCGTCAAGTGCTTACAGCGTTCATATATTAGGCACTGGTGAGCACGGAGTTGGCGTCGGGAAGAAGGAATACCTGAATGATGAACTTGGTCCTGGGACCGTGGAGCTCATGAGGCGTGTTAAGGATGCCATAGATCCAAATCATATCATGAATCCTGGGAAGGTACGATTGATCAAGACTAAGTGTGGATAAATGAGCTGACATAATTTGGATATAGCTTTATCCGGAGAGACAAGAAAACAGGAAATCTCAGTAAGAATCCACGAAGACTAATTAATGCATGACGAATTTCATGTTCTTGATTATCTTTTCACCGAGTCTTCTCGAAGTGCGTGTCATTTCCGAATCAAGCATACGTTGCTTGAAATAGCTCAGACTTTTGAAGACCAAGAGATCGAATCTGTGGCATATATGTCCATATGTGAGACCATTGTCAAGAATATACCGTTTTCAGGATTACTCGTCGCTGCTTGTATGAGCAGACAAAGAACTGGACACTGCAGGTACCGCTGTATAATAGGTGGCCATGAGAACCACATACGCCGCAGAGTTTAGTTCTATTGTGTGCAGCTGCCACCGTTCCTAACCAATCATAAGTTCCTATATTCCCTTTCTCTTCCCGAGAGTGAGCAATCAGGCGTTCTACTTCTACGCGGCTGGGGAGTTGTATAAAATCCCCCTGCGAAACTCTGCAAGGGCATCCCAGAACTGCGAACATCCTTCGTTGACGGTACGAATCATCCTTCAGATCGAAACGAAAATATGCCAAAGGAACAAATGCAGAGAACTTCGGGCCCGTTCGCCTGTCACGCACACGGATGCGGAAAGATGTTCATTCGTCGGCATGATTTAACCCGTCATGCACGTATTCATGACCCGAATACCGAGTAAGTCGATCGCTTTTGTGATCTCCATTCCTCCTCTTCGTACTTAAACTGCTCTTCTTAGACGTCTGAAGTGCTCTAAGTGCAACCACACAGCTATCTACAAAGATAACCTCAAGACACATTTCATCGGAAGACAGTAAGTCAAGTTCAAGTGATAGTTATTGTAGACGCGTTGATCAACCAACATGCAGTGTAAATCCAAAGGCGTATGCCTGCAGGTTCAACAATTGCAGTAGGACTTATACCGACGACTCTTCTCTCATAAAGCATGAGAAGAAGTGTCACAAGTTCTATCGAAGGGCGCAGAAGCCCTATGTACGTCCTCCGACGCCGACGTTGCGACTACAAGTGCACGCCAGCATGTTCGTGCAAGGTACCTTCAAAAGTCAGGAACCTTCTCCAACTACGTCCTCTGGCGATGAGCAATTCAATTTCGAACAATACTTGGATGAGATCTTAGGTCTTTGCAAGCCATCTGAAGCTTCTAGTACCGGCCATGCCTCCTCTGGTTTCTCAGAGTCTCAAAGACATAGACACCTAGACAATGAACGATCAGAGGCTACCAGTGCGCAAAAAGTCAACGCTCTTAATGCATCTGTTTCTACTTGCCAGGATCCCCTCTTGGATCAAGTCTCCGAGCTATTCAGTGGACAAGTACCCTTTCCATGGCAGCAAGGACTTGGAGAGGTAGATCTCGGTGTTGAGACATGGAACACGTTTTTAATAGAGCAACAAGGATCTATCGACGATTACTCCCTTTTTGGTCTATATAATGGATGGCACAATGATCCGATACTGAACCAGAATATACAGCGCTGCTAAACTTGCCCCGTCCTTGTCCACCGGATTGCGTTCACATATCATATCAGCCTCTATGCATTTTGTACATATTTATTCTTAAACTTATTTTTATTCAGAATGGAATTTCCTGCTAAACCCTTGTATAATATTGCTTCGTCTTGGATGGCATGCTTGCCTAGCCTTGTGCGGTCGCCGTCATCGACCGTTCTCTACTTTTTTTTTTACATCATTGACCACAGTGAGTACACTGTCCTGTGGTGTTGTGCTGCACCTTATGGGCTTGAAACGGCCTTTGTAGCTCAACGATAGCATATATCTGGTTTAACAAATCCATATCGTCCGTACGTCAATGTATTTTGTCACCAATCCCTGCTTACAACATCTTCAAGTAGACCTTTTCTCTTGATCTATAATTGTCATCTGAACTGGGCTCGACTGTGGGCTGGAAGCCCTGAATCGGCGAATATAAATTTAGCACTTGTCTGCCACTCGCGAAATTCCGAGACTAGTCAGCCCGCTGTAACAGAAGGGATATAAGGCGAGCACTCACGGACGACCTTCTTTCTCCATCTTGTTCTCCTTCCTCCATCTCCTCGGTCTGGTCCTCTGCTCAGTCCTCAAGGCGGCAAGCGCTCAGCATTGGCGACAATCTTACAGCGACGTCCGACAAGCAACAAGACCGCAAGTCATGAAGATCGACCAACTTCGAAGACATCCATAATTGTCATGCACTGACACAGCGGCATCCAAACGCCTGGAGTATATACTAGTAAGATCGACAAGTATGGCCTCAAGGCTCAAGCCATCAAGCAGCAATCATCGTCGTTGACTGACATTCGATGTGTGCCCTCGCCATCCTCAAGTTCATGTATGTCGTCTATCTATACTCATTCGTTAAGCTTCGCCTAACCCTGTTATTACTAATTAGCAAAGTCCGTCCATCTTTATTAGTATTTTTAGTATCACCGCCCTAGTCGACACTGATGTTCTCATTTTACGTCCTCAGCATTCGTCTACGAACGCAAGCCACCCACGATGAAGCTTTGCTATACGGAAGATAATTGACTTGTGCACGGTCATTATCTTTCAGCACTCATTGATGAATGGGCGTTTGTTGGATCCGCAAACGCTATTCGGGTGGCTTGAGCAGGGAGCCGGCAAGAGGCCGGTGCGAATGGGAGGGGCGGGCCCATTTGACGTCTTGTTTTGTATTTCAAGCAGCAAACTCGTCCGCGAATTAGCGTTTCTCGAAAATACTCTGGTCAAGTGACTTTGACTGTCGTTTCTCTCATCTATACTTTGCTACTCGATTCATACTGATACTTTTTTCCTATCCTGCTGCAATTTGCAGAGCTGGGAGCCGGTAGGGTGGCCGGCGGGGGTGGGAGGGGCGGGCCCGCCCCATTTTTTCTTCTTTCTTTTAGGTTCGTTTTCGCGCAGCAAACTCGTCAGCGAACAAGCATCTCTTGGTAAGGATTCCAAACATTTGTTCGAGTGGTTTGGCTGCCGTTTCTCTTGCCTATTCCTCGCTACTCGGTCAATTATGCAACTATATAGTAATATATCGTATTAGTTAGATTTTTCAGCTGTAATCGCAGAGGGAGCCGGTAAGGTGGCCGGCGGGAACGGGAGGGGTGGGCCCGTTCCAAATATTTTATTTACTGTTAGTCTTTGCTCGTCTTTTACTTCGGTCAAGGCAATCCGTTAGTTATAGATATGTATAATTCTATAATACTTACTCCAAGGTTTTGAATTTGAATATGACGAGTGACGGTGTTATCCTAATGATGCACGCGACGAAGTGTCAAAGCACAGGCTTTTGAGCCAAGACTGTTGTCGACTATTTACGAGTTGTTTGTACCATCAGTTGTCTACCGGTTTAGACAATGCAGTGCTGGTGGTCGGTAAAGTCGTGGAATTTACCTACCTCATAAGGGTGATGTGCTTCGATCCAAGCGACCACTGGACCCAACCAATCAGGAGTGTCCATTTTCCCTTTCTCTCCCCGAACGAAAGCAATCAAGAGTATTTGTCCACCTTGAGTATAAATATGGCTGCTTTGGGTCGCTACTGGAGCACTACAGGAGCCTTCCAAGTCGACAGTCGAGCTATCTGCAACTCCCCCAGACTAGAATTCCGCTCTCCACGCTCTTCAGTGACTTGAAAGATTGGCATGTCTACCTCTGTCTCGCATCCCTTAGTATGTGCCGAATGCGGAAGGCGCTTCAGCCGTCGGTGTGATTTGAAGCGGCATGCTCTTATTCACAAACCGGACGCTAAGTAAGCTTGTTATTATTGTTCTCTCCATTCCTTGTTTCTTATGTTCTTATTATATTCTAATCGTATAGACGATACTACTGCGCTTATCCTGGATGCAGTCATAGCTCGCTTCAAATGTGTAATCTAAAGGCACACTACATTTCGAGACAGTAAGTCACTTTCGGAAGTCGATTATATAGTCACACGAACTGACAACTTCCTTCAGCCTATTGTATCGCCTCTTCGAGTGCAATTTCAACAGTTGTGGCAAGTCCTATACGGATGCCTCATCACTAATAAAGCACGAGAAGAAGTATCATGGCTTCTTCCGCAAGGCACAGAAGCCGTACGAACGGCGGACGTCGCCAAGCACGAGGCTTGCACTTGATCCGTCTAGATTTGTGAAGGGATTCTCCGAGCAACAAACTCCATCGTCAACCCCATCATTGTGTTATTCAAATGGTGATAATCTGTCACATGTTTCGCAATCCCTCTCCCCAGCTCCCGTGACGAGTCCCGCTACTAATGACAGGGTTCAGCCTAATGGCGAGTTTCTCATGGCTTCTGCATCTACGGATGATTTTCTGCATGAAATGATTCCAGAGTTATTCCCAAAGCCCCTGGAGACGGTCACCTCTTGTGTCCCTCCCATCACTTCCAGCAATACATGGGATGCGGATTTTGCCTATCCGAATCAGGAGCCATACCCGAATCACTTAGGCTATGGTGGAGAGATGGTGGACTCTAGAGGATTTACATTGTTCGATCTCTTTAATTTAACTGTTCCCCTTGAGCCTCCCTTCGAATTTCCCTCCCTTTAGCCTTTCCTTCAAGCCTTTCAGAAACCCTTTTTTGTTTGTAACATGATTTTGACTTATTCTTCATTTATTCTGCACTTCTCTCTTGTTCTTTGTACATTTTATTCACTTTTGAGACAGTTAACATTGGAATAGATTGCTATAACAATATTAATCTTCAGTTTTGATTGTATAGAGATGCTAAATAGTATTTCTGTGCTTTATACTATAAAATTCTGCATAGCCATAGTGTCCTCACACAAACCTTTCATATGCACACCTAGAGTATGCAAGGTTGTCAAATATTTAGCCGAACGACCCTTTCACCCTTTTTACCTGCTCTCTTAGAAGGATGTACAGCTGTGTTTTGGTAGAACTGCTGGTAACTTAACATGGGAAGTTGCACAAAATTGAAAAGTACTGCAACTCGTATTCCGAGTATTGATTGTGTTGCGTTCTTTGAGCATCTATGCTATACAAGGTGGATTGCTCTGTCCAGCTCCTTACTCTTAAATACACTTGACAATCCTACCTCTCCACGCACCACCCTCTTTATAAAGGCAAAAGCTAAAAAGGTGCAAGTGTTAGCTATACGACTGGGAATGATGTAGAATGTGTGCTTTAATGTTACAACTTTCGTTGTGTTCCCAAGCACTGTTACTGTGATATATTGATCTAGCATTAGTTTTTGCCTTGAGAGGTTGCAGTATGTATTTTTTTAATGATATAAATACTGAAATGAGTTATTTGTTGTTCAACTTGTTGTTGAGCCTTGCTCTGATTCTATCCGGAAACGGAAGCAGTTCTCACGCGATTTGAATGGCATGCTTGTCTGGATCGCTGGTGGTCGCTATCGCTGTCACCGACCGTTCTCTGTACATCGTTGGACACAGTGAGTACTCTGTTCCGTAGTGTTGTGCTGTACCTTATGGGCCTGAAACAGCCTTTGTAGCTCAACGATGGCATTTGTCGGGCTCTAAGCGAATCCATGTTGTCCAGCATATGTCAATGCATTTTATCATCAATCTCCACTTACACTATCTTCAGGTAGACTTCAGCCTCTTGATATATATATATTTGTCTTCTACACTGGATTCAATCGCGGGCTGGAAGCTCTCGACTGGCGATATTCATTCGGCACTTGTCTGCCACTCACGAGGTTCCGAGACCAGTCAGCCCACTGCAACAGAAGGGATATAAGGCCAGCACTCGCGGACGACCTTCTTCCTCCATCTTGTTCTCCTTCCTCCATCTCCTCAGTCTGGTCCTCTGATATATTCTCAAGGCGACAAGTGCTCAGCGTTGGCGACAATCTTACAGCAACGTCCAACAAGCAGCTAGTCCGCAAGGCATGAAGATCGACCAACTTCGAAGTCATCCATAATTGTCATGCACAGCGGCATCCAAACGCCTGGAGTCTATAGTAAGATCGACAAGTGTGACCTCAAGGCTCAAGCCATCAAGCAACTATCATCGTCGTCGACTGTCATTCAATGTGTGCCCTCGTCATCTTCAAGTTCATGTATGTCGCCTATCTCAGTTTGTTTGTTAACTGCGACTAACCAATTATTACTCTTTCTTAGCAAAGGTCCGCTCATCTTTATTAGCAGTCTTTTAGTACCACCGTCCTTGATCGACACCGATGTTCTCATTTTACGTTCTCAGCATTCGTCTACGAACGCAAGCCACCCACGATGAAGATCTGCTAAACGAAAGATAATTGACTTGTGCACGGTCATTATCTTTCAGCACTCATTGATGAATGGGCGTTTGTTGGATCCGCAAACGCTATTCGGGTGGCTTGAGCAGGGAGCCGGCAAGAGGCCGGTGCGAATGGGAGGGGCGGGCCCATTTGACGTCTTGTTTTGTATTTCAAGCAGCAAACTCGTCCGCGAATTAGCGTTTCTCGAAAATAGTTACAAACCTTGGTCAAGTGACAGTGGCTGTCGTTTCTCTCATCTATACTTTGCTACTCGATTCATACTGATGGTTTTTTTCACTATCCTGCTGCAGTTTGCAGAGCTGGGAGCCGGTAGGGTGGCCGGCGGGGGTGGGAGGGGCGGGCCCGCCCCATTTTTTCTTCTTTCCTTTAGGTTCGTTTTTCGCGCAGCAAACTCACCTGCAGGCATCTCTTGGTAACGATTCCAAACGTTGTTCGAGTGATTTGGCTGCCGTTTCTCCCATCTATTCCTTGCTACTCAGTCAATTCTGCAAATATATAGTATACATTGTATTAGTTAGACTGTTCAGCTGTAATCGCAGAGGAGCCGGTAAGGTGGCCGGCGGGAACGGGAGGGGTGGGGCCCGTTCCAAATATTTTATTTCCTGTCAGTTTTTGCTCGGCCGAGGCGATCTATTCGTTGTAGGGGAGATGTCTAATTCTATAATAATTACTCCAAGATTTTGAAACGTGATTAGTGATGGTGTTATCATGTGCATGCGAAGAAGTGTCACAGCACAGGCTGAGAGTCAAGGATGCTGTTGACTGTTTACGAGTTATTTGTACCATCAGTTGCCTACCGGTTTAGGCAATGCAGTGCTGGTGCCAGTGGTCGGTAAAGTCGTGGATACCTACTTCATAAGGGTGATGTGCTTCGGTCCAAGCGACCACTGGACCCAACCAATCAGGAGTGTCCATTTTCCCTTTCTCTCCCCGAACGAAGGAAATTAAGGATACTCGTCAACCTTGAGTATAAATATGGCTGCTTTGGGTCGCTACTGGAGCACTACAGGAGTCTTCCAAGTCGACAGTCGAGTTATCTGCAACTCTCCTAGACTAGAATTCCGCTCGCTCTTCAGTGACTTGAAAGACTGTCATGTCTACCTCAGTCTCGTATTCCTTAGTATGCACCGAATGCGGAAGGCGCTTCAGCCGTCGGTGTGATCTGAAGCGACATGCTCTTATTCACAAACCGGACGCTAAGTAAGCTTGTTATTTATTGTTCTCTCCATTCCTTGTTTCTTATGTTCTTATTATACTCTAATCTTATAGACGATACTACTGCGCTTATCCTGGATGTAGTCATAGCTCGCTTCAAATGTGTAATCTGAAAACACACTACATCTCAAGGCAGTAAGTCACGTTTGGAAGTCGACTATAGTTACATGAACTGACAACATCCTTCAGCCTATCAGGTTGCTTTTTCCATTGCGGATTAAACGGATGCACTAAGACCTATAGGGACGATTCATCACTGATAAAGCATGAAAAGAGCTGTCATGGTTTCTTCCGTAGAGCCCAGAAACTATATGAACGACGGGTGTCATCCAGCGTGGGGCTTGGGCTTGATCCGTCTGTCTACGTAAGCAGTGCCTCTGAGAAGCGCACTCCATCACCAACTCCGTCATTAAGCTACACAGATAGTGAAGAATCGTGTTAAGATGAGACTACACAAGAGTATGTCTCAGATGATATAAACTACATTACAAGCAATGACGAATGATGATGGAATACCTTCCATCATACATTCTACATCTGAGACATACCTACATAGTATATATAGACTAACTAATCAATGGACAATGAAGCAAGCTGTGAGAGAGTGAGCCGAGTCTACTATCCCCCCTCTTTGTGTGATCCCTCTAAGCCTCTCACATAACCTCTCTTTCCCCTTTCTTAACAGGTTATGAGCCTTGAGCTCCCTGCCTACGCTTTATCTACACTCTACTATGTCTATGCTCCATGCAGTTCTATGCATCACATGCACACACACAGCATACTACAACGTGGAACTCGACACACCTGTCTGAGTATCCCAAACACAAATCAATACGTTGTGAATGCACGATCTACCATACTACATACGACCCAGACATTATATGATTGTCATCTTAGTGATTATGATCATTGGCCCAGTAATAACATAATCTATGCAGGCAATGTTGAAACTACAATGAGTATCACTTACTGCAATTATTAAATGCTAAAATACTCTATAATATCATGGAGATCATGTTATAATAAATTAACTGATCATACTACAGACAAACGTTAAAAAAACGAACATTAAAAAGATTAATAAAGCAAACACTACTCTTCTGCTATTAACATTATAATAGTATAAATGATTGACACTGTCAACAAGCATACATATGTTATAGCATAAATCAAATAATAACATATATAGTAACATCACAGCTGAACAATTAATACTCAAAACGAGCACATATATGCTAAATAGCATATTAAATCAAATAAATAAAACATTTAACATGTATTATAAACAATAATACAATTGCAGACACTATAATAACAATAATAATAACAATAATAATGATAATAATACAGATAGAACTAACAGAACAAATATAGAACAATATAATAACTAACACATATCATGGTCGAGCAATTATATGTAACATATTGAATTCAGCAGTTACATGTCAGATATCATGATTACTTATCAGATACCAAATATAATACACATATCTAAGATATACAGACGAGTACAGATATACAAAGGTATAATGAATAACTACAAACCAAAAAACAATGCTACAGAGCATATAAACTAACTATGCATGAAAGAATAATGTTATAACACATAAATACTGATTACAGTACAAGACAAGTGCAAAAATTATAACTATTAAACAAATGATACTACTTTACACATTAATACAATTGTGTAAATGTATACTAACAACAAACGAAAGAATTATATCTCTATTATACTTGAAACAATGTAACAATACAACTTAATTATGCAGAACGTGTTATCACAGCAGTTGATTATATAATAAATTTCGAAGTTGCAACAGTAACATCAACTGTACAGCATATATACCTTAACAAACGATTATTAAATTTACATCATGACAATGTAGCTTGTAGGAGCAAAAGTATTAAGCTAATAAGGCTATTATAACAAATAATACAAATATTATTATTACAAACACATTATTATAATAATTACAATTGAAAACAATCATAATATAATATGATTAAATAAATTAATAAAATGTTTAAGCCATTATCTCAGATGGTATAATATAAAATAGGCAATAATGGATACAAGCATACTTAATAGAACTCAGTGCATTTACTAAAAGCACTACATAAATAATAATTATAACGTTATTAAATGAATATTATATGGAAACAAACAAATTACCATATGTTTCCAACACAAAAACAAAATATTCATTCATAATTACAAACAATTATTAATAAAAGATAATGAGTGTGAACAAAACTTGTATATTATACATAATGTGTACTTATCTACTATAACAAACAAAATACACATTATATAAGTTGACAAACATTAACAGTAACAAAAATATAATAGTAATAACACTTAAATTACTCATTATAGAACATAACAAACATTATGCACAGCTTTAAAATACTAATAATTAGAAATCAAACCATGAAAGCAATTACAATTATTATATATAAATATTATATTATAACAATGATTAATAAACATTAAAGAAATATCCAATTCTTCAAAGAAATACCTTCTTGAATTGAAGGGGAGAAAATGGATAATATGCACAAACAATTAATAACTAAATATAAACAATGGAACAGAAAGTATAACACTACAGACACTACAAAAAATAGAATAATGAAATTCACAGACTAAGCACTGACTAAGCAATAGAAGTTACAGACAGACATAACAGATCAAAAAGGTAAATCATTCAGTACAAAGTGAAATTATGTCAATCAGAACTAAATAACAGAAGTCAACACAACACACAATTGAACTTCAACATTAAATAAATAATAATTCTACTACAAAACAAATGCTCATACTTGGCAAATAATATTAATATGATAATATAATTAACTTAACAGTGTTTAATACGAAAATAAATAATATACAGACAATTATCACATTATATAACAAAATAATTCATCAATTCAGACTATAGTTCATGGATAAAAGTGATGAATAACGAAAATAATACTTCAGAACGTACATAAAACAATAAATAATATATCTATATGATAATACAAATATAATTGCAATATAATTTGCAACTACAACAAATGATATGCAGATAATAACTATATAAACAAGTATGGAGTGTATACATATAATTAAATAAAACTATTAAATTGATTCTTGTACAAACAATTAAATTGCCCTCACTCTGTGATTAATACAAGTGTGAACAGTATTATAATACTATAAAATACATCAGATAGATACTAATAGGTATATCTATACAATGATTCAAATAAAATAAATAAAACCAATATATAAAACGTTTTACCTAGCAAACCAATTAACAAATAAAACGTCAAACAAATACTACAATTGCACATAGTACTAGATTCACTAAAAGAACACTAGGAGACAATTATAGTAAAACATAATCTGATATATTACTTATATGCAGATTGTGTTACAATACATTATTCTTTGCAAAAGAAAAAGCAAAGAACAATAGCCATAACATACACACATATATACACATACTATGATTGTAACAATTTCACATTAACCATTGTTAATG